CATTCGGGGCTTTAAACGTCAGGGGCTTTAAACGTTCGGGGATTTAAACGTTCGGGGATTTAAACGTACGGGGATTTAAACATACGGGGATTTAAACGTTCGGGGATTTAAACGTTCGGGGATTTAAACGTACGGGAATTTAAACGTACGGGGATTTAAACATACGGGCATTTAAACATACGGGGATTTAAACATACGGGGATTTAAACGTTCGGGGATTTAAACGTACGGGGATTTAAACATCCGGGGCTTTAAACATTCGGGGTTTTAAACGGTCGGGCATTTAAACGTTCGGGGATTTAAACTTTCGGGGCTTTAATCGTTCGGGGATTTAAACTTTCGGGGCTTTAATCGTTCGGGGATTTAAACATACGGGGATTTAAACATTCGGGGATTTAAACATTCGGGGCTTTAAACATTCGGGGCTTTAAACGTTCGGGGATTTCAGCTTTCAAGGTTTTGAGGATGACTTAAATTTTTTGTCCGTAATTTTTAATTTTTGGTCCGTAAAGTCCGTATTTTTAAATAATTCCACTAGCTCGAGCCCTGATTTTAAGAAACATTCAATTATTCACAAAATTATTTTTTTTTGCATTACAAATTATCGCAGAAATTTATTTATAAATTCCCTGATATTCCTGACCTGTAGCATCCTTGTAAATGCAACAAAACATTTTTTTTTTTGAGTATCTAATAATTTTAGAGTACGAATCAAAATGTTTTAGTGTCTTGCATTTAATTTTCATAAAAGAGTCAGTGAAATTTTAATTTGACAGTGAAGAAAATCAGTTATTATAATAAGGATATAGTAAGAATATGATAATAATAAAAATCTATAATATTTTCGCATAGTGTATTATGCATGAGGTTAAATATAACGTTACAATATTATATTTGCCATTTCTATGGCTACACATTCTTTGTATCACGTACATGGACTTTAATACTGAATTTGCTAACGCTGACAGTCTGACAGATTATAGAAGATTTCAGAGATTATTAAGAATTATAGATGATTACAAGAATAGTTCCGGAAAGATAAAAGAATATATAGAAAAATACGTCAAGTTTATACAACTGCTTATAAAAAGGGAGAAATACAAGATTTATACTTTCATGGATTAAAGAAACATTTTCTCCAAAATGTGCCAAAAGTAATGATTTTCCCACTCATTTAATTCGAAAACATTTATTTTCCGATCGAGAAAAATAAATCTATAATACACGTTTTGAAAAGAAAGTCGTAAATGAAAAATAGCAAATAATAACAAGCAATTTAGTTTGAGAGAGAAAATATGGCAATAATGTAACATGGAAATTTATGACTTTTACTTTATATTTTTACAAAAATAAATTGGTTGACCTATTTATATATCCAAAGACCAGTGTCGAATTTCAACTATGTTTTTACATTATAAATCGTAAAAAAAGTTGGTTAATTCATTATCGTATAATATTGGCAATATTTTTCCCCCTTTTTTTAATTTCTGAGCTTTAATACAATCGATATAAAATTCATTGTTAATACACAAATAATTTTATTGTTTGTTAATGAAAAGCGCACAATGTTTGCTAAAAATGAATTAATATTTTAATTGCTTTTAATGCGGATTTTCAGTTTGTGTATTGCAACAATTTTCGTTGAAAATATACGAATAAATGATACTTTTCTGCAGCAGCATATTAAAAAAGTTAGGATTTATTTAAAATTATGTAGATTATCCACACTAATATCGATAAAACGCGTGGCTCGGAAAATGGAAATTTCAAGTGTTTTTATTTAAATGTAGTGAACCTGAATAAATATTTTAATATTGAAAATAATATTTTTGAATTTATCGCAAGAGTATTTTGTTTCAAATCACAGTTTTTCTGTAGATATCAAATTGAGATAAAAAATGAATCAAAACGTTGCTTCGCAACATTTTTGATTTCGTTTTTTGTCTTAATTTGATATCCGCAGAAAAACTGTGTATAAAAAACAGAAAAACTGTGATAAAACTTAAAATTCAAGAGACTAAACAAAATTCTTTATTTTTGTGAGAAAAATTAAAAAAAACATTAATTTGGTTCGAATTTCTTTTGTATTTATAAAAAAAAGAGGGTGAAAAAAAGAAAATTAGTACTCACATTTTCCAGGGGAGATTTTTCCAATCCGCATTCCTACCGCCGTTGAGGTCTGTCATCTGAAATGTTTTTTCAAAAGTTACACTTTTTACATAATAGTAAATTTTTTATTTTTTATAATAATAACAAGTTTCGTACTCCTTTCAAATTCAATTATTTCTAAAAATTCCTAATGTAACGCTTCTAATATTCAATTATTGTCTAAAATTTGAACTGAAATTCATTTTTTAATCCATTTCTATCAGAGAGTTATACAAGAATTCAATTATTTAAATTTAAATATAAAAATAAATAATTCATTAATTGAATAATTGAAAATTTCATAAAATTGAATTCTTATTTATAAAAAATTTCATCAGAATTTCTTAAAATAATTGAATTATTTCGAAGAATTTTAATGAAATTTTTAGGAATGATTTGCATATTTCGGGGAATTTATTTAAAATTTTATTAAAAATAATTGAAATTATGCGACTAATTTTCATTATGTATTATGAAAATAGTCAAATTCTTGCGAAGAATTTAATAAAAAAAAGTTTAATGCCTGCGGAAATTTTATGATTTATGAAAATAATTGAATTCCAGCAAGGATTTTATTAAAATTTTTGAAAATAATTGAATTTCTGCAAAGAATTGTATAAAGTAATTGATTTTTTCTAAATATTTTATGAAAATTACGTTCTAAATAATTGAATTTCTGTAAAAATTTTATTATTTATCAAAATAATTGAATAAAAATAATTTTAAAAAATTGATATTTTTAGGAATTTTTATTAAAATAATAGATATTGAAAGTAATTGAATTTTGAACAATTTTTGAAAATAATTGAATCGTTTCTATGAATTTTTTTTAAATTTTTGACAAAATTGTTTTTATATTAACTTTTAGCTTATTTAAAGTTGTGCAAATTCTAGTCAAAATTTCAATTATTTTTAGAAATAATAAAATTCTTCTCCGAAATTCAATTATATTTTCAAAAATTTTAATAAAATTCTTGACAACATTTAATTATTTTGATAAAATAATAAAAATTTCACAGAAATTCAATTATTTACAAATTTTCTATAAATTTCTTTGCAATAATTCAATTATTTGAAAATTTGTTGATAAAATTATTTATGAGATTTGAATTTTAAGAAACATTAAATTATTCAATAAATTATTTTTTTGCATTACAAATTATTGCAGAAATTTAATTATGTTCAAAAATAATAAAATTCTTCTTTGGGATTTAATTATTTTCACAAATAATAAAACTTTTCGTAGAATTTCAATTATTTTTAATACAATTTTAAACAAACTTCTTGAAAAATGTAATTATTTTTTTAAATTTTGTTAAAATTCGTCGAGAGAATTCACTTATTTAAAAATTTATTTGATAAAATTCTTTACGATTAATAAATTATTTATTTTTCTATTTAAATAATTGAATTCTAGTAGAATTTTTTCTAATAAAAATTGAGTTAAAATTGAATTTTAGTTCAAATTTTACATAATAATTGAATATTGCATTTTAGGATAAATTTTTAGAAATAATTGAATTTAGAAAAGGTTTAATTTTAAAAATTGGCAAAATTTGGACTATTTTCAAAAATTTTCTACAATTCAATGATTTTCAATATCTACTATTTTAATAAAATTTTCTAAAAGATTTCAATTATTTAAAATAAATTTAATTATTTTCATAAATAATAGAAATTTCACAGGAATTCAATTATTTACAAATTTTTTATAAATTTCTTCGCAATAATTCAATTATTTTCATGAATAATAACATTTTTCCAGGGATTCAATTACAAATAATGAAACTCATCGCAGAATTTTAATTATTTTTAATACAATTTTAATCGAGTTTCTCGAAAAATGGAATTATTCTTACAAATTTTATTAAAATTCGTTCAAAGAATTTAATTACTTAAAAATTTGTTGATAAATTTCTTTATGAAAATTCAATTTTAAGAAACATTCAATTATTCAATAAATTATTTATTTTTGTATTTAAATAATTGAATTCCAGCAGAATTTTCTAATAAAAATTGATTTTCATTTCATAAAAATGAATTTCAGTTAAAATTCGAGATAATAATTGAATATTAAAAGCAATATAGCGTGGATTTTTAGAAATAATTGGATTTCGAAATTAATTTTTTTGAAAAAGTTTAATTGAATTTTTTTATATTATTTGAAGTTTTTATTTTCTGAAATATACTGAAGAATTTACGAATAATTGAAATTCGTTAAATTCGATATTTTAAACAAATGGATTTGAAAATTGCCAAAGACTTTTTATTTGTTTTAAATAAAATTTTTATTCGACATAAATTTATTAAATTCATTTGAGTCAAATAAAATTTTATTAAAATCAAATAAAATTTATTTGAAACAAATAAAAAGTCTAGTAGTTGGTTCTGAGCCAAATATACCATTTCTCTGGGTGTAAAGTCCGTATTTTTAAATAACTTTCACTGGTTCGAGCCCTGAATATATATTTTCCTTATTTTCCCAAGCAACATGTTTTAGGGGAACAAATAGGTTTGTGGTTTATTTGGTAAAAATCAAACACATTTCGTTCGATTTTCTAAAAATAAGATTAATAATCATTAAATAATTATCCATCTTCAATAATTGAAAGGCACTAATATCTTTAATTTGAAAAGCAAACATATATTCTCCAATAACGTGTGTGTGGTGTCTTAATTGAATAAAATAGGAAAAATTGGATTTCCAATCTGATTTATAGTTCTCGCTAAAGTTATTAAAAAGGGGAGAGAGAGAGCCCCTCTCATTTTGTATAGCCGCTATAAATTTAAAATAAAAGGAAAATTAAAAGAAAATTTTCCACAGATGAATTTTGCTTTTTGGAAGCCCGAAATGGAATCACCCAAGAGTGATAGGGGTGGGACGAGGAGAAACCCCGAAAGATGGAAATTCAGCGGTGGAAGGGGAAGAGAGATCGGGTATAGAGGATGGGAGAGAAGCATAGAGAGCAGAAGCGAACCGGGGAAGAGTGAGTGAGTGAGTGAGTGAGGATGAAAGAGAGACAACGAGAGAGAGAGAGCGAGGGGGTTGAAGTTAGAGATAGGGTCGGTTGTTCGTAGGGTGGCCGGCCGGCCAGTCGTGCAATCGCGGCGACATCGGTCGCACATTTATTCGCGATGCTGGCGAACGCTTCTTTTTCACATTTCAAATTTCTTTTTTTTTAACTCTCAAAATCATCCAGCATCTGCGTTAATGCACCACCTCGAACGTCGATAAGTACCTTAGAAACCAGGTCAACCCATTTTTAAAATAAAATTTAATATTCTCAAAAAAAAATTTACCCGCGTCTTTTCTTTCTCTGAATTTTAGACCCGCGATTTAGTGTCACAGTCTTTGATTTCAAATGGCAATAACTTTATCGCCCGAGGGTGAAAGTTTCAAATAAAGCAACAACCTTTCTCCCCACAGTGGAAGTTGAGAGTTAATGTTAGGTGCTCAAAAATCAAGTGGATAAGTGATTTTGAACCTGGATCAAAAAGATACCGAATAATGCCCATTAGGATAGAAAACAACTTTTTTTGAATTCCATTCAAACTCGCAACAAGTGTAGAAAGACTATTACAATTTCCAGGGTGCTTTCTCTCCCTCAAAAATACAGAATATTTTCGAAAAATATCTTCAAATTTCTCCAACAGAATCTTATTTCTACGAAATCAATTTCAAGATACCCAAAAGTACCGATGCTAATTTTGATAATTTCCAAATAACCCAATTCTAATTAATCCAAAGGAATAGTATGGATTACCGATAACGCAACATTTAATATTTTTCAACAATTCCTTTTTCCAATCTGAATTATTCTCGATAAGCAATGACTTTCCAAAAAATAGTCAATTTATTCATGTAGGGGACACAAATGCGTCTATCGAAGGGAACAATTTATTTTTGAGAAAAATCTAACACAGGGATCACTTTCAAAGAAGGGAAAAAGCAAAAAAAAAAAAAAAACAAGTTACTTCAAGGAAAAAAACAATTTTCGTATTCATGTAAAAATTTCAAGGGGGAGAAAAAGAAAATTGGGAGCAATCATAAAGAACAAAATTGACAGCAATAAAATAAAAAAAAAGGAACATATATAGTGGACGAAGAAAGAACGTTGATCAAATTTGACAGGAAATATAAAAACGATAAATTAGAAACTAATTGACATTGACGAATTTCGGAAAAAATTTTTCAGAAATAGAGAAAAATTGTCAAGAGACTGAAAAGAAACTTGTGACACAAAAAAAGTAGTTGAGAGAAGAAATTCCAAAACTATTCCCCTTTCTAAATTTAATGAAAAGTAAATTTATAGAGGAAAACAATTCACGAGGATAAATTTAGAGAACAAGTTCTAGCAGTCATAAATTTGTATGGAACAAATAGTTCAAGTATATAAATTCGTGGGTGAGCGAATAGTTCAAGTATAAATTTCTTCTGAACAAATATCAAGTTTAAACTTTAATTTTAATACTCGCGAGGTTATAAAGAAGAGACACTGGGAAATATGGTTCCATATGGTTGAATTTTCCAAGGAATAAAAAATTGATTTTTCAAGGGCAAGAAGATTAGAAAGAAAAGGTTGAATGGGATGAAGGTGATGAGATGTGATCTTGAGTCGATGGGGGTGTGTAGTTGAAAGTAAAAGTCACGAGGGTGACGCGCTGAACAGCGTGCCAAGGGATCTATTGATTTGTTTTTGTTGTATGAGACCCACTGACCGCGTCGAATGTGTGTCAGTATCCTGGAAGGGCGTCGGAAACACGTCACACGAGGATCATGCTGTTTTCATCGGTATTCAATAAGAAGAGCGATTATGAAATAGCCAGATTACTATCCACAGTGGGATAATAACGACATTCAAACCAGGAATTATATGAATTTTCTCTTCGAACAGAAATAATAATAATAATAATAATAATAATAATAATAATAATAATAATAATAATAATGATGATGGAAATTGCGATTTCCATTTCAGGGATTTCACCTCCTCCCGAGGTGTCATCGATACCAGGAATCTGGAAAATCAGCTGATTTGTGTGATACCTAACTTTTAGGATTACGTTCATTATTTTGATTGTCCAACTACTAATTGGAAGCGAATCGCTGATTTAGGATTCCCAATGGCCTATTTGACCTGAAGCATGCCTTGCCTTGCCAGCCTGACTTGTGTTTAACATCTAGATAGTGCTGGAGCACTTGAATTCTCAAGCACTCACTACTCTCCCGGTATCAATTGTCACTCGAAGCACCGGGTGGCTCATTGTTGAACCTTTCGAGATAACACGCGTTGTCTGTTAATGAGCGAGGCGAAATTAGGAAACTAACAAGGGAGCCGGTATGAAATGAGCAATGACGAGGGTTTCAGACACGGGAAATGGGGCATGAATTAGAACTCATTTGGTAAAGTGTTGCGCCTCAAGGGGTCGACGGGAGCCAAGAGGAAAAACGCCAGCTTAACAACAACTCTCAACAAATACAGTCTGTTATATTATGGTGATTGTCATCTCACTAAAGAAACACTTTACCGATAAATTCCGATTTCTAACCATCAGGTGCGTCAAATCTGCTAATCGATTTAATCCCATTTTCACCCACGTGTACTTTCAACGACTATAATTTCATTCCGGATGGATTCAAATACTTTTCTTAAATTGCTTACGAATTTCGAGCACATCTAATTTCAGAAACCAACTTCCGGTCTATGATTGCCGGAAGGGTTACTACAGGAAACTGATGTTTAGATTAAATCAAGTCTAGGTTAGGAATCAGATTTAAGGGAAATTAAGAATTTCTTTTTAGATGAAAAAATATAGCTTTTCCATCAAGGGACGTCAGCATAAAGAGACAATAAATCTCAAGACTTGGTACAAAGCACAAGACTAAACATTAAAAAGTTGAGCTCTACTTTCTCGGACAATAAAAATAGAAAAAAAAAAGTTTGTTTCAACAGCAATATTTCCTTGAGGGGGAGGAGAGGGAAATAACATACTCTCTTCTCATGACCTCGGTTGAGTTCTGAATCGATAACGCACACTAGCTGAAAAGCATCGTTTTACTGTAAAGATTAGCTCCAGGGAAACAATTCGATACGCTTGAAATTCATCAGCAATTATCGTATCATCCTGAGAGGAAAAAGAATCCCCTGGCAACAGACTGACGCCAGAAGCAGCTAAGCGGCTCTTCTCTAGACCCTTGAAACTTGAGATTCGATTTCGATTCATTAAAAATCGCCCATTAGTCGAGAGAGCTATTCTCACCAATAATTTGAAAAGATTCTCCCACCGAACCGACTGTTAGTAACAATAAGTAAATCAAAACTTAGGAAATTGAATAACTCGATAAATGTCAATTCGCTTAAGGGCGAGAAAAATGGGTCAACAAGGAAAATTGAATTAGATCTTTTTCAAATCTTTTTTTGAAAACTTTTAAAATGATGTTTTCAAGTTTCATCGTCATCAATTTACTGATAATATTCCAAGTTGTCGACATGTCTCTGTCGCCAAAAGTGCCTAGCGAGAGGGAAGCTATCTTGATTCCGGGTGATGTAGTTCTGGGTGGTTTATTTCCGGTGCATGAGAAGGGTGTTTCCGCCTGCGGTCCAAAGATTTACCATAGAGGGGTCCAGCGCTTGGAGGCAATGCTCTTTGCGGTTGATAAAATCAACAATGAGAAGGAAATTTTATCGCACACTAAGCTTGGTGTGCACATATTAGACACCTGCGGTAGAGATACATACGCCTTGAATCAAAGCCTTCATTTTGTGCGTGCCTCTTTATCTAATCTGGACCTGAGTGTCCTCGAGTGTGCTGACAAATCCCTACCAAGAGTCAAGAAAACAGTCAATACCGGTGCAATATTTGGAGTGGTTGGAGGGTCTTACAGTTCGGTTACACTTCAAGTGGCAAACCTTTTAAGATTGTTTCACATCCCCCAAATATCCCCAGCCTCGACAGCATCAGCATTAAGTGACAAGACGAGATTTGATTATTTCGCTCGAACTGTTCCACCTGATACTTATCAATCAATAGCACTTGTCGATGTTGTCAAAAGTGCTAATTGGTCATATGTGTCGACAGTTTATTCTGAAGGATCGTACGGGGAATATGGAATAGAAGTTTTCACGAGGGAAGCAACAGAGCGAAATGTGTGTATCGCGGCGGCTGAAAAAGTGCCAAGCACCGCTGACGATATGGTATTTGATGCGATTATTCAGAAGTTGAGCAAGAAACCAAACGCGAGGGCAGTGGTTTTATTCACGAGAGCTGAGGATGCTAGGAACATTTTAGAAGCCGCAAAGAGGGCTAACTTGACCCAGCCTTTTCAATGGATAGCTAGTGATGGTTGGGGTAGGCAAATGAAGTTGGTCGAGGGTTTGGAGGAGGAGGCCGAAGGTGCCATCACCGTTGAGTTGCAGTCAAAGGACATTCCCGAGTTCGATAAGTACATGGCGTCGCTTACACCCGAAAATAACAGAAGAAATCCTTGGTTCGGAGAATATTGGGAGGAGGTTTTTGGCTGTGTTTTAAGGAAAAATCATGAAAAGGGGGTTAATAAAAGTGTTCAGGAGTGTGATCCGAATCTAAGACTCACGCCCGAGATGGGCTTTGTTCAAGAATCAAAGGTGCAATTTGTCGTCGATGCAGTCTATGCGTTCGCTTTGGCTTTGCATAATCTTCAAAAAGACATATGCAAAAGAAGCGTCGGATTATGCAATGAAATGATCTCTTACGACCGGGGTCAGTTCTACAAGAAATATCTTCTTAACGTCTCCTTCATAGGTAAGTTTTAATACTTCATTACATTAACAGAAGATGTTGTGTTATGTTATGTGATATGTTACGTTATTGCTAAAAGTATTATCTCTTCAAAAACTAAAATTCTCAAAATAGCTTAAGGCAATAATAAAATTATTCAAAATCAAAATATTTCAAATTTCCCTGACTTATTACAAAAAGCTCTTTCAACTATAAAGCCTTCTTTCAGAATACTAAGAGTGTATTTCTTTAGTACGGAAAAAAAGTTAAAAATATAACTAATACACCATTGAAAACAACTTTTCTCTGCTTCCATTGTTAGGTAGAAAAAAAAGTCGTTCGTAGCACCTCTCATTATTCCACTTTCTAACCGATATAATAATTTGAAAAAACATGCATTCTTGAGTGAAAGAAAACATCGAGAATAAGTGTCAATGAGAATATATTTCCAGAACGTGAAACATTTGTTGAAAATAAACAAAAGATTGTTTCTATTTTAATTAACAGTTCAACAATATTTTTAACAGTAAAGCTATAGATTACAGGGCTCAAAGTAGGTCCGTAAATCCTGAAAAAGTCCGTAACTTTGCTTCAAATCCGTAAAAGTCCGTTTTTTTTAAAAAAGTCCGTAAAGTCCGTAATTTCATTCAAAAAGGATGAAAAGTTCGTAAATTGTACGATATAATTTTGAGAATTTTAAAGAAATTACAAATGATTGCAGAAAGTCAATTATTTTCAAAAGTAATAAAATTCTTCGCAGAAATTCAATTATGTTCAAAAAATTTTTTTAAATTCTTGTCAAAATTTTAATTATCTTTAGAAATATTAAAATTCTTCTTCGAAATTCAATTATTTTGAAAAAATAGATAAAAAATGGTAAACATTTCAATTATCTTTATAAACAATTAGCAAAATTCCTCGACAAAATTCAATTATTTACAAAAATTTTAATAACATTCATTAAAAAATTTCAATTATTTTCATAATTAACAATATTTATCACACGAATTCAATTATTTTATAAATTAATAAAATTCAATTATTTTCAAAAATTTTAATAAAATCCATTGCAAAATTTCAATTATTTTCAAAAGTAATAAAATTCTTCGCAAAAATTCAATTATGTTCAAAAATTTTTTTAAATTCTCGTCAAAATTCCAATTATCTTTAGAAATATTAAAATTCTTCTCCGAAATTCAATTATTTTCAAAAAAATCTAAAAAAAACATCAACATTTCAATTATCTTTATAAATAAATAGCAAAATTCTTCGACAAAATTCAATTATTTTTAAAAACTTTAAGAAAATTCCTTAAAAAATTTCAATTATTTTCATAATTAACAATATATCACTCGAATTCCATTATTTTCTTAATTAATAAAATTCAATTATTTTCAAAAATTTTAATAAAATCCATTGCAAAATTTCAATTATTTTCAAAAGTAATAAAATTCTTCGCAAAAATTCAATTATGTTCAAAATTTTTTTTAAATTCTCGTCAAAATTCCAATTATCTTTAGAAATATTAAAATTCTTCTCCGAAATTCAATTATTTTCAAAAAATCTAAAAAAACATCAACATTTCAATTATCTTTATAAATAAATAGCAAAATTCTTCAACAAAATTAAATTATTTTCAAAAATTTTAATAAAATTCATTAAAAAATTTCAATTATTTTCATAATTAACAATATATCACTCGAATTCAATTATTTTCTAAAGTAATAAAATTCCATTATTTTCAAAAATTTTAATAAATTCCATTGCAAAAATTCAATTATTTTCAAAAGTAATAAAATTCTTCGCAGAAATTCAATTATGTTCAAAAATTTTTTTAAATTCTCGTCAAAATTCAATTATCTTTAGAAATATTAAAATTCTTCTCCGAAATTCAATTACATTTATTTTCAAAATTAATAAAATTCTTTTTATGAATTCAATTATTTTCAATAGAATTTTAATCGAATTCCTCGAAAAAATTCTTAAAAATTTTATAAAAAAATTCGTCCAAAGAATTTAATTATTTAAAAATTAGTTGATAAAATTTTTAACTTAAAATTGTCTTAAAAATAATTAAATTTCTACCAAAAAAAAAAAAAATTTATAAAAACTTATTAAAATGTTTGAATTTCTGCTAGAATTCTAATATTTTTGAAAATAATTTAATTCTTGCGAAGAATTTTATTAAGACTTTTGAAAATAATTGAATCTCATGCAAAGATTTTAATTATTTTACAAAAATATTTATAAATTCTTGCGAAAAATTTTATTAAAATTTGTGAAAGTAATTGAAGATCTGCTAAGAATATTTTCTTATTTTTAATTTATTTCTAGAATTTTATCAAAAATTTTGTAAAAATTATTGAATTCCAGTTAATTTTTTTCCAAGAATTTAATTATTTTTGCAAATTTTAATAAAATTCTTCGCAAAGAATTCAATTATTTTCCTAAATAATAAAATTCAATGCAGAATTTCAATTATTTTATTATTATTTTTAATACAATTTTAATCGAATTTCTCGAAAAATGTAATTATTCTTAAAAATTTTATTAAAATTCGTTTATAGAATTCAATTAATTGAAAATTTATTGCTAACAATTTTTTATAGGAATTGAATTTTAAGAAACATTCAATTCTTCCATAAATTATTTATTTGCATTATTGCATTTAAATTTGTATTTTAATAATTGAATTCTAGTGGGAATTTTTAAATAAAAATTGATTTTCATTTCATTAAAATGAATTTCAGTTAAAATTTTTAGATAATAATAATTGAATATTAAATGCAATACAAGGCGTGAATTTTAAAAAATAATTGAAGTTTGCATTTAATTCTTTTGAAAAAGTTTAATTGAGTTTTTTTTAATATTATTTTTAGTTTCTATTTTTCTAGTATTTATTTAATTATAAAGCATTTACGAATAATTGAAAGTTCGTAAAATTGAATATTTGTAAAGAAGTGAATTTGAAAATTGTCAAAGAACTTTTTCGAAAATTTAAAAAAATAATCGAACAATTTTAGTTAAAACTTCTTGTAAATAATAATTACCCAGGTGGAAAATTTAACGTTAGTTTAACGTTAGTTAGTAGCTAATGCTACTAACGTTCGACTAACGTTAACTTTTCCACCTGGGTTGAATTGATAATGATTTTAATTATTATAAATTATTTTTATTAATTTTTATTAATTTTGATTAATAATTATTATTAATTATTATAAAACATGAAGAAATCGATGACTTCGAGTCTTCGACTCGAAGTCATCGATTTCTTCATGTTTTATATACCTAATAAAATTTAATTTCTAGTTTTAAGTAAAATGTTCTCTTATTTGATTCGGCCTGATTCTATTTTTATCAGTTGATCCGTAAATGGTCCGTAATTTTTAATTTTTGGTCCGTATACGGACCAAAAATTAAAAATTACGGACCATTATTACGACCAATTACGGACTTTATAAAGTCCGTAATTTTTAAATACTTTCACTGCTTCGAGCTCTGAGATTAATTTAAGGAAGGAAATAAATTGTACTGCGTAAATAAAAGTGATTTATTTATAAAAGTCAAAATCTGTATAAGTTTCATTAAAAGGGTGCGTTTAGCTACTTTTTCGGGCAATCTATTTAGTTAAAGAGTTTTCATGAAAAATTGTAAATAACTGGCAATCAGTATCATGACATTAAAAGGGGGAGAGAAGAAGAAGAAGAAGAAGTTAGTTGGGAACGTTCACAGAAAAGGCTGATTCACTGAGGTGAAATTTGTGGATAGCCATCGATCACTCAAGTTTAACTTTGATCGCTTTCTCTCTCTCTTTCTCCTACTTGAAATAGCAAGGAAGCTTCAGAGGGAAGATAACATTTTTGGAGGGAGATTTTAGTTTCTTGTATACGAACCAAGTAAAGGGTTTGACCTAAATTATCTCTGGGTACTCGGAATACATTGAAAGTGGAGTCTGGATAGTTGGGAATAAATGGATACACCGCAAAGATGAAATGTAACACTTTTCAAGTACCTAACACTCTCAGACTGCTTTTTCTCAGAGTAACTGGAGTTCATCTCTCTTTCTCTCGTTCAAATGAAATCGTTTTTCAAAATCGTTCAACCTTTTCTTCTCCCTTTCTTTTCTCGGTTCTATCGATTTTCATTTTCCTCAATATAATAAATTACATTTTCTATTCTTGTTTGTATTCAAGTTAATTTTACATTTTCCCATTTCTCTCACGGTTTCTGCATGGTTCTTAAGAAAGATGAAAGTTGAGTTTAAATTTGAAATTATTTTTCCGCCCAAGAACCACATATGGTAACTAAAATAATATCTAAATACTTTGTATGCAAAAAAGAATTAACTTCCCTTTGTTCTTTTTTATTTTCATAACGATTGAAATATTTCACGCATACATTTATCCAAAAGGATCCAAAGGGACGAAACAATTTAAAATATAAATTTAATTTGCGAAAATCCTTTTGTTCTCTCCGCGCATATTTTACTTGATAGAAATCAAATTTTGAACATTTTATATTGAAATACATCGAACGATATTCATTTTAAAAAAAAAAATAATTTGTTCATATAACGAGAAAAAAAAAGTTCCATACGGTATGAACTGAACGGTTAATTCTATATACTATTGAAAAAAAAAACTGAGTTCAATTTAACGTAGAGTAAGGAAAAAATTTAGGGAAGCATGAAACCAATTGTCTCATTTTTAACTTTAACAATATAAAAGTAATTTTCTACCTAACAAATTTTTTACAAGCAGATGTAATTACAGCGAATGTCTTGTATTGTATTGCAGGAGGTTAAGAATTTCTCATTACATCCTAGAAACAATGAAACGAATCTTTTCAGGTTCTTTCAAGTTTTTTTCACAGAGTACAAGTTTCGAATAAAACATTCTAAGCTCCAAATTATATATACGATTTGGATTAAAGGCTTTCTGTCTTATAATAATAATTACTATCACTATCACTATTTTTATTATTATTACCATTACTATTATTATTTTTATTATTTTTACTATTTTTATTATTTTTATTTTTATTATTTTCATTAAAAAGTAGAAAACTGAATATTGATGTCAAAAGATAATTAATTCGTTCGTTATAAAACTATACAAAGTGAAGAGTTAATAGTTGGAATCGGAACTTTTAATATTTTCGTATATTTATAAAATATAAGATGATTTACGGATTGGTTATAATATAATGTCCGAGCTTTCAAGTTGTAAACTGAAATTATTGAATTAATCTCTCGTTCAACAACTATGCGAGTTTTAATATCAGACGATATAATTCCAACGAAATTTGTAAGGACTGGTGTTTGATATACTTATATATATATATATACCCTTAATCCGAGTGTTATACAGAAGCGCATCTCATTTCGTAAATCGAAATGTTATTTCGTGTTTGTTATTTAGTATATAAAACAAAGAGAAAAAAAATAGTTTAAATGCGAACAAAATGAAATTTCATTTTAATTAAAACTCGTAATTTAAAACTCGAGTTTCTTTTAATTTAATTAAAAGTAATGAATTCACATATATTGTTCATATGAAAAAAGGTACTATATATATTATAATATATGTTTGAACAAAGGAAATTGTAATCAACCGTTTTTAAAAAGAATTTTTTAATTCAGGGCTCTTTGAGAATATTCAAATCCATTTGTTTACAATATTAAATTTTACGAATTTCAATTATTCATTATAATCTTCAATTAAATATACAATAGAAAATAAAAACTTCAAATAATATAAAAAAGATTGAATTAAACTTTTTCAAATAAAAAATAATTTCAAAATTCAATTATTTCTAAAAATTCACGCTATATTGTTATGAATATTCAATTATTATGTAAAATTTTAAATAAAATTCATTTTTAAATTAATTTTTATTAGAAAATTCTACTGGAATTCAATTATTTAAATACAAATATGAATGATTTATTCAATAATTTTGAAAGTTTCTTAAAATTTAATTTTTACGAAGAATTTTATTAACAAATTATTCGAATAATTAAATTCTTTTGACAAATTTTAATAAAACTTTTAGGAATAATTAGATTTTTTGAGAAATTCGATTAAATTTGTATTAAAAATAATTGAAATTCTGCGATGAGTTTCACTATTTTTGTGAAAATAATTGAATCCCTGTAAAAAATGTTATTGTTCATGAAAATAATTGAATTATTGCGAAGAAATTTATAAAAAATTTGTAAATAATTGAATTCCTGGAAAATTTTTATTATTTATGAAAATAATTAAATTTATTTTAAATAATTGAATTTCTTTTAGAAAATTTTATTAAAATAGTAGATATTAACAATCATTAAATGCTAGAAAATTTTTGAAAATAGTTAAAATTTTGACAATTTTTAAAATTAAACATTTTTTGAATTCAATTATTTTTTTAAATTTATTTTTAAATGCTCTTAATAATCAATTATTATCACAAATTTGAACTGAAATTCATTTTTAAATTGATGTTTACTGGAAAATTTTACTGAAATTCAATTATTTTAATACAAAAATTAATAATTTATTGAATAATTGAATGTTTCTTAAAATTGAATTCTCATAAAATATTTTATCAACAAATTTTTAAATAATTAAATTCTTTCGACGAATTTTAATAAAATTTTTAAAAATAATTAGATTTTTCGAGAAATTTGATTAAAGTTTATTAAAAATAATTGAATTTCTGCGATAAGTTGCAGTATTTGTGAAAATAATTGATTCCCTGTAAAAATTTCATTATTCCTGAAAATAATTGAATTATAGCGAAGAAATTTATAAGAAAAATTGGTAAATAATTGAATTCATGTGAAATTTTATTATTAATGAAAATAATTAAATTTATTTTTGATAATTGAATTCTTTTAGAAAATTTTATTAAAATAGTAGATATTGCAAATAATTAAATTATAGAAAAATTTTTAAAAATAGTTCAAATTTTGACAATTTTTAAAATATTAAACCTTTTCTAAATTCAATTATTTGTTAAAATTTATTCTAAACTACTCTTAATATTCAAATATTATGTAAAATTTTAACTAAAATTCTCTCTACGAATTTTTTCAAATTTAAAAAAAAATAATTACATTTTTCAAGAAATTTATTTAAAATTGTATTAAAAATAATTTAAATTCTGCGAAAAGTTTTATTATTTGTGTAAATAATTTGAATTCCTAAGAAAAATTTTATTATTTTTTAACATAATTAAATTTCTGCAATAATTTGTAATGCAAAAAAATAATTTATTGAATAATTGAATGTTTCTTAAAATTCAAATCTCATAAATAATTACATCAACAAATTTTTAAATAATTGAATTCATTTTACTTTTCGAGGAATTTGATTAAAATTGTATATTAAAAATAATTGAAATTCTGCAATGAGTTTTATTATTTATGAAAATAATTGAATTCCTAAAAAGCATTTTATTATTTACAAAAATAATTGAATTCCTGTTAAGAATTTTATTAATTATGAAAATAATTGAATTATTGCGAAGAAATTTATAGAAAATTTGTAAATAATTGAATAATTGAATTGAAAAATAAATAATTGAATTCCTGTGAAATTTTTATTATTTTATGAAAATAATTAAATGTTTTCCAAGAATTTAAAAAAAATTTTTGAAAATAATTGAATTTCGGAGAAGAATTTTATTATTTCTAAAAATAATTGAAATTTTTACGAGAATTTGCACTACTTTAAAAAAGCTAAAAGTTGATATAAAAACAATTTTGTCAAAACTTAAAAAAAATTCATAGAAAAGATTCAATTATTTTCAAAAATATTGTTCAAAATTCAATTACTTTCAATATCTACTATTTTAATCAAATTTCCCAAAAAATTTCAATTATTTAAAAGAATTTTAATAAAATTCTTCGCAACATTCAATTATTTTGATAAATAATACAATTTTTACAGAAATTCAATTATATTTAAAACATAATTTTTATAAAATATTTAGAAAAAATGAATTATTTAATACAATTCTTTGCAGAAATTCAATTATTTTCAAAAATTTTAATAAAATCCTTGCTGAAATTCAATTATTTTCATAAATCATAAAATTTCCACAGGAATTAAATTATTTAAAATTATAATTTTCATAAAATTTTTCGAATGAAATCAATTATTTTTAAAATAATTTTTAATTCTTTATGAGAATTGAAACTTACGGACCTAATTCGAGCCCTAATTTTGTATACTATAAAGTATAGTTCTCGACTTAAAATAATCTATTTTTTAAAAACCCTTTTCCTGTATAATTAAATCAATATTAATTTTGAAAGTAATCGATTTTTTTATTACTGTTTAATTATTTACATGAAACAAATATAAAATTTTAAGAATCCTTAAAAGGTGGTTTAGTTTTTACGAATACCTAGATTTTCCCATCGAGGTCGACCTTGTTGGAAATAGTTGTTAATATTCAATGGAATTTAACGTACGTATATGCATGAATATAAAAATGCATTTTATTGACTCGGACGTATGTTGATCGTTTAAAAACACAACTGGATTGGTTTTAAATTATTCTCATCTCTCCAACTCTTGATATATCGATTATATTGCTATATCCAAACATGATATAGAAATGTGCAGTAAATATCGTCTCTCCCCTTTATCGTCTTCCAGTTCAGCAGATTTGCTATATAATTTACTTTTGGAAATTCAGTCTTTTATATATTTGCCACTGTACAGTACGGTTCGTAAGTTATATGTTAACGGAAGTGATATCTAGTCTGGGATCATAATACAATTGTCAACAAGATGAGAAGGAAAAAATTTTGCATTCTCGTATAAAGCGATGAAAACTTGAAGATAACAAACTGTCCGGTCGTCGCGGGTCACTAAAATTCTATCTTGAAGAAAAGAGAGAGAGAGGAGAGAACACGTACTGCAAGGTCTCATATAAATCTCGAGATTTATAAGGGATTATATTCAAAATAAAAGAATTCGGTTATAGTTTTATAAAACAGAAAAGCAAATGTTTGGAGGAAGAACTTAATTTCTTATTCACTGTTTTAAAAAACAAAAGTTGATAGTGTGAAACTAATTTGTAATAACGTGTTAACTTTTTGTTAATCTTTCACTTTATTTAACCAAACCTTGTAATTTCAGGCGTTAACTGTAACTTTGTAATTCGATCAGAAACTTTTAGTTTATAATTATGTTACAGACGCTGCGGGAAGCGAGGTAAAATTCGACGAGCACGGTGATGGACTCGCACGCTACGAGATTCTCAATTTCAGGAAAATGAATCTCAGCAGTAATAATGGATATCAGTATAAGGTGAATTAATTACAAATTTAACAACCTTAATTTAACTCTTGGGATAATGTAGTAATATTTCGAGGACACTGCTTGACAACGCATTATTAAAAAAATTTTTAATTATCATTCAAATGATCTTGTGATTTCAAAGCATAATATACACAAAAAGGCATTTTTGCAGAATAAGTTTTCTTCTTTTGAACTGAGATATTTTCTTTCAATTCAAAACTGAGTAAGAAAATACCAAATTTTACTTCTAAAATTTCGCTATAAATATCATTAAAACCTCAAAGGGAATAAATGACCTTTCAGGATGCCTCAATCAAGGAGAATTCCACCGAAAATCAGTGAAACATGATTGAAATTTCAGTGACTGCTGTAGTAACCGGTTAATCAATGCTCTCTCTGTGAATTCATTGATTTATCTATTATAGTTTATTAAAAGGCGAAAAATAGTTGAAATCGATTTAGAATTACACAAAAAGATGTTTTTATTTCTGCGCCAATTTTAGTGTCCTTAAAAGTCCTCTTTTTTTTTAAATTTTAGCCCCTAAACGTGTACCCTATTTTGAAAATTTTCCCTATTTTTTTCGTCGCAGGAAATCAATTATATTTTCAATAATTTTTAAGTAATGCAAAAGAATTCAATTATCTTGATAAAAAACAAAATTCTCCCCAATTATTAAAAGGATTTTTAATAAAATTCTTTTCCAAAATTCAATTATATTTTGATAAATATTAAAATTCTTCTCAAGAATTCAATTATTGTCAAAAATTAATTAATTACATTCTTGGCAAAATTTAATAATTATTTAAAATTTAATAAAATACTTTGCACGAATTCAATTATTTTTATAAATTTTAATGAATATCTCGTCGAGAATTCAATTATTTTTATTAATTAGCAAAATTTTTCACCAAAAATTCAATTATTTTCAAAACATTTAAATAAAATTCTTTTGCAAAATTTGAATTATTTTCAAAAGTTTTTGGGCAATTCGATATTTTTAAATATTTACTATTTACATCAAATTTATCAACAAATTTAATTATAGAAAAAACTTGTTGATACAATTCTACGAAAAGATTCAATTATTTTCATCGAAGAATTTCAAATATCTACATTAATTTTTAATACAATTTTAAATAAATTCCTTGAAAAATACAATTATTATTGAAAATTTTATTAAAACTTGTGGAAAGAATTCTATTTTAAGAAACATTCAATTATTCAATAAAACAATAAAATTCGTTGCAATATTTCAAATATTTTCATAAATAACATTTTTAATTCGTCGCAGAAAATCAATTATTTTCAAAAATTTTTAATTAATTTTGCAAAAGAATTCAATTGGCTTGATAAATAACAAAATTCTTCCCATAAAATCAATTACTCTAAGAAATTTTAATAAAATTCTTAGCAAAATGTCAATTATTAAAACAAAATTTAATAAAATTCTTCGCATGAATTGAATTGTTTTCAAAAATTATTATTTAAATTCTTCTCAGGAATTCAATTATTTTTAAAAAATTTAATAAAATTCTTCAAAAAGTTTTTAATCATTTCCAAAAATTGTTAAAAAATTCTTTAATATAATAAATTTTATTAAAATTTTAATTAAATTCTTTAAAAGAAATTAAATATTTTCAAAAGTTAATAAAATTTTTTCGTAAAAATTAAATTTTCAGAAACTTTCAAAATTATTGAATAAATAATTTATATTTGTATTTAAATAATTAAATTCCACTAGAATTTTATTTAATTGATTTAAAAATGAATTCTGGTTAAAATTTTACAAAATAATTGAATATTAAGATTTTAAAAAATTTAATATTATATTATTCAATTATTTCAAAAGTTTTAACGCAATTATCTTGATAAATAACAAAATTCTTCAAAGAAATTCAAATATTTTTAGGAATTTGAATAAAAATTTTTGCAAAATTCAATTATTTTCATAAATAACAATATTCATCACAAGAATTCAATTATTTTCAAAAGTAACAAAATTCTTCGAAGAAATTCAATTATTCTTAAAAATCTTAACGAATATCTCGTCAATAATTCAATTGTCTTTACAAATAGCATAATCTTTCGCCAAAAATTCAATTATTTTGAAAAATTTAAATAAAATTCTTTGCAAAATTTCAATTAGTTTCAATAATTTTTCGCAGTTCAATAATTTTCAATATTTAACATTTTTATAAAAATGATTAAAAAATTTAATTATTGAAAAATATTTTTGATACAATTCTACAAAAACATTCAATTATTTTCATAAATAATAAAGTAAAGAAAAAAAAATTTAATTATCTTCATAAACAACAAAATTCTTCTCAAAAAATCAATTATTTTAAGGATAAGTTTAATAAAATTCTTTTTCAAAATTCAATTATTTTGATAAATAATGAAATTCATCACGAGAATTCAATTCTTTTGAAAAGTAATAAAATATTTTGCAGAAATTAAATTATTATCAAAATTTTTGAAAAATTCTCGTCAAGAAATAAGTTATTTTTATAAATAAGGTTCCCAAATTCTTCTCAAGAAGTCAATTATTTTCAAAAGTTTTAATATATTTCATGTCAACATTTTCAATTATTTTAGGCATACTTAATTTAATAAAATTCTTCGCATATGAATTGAATTGTTTTCAAAAATTAATATTTAAATTCTTCTCAGGAATTCAATCATTTTTAATAACTTTAATAAAATTCTTCAAAAGTTTTCAATGATTTTTAAAAATTTGTGATAAAATTCTTTAATTCAATAAATTTCTGTAAAATAATTGTTAAATTCCTTAAAAGAAATTAGTTATTTTGAAAAGTTGTTTATAAAATTCTTCATAAAAATTCAATTTTAAGAAACATTCAACTATTCAATAAACTATTTAGTTTTTTATTTAAATAATTGAATTCTCGTAGAATTCAAATTATTATTTTTCTTACTTTTAAGTAACAATTCTGTAGAATTAATTTTTTTGAAAATGTTTAATTGAATAATAATTGATGTAATTGATTAAAAGTAGAATTTTAGTGAAAAATTCTAGAAAATGTTAATTGAATTGAAATGATACAAATAATTTTGAAGAAATTACAGTAACAATATTCTTATAATAATAAACCATTGATTTTGTCAGTCGGTCATCTTTAATTATTATAAAACATAAAGAAATGGATTACTCCGAGTGATACATTTCTCTATGTTTTATAATAATATTCTTATGATTTGTTCAATTTGAAAATGTTTGAATTTGAAATTTTTGAAAATCTTAATTCCAATGGAAAAAAATGATTAAATTTCTATTTTAAATAAAACTATTGATTTTTTCGAATAATTTTACTTTTGAAGAAATTTGTAAATAAATTTAAGAAAATTTTTTTTTTTGAGTATCTAATAATTTTTAGAGTGAATCAAAATATTCTTTAGGGTCGCAGGGAATAAGTCAAAGTTGTGTTTTTGGAAATCAGGGAAAAGTCAGGGAAAAATAAAATTAAATTTTTGTGGCAACCCTGTATAAATAAATTATATTTTTATCTTTATTTAACCAATTTTTATGGTCCCCTAAAAGTCCCCTATTTCCCCTAAAATACTTTTTAGTTTTTAGGGGCACTGTGAAGCCTGCTAGAGTAAAATTTAACGAAATTGATAAATAAACTGAACACTAATTCTGAGAATTGCCACACGTATTGTAATTACTACAAAAATAATTGTTAACAAGTAGAATGTGCTTAATAGTCTTTAATAGTGCTTTAATAGTCTCTACTTAATAATGTCTTTAATTTCTTTTAATATCTCTTTGAAACTTGGCAAACTTCAGCTTCATAAGGAAATAATAATATAACTAACTATTCTCGTATTGTTAGTTTGAAGGAAACAAATGTTTTTCCTCGCGTGTCATTTCCTTTGAAATTGAATCCACCTTTTCTCACAAGGAGTTTAAATCACTTTGAAAAACCACTGAGACATATATAGTGCTTTGACTTGTGATCGAAGAAACGAGAATCTCGCAATAAATCTTGCCTAACTGAAAGCTCACTTATCTCATGAAAGATCTTTTACACTTTAAAATCCCTAAAAATTACCAGGAGTTTCCAGGTGCCTTTTTTTGTGATAATCGATCACTGTCTACCTTCTCTCTCTCTCTATCTCTGTCTCTATATCACTCGGCTTAGAATCAAGCAATAGCAATAATAGCAATCGTTAATTTCCGTCGCGTCACGTCGCAATTGCTGAATTATTCATAGCACATATATATACACTTCAATTGCAGGTGGTGGGTAAATGGGTTAGTCTTAAATCCCTCGACATCCGAACAGAGGAACTTGTTTGGGCACGTGGAGCAAAAGACATACCAATATCAGCTTGCTCATTACCCTGTGAACCGGGCATGATTAAGAAGCAACAGGGTGACACTTGTTGCTGGGTATGCGACCAATGTGAAGAGTATGAATACGTTTTTGATGAGATGACGTGTAAGGATTGTGGTCCAGGCAGATGGCCTCATCCTGACAAGAAGGGTTGCTATCAACTGCCCATAAAGCATATCAGGTGGACGAGTGCGTTCGCTATAGTGCCTGCGGTGATTTCAAGTTTGGGTATCATAACCACTCTTGCAGTGGCTGGTTTGCTCTTTAAGCATCGTGACACGCCAGTGGTGAGGGCATCCGGACGAGAATTGACCCTCATCCTCTTAGCTGGAGTCCTGGTTTGTTATCTCAATACATTTCTCCTTTTGGCAACCCCAACCACAGCCACATGCATCCTTCAGAGGTTTGGCGTTGGGGTCAGCTTCAGTGCTGTTTATGGTGCTCTACTAACCAAGACTAATAGGATTGCAAGGATTTTCGATTCGGCAACCAGGTCGGCTGTCAGATTAAGGTACATCAGTCCCACGTCTCAAGTGTGCATCGCCGCTGCTCTCATTGCATTTCAGGTTAGTAATTCATATTCATTTTTCTCACTGTTAAAATGTAAATTCAAAATTTTTATCGCAAAAATAAATCCCTACATAGGGCAATAATGCTGGATGGATTAATTCTCAATATACACGAATCGTTTTTTCCAGTCTGGATTTCCTATTATTGTCATTGTTATGGTTATTTGTGTTCCTGGTTATATGGGTTGAGGATTAAATAGCTCAACTGGTGGTTATATTAGCATGCAAATGTGATAATCTTTTTTTCCCGTATTATGATTATACAATACGATTTTAACTTTCATAGTTCTCTCTTGTTTCATTTCGTTGATTAATAGTCTCTTTTTTATATCAGTTGATTTATTAGCGACTATTCTTTTCTTTGTAATCTCTCACTTTTTTTTCTATTATGATTTTCGAAATTGTACAACCATTGTAAGTGTATTGATTTATGTTTTCTGTGGGAACTGTGACTTTCAGGTGGTGTTGACTTTGGTCTGGATGATCGTGGAACCCCCGGGTACTCGTTACTGGTATCCAGATAGGAAGGAGGTGATCCTCAAATGTAATATTCAAGACATGAGTTTCCTCTTTTCTCAACTTTATAACGCAACCTTGATCCTTGTATCCACAATATACGCCGTAAAAACGAGAAAAATTCCCGAGAACTTCAACGAAAGCAAGTTTATCGGATTCACAATGTATACAACATGTATAATTTGGTTGGCTTTTGTGCCGATATACTTTGGTACTGGGAATGCCCACGAGACACAAATCACGACACTTTGTGTGGCTATAAGCCTCAGTGCTTCAGTGACTTTAGTCTGCCTCTATTCTCCCAAAGTTTACATAATCATCTTTCAGCCAGATAAGAACATTAGAGGAAAAGTTACCATGGGTGGTAGTACGTTCAAGAAACAATGCAGCAGCGCTGGAACATCCTCCGTATCAAAATGTGAGTCTTATTCTTTTATCTTTTAAAACTATTATTGGAAATACGATTAATAACCCTTGATATAGTGTGTTTAATTAAAAAGAATCTTTTTATTCATCGCGAAAACTAAAAATCGTTTATTACCTCCAATTTTATGTTTGATATTAAAATTTAAACGTTGCATAAATTTTACCGCGCATAGTTACTTTTATCTCACGTGTAATGTACTTTATATTATCCATTTCCCTCGACATATGTAATTTCTAAACATAAATGGCGTTTGAAAAAAAAACCAATTTCATTAACTATCCTCCGCAGAGAAATTCAATTTCATTATAGTAATAAAACAAATTTCTTCTTTCATTATTAATATGAAATTTCCTTTAGGTTCGTTAAGATAATAGAAAATCATTCTACTAAAAGAATCCTCATTCTTTATAATCAATTTTTCCTCAGCGTAGGGAGTTGGTTCGATAATCCAATGCTGGGCAAGTCGTGTCAGCTACTAATTAATCCGGTGAGCAACGTGCATAAAGTAATGTCAGAGTTTTTAAAAGGGTTGCTAAAAAGTCTTCAGAGACAAAGACCTTTTTCTTTTTTTTTATCCATCCTCTGTTAATTTTCAGCCTCTTATTAATAGCGCTAAATTAAGATTCTCTTAATTATGACAGTAATTACTAACCGAAAATCTAATTAAACATAATTATGGCGTGTCAAGTCCGAATTTGAAAACTTTAGGATCTATAAAAACAATTATCATCATAAGTTCAGGTGATGGCAATTTTCAGATTCAAATATATACCTTCTACGATTAATTACTCTCTCATCATCTTTCTTCTTTCCTGATGCTTAAAATATTAGAAAACGGGAAAACCATTGAATAAATTTTGTTATTTCCCCAGTAACTTTAAAGCCAATTTCTCGTTCACTGTTGAAAGCTTCCACAGTTTTAAATTAAAATCCAAGAATCAAATCGGCTTGAGTCTCGAAAATCGAATAGAGCAACTCGTTGATGAGAATTTATTAAAAAGTTCAAAAGTGACTTTTAATTTAAAGTGATTATTTGCAAATTAGATTTTAATTATTTTACAGAGACAGATACTGATGCTGGTTTGATGATTGGATAAAAGAAAAGAGATACTTTTAATTATAAAAATAGAACCTATACGTGTTCTAAAAAAATACCCTATTTTTTTTTTTTTTTTTTTTTTGTCGACATCAGAATTTTTCGAAAAAAATCTTTAATAATCTTACGTATATTTTTAAATTTAAAAATAATATAATTTAAATTGAAAAGAGTTCCTTTATTCTTTGCTTACTTTTAATATTCGACGCTTAATTAAGTAATTTGCATGAAAACTGAATAATAAATTTTGATTCAAGATATCCCTCAGAAATCCGCATATTAAATTAAAATAAAATATTGGCCATTCCACTTCTACTCAAAAAGAATTTATAATAAAAATTAGCCCTACTTGCAAAAGCAATAAAAAAAAATAAGTCTAGCTTTTTATAAAAGCATAAAGCAAAGATAAAGTGATCATTTTTAATATTACAAATTTACATGAAAAATTGAAATGAATCGATAATTCGCTATGAATGTTTTATAATTGAACTGAATTTGATAAATTTTAAGTACATTTTTATCTGATTAATTTTCTTTTTTCATTTAAACATTTCATTTGAAGTAGGTAATATTCTAAAATATCAAATTTTGCTTTACTATAATTATATTTAATTGATATAATAAAGGCGTAGAGAGGAAAATTTATGATGAAAAATTTTGATATAATTATCTATTATATGTATATATATATAATGTAAAAAAAGAGTGTAAATTTATCTGGAGAAAATGGGTCAAAAAAATTAGTAAAACGAGATAATCTAACAAATCCCCTTTGTAATACAGTAACTGCAAATTACCATCCAACTCACAATTACGTTAAAGGTCAATTTTCCAAATTGTTATTATCCAAATATAGTTAGCGCAGATTTGAGTTTAAAAACCTGTAGATTTATTTGGAAAATAAAACAGAATAAAGATAAAATAAAAAATCCTGGAAAATTACTATAAAAAAGAGAAGAAGAATTGCTTTTTCTACTTGAAAATTATTGCCTGGCAGAAGTACTGTACTTTTTTCTCTTAAATTTTAAGGTCTTACGAAGAAAACTTTACCTACTTTGAAATTAATCTTTTTCTACTTTTGTTGCCTCAAAATACTTCTCATTAATTTAGTAAATGTTTACTACATATTGAATTAGTGACTCAATTTTTGCTTTTTAATTAGTAAAATTTACTAATAATAAATAGTAATTACTATAATTAACTATAATAATCATTGTATATTAATTAACTATATTAATCTCCGTATTCTTTTATTCATTCTGTCAAATTCTATTTCTTAATTTCAATTGTTTTAATAAAATTCAAAGTTTTTTAAAAATAAAGGAAAAAAATATTTATAAATTATATTTGTTAATACAAAATTTTAATTTTTTAATTTTTTAACAACGAAAAACTAAAAATTTTTGAATTTTTATATAGACAATAAAGGAAAAAATTTTATTGAAAAAAATGTTCTGTGAAATTCAATTATTACAAATATATTATTAATTGTAAAATTATTCGAAAACAATAATTTCCTTTTTAAATCATTTAAATATTTAATTATTATTATTATTTTTACATAGGAAATATGATTTTAAAAAATTTCATATTCAAATCTTTTTAAAATTAATAAACTTTAAAAATATTGTTATAAAACATAAAGATAACGATCACTCCGAGTCTTCGACTCGGAATAATCGTTATCTTTATGTTTTATAACAATTCAAGAGGATCGAGTGTTAAAATCATTATTTTATATTATAAGAATATTATTACTGTAACTTCTTAAAAATTAATTTTTTTTCTATTATCTGAAATTTAAACTAAAATTAATATTCAAATCAATTTTTATTAGAAAAATTCTACGAGAATTCAATTATTTAAATAAAAAAGTAAATTATTTATTGAATAATTGAATTTTTCTTAAAATTTAATTCTTATAAAGAATTCTATCAACAAATTCTTCAAATAATTAAATTCCTACGACGAATTTTAATAAATTTTTTAAAAATAATTAGATTTGTCGAGAAATTCGATTAAAATTGTATTAAAAATAATTGAAATTCAGCATTGAGTTTTATTATTTATAAAAATAATTGAATTCCTATAAAAAGAATTTTATTATGAGTTACGAAAATAATTGAATTCCTGTAAAAATTTTATTATTTATGAAAATAGAAAAATTTAATTATTGCGAAGAAAATTATAAAAAGTTTGTAAAAAATTTGTAAAAAATTGAATTTTATTAAAATTTTTTTACATAATTTAATTTCGGAGAAGAATTTAATTACTTCTAAACATAATTGAAATTTTGATGAGAATTTTAATGAAATTTTTAAGAATAATTAGATTTTTCGAGAAATTCGATTAAAATTGTATTAAAAATAATTGAAATTCTACGATGAATTTCATTATTTATAAAAATAATTGAATTCCTGTAAAAATGTTATTATTCATGAAAATAATTGAATTATTGCGAAGAAATTTATAAAAAATTTGTAAATAATTGAATTCCTGTGAAATTTCTATTATTTATGAAAATAATTAAATTTATTTTAAATAATTGAAATCTTTTAGAAAATTTTATTAAAATAGTAGATATTGAAAATCATTGAATTGTAGAAAATTTTTGAAAATAGTCCAAATTTTGCCAATTTTTAAAATTAAACCTTTTCTAAATTCAATTATTTCTAAAAATTTATCCTAAAATGCTCTTAATATTCAATTATTATGTTAAATTTTAACTAAAATTCATTTTTAACTCAATTTTTATTATAAAATTCTACTAGAATTCAATTATTTAAATAGAAAAATAAATAATTTATTAATCGTAAAGAATTTTATCAAATAAATTTTTAAATAAGTGAATTCTCTCAACGAATTTTAACAAAATTTAAAAAAATAATTACATTTTTCAATTTCTGCAATAATTTGTAATGCAAAAAAAATAATTTTTTGAATAATTGAATGTTTCTTAAAATTTAATTTTTACAAAAAATTTTATTAACAAATTTTTAAATAATTGAATTCTTTTGTCAAATTTTAATAATTTTTTTAGAATAGTTACATTTTTTAAGGAATTCAATTAAAATTGTATTAAAAATAATTGAAATTGTGCGATAAGTTTTAATATTTCCGAAAATAACTGAATAATTGCAAAGAAATTTATAAAAAAAATTTTGTAAATAATTGAATTCCTGTAAAACTTTTTTTATTTTATGAAAATAATTAAAGGTTTGCGTATAGAATTTTTTTTAAATTTTGTTAATATAATTGAATTTTTTTGGAAAATTTTATTAAAATACTAGATATTAAAAATTATTTAAATGAGGAAAAATTTTGAAAATAATTGAAATTTTGACAAGAATTTTATTAAAAGTTTTGAAAATAATTGAATTTTGAAGAATTTTTATATTTATAAAGATAATAATTGGAATTTTGTCGAGATTTTCTTGTAAATTTTGAACATAATTGAATTTTGGGATGAGAATATTACTTTTGAAAATAATTGAATTTCTGCAATAATTTGTAACTTCTTCAAAATACAATTTTCTTTAGTGTTTTTGACTAAAATTCTTTTATAAATCCATTATTTTTAATAATTAATTAAATATATTTTGACAAAATTAACTAATGTTAAAATTCATTTAACATTGAAATTTTATAAAATTTCAAATTGAAACCGTTTGAAGTTCATTTATTTATAAAAATTGTATACGTAACTCTTAAAATTGAATTAATTTTGAAATATTTAAGTAAAATTATTCATTTAAATAATTTATTTATTTTATGATAGTTGTTCAAGATTTAAGTTATTTAAAAATAAATGTCAGAAATTCAAAAAATTGAAGGTTTTGTTAGAATTCGTGGTAATTTTATAATTTATAGTTTATGAGTCAAAAAAAAAGTCACAAAAATTCAGAATTTTCTTATATGAATTCTAAAAATTAAATTTTTTTCAGTATACACTTTTAATAAAAATTCCTGATTTTTCCCTGAATTCCCTATGTCAGAATATATTAATATAATTTTTATTATTAAAACTATATATTCCAAGTCATATTTTATTTTTATAAAAAAATATTTGAATTAAAAATTTTTACGTTCTATCATTTTTAAAATATTGCTAATTTTATTTTAAAAAAGTGAGTGAGAAGTCAGCCGCGCGCGTTAAACTGCGAATTGTTTCTATAGAAATAATAATAAATCAAAATAAGTGATAAAAGTATTTAATAAATTTCAAAAAAGAAACAATAATGTCTACTATATTCACGTTTCATATGCGAGAGAGTTAAAATGTTAAAAAGCTTCAACGTCTACTTTTTTTCTTCATCGTGGAATAAATTTTTATGTTTCAGATACGGGTTGCGAGATGATAAAAGAAAATATCCCTTTACAGACTGCGCTAACTGCTGCAGTGCAAACATCTGTGGGTGTGACTGAAATCTCATTATCATCCAACTCCTCCAACAAATTACTTAATAAAGAACAAATAGCTCAACTTTAAAACCTCGTGATAATTATATCAAATATTGAGACTTGATATTCCAAAGGAAAAAAAAAAAAGAAAAAAAAGAAAATAGGTGCAGTTCGATATTTATCTCATTATTGAGATATGAAAGAAAATTTATAAGATTTGCCAAAACAGTATTTCGTCAAGATCTATAATATATATATAAAATGTATAGTGCGCGTTTAAGTGCAAGAAATGAAAACTCTACGACAAATAATGATAATTATATTATAGTTAAGAAAAAAAAAGGCTACTGAACTATAATCGAACGTGATTTTTGGTAGCATTATATATGAAATATTATAGAGACTATAATATACCATATGAAGTCTCTGAGTGTGTGCGGTGTCGTATAAAATAGTTATCAATTACATTCGTCGGGAAATCGGCTCTAAGATCTCAAATTTATAGATATATTGATTCCTTTTCTTTTAACGTTCTTGCGGTAAAGAATGAAAAGAAATGAAAAAGTATTTTGGCCTAACACTGTTAATTTTTAATTTCAAAAGTATCAAATAGCAACGGATTGATACAAAAACTGTGGAACAAATAAATGGATCAAAAATTTGATCCACTTTAGTAACAATTTGACACTTTCGAGAAAACTGAATTTATTATTTTTAATTTTGCAATGAAAAATTATGACATAACAAATTTTTAATGCGCTTTCGAGAAAGGTATACCGAATCGTTTATGCGTTTCTATTTTATTAGATTTTTCTTAATTAAATGTTTCTTTTTGTTGATGTAAATTTGAAACCATTTTTTATGGAATATTACGAACATAACTCACCGAATTTGAATCAGTTAAAAATCATAGTTTTAACTGACAATCAGCGACTGACTTGGGAGCGTCACATTTAGTTATTTCAATAAATAAAAAATTTGCCAAAACCTTGCAAACTTGTCAAAATTTATATATAAAAAAAGAAAAAATGTGATTATAAAAAAAAAAAATTTTATAAGGTAAAAATTGATTCATACATTTAAAAAATATATTTCTACTGCGAAAGTAACAAGTACCGAATAAATTCGCGAATAGTTTGAAAAGAGTATATGTACACATTCATTCAAAGTTGAAACTTGAAACAGTTTTGAGGCAAAAAAAAAAAAAAAAAAAAAAGAAAATAATCTCTCTTATGAGTTTTATGACTTTTAGCGCAACTTTATAAGATGTTTCGGAACCGGAACAGATTATATTATGCGAGAACGTCAATTTAACTTTTGGAAGTAAATTATTCGGTAATTATTAATAAAACTTATTTCCATATGTGTCAAATTTCTTTTGTCTTGCAGGAATATAAATATATTTTATTCGCTAAAAATTTCATCTATTTTTGCATCAAAATATGGATGATTCTTCACTCAGTGGTCACTTTTGATTGTTTCCTATTTCAGAATTTTTAAAAATTATTTTCAAATCTGCTTCAAACTTTTGCATAACTTTTCTTCACTGTTAATATAATTGAAAAAAATGTTTTTTTAAAACAAAAGTTATGATTTGGAAAAGGTTTAAAAATCCTCTTTTCTTGAAATAAGTTTTTTTTACATAAGTAAAAATATTTTTGCACTAAAAATATTTTTTTAAATACTTTCCCCATTATTTCGGAATCGGAGTTTACATTCTCATGGATTTTTGTTCTTTTATTCAAATTTTTAGAGCGACTTTACTTATACTATTTATATTATCAAGTTAACAAGTTGTATTTGTGTTAAATTTGCATAGAAAAATAGCATTCTTAGATTTAAAACTACAAAAATTACTAGTACTTTTCAGCGTAAAAAATACCTACATTGACGTTCGAGGAACGTATCTTAGTTTCATATCTGCCAAATTAACATTTTTAAAACATTTGATGTTCTAAAAACGTTTCTTGAACATTAAACTTTTTTAAAATGTTAATTTGTCAGACATCACATGGGACGTTTTAGGAACATTCCTTGAAAGTAAATGTTTTTTTTTACCACTAGTTTATTAATGGACAAAACTTGACTTTTCTGAAGTTATTATTTAACCTCTAAACAAAAAATTAAAAATTCTTTATATACCTAAGACTAAAAGTTTAAGCTCAAATAACAAATTATTTTCAAGCTTTATTAAAAAGATTTAAATAGGAAATTCACAAAAAAAAAAAATAAAAAGAAAAGTTGCCAGGGTCAACAGTTACCACCTCGTGAATAATCATCCATATATTTAATTACTATTGACTGTTTTTTTATTCAAAATATCGATTATAAATAAAAAAAAAATTTAATATTGTTGAGTATTGAAAATAAAAAATTTATTATATGATTTTAAAAAAAAAATTGTTATATATTTGAAAGAATTATTTCTTTTTTTTTACAACTTGTATATTGTATATTATATGAATCTATACGACCCTGCAGAAAAAATTCAAATAACTCATGATATTTCTAGGGCGGGAATCATAAGATCTCGTAAAAGTTAATATTTTGTTCAGTACGTGACTAAAGGTAATGGCTTATTATTTTTTCAGTGCCACTTTAGATTCTATGTGTTCAAGGGAAACTCGCACACAAATAAAATACTGTAATAAGTGTCACAATATTTTATTTAAATTTCGGAAGAATTGGGGGACATAAAGAATATTTGTATAGCTTTATGAAGATTCATTATTTTAGGTAAAATAAAATTGCGGTCATTCATTCAAATTTCTATAATATGTGTACATACAAATGAAGAAAAATGGGTTATATGCTCTGGGTAATATGAATTTATAGCAAATACAATCGTTTTGCAATAGTAACTAAAAATCGCTCAAACCGTTCAAACCTTTTATAAATCCTTTAAACCGTTCAAATCCTTTAAATCCTTTAAATCTTCAAACCGTTTAAATCGTTTAAACTGTTCAAACCGTTTAAATCCTTTAAATCGTTTAAACCGTTTAAATCTTCAAACCGTTCAAACCTTTTAAATCCTTTAAACCGTTTAATCCGTTTAAATCGTTTAAATTAAGAGAAACTATATTTTTGAATTTTTAGGTATGAAAATGGCACTAACTTCACTTCCTTATTCGAAGGAATAAAAAAAAATGTCCAAGGCACTTGACCTAAAACCTTGAGCAATTGTTTGATTCTTGTCGTTCACGCAAAAAATTGTTTTCGTCGCTTAAATATTCAAGGACCCATGTACAAATGCGAGCATTACTAAAAGTTTATAATCCATTTTTCTCCTCTTAAAAATTAAAAAAAAAAAAAATATTAAAGAATGTACCGTTAAAAAGATGCACGACATATCTAATCAGATAACAATGTCTGAATAATTTATTTTTCGTCAGTATTTAAGAAAAAAAAAGAAGAAATTGCGAAAATTTATCTTCTGTAATTAAATTTTATTTCTACAATGAACTTGGCTGTTTTTCTATTGATTTATCGATTCACAATAAATAAAAATTAGTGCGCAATAAGTATTTATGTTTAAGAAATATTTGTAAAAATTAAAAAAAAAAAGAAAAAGAAAAAGGTTTATTAGAGATGAAAAACGTGACACCTTAGAGCCGAGAATTTAATATTCAAAATACCGAGAGCATAAATTCATCTTTGTGAAACTATATTTATCATAAGTCATTGTCACGAGTCATCATACATTATTATTATTATTATTATTGTTATTGTTAAATAATACATTGATATATTAAAAATGTATTGTGTGCCATGAAGTTCTATTTTTCTGGATTCCTCGTGATCGTTTCCCTTAGTCTTTATATAAGCTTCTTTTCAACTTTTATGATAGAAAGCCTTCGAGTCAATTTTCTTGTACAAAAAAAGAATTAAGCTTCTGAGAATCGCACGAGGAATTCATGAAAAAGAAGAAGAAGAAGAAGAAAGAGAACTAAGAAGAAAAAAAAAATGGGAAATAAAGGAATGTTTAAGAGAAAAAAAGCTTTCGATTCTTTTCCTTGAAGCTTTGATAAAAGAAAACACCACACCACATCCACTAAATCAAAGCAATAACTAAAGTTTTAATGTTCGTTATCGTGAATAATTAATATTACTTTTTTTTTAAAAATATTTTCGCAATTTTTTCGAAAAAAGTAAACATCAATTAATTGTTTTCTGATGATATGATTTTCAAGTTGGAAATTGAAGTTTAAATTATTGGATTACTGCATTATTGCGTTATATACCGACTTTTCTGTAAATACATTGCTTGTTTACTCGAAATATTGATTCGGAAAATTAAAAAAGAATCAGCGTTGATAAATATAACTTAGTTATGTCAGAATTTTTTAAGAAGAAAAACACTAAATTGGTAAAACTTATTTTTCAATTATATTTTATTTTTGAAACAATTCTAGAACTTTATTTTTAAAATTAAGAATATTTTATTTTTGTTATGATAATAACAGGGCTCGAACTAGGTCCGTAAATTTGCTTCCAGTTCGTAAAAATCAGTTTTTTTTTAGAAAAGGTCCGTAAAGTCCGTAATTTGATTGAGATAAAACAAAAATTCCGTAAATTGTACTATATTATTTGGAGAATTTAAAAAAAACATTACAAATAATTGCAAAATTCAATTATTTTCAAAAGTAATAAAATTCATTGCAAATATTCAATTATGTTCAACATTTTTTAAAAATTCTCATCAAAATTTCAATTATCTTTAGAAATAAATTAAATTCTTCTCCGAAATTAAATTATTTTCAAAAATTTTTTTTTAAATCCTTGGCAAAATTACAATTATTTTCAAAAATTTAAATAAAATTCTTGGCAAAATTTCAATTATTTACAAAAATTTAAATAAAATTCTTGACAAACTTTCAATTATTTTCAAAAATTTTCCTCAATATTCAATAATTTTTAATATCTTCTATTTTAATAAAATTTCCCAAAAACATTCAATTATTTAAATAAAATTTAATAAAATTCTATACGCAAACTTTTAATTATTTTCATAATAATAAAAAAAGTTTCACAGGAATTCAATTATTTACAAAATTTTTTTATAAATTTCTTTGCAATTATTCAATTATTTTCGTAAATAATAAAATTCTTTTTAGAAATTCAATTATTTTCATAAACAAATAAAACTCGAATTGCAGAATTTCAATTATTTTTATTATTACAATTTTAATCGAATTTCTCGAAAAATCTAAAATTATGCTTAAAAATTTTATTAAAACTTGTCGAAAGAATTTAATTATTTTAAAATTTGTTGATAAAATTCTTTACGAAAATTCAATATTAAGAAACATTTAACTATTCAATTAATAAATTATTTATTTTTCTATTTAAATAATTCAATTCTCGTGAAATTTTCTAATAAAAATGAATTTCAGTTAAAAATTTTAGATAATAATTGAATTTTGAAAAGGTTTCAAATTAAAATTTAAGAGAAAATTGTATTTTTAATGAACTTAATTAGAAATTTTTGAAAAATTAGTTTTTTGAAAAATTTTTAATTCAAATTCTTTTAAAATTTGTCAAATTCTTAAATATATATTTAATTATTAAAAATAATTGTTTTAGAGACAAATTTTAAAAGAAAATTCTAAAAAAATAATTGAATTTTAGAGACGTTTCAAATAATAGCAATTTTTAGAAATAATTGAATTTCGAAAGAGTTTCAAATTAAAATCCAAATTTTTAATAAACTATCAATTAACAATTCTATCGAACTAATTTTTTTGAAAAATTTTAATTACAATTCTTTTAAAATTAGTTGAATTTTTTTAATATATATATTATTAATTAGTTTGTTATTAAAAATAATTGATTTTGTGAAGAATTTTTGTTAAATACTCTTAAAAAAATAATTGAATTTCAAAAGGTTTCTATTTGAAATTTTAGAAAATTGGAATTTATTTGACTTAATTTATTATTAAAAATTCTCATACACTTAGTTTTACGAAAAATTTTAATTTAAATTCTTTTGAAATTAGTAGCAGTTTTTAATATATTTTTAATTATTAAAAGCAATTGATTTAGAGGAATATTATTAAAAATTTTTGACTTGGAATAGAATTTTAGTTAAAAACATGAAAAAAAATTTAATTTTGGAAAAATTACAAGTTATTGCAGAAATTCAATTATTTTCAAGGGCAATAATATTCTTCGCAAAAATTATAAATTAAATATTATTCAATTATGTTCAATAATTTTTAAAAATTCTCATCAAAATTTCAAATATCTTTAGAAATAATTAAATTATTCTTCTCCGAAATTCAATTAATTTCAAAAATTTTAATTAAAATTTTTGACAAAATTTCAATTATTTTCAAAAATTTTCCTCAATTCAGTATAATTTTTAATAGCTACTATTTTAATATAAAATTTTCCAAAAAAATTCAATTATTTAAAAATAATTTAATAAAATTTTACGCAAACCTTTAATTATTTTCATAAAATAATAATTTCACAGGAATTCAATTATTTACAAATTTTTTTAAAAATTTCTTTGCAATCATTCACTTATTTTCAAGAATAATAAAATTTTTACAAAGATTCAATTATTTTCGTAATTAATAAAAATTCTTTTTAGAAATTCAATTATTTTCATAAACAAATAAAACTCGAATTTTAGAATTTCAATTATTTTTATTACAATTTTAATCGAATTCCTCGAAAAATGTAATTTGTATTCTTAAAAATTTTATTAAAATTCGTCGAAAGAATTCAATTATTTAAAAATTTGTTTACAAAATTTTTAATGGGAATTCAATATTAAGAAACATTCAATTATTAAATAAATTATTTATTTGCATTTTATTTGTATTTAAATAATTGAATTCTTGTAGAACTTTCTAATAAAAATTTTGATTTCCGAATGAATTTCAGTTCAACTTTTAGATAATAGAATATTAAAATCAATATAGCGTGAATTTTTAGAAATATTTGAATTTTGAAATTAAATTTTTTGAAAAAGTTTAATTGAATTTTTTATTATTTTAAGTTTTTATTTTCTAATATATATTTAATTAGAGAATTAACGAATAATTGAAATTTCGTAAAATTGAATATTGTAAAGAAATGGATTTGTAAATTGTCAAAGAACTTTTTCGAAAATTATTTAAAATAATCGATTTAAAGAAGAATTTTAGTTAAAAATTTCTTGTATATAATAATTGAATTGTAAATGATTTTTATCACTCGGTCATCTTCATGTTTTATAGAATTATGATAAAATTTAATTTATAGTTTCAAAAGTAAAATATTCTTTTATTGAACTCGGACTGGTTTTATTTTTGTCAGTAATTGGTCCGCAATTTTTCTTTTTTGGTCCGTAAAGACCGTATTTTTAAATACTTTCACTGTTTCGAGCCCTTTTAATAATAATAATAATAATAATATTATTATTGTTTCGGGAAAATATTTTTGAAAGTTTTCTCGAGACTAAAATCGATATAAGGAAACCAGTTTTATAAAGAAATGTAGATTTCGACTCTTTTTCAATATTCCATGTGGAACTTTCTTATATATGTGTGGTTACAGACTCGATTGCGTAATTTCGATTGAAACACGTCGTCGTTGTCTCTCTTTGAATAAACATTCTCGCTTAATAAGTATATCGATGTACCACGCGCGTGAAAAGGAAACAAATAAAAATTAAGTCTAACAGTTTTTTTTAGTTATTTATAAGTGAATTTGTGATAAATTCTTGTTTTTTCTGAAAGTGAAAATCACATTATGTTCAATATAATAATGCACTCTAGTGTCTATATTCTATAATCTTGGTACGGGCATTTAATCATCATTCATATTCTATAGATGATAAGAAATTCATCACCCAAATGGAGTTTGTATAATACTCGAGACCATTCGCTGTGTTCGTCACTAAAACCTACTCACATTGATTGATTATGGCAGTGAATTTTGTGAAATGAAACATTTAATAATATTCAAATAGGATTATTTTTCTAAAGAAACTTTTAACGCAATCGAAAAAAACAGAATAAAAATGTAAGTTTAATTTAATTTAATTCAAGTTTCATTTCATGTAAATTGAGAGCATTAATTTATGTACATATGTGACACGCACTCGGAAGAAAGGTACCTAGGAAGTAAACGAAGTATAAAGTACTTTAAAGGTTATGTTTGTGTTATTTTTATCTTAATTAAGAGTTTTTCTGATACACTTTTTAAAAATAAAATCAGTTTTTATCGAGAATATTTTGGATCTAATGAAAAATTAAACTGGTGATTTATATTGAGAGTTGATCCACTTTGTGTATTTTTATTTGAAAAATTTCAAACATAACCTAAAATTTGTTGCTTCTTAGCCACTTTTTATCGAAGCGCGTCACATAAATTCTATACAAGGTTGCCACAGGTCAGGAAAAGTCAGGAATTTTTATTAAAAGTAGAAATTAAATTATTAGAATTCAAAAGAAAATTCTCCTATTTAAAATTTTAATAATTAAAATTCTTCGGAAACTAGTCAAATTTTTTTTTAAAAAATATTTATTTAATTATTCAAAATAATAAATTAATAGTAGAATTTTTTTTAAAAACCCCCCCAAAAAAATTGAATTTTGGAAAAGTTACAAATGATTGCAAAAAAACAATTATTTAAAGTAATAAAATTCATCGCAAAAATCCAATTATGTTCAAATTTTTTTTTTAAATTTTCCTCAAAATTCCAATTATCTTTAATAAAAATTAAATTCATCTCCGAAATTCAATTATTTAAAAAAATTTTAATAAAATTCTTGTCAAGATTTCATAATTATTTTCATAATTTATAAAAATTTTTGCAGGAATTTAATTATTAGGTATAAAGAATTTAAAAAAAAATTCTTCACAGAAATTCAGTTATACTTTTGAAAATTTTTTTTAAAATTATTTATGAGAATTGAATTATTTTAATAATTAATAAAATTCTGCGCAGGAATTTAATTATTTTTATTGAATTTTAATAAAATACTTTGCAAAAATTTTATTACATTGAAAAATTCTGGAACAATAAATTCTTCTTCAAAATTCGATTATTTTCAAAAATTTTAATAAAATTCTTGTCAAGATTTCAATTATTTTCATAATTTATCAAATTTTTTGATGGAATTTAATTTTAAAGAATTAAAAAAAAAATTCTTATCGCAGAAATTCAATTATTTTGAAAAATTTTTATAAAATTATTTATAAAAACTGAATTATTTTAATAATTAATAAAATTCTACGCAGGAATTTTAATATTTTTATTCAATTTTAATAAAATACTTTGCAAAAATTTTATTATTTTGAAAAATTTTTTAATAAAAATTTTTGTAAGAAAGAAATTTAATTAAATACTACGATGAAAAAATGTATCTCTTTTTTTAAATAATAAAATTATTCGTAGAAATTAAATTATTTTTGAAAAATTCTGGCACAATTCTTCAAAATTCAATAATTTTCAAAAATTTTAATAAAATTCCTGACACGATTTCAATTATTTTCATAATTTAAAATATTTGTTGCAAGAATTTAATTATTTTAAAGAATTTTACCAAAATTCTTATCGTAGAAATTCAATTACTTTGGAAAATTTTTATAAAATTATTTATGAGAACTAAATTAATTTAATAATTAATATAAAATTCAACGCAGAAATTTAATTATTTTAATGAATTTTAAAAAAATACTTTGCCGAAATTTGATTATTTTGAAAAATTTCTTCTTCAAAATTTAATTATTTTCAAAAATTATAATAAAATTCTTGTCAAAATTTCAATTATCTTCATAATTTATAAAAATTTTTTGCAGGTATTTAACTATTTCAAAAAATTTAAAAAAAATGCTTAGCAAAAATTCAATTTAAAAAAAAATTTTATAAAATTATTTATGAGAACTGAATTATTTTAATAAATAATAAAATTCTGCGCAGAAATTTAATATTATTTTAATGAATTTTAATAAAATACTTTGCAAAAATTTTATTATTTTGAAAAATTTCAATAAAAATTTTTGTAAGAAAAAAATGTAATTAAATACTTTGATTAAAAAATGTATCTCTTTTCTAAATAATAAAATTCTTCGTAGAAATTAAATTATTTTAAAAAATTTTTGTACAATTATTTATAAGAATTTAATTATTTTCAAAAATAAAATTCTTGGCAAAATTTCAATTATTTTCAAAAAATTTCCTCAATTTAATGATTTTTCTTATCAACTATTTGAATAAAATTTTCAAAAAGAAAAACTCTACAGGAATTTAATTATTTACAACTTTTTTTTATAAATTTCTTTGCAATAATTCAATTTAGTTTCATAAGGAAATAAAATTTTTTACAGGGATTTAATTATTTTTATAAATAAACAAAATTCCTTTTGGGAATTCAATTATTTTACAAAAATAATAAAAATCATTGCAAAAATTCAATTACTTACAATTTTATTCGAATTCCTCGAAAAATGTGATTATTATTTTTAAAAATTGGATTAAAATTCGTCAAAAGAATTTAATTATTTAAATACCTATTTATAAAATTCTCTATGAGAAGTTAACTTTAAGAAACATTCAATTATTCAGTAAATTGAAAATTTATTTTCCTGGTAACCCTGTTCTAGCAAAAATCGAATTTATAAAGATTTTTTTCTATTTTTTTCCTAAAATGAATTCGTATATTTTAATTAGTAAAAGTATTTAAAACCTCAGCTTTCACGCATTAAAATCTGAATTTATTAAATTGCGTTTCTAGAATGCCTTTGCTGAAAATTAAAAATAAATCGTGAATTATTTTTAATTTAACTACTTTTCGTTTATATAACAACTGCGAATAATAATTTGTTCGAGCGTAAAATTAGAGGATTAAAATAAATTACTTTTTCCAGTAAAATAATGCAAACATTTTATATGTAAATCAAATGAAATGTTGTTTGTGTTTGAAATTAAAAAAATATATTACTTGTAGAACAAGGTTTTTATGCTGGTATGTATTTTATTTTTATACTTTTCTTTTTCCTCGCTACTGTTTTTATTCTCTCCTCTCTCACTCACTCAGTATAAACGTGTGTATATATATACAATACGAAACTAGAATGTTAGATATATGGACGATTTTTATACAGAAAATTTAATAAAATTTTTTGTTGATGACTGCCCGTGTACTCACATCTACGTACGTATTGGATGACAGTTATTGATTTGCAAGAGATCTGCATATTTCACGAAATGGGAAATTATTCATAAAATACGAATTTCACAAGCCTGCTAAGTGACATGACAAAGTTTTCTTGCAAGAACTCGTTACTCATCTAAATTTACGAGAGAAACTATAGTTTTGAGCCCTAATGGATATTTGCAAACTTTTTCAACAAGACAAAAAAAAAAAAAACTTTTGATTACTTTATTCGCATTGCCACTTCCTGTCGCAATGAAATTCAACCTATTATTCCATGTTAACGCATCTAGTCAAATTATTTCTTTCCATGAGCGATTTTTATTTTATACTGTATTGAAAATTCGACTTTATTTTAATTGATATTTTTCTATTAAAATCAGAAAAAATACTTTCTATCTCTGCGCGAAATTCAATAATACTTTTTGGCAAAAAATATTTTGTGATTTATAAATCGAGATTTGTAGAACAATGGCTTATTTCAGCAATAAAAAAATATAATATTTTACCAATATCCATAGATGCAATGTTATTTCTGGCTAGATCCTTGTCCCAAGAGGAATTGTTGTTTGTTGCTCTTCAAGCTTCACTATATATCTTCCGCACTATATACACTTCACTGTTCCAACACTATATGTCAAAAAAGGAAAAAAATTATTTCTACCGAAGGGAAATAATTCTTTATTGTTATTGTTTTACGTGACTTTCGTTCGAATGAAAATTAATGTAATAAAAAATAAATAAAAAGAAAACAATTAGAAAAAAATAGAATAGAAATAAAATTATTTTATTGACAAGTAAATTTTGAACACCATGTGAATAGTCACGTGATCATTAATCTTCCGATCGAAATTTTCGTCTATTTCATGAATTGAATTTAAACAATTAAAAAAGTCTAAAATACGATAAAGAATGGGTGGTGGTGATATTCAACTGTTAATGTTTGTTGGAACAATTATTAAAAAAGTTTGCCAATTGTTTAAAACTCCGAACAAAAATGGCGTCATATTTGCATAATATTTACACCTATCATTTATCCAAAGAATTAGAATTATTTCTATAAATATTGACGTATTCTTACACTCTATATCATATTTTAGACAAATATTGAATAATTTACTCAAATTTTACCTTTAGTCATTAGTATTTAACGTATTTAACTAAACCGGGCGCCGACTTTGCAAATTAGTCAACATAACCTACAAATAAATCACTTTTCAATGAAACACTTTTTGCAAACCGAAATCCACTATTTAGACACTATTATAATTAGAAAAGAAACATTAAATATTCCATTGAACCATTTTACTTGAAATAAATTGAAAGAATAAGTCTTTTATTAGACTACAAATGATAAAAATTTGAGAAATTCCCAAAACACGACTGGATTTAAAAGTATTTTCGAATCAACTGATTTTTACAGTGTTGCCAATGTGACAAAATAAAAATTTTCTATATACGTAATTTTTACCGCGGGGAATTTAAAATTAATTCAGAAGTTTAAAAGAAACAATTCGGTAAATAAAATTCTAATTCTTTAAATAAACATTAGTCAATCTTAGAATTATATTAAATGTCAGGTAAGATATAAAAAAGATTTAGAAAATTAAATAATTAAGTTCAATACGAATAGGGGGGGGGGGTTATTTTTATAAGGTTTTTTGACCCCCCTGCCCCCCTTTAAGATATTTTGCATGTATTAGCGCCATTTTTTTCTATAGAAATGTAAACAATAAATTGACCCCCCTCAAAGTTGTATTAAGTATTTACCCCTAAATAAATTTAATTAATTACTATTAATTGAAATTCAAAAACTCTTTATTTGATGGAAAATAGAAAATAAAATGAAAATATGAAAAATAAAATTGAAATTAAAATTGACTAGGAAATAGTTAACAAACTTATATTTAAAAATTTAAAGGTTATCTTGTCATTATTGGGGAAAGTATAAAATTTTCGAATGTAAAATAATTGTGTATCTCAGGAGAGAAAACCTGAAAACACAATTGTGAATTCAAATTGTGGATTAAAATAGTTTTATTAAAATTTATAAAGTTGAGGATTTCCTTTGAAAAAGAAAATTTGTGACATTTTCCTTTTTTTTATTGCAGGCACAGAGCAGCTCGTTACGGTTGCCTTCAAAGCACTTTTGCAAAAAGCTCCCGTTTCATTGTTTTGTCTTCGTTGAGACAAGGAAAAATAGTACCATATAAATTAACGGATATCGGCGAGGGAATCCGCGAGGTTACCGTAAAAGAATGGTAAATAAAGATACAATTCCAAATACAAATACAATACCTTTCGAGACCCAGGTAAAGCAGAATAAAATTTTCTTTTTTCCGTTTTTTATGGTTTGCAATAACAAATTTTAGTATAGCTTACGTTTAGTATGAAATTTGAAATTAAGAACTAAATTAAATACTAAATTAAATTCGAAATTAAATTGGAAATTAAATACTAAATTAAATACTAAATTAAATACGTAATTAAAATATACTAAATTAAATTGTAAATTAAATACGAAAATTAAATTCAAAATTAAGTACTACTTAAACTAAATACTAAATTGAAAAGTAAATTAAATACGAAATTAAATACTAAATTGAATAGTAAATTAAATACGAAATTAAATACTAAATTCAGGCCTTGGATATTATGTCTTTTTTCGACTATTTTCGAATAATGCAACCTTTTCTACTTTTCTTTCAAATTTTGCAATAAAATACCACATTTTTAATATAAAAAGCAACTTATTTCGATTTTTATAGTGTGAAAAGTTAGACAAATCTTTGAAAAGTTATTTTTGAATAATTTTTCTAATTAAATTTTTAAAATATAGTACAATTAAAAAGATTTTGAATAATTGAAATTTTTGTAAAATTTAATTAAAAACAAATCATTTTTTTTTTAGTATTTTATTACAATTTTTGAAAATTAACTTTTAAAGAATTTTAATTGAAAATTTTTGTAAATAATTATTAAATTCTCAAAAATTTTAATGAAAAATCTTCAAGTGTAAATTTAATAAAAATGAAAGTTAATGAAAATTAGGTTGTAAAAATAATACATTATAATATTTTTGAAAAAACTAATTCTCAGAATTTTTTCAGTCTAATTTTTTAAAATTCAATTATTTTCAATATTTTTGATTATATATTTCCGAAAATTCAAATACATACAAAAAATAACATTAACATTTTTTAGAATTATTTTCAACATTTTGGAGAAAATAATCATATTCAAAATTTGTAATTAAAATTCTTCAAAAAAAAATTAGTTTGTTTTTAAATTATACAAAAATTCTTTTTAGAAATTCAATTATTTTCGAAAAATTACATTACAATATTTATAAGAAACTAATTCTTCGATTTGTTTTATCATAATTTTTTAAGATTCAATTACCTTCGTACAAAATAAATTAAAATTTAAAAAAATTTATTTTTTTAGACTTATTAAAATTTTGGAGAAACCATTTATTATTAAAGTTCTTCAAAAATTTGATTATTTTTTTTTATATTTTTTAAAAACTCAATTATTTATATTCATTTATTTATGATTCTTACATTTTGAAAAGATTTTAACAAATTTCAATTATTTTTCAAAGATTTTACCAAATTTCAATTACTTTTTAAAATATTTGACTAAATTTCAATTTTTTGGATATATTTTAATTTGTATATAATTGCAAAAATATTGTCTTTCAAAAATTATTTAGAAATATTTTTCAAAAATTAATTTTAAGAATTTCTTTATTCAAATTTTTGAAAATATTCTACGTTAATCATCTTTAAAAAGAAAAATGGACGATTTCAATTATTATAAAAAATTGAATTTTTGTATTAAAATAATTGAATTCTTGAAGAACTTTCAGAAAATTATTAAAAATTAATATAGATAATTTATTTAGAGACGAAGTTTAGTTCAAAATTGTAAAAAATAATTGAATTTTGGAAGGTTTATGAGTATTTAACTAAAATTCTTCTTAAAACAAATATTTTTAATAATAAAATAATTAATAATATATATTAAAAAAATTACGAATAATTACATTTTTCGAGGAATTCGATTAAAATTGTAATAAAAATAATTGAAATTCTGCAATTCGAGTTTTATTTGTTTATGAAAATAATTGAATTTCTAAAAAGAATTTTATTATTTACGAAAATAATTGAATTCTCTGTAAAAATTTTATTATTCATGAAAATAGTTGAATGATTGCAAAGAAAATAAAAAATTTCGTAAATAATTGAATTCCAGTGAAATTTTTATTATTTTATGAAAATAATTAAAGGTTTGCGTAGAATTTTATTAAATTTTGTTTAAATAATTGAATTTTTTTGGAATATTTTATCCAAATCGTAAAATAGTTGTAATTTTTAGAAACTAATAAATTTCAAAAGTTGAAATTTTTAAAATTTTATTTCCCGTAAAAAAAGAAATAAGAAGTAGGTATTTAAATATTTATTTAGCAAAATTATTCGAGTTTTGAATAATTGAATTTAGAAATCAGTGAAGAATCAGGGAAATACAAAATAACAGTTTTTGTGACAACAATGAATTAAATAAACGACATTTTCGACTTTTTTTTCTATTTTTAATCGAATAAAGCGATTTTTTTGGCTAAAGTTAAAGTCAATCCGAGGCCTGTAAATTAAGTAGTAAATTAAATACGTAATTAAAATACTAAATTAAATAGTAAATTAAATTCGAAATTAAAAATTAAATTAAATTCGAAATTAAATACTAAAGTAAATACGAAATTAAATACGTAATTAAAATACTAAAGTAAATACGAAATTAAATACGTAATTGAAATTCTAAATTAAATACGTAATTGAAATACTAAATTAAATGCCAAATGCAATAATTTAATTTTTAATTGACTAAATTGTCTACATAATTAAACCAAATTCAAAGAATTGAAAGTTCAATATAATACATTTAAAATATCCAAATGATTAAAATAATGGTTTTTATTTAGGTTCGTGAAAGCTGGTGACAAGGTGGCCCAATTCGATAACATTTGTGAGGTACAAAGTGACAAGGCATCTGTAACGATAACGAGTCGTTACGATGGTCTAGTTAAAGCTGTGCATTATAAAATTGACGAAATTGCTCTCGTTGGAAATCCTCTGGTAGACATTGAACTCGTCGAGGAATTTGACAATGAATTCAGCCAAGAGGAAAATACCCAAGAGTCCAAGAAAAAGCAGGAAATAGAAGAAAGTTCGATTGTCACAAGTGAAGACGATATTACGAGTAGTGCTGAAAGTCTTTTTGGAAAGATACTGGCCACACCAGCAGTAAGGCGAATTGCTCTAGAAAATAAAATTAATTTAAAGGACGTAACATCCACTGGGAGAGACGGACGTGTTTTAAAAGAAGACATTCTCGCTCACATCAAATGTCGTCAAGAAAATTCTTCCGACAGCGAGAAAAAACTCTTGGGAAATGTCGCTCCCATCAAGGGATACGCCAAGCACATGTGGAAAACAATGACCAAAGCTTTGGTAATTTAATAAAATACGTAGTCAATATTTATAATAAAATGAATAAAATGAATAAAATGAATAAAATGAATAAAATAAATAAAATAAATAAAATATTTAATATTTAACAAAATATTAAATTGAATATTGAAATTTTGAATTTTGAATTTAGAAATTATTGAAATTTGCATATTGCATATTTATTTAATAGTAAATTCTAAGGGAGAAAAGGCTTTTTGTGTTTCTTGATAATGGAAAAAAATTCTCTTTGATAAACCCTTTTTCTTTTTTGCAGACCATTCCACATTTTACGTACAGTGACGATTGTGAAGTGACAAAGCTGATCCGCTGTCGTGAGGAAGTGAAAGATGCTTTGAAAAAAGAAGGAATCTCTTTAACTTACATGCCCTTTTTTGTGAAAGCAGCATCAGAAGCCCTGAAGCAGTTTCCTCATCTAAATGGTTGGCTCGACGAGGAGTCAGAGTCCGTAAAAATGGTCGAACATCACAATATAAGCATCGCAATGGATACGCCTCAAGGCTTGGTTGTGCCAAATATAAAGAATGTCCAGAATCTCAGTATTGTGGATATTGCCAAAGAATTGAATCGACTACAAGAGCTCGGCAAAAAATCCTCAATCCCTCTCAATGACATATCTGCCGGGACATTCTGTTTGTCTAATATTGGAACAGTAAGCTAAAAAAAAGTCTCAAAAAAAAAAAAAATTCTAATTACTTAAATATTCCACTTTATGAAATTAAAATTTTTCATTTCATGGAAAAATAATATATTTCGCAGCTCAATGTTACGTTTACGAAATTTGGTATTCAATTTATTATTATTATGCAAATTTACAAAATTTATTCTCAAATATCAATTTTTGAATTATTTCAAATACAATATTAAAAAAAATAACAATTATATTAAATTTTTAAGAAATTCTTTGTCTGAATGTCATCGTTTTTCTTTCTTATTAAGAAAATAACAATTATTAAAATTTGCTAATTAATTATTATTGTCTATTATTTTTAAAAATTTTAATAAAATTCTTCACAAGAATTCAATTATTTTTATAAACAATAAAATTTTTCACAAGAATAATTCAATTATTTTTATAAATAGTAAAATTCTTTGCAAAAATTCAATTATTTTTAAAAATAATAAAATTCTTCACAAAAATAATTCAATTATTTTTATAAATAGTAAAATTCTTTATAAAATTCAAATTATTTTTAAAATATCCAATCAAAATTATTTTAAAAAACTTAATTATTTAAAAAAAAATTAAAGGAATTCTTCAAAAAATGTAATTAATTTATGAAAATTCTAACAAAATTCTTCAAAAGAATTTAATTTACTACCAATAATTCTAATAAAATTATATAATTGAATTCCTTGAATTAAATTATTAAAAAAAATTGCAATAACATTATTTTCAATACAATTTTTAATAAAAATTATAAACAAATGTTTAATTATAATTGTTAACAAAAACGATTATTTAAAAAATTTTTTAATTATTTTCAAAAATAATAAAATTCTTCTTAGAATTTAAATTATTTTTAATACAATTTTTTATCAAATTTTTCGAAAAAAATTCAATTAGTTTCAAAAATGTTAATAAAATTCTTCACAAGAATTCAATTATTTTCATAAATAATAAAATTCGTCTCAGGAATTATTCAATTATTTTTATAAACACTAAAATTCTTCGCAAAAATTCCATTATTTTTGTAAATAATAAAAATCTTTGGAATAATTCAATTATTTTTGTAAAAAGTAAAATTCTTCATAAAATTCAATTATTTTCAAAACCTTCAATCAAAATTATTTTTAAAACTACATTATTTTTGAAAAAATTTAACGAATTCTTCAAAAAATTTAATTTATATTTACGAAAATTCTAGCAAAATTTTTCAAAAGAATTTAATTTAGTTTCAATAATTTTAATAAAATTTTATAATTGAATTCCTTGAATTCATAGAATAAATAAAAAAAAAAGTTTTAATAAAATTATTTTCAATATAATTTTGATAAAAATTATAATCAAATGTTTTTAATTATAATTATTAACAGAAACGATTATTTTTAAAAAAATTTAATTATTTTCATAAATAATAAAATTTTTGTTAGGAATTCAATTATTTTTAATACAATTTTTCGAAAAATTTAATTATTTTCTAAAATTTTAATAAATTCTTCAAAACAATTAAATTATTTGTATAAATAGTAAAATTCTTCTCAAGAATTCAATTATTTTTATAAATAATAAAATTCAATTATTTTCAATAAAATTTTTCATCAATTTTTTCGAAAAAATTCAATTATTTTCTAAAATTTTTAATAAATTTTTCAAAACAATTCAATTATTTGTATAAATAGTAAAATTCTTTGCATGAATTCAATTATTTATTATAAATATAATAAAATTCTTCACAGGAATTCAATTACTTTCAATAGGATTTCAATAAAATTTCTCCAACCGATTCAATTATTTTTAAAAAATGAAATAAAATTTTCCTCAGAAATTCAATTATTCTCAAAAGTTTTGATAAAACTTTTGAGTTATAAAAATTAAATTATTTTCATAATTTTCAATTAAAATTATTTCAAAAAACTACATTATATTTTCAAGAAATTTAAAGAAACTTTTCAAATAATTTTAATTATTTACGAAAACTCTAATAAAATTGTTGAGAAAAATTTAATTTTCTATCAATTATTAACTATATTAATCTCTGTGGTTTTTCATTCGTTCTGTTCGCAGTATGAAGTTGGTTGTTAGTTACTTTTTTGTTTCCCAACTTTTTTAATTATTTTCTTTTTCAATATTTTTTATTATTTCCATTAAAATTAATGTATTGAAAATCATTGAATTCTTGCAAAAAATTTCAGAATAATTCAATTCCTTCAAAAAATTTTATTATTCAGTAATTAAATTCTCGCAAAGAATTATTAAATTAAAATTAAAAAAATGTTTAAAACCCTAATTAAATTTCTTTGAAGAATTATTTTCAATTTTTTTTTTTTTTTTTTTTTTTTTTTGAATAATTGAATTTCTTTAATAATTTTAATTGGAATTTTTTAAAGTGATTAAAATTTATTAACAATTTCTTTCAAGGAATTTCATTAAAATAATTGGAAAACAATTAAAGTAATTGAATTCTAACAAAAAATTCCTTTATTTATTGAGTATAATCAATTTACAATTAAACTTTTATTAAAATTATTCATTGAAAATTAAATTCTTTTATATAATTTTATTAGAATTTTTCTAAATAATTACATTTTTTTGGAGAATCTCTATAAAATCTTTTATAAAAAAAATGTAATTTTTCTAAAATAATTTTAAATGAAAATTTTCAAAATAAATGAATTAAAGAAACAATTTTTTTCAACTTTTTAAAATTATTGTGTCAGGTAATAATTATAATTAAATATTTGATCATTCACAAGTTTACTAAAACTGTATTTTGAAAATAACTGAATTCCTGAGAAGAATTTTATTAATTTTCGAAAGTAATTGAGTTATTTGAATGAATTTTATTAAAAATTTTAAAAAATTGAATTGTTTTGAAGGATTTATTGAAATTGTAAAAAATAATTCTATTTCTTTCGAGAAATATTATAAAAGTTTTTAAAAAAATTGAATTCATTCATGAAATTATATTAAAATTTTATTAAAAAATATTGCGAACTTTTGCAAAAAAAAATTACTTTAAAATTTTAGAAAAAAATTTGATTATTTCGAAAAATTGTATGAAAACATAAAACAATTCATTTTTCTTTTTCAATATTTTTATAATTTTAAAATTAATGTATTCAAAATCATTGAATTCTTGCAAATATTTTAGAATAATTTTACAGATTTTAGAAAAATAATTGAATTTTGAGCAAATAATTTAATTCTTACGAATAATTTTACTAATTTTAGAAAATAATTGAAATATTTCGAAAAAATTTCTATAATTATTTATTTATTCATTTTTTTATTTTTACAATTAATTGAATTTCTGTGAAGATTTTACTAATTTTTTTTATTCAAGAATTCAATTACATTTTCACAAATATAATAAATTTCCTGGAAAGAATTCAATTATTTTCAACAATTAATAAAATTCCTCACAAAAATACAATTATTTTCTAAAATTAATAAAATTCTTCACAGGAATTCAATTATTTTCAAATATTAATAAAATTCTTTCCAGGAATTCAATAAACTTTGAAAATCAATAAAATTATTTACGTAAATTTAATTATTTTCAAATATTAATAAAATTCTTTAAAGGAATAGGGTCATTTGGGGTAATAATGTAAACGGAATATCTATTTTTCACAAAAAACGTTAGTTTTTTTTTGTTAAAAGGTAAAACGGACGGATTTCTTTTGCATGAACTTGTTACTTTACTTCCCTAGAAAAATTTTATGAGGTACAAAAAAATATTGATGCACCTGAATCGCCTAAAACTGAATGTTTACATTTACCCCGAGATGTTGAAATTTTCCTAAAATTCGGGGCAAATGTAAACACCTCTGTAGTTAAGCGAGGTTTAAGAAACAAGTTATTTCAAGCATACACTGTAAAAAAAATTTTGGAAATTTTCCCAAAAAAATTGAGGAAGCAAATTCACATAAAAAGTATAAAAATTTCCCACAATTTGGAAAAATTCCTTTAAAGATTTAGGAAAATTCCTAAAAATTTGTAAATATTCCTTAAAACGTTTAGAAAAATCCCTTTCCCAACAGAATTTAGAAAAATTTCAATTCGTATCGAAAAATTTCCAAACACTCAGAAAAATTACCATTTTTTTGGGAAAAAATTTTTTCTAAACACGTTTTAGGAAAATTCCCATGCAAAAGTTTGGAAAAATTTCCGAAATTTTTTACAGTGTACTACTGTCTTAAGGGATGGAAAAACTGAAAACAAATTATTCGTAGACGTATAGTAAATCAACCAGTTGACTGATAATGTATCTTATAAAAAACAATCAACCATTACGAAATTAGTAATGTAAAAACTTGAATAACTTAAACAAATTTTAATAGATTTTCATTCAACTTGGTAAAAAGTTTTTTTTATTTTTCTGAATAAGAATTCGAGTTTTCGAATTCTCGGGGTAAATGTAAACACTTAATTATTTATTAATTAAATTGACGAAAATCAAAAATCAAAGTCAATTTTTGATAGGGCATTAATAAGGAAGAATTACATATTTTTGTTAGATTTTTTAATTTATTTTTATGTTATCTTTTAATGAAAAAACGATTAAAAATCAAAGTTTTACTGTTTCAGTTTTTTTTTTCTCGCATTTGCATAAAAATAAATTAAAAAATCAAACTAAAATTTGTAATTCTTCCTTATTAATGCCTTAACAAAAATTGACTTTGATTTTCGTCAATTCAGTTAATAAATAATTAAGAGTTTACATTTAATTGAATAAATTACTATTTAAATGTATTTGAAACATTATGATGTCATAATAATTAAAATTCATTTAAAAAAATAAAATTTTAATTATTTTAAATAAAACGTTGAAATAAAAATGCACGCGCGCTCGCGCGCGTCCTTTTTTGCTATTATTCCATATAAAATGTCAAATTCGACCCCGTTGCGTTAGTTAAATATTTTGTCACCAGATGGTGTATCGCAGTTCTGCGGTTCCTTATAGCTTTTCAAAAATTAAATTATTCAAAAAAAATTCAATTTTAAATCTGTAAAGTTCATTTATTGTTAAAAATATAAATAATTAAAAAAGTGTATTATTCAACAATGCATTTAGAACATGCACGCGCGCTTGCGCGCGTATCTTATGCTAGTAATTTGAATAAAATTTAATAATAAAATTATTATTTACGATTATTAATAAAAATCGATGATATTCAAAAAATTAAAAACATTTTTTAAAAGAATTCAATTATTCTAAATAGTTTAATACAATTCCTTCAAATGTATTTAAATGAATTCCTTGAATTAAATTATTTTAAAAGATTGTTATAAAATTCTGATATGAATTTATTATTTATTTTCTAAAAATCTTAGTAAAATTCTTCGTGAAGTTCAATTTTTTTTCAAAATTTTCAATTAAAATTATTAAAAAGACTATTATTTAAAAAAAATTCATTTAAATATTTTCATAAATAAAAAAATTCTTCTCGAAAATTCAATTACTTTCAATAGGATTTAAGTAAAAATTTTTAAAGAATTCAATTATTTTCAAATTTTTTTGATTAAATTGTTCTTAATAATTGACTGATTCTCAAAATATTAATTTTTAAATTTAAAACATTTAAATAGAAAAAATTATTAAAAAAAGTTATGAAACTAAAAAGCAAATAACTGACTTCAAACTACGAACAGATTACCGAAATGATTATTAATATTACTATATTCATTATTTATTTTTAATCTTTTTTAATTATAGAAATTAAGAACAAGACAAAATTAAAAGTCTTGTTTCTTTTTACGTTGAAAAAACGTGAAAGAAAAGTAAGGAAAATCGATAAAATTCAAGTTCTAGATCTATAAACGATGTCCAAGGCTTACCTCTACTAATGACTTAAAATTGTTATTTAATACAACACGATTTTTTTTCTACACGCACGTTAAATCGATTTGTTCCTGTTTTTTTTTCTTTTTTTTTCCAACCGAAACATTGATTTGTTTTGATAAGCACAGTTTTTTTCACTAGCATTTTTTTCCAATTGTAAAAAAATATTTTTCCACGAAGGAAATATTTAAATACGTATAGAGAAAAAAAAATTGGGAAACTCTTTACTTTTTTCACAATCATAAATTGAACAAAAAAAAAAAAAAATGGTCTTTTCAAAAAACAATTTTTGGAATAAATAAAATGAAAATATTCTGAATAATTATTAAAAATTTGAATTACGGACGAAAATATTGTCTAAATGCATAATATTTAAAAAATGAAACTGTATTTTTCAATTTCAGATTGGTGGCACATATATGAAGCCAGTTGTTTTATCGCCTCAGCTGGTAATAGGAGCTGTCGGAAAAATTCAAAAGTTACCGAGATTTGACGAAGGGAATTCTGTGATAGCTGTCAATCTCCTGTCAGTTAGCTGGTCTGCCGATCATCGAGTTGTGGATGGTGTAACAATGGCAAAGTTTTCCAATCAATGGAAACATTACGTGGAAAATCCACTACTTCTTACTTTAGGAAAGTAATATTTTTAATTAGTTACATTTTTTACGTCTAGATTCTGTAGTTCTATCTCTCATAAATCAATCTTTCATTCTCCAAATAAAAAAAATAGAGGCAAAACCAGAGTTGCCACAAATATTTAATATTATTTTCCCTGATTTCCGGACAAAATTTTCAATTTTTCCCTGCGACCCTAAAGAATATTCTGTTTCACTCTAAAAATTATTAGATACTCAAAAAAAATGTGTTATTACATTTATTTACAAATTTCTTTAATTGTAAAATTATTCAAAAACATCAATAACTTCTTTTTTTAAATAAATATTATTTAATCATTATTATTTTTCTGTAGGAATTCAAATTCTTCAAAACATTCAAATTCAAACCTTTTTGAAATTCAACGCCTTATAAAAATATTTTGTAATAATTTAAATTATCACAAAATTTTTCAAAAATAAATTAATTATTTACAAAAATCCTAATAAAATCCTTTGCAAGAATTCAATTATTTTTACAAATAGTAAAATTTCTCAAAAAAATTCATTTATTTAAAAAAAAATGTAATAAAATTCGTTGCAGTATTTCAATTATTTTCATAAATAATAAATCGATTATTTGGTAATTCATTTTTAAATAACTTTTTATTAGAAAATTCTGGAAAAATTCAATTATTTAAATTGAAAAAAAAATAATTTATTGAATGATTAAATGTTCATTAAAATTGTCAATAAATTTTTAAATAATTGAATTCTTTTGACAAATTTTAATCAAATTTTTAAGAATAATTACATTTTGCGGGGAATTTAATTAAAATATTGTATCAAAAATAATTAAAATCCTGCGATGCGTTTTATTATTAATGATTAATGAAAATAATTAAAATTTTGCCAAGAATTTTATTAAAATTTTTCCAAAATGATTGAATTTCGATGAAGAATTTTATTATTTATAAAGATACTTGAAATTTTGACAAGAATTTTTTTTTTAATTTTTGAACATAATTGAATTATTTCTGTGAAGAATTTTATTACTTTTGAAAATAATTTAATTCTTCCAACGAATTTTATTCAAGTTTATAAAAATAACTGAATTTTTGTGAAGAATTTTATTATTAAAAAAAATAATTGAATTCTTGCAATGAATTTTATTCAAGTTTATAAAAATAATTGAATTTCAGTGAAGAATTTTATTATTTATAAAAATAATTGAATTCTTGAAAAGAACTTTGTTAAATTTTTTTAAATAATTGATATTTTTCGAAAAAATTTTATGAAATTTTATATTTCAAATAATTGAATTCCTGTGAAAATTTATTTACTTATGAAAATAATTGAATTATTTCAAAGAAATTTATTAAAAATTGAATTCCTGTGAAATTTTGCAAAGAATTTGATTAAAATTTTTAAAAATAATTTAATTTTGATGAAGAATTTTATTGTTTATAAAGATAATTGAAATTTTGATGAGAATTTAAAAAAAATTTTTAAACATAATTCAATTTCTGCGAAGATTTTTTTTACTTTTGAAAATAATTTAATTCTTTCAACGAATTTTATTCAAGTTTATAAAAATAACTGAATTTCTGTGCAAAATTTTATTAATAAAAAAAATAAGTGAATTCTTGTCAAATGTTGCGAAGAATTTTATTAAAATTTTTAAAAATAATGGAATTTCGATGAAGAATTCTATTATTTTTAAAGATAATTGAAATTTTGACGAGAATTTTTTTTTTAAATTTTTGAACATAATTGAAATTTTGCGAAGAATTTTTATAATTTTTGAAAATAATTTGAATTTCTGGAATCGTTTGTAACTTTTCCAAAATTCAATTTTTTTAAAAATATTTTTAACTAAAATTCTTCTATCAATCTAGTTTTTATGAAAATTGTAAAAGTTATTCATTAAATAATTTATAAGTCATAATTTTAGGATACTTTTTGAAAAATTAAGTTATTTAAAAAGAAATTATTGTCAGAAATAGAAAAAATTGAATGTTTTTGTATTAAAATTCGTGGTAATTTCATAGTTTACGAGGCAAACAAAAAACATTAAAATTCAGAGTTTTCTCATGAATTTTAAAAATTCAATTTTTTCCAGTACTTTTACTAAAAATCCCTGACTTTGCCCTGATTTCCCTGACTAATTTTACTTTTCCTGAATTTTCTTTCAATTCTCTGACCTGTGGCAACTCTGAAAACTGTAAAAATTGTTTTTACAAAAAAAAAACTAAAATTTTTTAAATACTTTTAAAGACTAAAAGGGAAAGAGACTGAATTTCCGGATTTTTAGTTTTTTTTTTTTTATTTACACAGGTGTTAATTTTTTTTAACAAAATTTTTACTAGATAAATACAAAATATATGATGTAGTCAGTCTGTTTAGAATATTAGAAATAGTGCATACATACAATTGTGCATGCAATTGAAAAATATTTACAATTTAAGTCATATTTTGACTTTTTTTTTATTAATTCCTCATTTAAAATTTGTTATATGAGGAATTTTGACAATTTTTCATTACCTAGGAACATCTACAAATTTTTTCAAATATTAGGACGTGGAAGACTATTTTAAAAGTCACATCAATAGTCCTTACACTTCGTGAACAGTAAATTTCGAAAATTACTATTATCGTAATTTTACTTTAAATTTCTTTAATTATTTTTTTTCTTACTGTTTCTATTCAAAAATTTTCAATTATTCTCTTTTTGTATATAATTGTATAATTTATTCGTTTTTACTCGATGTTGTTTTGATTTCTAGTTTTTCAAAATGTAAAACTTTCTTTTGGTACTTTTTTTTCTATATAGAGAAAGGCTTTTCAAAATATTAAATTTGAAATAATTATTTATAATTATATAATTAAATTTTCGAAAGATACTTTTTCCTCAAAATAAAATAATAATTGATAGACATCGATATTGGTGGTTAATTCAATAAAACATTAAATGTTTTGAAAGTTGAAATCGTGATTACGAAAATAATTCTCTCATTCATGTTACAGCTCATTTAATATGACTAGGAGTAACAATTTCCATCTAAAAATGAAACACTCGATATTTTCTCTATTTTTTTTTTTTGTAAATTATGCATTTGAAAATGCAAAATACATAAAGCAAACGGATTTACTTTTTTGTGACGACGATGTACTTGTACATTTATAAAAAAATAATAAAAGCTCTTCTACCTTTTTTTCGCTTTAATTAAAGGCTACTGCATTTTTAATTATCCTTAAATATTTTATCAAGTTTCTTTCTGGGGAGGGGGGGAATGGAAAAACTGAATGTTAAGAAAGTAGAAAATATAAAAAAGTAAAAATATTGAATCTTTCTTTAATTACATTCTCATTTTGAAAATATTCTTATTTTTTAAATTTTACACTCATTGCAAAAAATAAATTTTTTCTTGTAAATAAAAATAATTGACTCTTAAAATTAGAAAAATAAAATTTCCAAATTAAAATATTTACCTATTTTAAAAATTAAGTAAAAATTCTAAAGCTTACAATTGGGCAGAATCTAATAAATCTTATTTTTCAATAATAAATTATTTCGGATTGATTTTCTAGTATGAAAATTAAATTTGTGTTAAATTTGTGGAAAATACACGAATCAAATTCAATTTGAAATATGTAAATATTTGTACTCTATATGAAATTCAAATATAAAACAAACCAATGTCTTTAATTTATTTACATAATAATTAACTGTATAAGCATTGAATGCAAATTGAAATTTAGCTGACTTGCAATTAAACCAACTAAATAAATATTTCAACAACTTCATTTTCAAAAGGAAATTTCTGTAATTAATTTCCAATATTTTACTCATTAAAAATCGAAAATATAGGTTTCTCGGAGTTTCTAACTAATTCCTCTTTGAATTAATAAGTAAAATTTTTACTAGTTTTCAAAATTAATTTTTCAAAATTAATCATTACTTTTTAATGAAGTTCTTAAAGAATAAAAAATATTGAATCGAAAAAGTTGATTCTTTTGATTTTAAATATTTTAAATATTGTGTCACTGGTAGTCAGGATGAATAAAAAAGTATTTAAAAAATCTAATCTTAAGTAAATAAAAGTAAAAATAAATAAAACTTAAAAATTATTGAGCAATGAAATTGAAAATAAAAACCATTATGTCTTAAAGATCATCTATAGAGGACTTTTAAATAGATTTATAACAGTAACTACTCTTTAACGTTATTTTTTTAAAATTACGATATATCAGTAGAAGAATATTCTCTTTCAATTTTCAACTAACCGTAGTTCAGCAAAAATGTTTCGTTTACTCACAAACAATATGCGTTATTTATATGAATGTGCGTTTTTCATTCATTCTTCACACTTATTTTTTTTTTTTTTTTAAAGATTCTCTCACAGAGAGAATGTCAACAAGATTTTGTGATTTTTGGACGAATAATTGAATTTTCCAACACTGGTTAATTAGTACAGTACAATTAATAAAAAAATTGTTTACACAACATTATCAAGTTATTTTTAAATTATAAAAATACTTTTCTCTTCATTTTTTTTTGTTTCCGTTTCAAAAAATATTCTTCAATCTGCATTGATATATGCGAGTTCTTTTTTTTAAATAATTTATCAAATTGAATTCTTCAAAAAATTGGTTTTTTTTTTTGAAGAAAAAAACACAGATGAGAAACATAGAGGTAAGATTTATAAATCTTAAAAATAAATTCAGATCTTTTTGTCATGAACTGAATTTTTTTTTTTTTTTGCAAAATGACATTAATTTTTTAATTAAATTTTGTCATTTTGTTGGATGGTTTTTTATGTATAGTATATATTTTTTTTGTTACTTGGGAATCTATTGGTGTCGACTTATCATCATGGAAACAATGGCACCGGTTGCTCGCAAAACAGCCACAGCAGTCTCGTGATCCGATTTCGTGAAATCTATTCCGTCGACTTCTAAAATTTTATCCCCTGGACGTAATGTTCCCTGTGCTGGACCATCTGGATTTACCTTTGTCACAACAATTCCCTGCAAATAATAAAAAAATTTCAGTTTTAATAAAGCATTTCAGAATTTTAATTTGCTTCTTTGTTTCCCAAATTTTTAAACCATTTTTCTCTTTAAATGTGTTTTCAATTTTAAAATTAATGTAATAGAATTATTGCAAAGAATTTTATCAGAAAATTTGAAAATAATTGAATTTTATTGAAGAATTTTATTAAAACTTTGGAAAATCCTAATTAAATTCTTTTTAAGAATTTCTTTCAATTTTTTTAAAATGGAGTTTTTTTAAATAATTTGAATTAAAAATTTTTAAAGAAATTGAATTTTTTCAATAATTTCTTTCAAGTTTTTAAAATAATTGAAATTAAACATTCAAATATTCAGTTTTATTACAATTTTTAGAAAATAATTAAATTATTGATGCTTTTCAAAATTTTATTACAATTTTTTTAAAATAATTTAGGTAACTCATTCAAGGAATTTTATTAAAATATTAAAAGTAATTGAATTCTTTCAAAGAATAAATTAAAGATTTTGAAAATAATTAAATACTTTCAAAATATTTCTATAATTTTTGGAATATATAATCGATTTTGTTAATAAATGAAATTAACAATTGCACTATTCAATCTTATTAAAATTATTTACAGAAAATTAAATTCTTTTAAACAATTTTTTTCGAGTTTTAATACTTTTAATTGAAAATTTTGAAAATAATTGAATTCAACAAAGAATTTTCTTTAACATTTTTAAATAATCGTGTCTATTAAAAATTCTAATTAAAAATTTGTTATTGAATTTTATTAAAATTGAATTGAAAATAATTTTAATTCTAAGGAAGAATTTTTTTATTTATAAAAATAATTTAATTCTTCCGAAGAATTTTCCTATTTATCAAAATAATTTAAGTCTTGTGAAGAATTGTACTATTTATACAAAATAATTGAATTGTTTCAAGGAATTTATGAAAATTGTATTGAAAATAATTGAATTCCTGACAGGAATTTTGTTATTAATAAAAATAATTGAATTCTTGCGAAGAATTTTCTATTTGTACAAATAATTGAATTGAGGCTTTGGATCCAATAACTCGCCCGACGCTCGGAGGAACGCGCAACTGCCAGTCAGTGAGCAGTGAGCGCCTCTGGGCCACTCACTGCTACTCGACTGGTATTAGCGCGTGCCTTCGAGCGTCGGGCGAGTTATTGGATCCAAGGCCTCAATTGTTTCAAAGAATTTATTAAAATTTTAGAAAATAATTGAATTCTTTAGAAAAATTTTACTAAAAATTTTAAAGAAATAATTGAATCCTTTCGTGAAATTTAATTCAAATTATATAAAATAATTTATCTCCTGCAAAGAATTTTACTGTTTATAAAAATAATTAAATTCTTTCGAAGAATCTTTTAAAAATTTTTGCAAATAATTGATTTCTTTCGAAAAATTTTAATTATTTAAAAAAAAATAATTGAATCCTTTGGTGAAATTTAATTAAAATTATATTGAAAATAATTGACTTCCTCCAAAGAATTTTATTTAATTTTTTGTAAATAATTGAACATTAAAAGCATTATAAGAGAAATTTTAACAAGTCATTAAATCTTAAAATGTTTTTAAATTAAAATTTTTAAAAATTTGAATCGCTGTAAAGCTATAATAATATTTAAATGTTTATTATAAGAAATTAGTAGAATACTTTTTTTCTTTTAAAGATTAATTATTTTCAAGGAATAATTTTTATTCAAAAATTCAGTGAAAAAAATTGAATTTTTAAAAAATTGTAGTTTTAATTTGTATAAATAATTAAATTTGAAAGGATTCTAGAATAAAATTAATGTCTTAATTTCTTTGGAGCGCGTCACAAATATTAAATATAAAAATAAAAGTTTGAAAAATTTTTACCGTTTCCGCTCCTGCAATTCCTCCGGCTATACTGAATCCTAAGCCAGGATTTTTTTTCAACCGAACCGGCAACTAGAAAAAAGAAGAAAAATTCTTATAAACTGAAAATAATTATTATTTACAAAAATAAGAATTTATCAACGAATTATTATACTCACAACATTCGCATTCTTATGAGTTCCAAACATCCATTTAAATTTTGATTTTCCATCAGAACTGTAAGTGCTTATATTACTTGATTTGATATTTAAGGAAGAGGGTGTACTTCTACCAGAATTCGTTTCATTCTGTGAGTCATTAACATTCATCGATAAATGTTCGCTATTTACAAAATTCATATTTTCCGATTGATTTAAATTCACCGTAATTCCATTATCGTTTGACGTGATTTCATTAACGGAATTCTTTAATTGATCCAATTGTTTGAGTTCATTGGTAATTGGTAGTGAAATTGGCGATTCTTTTAATGAAGTAATATTGATCTGTTTGACTTTCTCGTTGGTACTTGAACACTCGAAATTGTTCTCACGTTCATCAAACGTATTCGGTATTTTAACATTTTTCAATTTTAAAACAGGAATTTTATCCTCTTTCATTGATTGATTGAGATTGTTGTGAGTGAATGAATTCACTCCATCACAAATATCAATACTGCTATCCATTCCATTTCCATTGAAATTCACATTTTTTGTTCCATTCAAATTCTCGTTATCGTTGTTTAAATTGATATTATCGAATGATGATGATTCCTCGTTGTTTTCATTTTTTGAATCACTTTCCTTTAATGGGGAGAATTTCAGTGATGAAAATGTTGGATACGTTTCAGATACCGACGCTAAAAAAAAAGGAATTGAAAATTAATAGAAACTCTTATTTTGAAAATAAATGAAATTGAGAATTGTAAAAAATACCTTGATTTAGTTGTTGAAAAAAAGCGGCTTTCTTGGAGAACGCCGCGGCAATGTGATAAGGTGGTGGGACTGTTGTTGGTTTTGCATGATACTCTGACATGGGATTGCGAATGCATTTTGCCTCACGAATTTCAGGATTCGTTTCCGTAGCGAGGACAGTTTTAATTGTCTCGTCATTAGATTCTTCTGAATTGTTGCGCTCTACTTCTAATCCTAGATTGCTATTAACGATAAGATATTTCGGGGAATAGTATTCGACAAAAGGTGGAGGCACGTGTGCAACATTCTGAAAAATAAACAATAGTCTAGTGTAAATAGAAAATCTTATTAAAATAAAGCATTAAAATAAATATTAAAATAAACTTATATTAATAATCGTTGTATTGTAATTCTTGTAACAAATTTTATTAAATTTTAAATCCATTACACACTCACATCTTGTGGTGGACCATCTGCTCCTGAAACTGAAGTGTTGCCTACTGAAACCATAGGATTTACAACGATAGCTTCCTTTAAAATAAAAGAAAAAAGAAAATGTAAAAATCTTCAAAAGAAAATTATTTTTATTCATTATTATTATTATTTGAATATGATTTTGAAAAAAAAATCTAACCTTTTGATCGTGTGTGGTCTGATGGTGCAAGTTACGTGCATGCCTGGCTAGATTACGCAATTCCTTTGGATAAGGCGTTGGTGCACGATGTAGACGTTGTCTCGGTAATTCCGAATCGACATCAGCAGCAAAACATATTTTTCTTCCGGATCCAAAAACAGATCCAGAAATTGTTCCCAAGGTTTGGTCCATTTTATTGCAAATTACACCTTTTCGTATAGAAAAGAATAAAGTTCAATATTAGAATATAAAAGAAGAATTGAATTTCGAGAAAAGTACATTCCATAAAAGGAAAAAGAAATTTCAAAACCCAAGAATGGAGAATAACAAAAATATTACATTTATCCCTTGATTGTCTTACCCCTTCAATCCTCAACTTCCTGAGTGTTTTCCACTAGCAGCGAAAATGTAATCGTTGAAAATTAACAAATTTCGGATTTTACTTTTACAGTTTCATCTTTCTTGAATTCAGGGCTCGAACCAGTGAAAGTATTTAAAAATACAAACTTTACGGAACAAAAATGAAAAATTACGGACCAATTTTTGACAAAAATTTTAGTCAAATAAGAGAACATTTTACTTAAAACTACAAATTAAATTTTATCATAATTTTCTAATCAAGAATTTTATCAACAAATTTTTAAATAATTAAATTTTTTCTACAAATTTTAATAAAATTTTTAAGTATAATTAGATTTTTCGAGAAATTCGATTAAAATTGTATTAAAAAGAATTGAAACTAAAATTGAATGTTTCTTAAAATTGAATACTCGTAAAGAATTTTATCAACAAATTTTGAAATAATTAAATTCTTTTGACGAATTTTAATAAAATATTTAGGAATAATTAGATTTTTCGATAAATTCGATTAAAATTGTATTAAAAAGAATTGAAATTCTGCGATGAGTTTCATTATTTGTAAAAATAATTGAATCCCTGTAAAAATGTTATTATTCATGAAAATAATTAAATCATTGCGAAGAAATTTATAAAAAATTTGTAAATAATTGAATTCCTGTGAAATTTTCATTATTTATGAAAATAATTAAATTTATTTTAAATAATTCAATTCTTTTAGAAAATGTTATTAAAATACTAGATATTGAAAATCATTGAATTGTAGAAAATTTTTAAAAATAGTTCAAAATTTGCCAACTTTTAAAATTAAACCTTTTCTAAATTCAATTATTTCTTAAAATTTATTCTAAAATGCTCTTAATATTCAATTATTATGTAAAATTTTAACTAAAATTCATTTTTAAAACAATTTTTATTAGAAAATTCAACTTGAATTCAATTATTTAAATACAAAAATTAATAACTTATTGAATAATTGAATAATTGAATGTTTCAGTAAATTGAATTCTCATAAAGAATTTTATCAAATAAATTTTTAAATAAGTGAATTCTCTCGACAAATTTTAACAAACTTTCTAAAAATAATTACATTTTGCAAGAAATTTATTTAAAATTATATTAAAAATAATTGAAATTCTGCGAAAAGTTTTATTATTTGTGAAAATAATTAAATCCCTATGAAAAATTTTATTATTTTTTAACATAATTAAATTTCTGCAATAATTTGTAATGCAAAAAAATAATTAATTGAATAATTGAATGTTTCTTAAAATTCAAATCTCATAAATAATAAATTATATCAACAAATTTTTAAATAATTGAATTCTTTCGACGAATTTTAATAAAAATTTTAAGAATAATTACATTTTTCGAGGAATTTTAATAAAATTTTTAAGAATAATTACATTTTTCGAGGAATTTTATTAAAATATTGAAAGTAACTGAATTCCTTCCAAGAATAAATACTATTAAAGATTTTGCAAATAATTGAATTCTTTATAAAGAAATTTTTATAATTTTTATTAATATACAAAAATAATTGAATTGTTTCAAAGAATTTATGAAAATTGTATTGAAAATAATTGAATTTCTGAGAAGAATATTATTATTTATAAAAATAATTGGATTCTTGCGAAGAATTTGCCTATTTATCAAAATAATTGAATTCTTGCGAAGAATTTTCTATTTGTACAAATAATTGAATTGTTTCAAAGAATTTATTAAAATTTTAGAAAATAATTGAATTCTTTAGAAAAATTTTACTAAAAATTTTAAAAAAATAATTGAATCCTTTCGTGAAGTTTAATTCAAATTATATAAAATAATTTATCTCCTGCAAAGAATTTTACCGTTTATAAAAATAATTGAATTCCTGAGAATAATTTTATTATTTATGAAAATAATTAAATTCTTTCGAAGAATTTTATTTAAATTTTTGCAAATAATTGATTTCTTTTAAAAAATTTTACTAAAAGTTAAAAAAAAATAATTGAATCCTTTCGTGAATTAAAATTATATTGAAAATAATTGATTTCCTTTAAAGAATTTTACTGTTTATAAAAATAATTGAATTCCTGAGAAGAATTTTATTTAAATTTTTGTAAATAATTGAATTCCTGTGAAATTTTTATTATTTTATGAAAATAATTAAATGTTTTGCCTAGAATTTTATTAAAATTTTTGAAAATAATTGAATTTCGTAGAAGAATTTTATTATTTCTAAAAATAATTGAAATTTTGACGAGAATTTTTTTTTAATTTTTGAACATAATTGAATTTTTGCGTAAAATTTTATTACTTTTGAAAATTATTGAATTTTTTTAATCATTTGTAATTTCTCTAAAATTCTTAAAATTATATCGTAGAATTTACGAACTTTTCGTCCTTTTCTCAATCAAATTACGGACTTTACGAACCTTTTTCTTTTTTAAAAATTGACTTTTACGGACTTGAAGCAAATTAACGGACATTTACAGGATTTACGGACCTAGTTCGAGCCCTGTGAATTGTATTGAAAATATTTCAAATATTTAAAAAGAAAAAAAATCAACTTACGTTCGAGGTCCTGTCGCGGTTTTTGTGGAAGCATAAAACACGAGAGCACAGTCATATCCTCCTCGTAATTAAATTCCTGTTGTAGTGGCACCAGAGGTTGACTTTGATTATCGCTCAGCCATAAAGCCTTGAGATTTGTTAAATTAAGAAGCGAAACTGGAAGATATTTTATACAATTGTTGACGAGATTAAAAACTCGTAATGATGACAAATGACCCAATTCGGGGGGAATTTTCGTCAAATTATTCGAACGCAACGAAAGTAATGAGAGTGCAGTGCAACTTCCAATTTCCGGTGGTAAGCAACGTAAATAATTATTGTCCGCATTGAGACAATGAAGTTTACGTAAAAGTCCAATTGATGGCGGTAAATATTCGAGGAAATTTTTCGTCACTATAAGTTCCTCTAAACTTGACATTTGACCAATATCATTTGGCAGTGAATTCAATTGATTGTCATCAATTTTGAGTGTCACTATTGTGCGCAAATAACATAACGAATCGGGCAACTCGTAAATTTCGTTGGAAGAAAAATTCATTATTGATATATCTCGCCAGCCTTGAATTTCGGACGGTATTATATTCACCGAGTTCATTGTACAATCAAAATGATTCAAATGATAAAGCTGCTCAATATTTCCTGGTATACGACGTATATCATTACCGTCTATCCACAATTCTGTTAGATTTATTAAATCGCCAACGACCTCCGGCTGTAAAGAAAATATTTTTATTTTTATTTCTTTTTATGAGATTAAAAAAATAGGGTTGTCAAAAATTTAATTTTATTTTTTTCCGACTTTTTTCTGATTTACAGAGAAAATTTTGTCTTTTTTCCTGAACTTAAAGTCAAATTTATTAAAATTTTTTTAAAATATTTGAATTTGTAAGAAGAATTTTATAAATTTTAAAGATCATTAAAATGTTGACGAGAATTTATTTTAATTTTTGACTTTCCTAGTCTGTGACAACCCTGGTAAAAAATATTAAATTTTTAAAGTAAAAAAAAAAGTTACCAGTTCTGTAAAATCGTTGTTGCCAATGTCAAGTCTCTGTAAATTAACAAGACGACTCATGCTTTTTGGAAGAGTCATCATGTTGTTCTCGCGAAGCTCAAGTGTCCTTAAAGCTGAGAGTCTCCCGAAATTCGCTGGCAAATACTCTATATAAGCATCGTTGATGTACAATTCCTGTAGACCTACAATGTGCGTGATTGCATCTGGAAACCGTTCAAATGGATTGACACTGATATCGATTGAACGTAAATTTTTACATTCCTTTATACTGTCAGGTAACTCTTTTATACCTAAGAGAAAACAAAATAACAATAATTCAATAAATAAACATCTTCTTTCGAATTCTCCTTTTATCTAGATATACAAAATTCAATTTCCTTACTATTTTTACTGAGATCTAGTAATTCCAGATTAATCAGCGACGCTATGGCGGGTGGTAATGTAGTAACTTCATTATCACTGAGGGAGAGTACTCGTAATTCATGGCATTGAAATAATGGTCTCGGTAAATCTTTTATCTGTTAAAAAGTACAAAATAATATTTAAAATTCAATAAACATTAGGATAATTTTATTAATATATAATTATTAATTTATTATAATTATTATTCTAATTACAGGCATCACAGTACCTTTTTTTCTCAAAAAAGGTGAAAAGGGGAATTTTTTTTTCCTCAAAAAGGGGATAAATTCAATTTTACGAAATTTCATCAATTATTCGGAAATTCTTCAATAAAATATATATATTTGAAAATAAAAACTTCGAATAATTACAATTAAACTTTTTGAAAAAAAATTAATTCTACAAAATTGTTACTTAAAAATATAAAAAATTCAGATTTTCAAAGATTTTAATTTGAAACTTTTTCAAAATTCAATTATTTCTAAAAGTTCACGCTATAATACTTTTAATATTCAATTATTATGTAAAATTTTAATTGTAATTCATTTAAATCAATTTCTATTAGAAAATTCTACGAGAATTCAATTATTTAAATACAAAAATAAATAATTTTTATTGAATAATTGAATGTTTCTTAATATTGAAATCTCATAAAGAATTTTTTAAACAAAATTTTAAATAATTAAATTCTTTCGACGAATTTTAATACAATTTTTAAAAATAATATTTTTTTTAATAATTCAATTTTTTCCAAGAATTTTAATAAAATATTTCAAATTAATTGCATTTTTTCGAAGAATTAATTTAAAATTGTATTTAAAAAAAATTTAAATCCTACCGGATGAGTTTTATTATTTATGAAAATAATTGAATTCTTGCAACGAATTTTATTAAAAATTTTAAAAATAATTGAAATCTTGAGAAGAATTTTAATATTTATAATAATAATTGAATTCTTGTGAAGAACTCTATTCATTTTTTTTTTATTAATTCAATTCTTGCGCAGAATTTTATAAAAATCTTTTTAAATAATTGATTTTTTTCGCAAAATTTTATGAAAATTTTGTTTTAAACAATTGAATTCACACGAAAATAGTATTATTTATGAAAATAATGGAATGTTCGCAAAGAATATTTCTAAACATCTTTTTTAAATAATTCAATTCTTACGAAGGATTTTATTGAAATATTTAGGAATAATTGCATTTTTTTCGAAGAATTTATTTAAAACTGTATTAAAAATAATTGAAATCCTGGGAGAATTTATAATATTTATCAAAATAATTAAATTCTTTCAACGAATTTTATTAAAAAGTTTTAAAATAATTGAATTTCTAAAAAGAATTTTATTATTTATAAAAATTGAATTCTTTCAAGAAATTTAATTAAAAATGTATTGAAAATAATTATTAAATTCTAATAAGCAAATTATGTAAATTTTGTTTTAAATAATTCAATTCTTTCCAAGAATTTTAATAAAATATTTGAAATTAATTACATTTTTTTCGAGGAATTAATTTAAAATTGTATTAAAAATAATTGAAATCCGGGGATGAGTTTTATTATTTATGAAAATAATTAAACGTTTGCGTAGAATTTTAATAAAAAATTTTTTAAATAATTGAATTCTTTTGGAAAATTTTATTAAACTAGATATTGAATATCATTGGATTTAGAAAAATTTTTGCAAATAATACATAAATTGAAATTTTGCCGAGAATTTTATTAAAATTTTTGAAAATAATTTAATTTCGAAGAAGAATTTTATTACTTATTTATAAGGAGAATTTAAATTTTGACGAGAATTTCTTTAAATTTTTTAATATAATTAAATTTCTGCAAAGAATTTTATTATTTTTGAAAATTATTGAATTTTTGCAATTATTTGAAACTTCTCAAAAATTCAAATTTTTTAGTGTTTTTAACTAAAATTTCTCGATAAATTCATTATTTTTAATAATTAATTAAATAGATATATTAAAAAATTTAACTAATTTCAGAATTATTTAAATTTTGAAAATTTTTGCAAAAATTTAAGTTCTTTAGAATTTTTAATAAAATTCATTCAAAATTGAAATTTTATAAAATTTGAAATTAAAATCTTTTCAAGTTCATCTATTTATGAAAATTGTAAACGAAACTAATTTAAAATTCAATTAATTTTGAAATGTATAAATAAAATTAATTAAATAATTTCTAAATATAATTTTATGATAATTCTTCAAGAATTAAGTTATTTAAAAAGAAATTATTGTCAGAAATGGAAAAAATGGAAGGTTTTATATTAGAATTTTGGTTTTTTCTAGAAAAAACAATTAATAATAATATTTTAACTATTTGAATGTTAATTAATTATTTTTCTAGAGGTCTGCATTCTGTTGAATGAACCACCTTATAATTTATAAAATTCTTTACGAAATCTATATTATTTAAATCATAAACATAAAAAAACATTTATATTATGTTGTGGTGTTAAAAATCTAAATCAGAAATAAAACGCACTGAATTCAATAACATTGACTCTAAGTTTTATGATTACATTTTGAAAAAGATTTCAAAAAAAAAAATTTTATTTTTTATTAGAAAAATGTGAAAAAGGGGACAAATCAGCGGAAAAAGGGAAAAAGGTGACAAATCGTCAAAAAAGGTGAAAAAAATGATAAAATTGAAATAAGGGGACAAAAGGGGAAAAGGGAACCAACTGTGATGTCTGTAATTATTATTAACGAATTCGTATTATTAAAAGTATCAAAAGAAAAGAACTATAAAGAAAAGTAAAGAACTATAAATAAAATATAGTTTATCGATTAATATTTCTTTGTAATGCGTATGATAAATTAACCTAATTACATTTTAAATCACTTGTGTAATATTGTGTAATAAAAATTAAAGAATTAAACGTACTCTATTGGCATCGAGGTATAATATTTCCAATGTTCTTTCATAGATGAACACATCGGGCGGAACATCGTAAAGATTGCAATGATTCAATTGCAATTCACAAATATCTTCTTCTTGTGCTCTTAAGCATGCAGCGCATTGCCACCAAGAACTACCCATTTCACATTAAACTGGATTTTTTTTATCAGCCTTTATGGTTCCTGTACTATTTTCATTAATTATTACCAGGATTATTACTTTTTACAATAGAACATAATTTTTAAAAATTCAAAAAAAAAAAACTCACCCTAAACAAGTTTAAAAATGCTTTCCTTCCAAGAATGTTGATTGGTCATTGATTAACAGAAGAAACAATTAATTGCTTGACGTAAGCACAATAAATAATTGTCAGTCAGTGCAAAAAAAATGAAGCATAAATGAAATCATTTTCTTCGAGCCGGTCGCGTCGATTTAGGGATCATCATTTTGATCGCACAAATTTATGTAGTGAACATAACTATTGTCCGCATCTTCTGTATTTTCATCTTGAGAATATTGAATAGAATGACAAAGAAACTCACTCGTTTTTTTGGAAGACTGATAGCGTACTGTTCGCTATTGTTATAATTAGCACACAAATCACAAAATTCTACTGACTACTACTACTAACACTTTTGATATCGATTGATGTGGCAGCAAGTAGCAATAAGAAAGCGATACACGCCATTGGTAAAATAACTTTATAATTCATCCAAAAAAAAGTAAATTTCACAAATATTTTCAAATCAAGTTTCTTGAGAGGTGATTTTAGATGATTAATGTTAAAAATAGTATCTTAAAAGTAAACATCAAGATTCATCACTCATTGGATTGTCTCTAAAAAAACTAACCTGTTTAGTTATCGATTACTTCGATCCTTCGATATATCGAATAATGGCGGAATTTTTGAATTCTTTTTGTGTAAATTATGTTTCTTTTAATATTATTTATATTATTTCTCAAAATAAAATATGTTTAATAAAAAATTAATTTTTAACAAAAAGAAATTTAAGGGAAGTTAATATCACTCAATTGTTAAAACGTTGAAAACTTTGATAAGAGAAAAGCGAGAGAAGCGCAGGGCGCCATTTTCCTTAAGCTCTGTTCATATCTCAAAATGCTCTCGCGCATACAAATATTTTACTTTCCCAACTCTGAGAATAAGTTTAAATCTGTCAATTACTCAATTGTCAAACGATCGCCGCAAACAATCAACAAAATAAAAAGATCGCCACGAACATACAGATAGGATTAATAAAATGTTCATAATTTAATTAATAATGGAATAATGCCAATAATCAAGAATTAGCCTGAAAATAGGTATTCGAAGCCACAAAACAAAGAAGAAGAAAAGTAATTACAATTAAGGTAACTAAATTTTTGTCCGTTTTATTAATATTTTGTTTTAAATATCCACAGTATGTTTATACTTTTATATTAATATTTATTATTTTACTTTAAGTATTAAATAACTAGTTTATACTCTGTTAAATCACATTATCCTTTGGTTCCAATCTTACGATTTTTAGTTTGTGTTTTTGCACTGTCACAAGAACAGGTTGTGGGAGTCATTATTTGCTTTCTAAAAGTTTTTCCGTCCTCACATGATAATTCGACAATAAGTGGCTGGTAATTTGTTGGCAAACAACATCGACAATTGATTTCTTGACCCCAAGTCACTATGTTAAATAGAAAAAAAAATCGTTTTTAATTAATATAAATTAAAATTTAATTCGTCAAGAAATTAAAGAAATATTTTCAAAGTAGGAATTCCGTGAATAATAGGAATAAAACAATAATAAATTTATTACCTCGATCAAAAATTAATTACCTTGATCAAAACGCGTTGACGATGAACAGGAACCACGACATTCTGTAAGGCCTTTAAGTGGTTTCAGATTTTTGCAGTATTGAAAGCCTCGTTTTTCGACAACGATTCCAATTGTTGCATTTAAATCTATTACATCCACCATACACATTTCTGTAAAGGGACAAATTTTTTTTATCAATATTTATTGTAAAAATCAAATTATTATATTTATAAATTAAATTTTAAATAATAAATTAGAATTATAGACAATAAACTATAAATAATAAATTAGAATTATATAAATAATAAACTATTGAATAATAAATTATAATTATAATTTCTTTTTAAATATTTCCAATTTTAAAATTAATTTATTTAAAATCATCAAATTGTTGCCAAGAATTTTATCAAAAAAAAAAAAAATTTATAATAGAATTCCTTCGAAAATTTATTTTATTATTTAAGAAAATAATTAAATTCTTGCAAAGAATTTTGTTAAACTTTTTGAAAATTTTTATTAAATTCTTTTTGAAGAATTTCTTTATATTTTTTTTAAATTATGGAGTTTCTTTAATAATTTTAATTAAAAATTATGAAAATAATTGAATTTTAAGAATAATTTCTTTCAAGTTTTTAAAATAATCGTGTTTGTTAATAATTGAAATTAAACATTTAATTATTGAATTTCAATAAAATTTTAGAAAATACCTAATATTGAATTCTTTTTAAAAATTTTATAACGATTTAAGAAAAAAAATTTTTCCTGGATTTTTTTTTTAAATAATTGAATTTTTGCAAAGAATTTTACTATTTATGAATAAAATTGAATTGATCAGAAGAATTTATTAAATTTTTAGAAAAAAATTGAATTTTTTCATAAAGTTTGATTAAAATTGTCTTAACAATAATTGAATTTTTTCATGAAATTTTATTAAAATTGTATTAAAAATAATTGAATTTTTGCAAAAATTTTACTGTTTGAAAAACAATTAAATTGTTTCAAAGGATTTTTTAATATTTTAGAAAATAGTTGAATATTTTTGAATAATTTGATAACAATTTAAGAAAAAAATTTTTTCGTGAATTTTTTTTTAAAATAATTGAATTTTTGCAAGGAATTTTACTATTTATAAATATAATTAAATTGTTTCGAAAGATTTATTAAAGTTTTAGAAAATAATTGAATTTTTTTAGAAAAAAATTATTAAAAATTTAAAAAAAAAGGAATTTTTTCACAAAATTTTATTAAAATTGTATTAAAAATAATTGAATTTTTGCAAATAATTTTACTATTTATACATAAAATTAATTGTTTCGAAGGATTTATTAAAATTTTAGAAAATAATTGAATTTTTTCATGAAATATTTTATAACAAATGAAGAAGAAAATTGAATTCTTTTGTTAAATTTTTTTGGAAAATAATTGGATTTTTGCAATGATTTTGAATTCAACAAAAAAATTGAATTCTTTCGTGAACTTTCTTTGGAAAATAATTGAATTTTTGCAAAGATTTTACTATTTGAAAAACAATTAAATTGTTTCGAAGGATTAATTTATTAAATTTATTAAGACTTTAGAAAATAATTAAATTTTTTCATGAAATGTTTTCAAAATTGTATTAAAAATAATTGAATTTTTGAAAAGAATTTTACTATTTAATAGGTATTTATATATATAATTGAATTTTTTCGAAGAATTTATTAAAATTTTAGAAAATAATTGAATTCAGTGGAAATATTTTATAACAAATGAAAAAAAAAATTGAATTCTTTCGAGAAATGTTATTAAAATTTTGTTGAATGTAATTGAATTTTTGCAAAAAATTGTTCTATTTATAAAAATTAATTGAATTCTTTCGAAGAATGTTATTATTTATAAAAAATAATTGAATTCTAACGAAGAATTTTATTAAAATCTTAAAAATTAATAAAAAAGAATAATTAATTAGTAATAGTTGTCAATTAGTCAATAGTTGAATTTTTTTTAAAGTTTGAATCTGAAATTATTCAAAAATTCATATTTTTGAAAATATAAAATTTTGTAATTTGTATGAGAATAATAATCCGAATATTACGTTCCGCGCGTAACATTTGTTAGTTACTAATAAATATTATTAAATTAAATTTTAAAAAATACTAAATGTTTAAAAAAAAAACTTACTTTCAATATTAAGAGAAGAAGTGTTACATTTATTGCAACATCCATCAATGTAAATAAATTCTTTAGGACAATTTATTAATTCTGGACAAACCATCGGACTGTTGGTGACTAAGAACTGAAATAATTTTTGTTTTTAATTTATGAAAATGCGATATAATTTCTAAAAGAAAAAATAATTTAATACCTGATTATGTTGACTAACACACTCGAAATTTGTGCAATTGTCATTTAGCGATTTCCATTTTTCTCCGGGTTTATAAATTTTTCCTTCGTATCTACATGCTGTTTTTATTATTTCTGGACAACATTTTCCAGGAATCGGTTGTCTTTCCAAAACGAAATTCTCCTCATCGAAGGGATCTATGTCTTTACAGCTTTCAGTGAATGCTTTCAATTGAGGCTGCAATCGGGCAATAATTATAAATATAATTAAAAATTAAATGTAAATTTAATAAATTTAATAAATTTACTAAATTTACTAAAATATAGATAAACTCCCACGAAAAGTTAGTGTTAGATTTTTTTCTTGGGTAAAAAGTTACTTTTTGTGCTGATGTAAATTTGAAAACAGTTTTTGAGTTATATTTTGGATGTTAAGAAAAATTGAACCAATAATTTGTGGTAGTAATTGATTCTATTTTTGTATTTTTACTCCAAAAATTTATAAATAAGAAGAAAATACTTACAGAACCATTTTCCAAATGACAAGTGTAATTAACACAATGATCATCGGATTGCCAATTGTCTCCAATATTTTTTAGATCGTCATTAATGACACACGCAATTCCGACACATTCGCCACAACAGGAAATACTGGTATTCGATGATGGTCGATATTCATATCCTTTGTCACAAACTGTATTACATTCTTGCTTCACGATTTCCTTCTGCAGTCCATTTATTCCATTGGAACATTTTTTCAGGACGCAAACATCCTGTGGATTTGGTGTCCATTTTTCTCCATCCTGAAAAATTCATCATTAACTCACAATTAATTTTCCTTTTTAGAATTTTGATTTAATTTTCTTGAATATATTTTCTTGAATTTTCTTAAATATATTTTATGTAATTAAACAAAAAGGGTAAAAAATAAATAAAATTATCAGTTATTTACTCACTTTGTAAACTTGATTATTATCTTTACATGCAGTTTTTTGATAGACAGGACAACATTCGTATGGAAGAATAACTTCCTCAAGGACGAATTCATTGACGTCTGGGTGATCCTGAATTTTCGGACATTCCTTCGTCATGCATTGTGGCATGGGCTTGTAATTTACAATATCACACGAACATGTCGTACATTTTCCATCTCTCCATTTCTCTCCAATTTTCTTTGGCGTAATGCTTTCCACAGATGAATTTGCATTTGAATCGAAAACCAAACATAAGTCCTCAGGCGGTACTAAAAATCAAAATAAAATAGTTATCGATTAATTATAATAAATGTGCTTTAATTCGTTTGCTTCTAAATTATTTTCTTTACAGAAAATAATTCTAGATTGAAAAACGAAATTTTTCTAGAATTTTCAACTAAAATTCTTCTTTAAGTCAAATTTTTAAAATAATTTTCAAAAAAGTTCTTTTTGTGTAAAATTCTCTAATATTCTTACCACATTGGTGTAAATTACAGCAAGACCCTTTTTGTTCAACGGATTTAAAATATTTTGGACACTCCTTAAATTGTGGACATGTTTCCGGTTTGCACATTTTAGACGGTTGCGGACAACAACCAGAGTCGTCTAAAATACGCACAAAACCAACTTCTAATTCATCGTCGAATAAAATTATATCACTCAAATCTGGACACTGCTCCTTTGGTTGACATTCTGAAAAAAAGTAAAATACACCAGATTAAATAAAAATAAATTACGAGATTAAATAAATGTACCGCGTCTAAATAAATAAAAGTAAACGTGAAATAAATAAAATACGAAATGCAAATAAAAGTCAATTACCGCAAATAAATTTCTGACATCCAGCAGGAGTTACGCTCGTTTTTAAAATCTGTCCAAAGCCACAGGTTGGTTTTTGTGGTTCTTCACACAAATTAGAACCTTTGTTTGGAACTGATGAGAGAAGAAAAGAAATTTAGTAACTATTTTAATTCATGATTAAATGATTTAATTAAATCATTTAGTTGAATTTAAGAAACATAGTGAAAAATACCGCAAATATATTTCGAGCAACATTCATTTTGTGATCCTGGAACTAAAGTGGACACGTAATTCTCTTGACAAACTGTTGTAACGCATTCGGTTTTCTGGCAGGTGACAGCTTTCTTATTGCAAGTGCATTTAGTGCATTTATCCGGATACCAGACATCACCCTCAACATGTCCCTCGTCATCGCAACTTAGACATTTTCGTCTCGAAATACAGGTTCCATTGTGCATCACCTCATTCTCCGGACAGTAACAACCTTCAGATAATTCATTGGGGCATTTTTTCGGTTCCAACGAGCTTATACTTTCGCAAGTCTCGACACATAAGTTCCCACACGGTCTGTACTCCAAGTCTACGAAAATTCAGAAATATTATTAATTTATTGATTTATTTATTATTATTTATTATTCAATTTATTATTATTATGCAAATTACAAAATTTTTTATTTTTAACTATGAATAGAATAGAAATTAAAAAATTGAGTATTCTTACCAGAAGGACACGAATATGGACACAAATCTTTACTTCTCCATTTCGGACAAACCCCGGCATGATTACAAGTTCTTGCGTAAGCTTCGAGATCATTACAAATATCTCCGTTATTACAGAAAGTCTCCTCACAAGATATTAAAAATGGTTCTGGATCCACGAGGCGATGACACTGTCCAAATTCCAATGAATCTAAAAGTTTTTTACACGAACTGTTCTCGGGAGATTGCGAACATTTCTTCTGTTTACTTATACAATGATCGTCATTGATCTTCAAACTCGGTGGCAAATTCGTTGCCTTCCAACTTAATCCAAATTCCGTGACGTCTTCTGTTATCTAAACAAAATAAAAAATCCATTTTATTGATTTTTCTAATTTTGCTATTGTTTTTGTTGCTCTAACTTTCGTTTTGAAAATTTTGAAAATTAAGTTTTTATTCTACGACATAGAGTAGAGCGTAAATACAATATTAAGAAATGGAAAACTAATTACATTTCCATTTTGCTGTTTGAAATCGTCGTCCTGATTTCCATTGCAATCACCACAGAGACCCTCCATTGCACCTCCAAAAGTTTGCGACGGCAGTCTGATTGTAAAAGCAAAATCGTGCTCGATGCAAACGACTTCCAACTGAATTGCTGGAATTAACAAAGTCACGTCGTTTGCCAGCGATTTCTTCAAATTCAGTCCCAGTGCATTGTAAGGTAAATCATTAATCAGTGTTTCGTCAATAAAAATTAGGAACTGAAAGAGAAAATATGATTACTTATTATTTTATTATATTTATAATATAATATTTGTTTCAATTTTATTTAATTTCAAATTAAGTACCTGCTTCAGGTTCAGATCCTTTTTAATCTGTATCACGTGAGATTGGTACAGAACGGTAATTGATTCTGTACAAACACCAGAATCGCAAGGCTGTTTCGTGACAAGAATCTGAAAAATATTCATATTTTAATTATTACAATTTCTTATTATTTCTTGATTATTATACAATTAGCAAATGCTACGCGGTATTCCATGTATTATTATTTAGTAAATTAAAAAATTTTATATTTTCAAAAATAACCATCAATTTTTAAATTATTACTCAAAAATTTTGAATAAAATTTGCCGCAAGAATTTCATTATTCTCATGAATAATAAAATTCTTTAAACCAATTCAATTATTTTCACTACAATTTTAATAAAATTTCTCGAAAGAATACAATTATTTTTAAAAATATTAATTAAATTCAATTATTTTCAAAAATTTGACTATAAATTCGATTATTTTCAAGTACTTGAATATAAATTCAATTATTTTCAACAATTTTCATGAAATTCTTCTAAAAAAATTATTATTTTCAAAATTTGTAATAAAATTCCTTTAAAAAAATTCAATTATTTTCAAAAATTCAGATTAAATCCTTCGAAACAATTTAATTATTTTTATCAATTGAAAAATCCTCTGCTAGAATTAAATTATTTTCATAAATAAAAAAATTCTTCGCAAGAATTAAAATAATTTTTATAAATAATAAAATTCTACAAAGAAATTCAATTATTTTCATAGATAATAAAATATTTCGGAGGAATTCAATTATTTTCAAGAATTTTAATACAAATTCAATTATTTTCAACAATTCTAATAAAAAATTCTTCGAAACAATTCAATTATTTTTATAAATAATTGTAAAATTCTTGGCAAGAATTCAATTATTTTTCTGAATAATAAAATTCTTTTGAGAAATTCAATTATTTTTAATACAATTTTAAATAAATTTCAGAGAAAAAATTCAATTATATTCAAGATAATTTTAATGAAATTTCTCTAACAGGTTCAATTATTTTTAAAAATTGTAAAAACATTTTTCTAAACAATTCAATTGTTCTCAAAAGTTTTTAATAAAATTCTTTGGAAAATTTCAATTATTTTCAAAACTTTCAATTAAAATTACTATAAAAAATTACATTATTTTTACGAAATTTAATAAAATTCTTCAAAAAAAAAATGTAATTATTTACAAAAACTCTAATAAAATTGTTTAAAAGAATTTAATTTTCTATGAATAATTTTAATATAATTTAATTGGAAAATTGTTAATTACAATTAATAATAAACACGATTATTTTAAAAACTTAAAAGAAATTCTTCTTAAAATTCAATTATTTCAAAAATTTACAGTAAAAATTATGAAGAAAAAATTCATTACTTCAAAGAATTTTAATAAAAATCTTTCTAAGAATTAAATTATTATCAATATAATTTTAATTACATTTTCTCGAAAGAATTCACTTATTTGTAAAAAGTTTAATAAAATTATTGAAATAAATTCAATTAGATTCAAATTTTTTTATTAATACTTTACAAGAATTCAATAATTTTCAGTGTACATCAAAAATTTAATTATTTCTAAAACTAATTGAATTCTTGAACAGAATTTTATTAAAACTTTTTTAAATAATTGAAACCCTGACAAAAAAAGTTATTTTTTCTGCAAATAATTGAATTTTTGCGAAATTTAAAAAAATATGTGAATTTTTGAGTCAAATTTTATTAAAATTGTATTTAAAATAATTGAATTCCTGTAAAAAAATTTACTATTTATTGATATAATTGAATTCTTATGAAGAATTTAAGAATAATTTAATTTTCTCTAGAATTAAATTAAAATTGTATTTAAAATAATTGAATTGCTGCGAAAATTTTATTATTTATGAAAATAATGGAATTCTTGAATTGGATTTTATTAAAAGTTTTTTAAATAATTGAATTCCTGTGAAAAATTCAATTATTTTTTAAAATAATTGAATTTTCTCGGAGAATTTTTACAAGATTTTTAAGAATAATTGAAATTTTCGAAGAAATTAATTAAAATTGTATTGAAAATAAGTGAAATCCTGATAAGAATTTTATTATCTTTATAAAAATAATTAAATTTTTTACGAAGATTTTCATTATTTATAAATTGACTAAAGAATTTAATTAGAATTATTGAAAATAATTAAATTCATCATAAAATTCAATTATTTTCTAATTTTTTTATAAATACTTTACAATAATTCAATGATGAAGTATCAGTACATTAATTAAAAAATTTTAAACATTGAAAATGAAAAGTTATTTAAAAAGTTAGGAAACAAAAAAAGCAGAGAATAACTTCAAACTGTGAAGAGATTATCGGAATACAACGATTATTAATATAGAAGATTTCTTAGTAAGAATTTTCTCACCTGATAAGTGTGGCTACTAGGTTCTTTTTTAACACTATTAACAGCGTCGCGTGACAGAACAAAAGTACAATTGCCATCGAAAACAAAATTCTTTCTGTCGAAAGTGACGAATTTTGTGTTACCAAATCCGTCACAAATGCAATCTCTGCATTCGGTTGGATGCACACAGTCCTCACCATTTCGAACCATTCCCGCAGGGCAAAAGCAACCGGAGAAACAAACGCCCTTCATTTTTGGACACGGATCTACTTCTTGTAAAGTATTACAACAAATCTCGCACTTGTGTCTAAAAAAAGAAAATTTTACGTACAAATCTATTGTTTTCATTTATTTCTTAATCTATTTTTTACTTTTTTTCTGAATCTAATCTTCAGAAATTGTTTCTTCTTTCAATTTCATAAATTTACCTGAAACAATCATGGTGAACAAGTGGAGCTCTGCAATCAATTTGGCAATTATGAATATTTCGCCAATTGGAGAGATCAATGTCCTGATCACTGGCTTGGCACTCCGTGACAAATGAGGTCATTATTCGACATCGGCAATCGTCGAAAGTCGAATTACTCTGCAAACAAGTGCAAGCAGTTTCCAAACAGCGAGAAACAAATTGATCCAAATTCACAACTCCGAAACAAACAGCCATTGAACGGTCCTTCACCGCATTACACATCTTCCAAGCTTTCTCCTGAACGTCTTTGGAACACACCTGAAAGTAGAAATTCAATATCTATTCAGCAATTTCAAATATAGGCAAAGAATTTATAATAAATGGCGTTAAAAAAAATGTTTGAGGCAAAAAAAAGAGACGTTTTTTAAAGCAAAAAAAAAATTTTTTTTTTTTTAAATCACCTGCAGTTCACATTCCGGTGTACCGTCAATAATCCAACTGTTACCAAAATCCAAAGCTCCTTTAGCCTCCGTTCCATCTGGCTTTTGTCTATCATTATTTAAATTTCCATCGAAGAATCCACACAAACCGTCAACTTGTCCGAATAATTTCACAGAAATTCCAATTTTCACATTCGAGTTTGAATCGAATATCACCCAGAAACCATAGCGATAGGATATAAAGTACAACACATCACCAACTCTCGATATTCGGTAAATTCCACTATTTTTATCGTTAAATTGTTTCATCTGAGTTGGAGTGAATGCAAAATCATTTATCATTGTATGCATGTCGGGATAGAGTATAAATAAATCGTTGTCCATAACGATTACTAAATCCCTTTCGCAAGGTCGATGATTTCCTGAACACTTCTTCTCCACTGAAAACAACGTTCATTAAATATCAGTGTGATCACAATTTTCAGTTTATTTCCCTGACAATGAACTTTTATTTTATTTATTAATTTTTATTGACATTAAAATTATTTTTCCTGTCAAAATTTATTTTACAGAAAAATATAAAAGTTTATGGAAAATGAGTAAAATTTATGAATTTTAATAATTTCTAGAAATTATAATTATTTGTGAATTCAATTATTTTCTATAATTTTCAACTAAACTTCATCTCTAAATAAATTATCTATATTAATTTTTAATAATTTTCCGAAAATTCTTTTAGAATTCAATTATTTAAATACAAAAACTCAATTTTTTATAATAAATTGTAACTGTCCGTGTTTTTCTCTTAAGGTAAAATATATTTTCAAAGAATTATAATAATGAAATTCTTACAATTAATTTTTTTAAAAGTATTTTACAATAATTTTTGAAAGATTTAATTTAATTATATTTGGTTTTCTAATTATAATTATGTACAATTGAAAAATTTCCAAACAATTGAAATTTGGTAAAATCTTTTAAAAATAATTGAATTTTTAAAAAATATAAATAAAAATAATCAAAATTTTTTAAGAATTTTAATTATAAATTTTTAATAAGTCTAAAAAAGTACATTTTTATAAATTTCTATTCACTTTGATCGAAGATAATTGAATCAAAAAATTTTGATGAAACAATTCTAAGAATTAGTTTTTAAAAATATTTTAAAGTAATTTTTCGAAGATAAATGAATTTCTTAAAAGAATTTTTGTATTTATTTAAAAAAACTAATTAATTTTTTGATGAATTTTAATGAAAAATTTTTAACATAATTTTTTTCTCCAAAATATTAAAAATGATTCTAAAATATTATTTTTTGTGTGTAGTTGAATTTTCGGAAATATGTAATGGATAATTAAAAACTTTAAATAATTAAAAAAAATTACATTAAATTTATTGAGAAAAATTAATTCTCTAGAATTCTTAATTAAAAGTATGAAAAGTTCAAATTTTCAAAGATTTTAATTTGAAATTCATTTTCAAATCAATATGTATTAGAAAATTCTACGAGAATTCAATTATTTAACTAGAAAAACAAATATTTTATTGAACAATTAAATGTTTCTTAAAATTGAATTTTCATAAAGAATTTTATCAACAAATTTTTAAATAATTGAATTCTCTTGACAAATTTTAAAAAATAATTTTATTTTTCGAGAAATTTGATGAAAATTACATTAAAAATAATTGAAATTCTGAGATGAATTTTATTATTTATGAAAATAATTGAATTCCTTAATAGAATTTTATTAAAATTTTTTGTAAATAATTCAATTTCTGCAAAGAATTGTGTTTTTTATTAAAATAATTAAATTCTTGGGAAAAATTTTTGGAAATAATTGAATTTTTACCAAAGAATTTTGTTATTTATTAAATAATTGAATTGTTTCGAAGAATTTTCTCATTTATAAAAATAATTGAATTCTTGCGCAGAATTTTATTAGTGATGAATTTGAATTTTTAGGAGAATTTTATTAAAATTTTTGTAAAGAATTCAAATTTTACGATGAATTTTATTTTTACAAAGATAATTTCATTTTTGTCAATTATTTGTTTAAAGTTTTTGAAAATAATTAAATTTCTGCAAAGAATTTTTTTATTTATGAAAGTAATTGAATTATTTTAAAGAATTTTTTTTTAAATTTTTGGCAATAACTCAATTTCTACGATGAATTTTTTTTTTTAAAGATAATTTTATTATCGTCAATGTTCAAAGTTTTTAAAAATAATTGAATTTCCGACAAGAAATTTATTATTTTTGAAAATAATTGAATTCCTGTGATGAATTTGTTTTTTTATAAAAAAATAATTAAATTTTTGGGTAAAATTTTGTTAAAATTTTACGAAAGGGCTTTAAACCTGTTAAAAATTTAATAAATAAATAAAAATTGTTGAATTTCTTTAAAGAATTTTATTATTTTTGAAAATAATTAAAATTTTGCCAAGAATTTTATTAAAATTTTTGAAAATAATTGAATTTCTCCAATCATTTGTAATTGCTTTAAAATTCAATTTGTTTTAGTGTTTTTAACTAAAATTCCTTTATAAATCCATTATTTTTAATAAAAGTAGTCAAATATACTATTAAAAAATTTAACTAATTTCAGAAGAATTTTAGTTTTTAATTTTTTTTAAATCTACGTTTTTTTATATTTCTAATAAAAATCATTTAAAATTTAAATTTTACAAAATTTTAAATCAAAATCTTTTAAAGTTCAACTACTTATGAAAATTGTAAACGCAATTCTTTTAAAATTGAAATAATTTTGGAATATTTAAGTCAAATTAGATTTCAATAATAAACACAATAACTTTAGAAAACAACAATGACTTTGGAAAAATTCGGTAAAAAGAGAATTCTTACCTGAAATATACCAACGATTGGCGTAACGATCTCGCGCTAAAATATGATTGCAGATATCAAATTTGTATTCCATATTGTCGAAAGTATTGAAAGTTCGGCCATTAACTTTACAGTCGACTTCGGTTGGCGGTGGTGGTCGACAAGTATATCGTGGACAATCCTCAAATTTGTACATACTCATTTTTTCGAAAATTATTTCATAACTCGGCGGACATTCAATTTTTGGACACGTCTTCGGCTTTTGTCCTTCGAAATCGGGTGGCGGTCGATTGGAAATGCAGGAGAATTGAGGACACTCGATGTCTTGTTCTAATCTGAAATTTGTAATTTCCAAATTACGCGCTCTAAAGAACGGTATATAAGAAGCAGAAAAAGAAATTTCTGTCTAATTTCAAAAAATAGAAAATTATTACTCTTTATCTTTCTCCTCTCTATAATTGCTATTTCCGCCTTTTACTCCTCGATTATCGTCTTTTACTCCTCGATTGCCCCCTTTAACGCCTTTAATTCCTCCCTTGACTCCGTAATTTCCTCCCTTCGTGCCCTTCACTCCGGAATTTCCGCCTCTTTGTCCATATCGATATTCCGCATATCTGCTTGTATATTTATTGGGTCTTCTTATTTTTTTCTGAACCACTTTGTAACCCGGTGGGCACGTTGGTTTTTCACACTCACCCTGAGGAGCTATATACAAAAAAATTGAAATAAATTTATATATTAAGAAATTTTTTTTAGAATTACTATTATATTTACGAAATACAATTACCAATTGTTGTTTTCACTGCAATTGTCGTCGCCAACGGCGTCAAAGTTGTGGAAACTGCACAATTTTTCTCATCGTCTGGACAATCTTGAATTCCGTTGCACCAGGATGTTTCATTGATACAAACATTACTTGTGGGACAAAGTCGAGTGCCAGGTGGACAGGGTTTACAGACACATCCACATAATTCTGTGACGATTGATTGGAAATGTGGTTCCTTGCAAGGTTCACAAATTTTCTCACGACAAGTTGGAATGCCTCCCATCGTGCACAGACACTCCTGACAATCTTCCGTTTCATAAACCGAACCAACTGCGTATCTACAATTAAAATTAAAACATTTTAATATTCAAAATTATTTAAAATCGTAAATTAATCACGAATTAATTTACTAAATCTATTCGTTAATTTTCACTATATTGTAATTATTTTCTTAAACTTACGGCATGTGTCCAACAACACAAGGACATTCGTCATTTACAACGCAATTCTCTCCGTCCCACCAAAGTGAATTTGAACAATTACAATTTTCCTTCGTTGAAACATTAATTCCAGAACAGACATTGCAATTTACATCCGGCGGTTTTGACACTAATTTCTCGAGTGGTTTTGAAGTTGTCACTATAGCTGAAATCCCAAAGAAAATTGTTGTCATATTCAATGGTTTTTATATTCTAGTAAACAAAAAGTAAACCAAAATAATATAATTACCATATGGTACGAAACATCCTCGAATTTCAGCTTTGAGACCAATGTGATTGTGCCACTTGACGGGATGTATTCTGAGGAATCTCGCATTTAAAGGACGAGTGAAATAATTTGTTTTCACAGAAATATCGTCGATATTCGCCAAGAATAGTTTTTCATTGGAAAAATCGTCAACAACTGGATTCCATTGTTTACCATCGATACTGTAGAATATTTTATAGGCAGTTGTCCAAATATTATCAGCTCCTTTAGTATCGACACCAGTTATATTTTTCGCTTCCAAGAAATCAAATTGAACAAATTGTTCCAAATTGTCCAATTTTGCTCGCCATATTCCCACAGTTGATAATTTTAAATTTGGCAATAATTTCTCGTAAGACGACGACGAAGTTATTTGTTCATCCGACATCATTCCATTATCCAAACCCATTGTATCGTTACAGACTGAAAAGTATATTTTACAAAATTAATATTTTTTCCAATCATAGTATTCCAAAACTATTCAATTCAAAACAGAAAATTTATTTCAAACTACTTATTTCTAAATCAGGACTCGAACCAGTGAAAGTATTTCAAAATACAGACTTTACGGACCAAAAATTGAAAATTCCGGACCAATTTCTGACCAAAATTTAACCAAAAATTTAGTCCGAGTCAAATAAGAGAAAATTTTACTTTAAACTATAAATTAAATTTTATCATAACTATAAAACATGAAGAAATTGACCACTCGAACATTGAGTGTTCGATTTCTTCATATTTTATAATAATTAAAGATGCAAATTAATAAAATTATTATTTTATATTATGAGAATATTGTAATTCTTCAAAATTATTTTTATAATTTAAATTCAATTATTATTTTCAAGAATTTTTAACTAAAATTCTTCTCTAAATCGATTATATTTAATAATTTTCGAAAAAGTTCTTTGACAATTTTGAAATCCATTTTTTTACAATATTCAATTTTACGAATTTCAATTATTCGTAAATTCTTCAATTAAAAATAACATTAGAAAATAAAAACTTCAAATTTTTAAAAATAGTTAAAATTTTGCTAATTTTTAAATTAAACCTTTTCTAAATTCAATTATTTCTAAAAATAATAATATTCAAATTATTATGTAAAATTATAACTAAAATTCATTTATAAATCAATTGTTATTAGAAAATTCTACTAGAATTCATTTATTTAAATACAAAAATAAATAATTTATTGATTGAATGTTTCTTCAAATTGAATCTTCGTAAAGAATTTTATCAAATAAATTTTTAAATAATTAAATTCTTTCAACGAATTTTAACAAAATTTTTAAAAATAATGAAATTTTTCAGAAAATTTATTTAAAATTAAATTAAAAATAATTAAATTTTTCAGAAAATTTATTTAGAATTGAATTAAAAATAATTGAAATTCTGCGAAAAGTTTTATTATTTGTTAAAATAATTGAATTCCTAAGAAGAATTTTATTATTTTTTAACATAATTAAATTTCTGCAGTAATTTGTAATGCGAAAAATAATTTATTGAAAATTGAATGTTTTTTAAAATTCAAATCTCATAAATAATAATTAAATCAACAAATTTTTAAATAATTGAATTCTTTCGACGAATTTTAACAAAATTTAATATTGTATTAAAAATAATTGAAATTCTCCGAAAGCTTTTATTATTTGTGAAAATAATTGAATTCCTAAGAAGAATTCTATTATTTTTGAACATAATTAAATTTCTGCAATAATTTGTAATGCAAAAAATTAAATTATTGAATAATTGAATGTTTCTTAAAAGTATAATCTTATAAATAATTATATCAACAAATTTTTAAATAATTGAAATGTTTCGACGAATTTTAATAAACTTTTCAAGAATAAATTACATTTTTCGAGGGATTTGATTAAAATTGTATTTTGAAAATAATTGAAATTCTGCAATGAGTTTTATTGTTTATGAAAATAATTGAATTATAGCAAAGAAATTTACAGAAAATTTGTAAATAATTGAATTCCTGAGAAATTTTTATTATTTTATGAAAATAATTAAATATTTGCCTAGAATTTTATTAAAATTTTTTAAAATAATTGAATTTCGGAGATGAATTTAATTATTTCTAAAAATAATTGAAATTTTGACGAGAATTTTTAAAATTTTTACGGACCCAGTTCGAGCTCTTCAAAATAGAAAATTAATTATCTAAATAGAACAAAGAAATAAGAATCAAAAGCGAAAAGATTATAAATATTATCGAAAAAATTGAAAATAACCTGGAGGAATTTCCGTTCCAATGAAAATAGTATCAGTGGTAGTTGCCATTATGTTTGTCGGCTCGGATATTTCTTTATTGTGATTACAGCCGAGTAATTGTGCTCGGATAGCGATTCCTTTGTGCCACGTTTGCGGAACTATCCGAACAAATGAAGCCTCAATCGGTTGATTGAAAATCTGCTGAACCTGTTTTACTTTATCAATCGGTCCTTGAAAAACAAATGGATCTCCGTTTTTATCGATTATATACGAGAACACTAAACCATTTTCAGAGTACATTAAATGATAGCTTGTCACGTATTTATCATCTGACGAGCTTCCTTGTAAAATAATTCCATAAAGTGCCTCTGGTTTCGCTAATTTAATTTCCAGCCTAAAAATAATAAATTCATAATAAAATCATAATTCGTAAATTTTTTAACTGAAAATGGAAAAGTATTTATAATTCAAAAACCTCAAAAGTATAATAAAAATTGAAGGAAAAGAATAATAAAAATTGTCTCACGGACCATTGTTTCTTGTCAAGATATTGTGGTTGCCAATTCTTTAGATTTAACGGATCCTTCGTCGATTTGTCCATTAAAACCGAATTTTCAGGTTTGTGAGATAAACCTTTGGAACTACTCGCAGCGTATGATAGAAAATCTTTCGGCACTAGTTTCGTCAACCAAATATAATTTTCCTTTTCACAGACTTTCGGCGGAGAGACTGTACTCGTTACAATTAAAGTCGTTTCTCTCTCAGTGGTCGGTGACCTGTAAATAAAATCTTTTAATCTTTTAATTTAATAAAAAATTTGTTTAAAAATGTGACGAGCTCATAAAAAGTACCCAAAAAAGTACATCACGTCATATTTTTTATAGAAAAATTTCTTACGTGGATTCACTAAGATTGAGGCAACCCAAAAGTTCAAATCGAATCGAAATTGCATTTGACCAACTTTCAGGTTTAATTTTGACAATTTTTGCCAGAATCGCATCATCAAAGACAAATTTACTGGTAACAATTGGACTGTGAGTTCCTTTAAATAGCTTAGGAGTATTTAGACTCGTCTTCAATGGTTTAAAATTTTCAATATCTCCGTCCGGCGAATAGAAAATATAGAACGATTCGACAAATTCTTTATAAAACGGACTTCCTTGAGTAATTATTCCATAAATTGCTGTCGCTTTAGGAAATTCCACCGAAATCCATTGATTTCTGTTCATTTCCCTCGGAGACCAACTTCCTGTTGAAAATACAGAATAAATTCAACAATTAAATTGAAAGAATAAGAAAAAAATGACTAATAATTAATTATTAATCTAGTAATCAAAAATTCAATTTCTTTCAATTAAATTGAAAGAAAAAGAAAAAATGACAATTAATTATTAATCTATTAAGTAATAAAAAAATTAAAATTAAAATTATTTACCAGCGGAATGATCAGAAACTTTATTATTCAATATCGCAAACGATGGTTTGTACTTTTCGCTCAAAATGCTGCTGGACTTAAATGCTCCACTGGGTAAAGGATTTCTACCATTAACGAGAGGAATAAAATGCGCCTCATCGCAGTGCATTGGAATTTCCGTTACATTCTCCACACACGAGGATTTGTCACAAGTATAATAATTATTTATACATTGACATTTTTCACAGTTCGATTCATGAACGACCATTCCAGGTTTGACGAGTTCCTCTCTATGCGAGATACACGGACAATCGGAAATACTCACACAAGTAGTTTTATCACGCCAGAATTTATTTGCTGGACACAGCGGTTCATCAATCGGTGTGCAACCTGAAATCGATTTAATTTCCAAATTAATACATTTTTTAGATAAACTTAAAAAATAACTAAATAAAATAACTAAAAAAATTTAAATAAAAAATTACTCACCTGGTATACAATCGGAAACATCATTACAAATTCCATCCTTTTCCAGAGAATGTCTATAATAATCGCAAGTCTTCGAACACTGTACAGCGCATTTATTCCAAAATTCACCTGGTTTACATATTTCTGTAAAAGAAAATTCGTTTAATTAAAAAAACAAGTTTATTTTTGGAAAAAAAATTATTTACGACGCGCTGTCAAGTACCTTTTTTTGGGAGCATTTACTAAATATTAAATTAATAAAATAAAAACAAATTTACTAAATAAAAAAAAAAATTAAATTAAATTTACTAAATAAGTGAAATTAAAAATTTCCTTACCATAACCGACAGTTGCAATAGTTTCTTTAACGAAAATCTTTTCCGTTGTTACGTTAAAGGAGCATTCGGGTCTTATTAGAAGAACACTCTTTGGCCAATCGCAAATTTGAGTTTGAGGATTGTAAAACATATTGGGACCACAAGTTTTTTCTACTAATTTCGTTCCATCTACTTGAGGAACGCACTGGTAGAATAAATGACAATCGGTTGGATGTATTTGATTTGGTCGATTAACATCACACGTTGTTGATATCTGAGTCGTCGTCGTCGTCGTTACAAATTGCGTCGTTTCTAACAGGAGAAAAAAATTTGTTATTACCTTTTTTCGTTTTATCACAAAAATGAGTAAAATAGTAAAATTATCATAAAAAATTAGTAAAAAATGCAAATGGTCTAAGCAGGCATCACAGTTGGTCCCCTTTTTCCCCTTATTTCAATTTTTACACCTTTTTCCCTTTTTTTGCTGATTTGTCCCCTTTTTCACCTTTTTCCAATCAAAAATAAACAAGTTTCTCTTTTTTTGAAATATTTTTCAAATTGTAATCATAAAATTTAGATTTAATTTCAATATTGAATGAATTTCATTAGAAATTCTAAAGAACTTAAATTTGTGCAAAAATTTTCAAAATTTAAATAATTCTGAAATTAGTTAAATTTTTTAATATATTATATATATATTTAATAATTTATTAAAAATAATGAATTTATCGGGGAATTTTAGTTAAAAACCCAAAAACAAATTGAATTTTAAAGCAATTACAAATGATTGCAGAAATTCAATTATTTTCAAAAATAATAAAATTCTTCGCAAAAATTCAATTATATTAAAAAATTTAAAGAAATTCTCATCAAAATTTCAATTCTCTTTATAAATAATAAAATTCTTCTTCGAAATTCAATTATTTACAAAAATTTTAATAAAATTCTTGGCAAAATTTCAATTATTTGCAAAAATTTTCTACTTAAACGTTTAATTATTTTCATAAATAATCAAAATCATCGTAAAATTTCAATTATTTTTAGTACTTTGCAATAATTCTATTATTTTCACATATAATCAAAATCATCGCAGAATTTCAATTATTTTTATAACAATTTTAATCAAATACCTCGAAAAATGTAATTATTTTTAAAAATTTTATTAAAATTCGTCGAAAGAATTTAATTATTTAAAAGTTTGTTGATAAAATGCTTTACGAGAATTCAATATTAAGAAACATTCAATTATTCATTGAATTATTGTTTTGCATTACAAATTATTGCAAAAATTTAATTATGTTAAAAAATAATAAAATTCTTCTTAGACATTCAATTATTTTCACAAATAATAAAATTTTTCGCAGAATTTCAATTATTTTTAATACAATTTTAAATAAATTTTTTGAAAAATATAATTATTTTCAAAAATTTTGTTGAAATTTGTCGAGAGAATTCACTTATTTAAAAATTTATTTGATAAAATTCTTTAAGAGCATTTAATTTTAAGAAACATTCAATTAATAGATTATTTATTTTTGTATTTAAATAATTGAATTCTAGTAGAATATTCTAATAAAAATTGATTTAAAAATGAATTTTAGTTAAAATTTCGCAAAATTCGCAAAATTCGCAAAATTTTAACTATTTTCAAAAATTTTCTACAATTAAATGATTTTCAATATCTACTATTTTAATAAAATTTTCTAAAAGAATTCAAATATTTAAAATAAATTTAATTATTTTCATAAATAATAAAAATTCCACAGTAATTCAATTATTTTCATGAATAATAATATTTTTACAGGCATATAATTATTTTCACAAATAATGAAACTCATCGCAGAATTTCAATTATTTTTAATACAATTTTAATCGAATTTTTCGAAAAATCTGTAATTATTCTTAAAAATTTTTTTTAAATTTTTTGAAAGAATTTAATTATATAAAAGTTTGTTGATAAAATTCTTTACGAAAATTCAATACTAAGAAACATTTAACTATTCAATCAATAAATTATTTATATTTGTATTTAAATAATTAAATAATTGAATTCTCTGAGAATTTTCTAATAAAAATTGATTTAAAAATAAATTTCAGTTTAAATTTTAGATAATAATTGAATGTTAAAAGCAAAACATGAATTCTTATAAAAAATTGAATTTTAAAAAAGTTTCAAATTAAAATCTTTGAAAATCTGAATTTTTCATATTTTTAACTAACAATTCTGTAGAATTATTTTCTTTTCAAAAAGTTTTTAGACTAAATCGCAGAATATTCTTTAGCGAAAAAGTCAAAATTTTGTCTTGAAATCAGGGAAAAGTCAGAGAAAAACAAAATTAAATTTTTGTAGCAACTCTGATTAAAATCGAATCATTTTTAAAAAATTTTCTGAAAGCTATATATAATAAAAATTTTGAATTATTGCAAGTTGTATAAACTAATAAATTTTTATCCCCTTTTTGTTCCCTGTTTGGGAAAAAAATTCCCCTTTTTGCCTTTTTTGAGGAAAAAAGGTACTGTGATGCCTTTCTAAAATTAATACAAAAAAAAAATACCTTGATTACAACGGCACAAAACGCTAATTTCAAAATCTGCACAAGGAGGTTCAGTTGGCTTGGACCGACAGTAAAGTCCCCTTTCCAAACTGCACTCGACGTCTAATCCTGTTTCTTTTGGAGTTTTGTGCGATCCAACAGTTCGACACTTAATATCGACCATTTCCTCCGGAGAACAGACGACTGAAGACAACTGGAGCTAAAAGAAAGGAATTAGAAGAAGCGTCATGTCTAAAAAGAAAAGAATTAATAGAAGAAAATTATTTACCAGTTCAATTGACGATGGCAATGGTTCAATGTCAAAAACTTTTCTCCCCTTGATAGGAACATCTCTATTTAGCCACGGTGTCCATCCGTCAGTACATTTTCGTGACTCCTCGTTTGGAATTGTTGGTTTTGGCGCAACTGTCGTGCAAGGTTCGCCCTTGCAAATTACATTTCCCCGACTGCAAAAGCAAGTGTGACACTCGTCTCCTTTCACCTTATCTCCTTCTTTATAAGTTACCTGTAAAAATAATCAATCTTAAATAATCCAAATTAAGTCCAAGTTAAATTAAATTAATCTCAATTTTTTAAAAATTTAAGAAATTTAACAATTTTAAAAAAATTTTTAAAAAATTTTTAAACAAATTTAAAATTATTAAAATCAATAAAATCAATAAAATTCTAACCCCATCGATTTCCAAGCAAATAGGATTGCAAACTTCCTTGGGAACACACTCTAAATAACTAGCATTTGCGTAAACGTGTCCCTTTTCACACGGTTTCGTTAAACAACCCTCGACGCAATTATCCTGACCGCACAAATGTGACGAATCTTTCAGTGTAAATAAATTATCACAAGTTTCTTGAGGACAAGTTGAAATACACGGCGAATAAGAACTGCAAGTCTTGTCACATTGAATGGGACACAAACTTTGTGATCGCCATTTTATAGCAACTCCTCTCGAATTACATTCTTGAGCGTAGGCCGACAAAGCAGTGCAAAGACATTCGCAATCACCGCCTGAAAGGAAAAAAATTCACTCAAAAAAAACAAAAAAAAGGTACAATTTTAATTAAAATAAATTGCAATTACAAAAAGAAATTTTCAATCGAACTATGGTAAAATAAAAATTTCCCACCTGAATCACAACCGCAAGTATCGTAGATGCAATTTTCAATATAAGAATTAACATCCACCTCCGAGTGACACTTTTTAAAGAGAGATGACTTTAAAACTCCACATTTTTGAATGGCCCAAACTCGTCGCTCGGGATTTTTTTTACAAGGATCATGAATGTCCTTTGGCTCGGGACAATAGTTATTTTTCTTCCATGAATCGGCGAAAAGATTGGCAGACACCTCCGACACTCCTCCCGAAGGCGTTTTAAAATCGTCTTCGCTATTGTCGTTGAAATCGCCACACAGACCTTTTGTACGCGACTTCCACTTTGGATCCAATCTCACGTACACTCGAGTTCCTGAATCATCGAATAAATAATAAGACTTGATCTCAATAAATAGAAAAATTAATTAAATAAATTAAAATAATAAATAATGTTAAAAATAAAATTATGACAAATGTTAAAAATAAAATTATCACTAATATTAAAAATAAAATTATGACAAATGTTAAAAATAAAATTATCACTAATATTAAAAATAAAATTATATAAAATTGTAAATTTGGAATGTACCTAGATCCCACTGAAGTACCAAGTCCAAATCTGGAACGTCCAAAAATACAAAAAGACCCGCTTGTCTAAATGCAATTCTCTTTGAATTTGTCTTCGGTAATTTCTTTCCTCTCGTCAAAGTAACGGACTCCTGACCAACGGTTAAAGTTATCGATTTCGAACACGAGACTCCGGTTGTTCCGCAAGGAACATTACGAACTGTAATGTCAAATCCTTCCTCTCTACTCAAACTTCCTTTGACTAGAACATAATCGCAAACACCTTGGAAGTCGAATAATTTTCCGTCAAAAGTTTTATAGTGCGAGTCACCCCAGACGGAACATATTCCTGAAATTTAATTTTACAATTAATTCAATGAAAATGATGATTTGCTGGTTGTTTTGTAAATTAAAAAAATTCGTTAGTAAAACATTGGAAGAAGAGTTACCTGGACAAAGGCGTTCGGTACATGTCCACTTGCCAGTTTCACATTTACAAGTATTGCACTCTTCTTGCATTGTTGAACCTTCACTGTAACTCTGTCCTCCGTGATAGCAAGGACAATCTTCTTCCTTGACGCAAACTCCACTCGGTGCGTCTAAAACGTATCCCGACTTACAAACACAACCAGGTTTACAAATAGTTGGATTTTCCGCAATGAATTCGTGCATATTTCGACACGTCCTCAACTCAAATGGTTTACAACTCGTCACTTCCAAATTTAATTTCGAACTGCAGGAGAATTTAATGTCCGCAACTGCCGGAAATTCGTCGATTTCTTCCTTAGTCGCCAATTGACAGTTCCATACACCACCTGTGTTTAAAAAAATAAATTTAATACAAAATTTAATAAAATGTAAAATTATTTTCAATACAATTATTTTGAGTAAAAATTCAATTATTTTCAACAATTCTGATAAAATTCTTCTGAATTTAAATAAAATTTTCCAACGAATTCAAATTATTTTCTAAGTATTTGCTCAAATTATTCGAAAAAATTTAATTATTTTTATAAATTGTGAAATTCATCACAAGAATTCAATTATTTTTATGAATAATGAAAATTTCCTTAGGAATTCAATTATTTTCGAAATTTTTAATGAAATTTTTGGCAAAAATTAAATTATTGTCGAAAATTTCAATAAACAAAAATGTTCGTCGCAAAAAAAAAATTTCTGAATAATTTTAATATTATTTAATAGAAAAATCGTTAATAACAATTAATAATAAACACGGCTATTTTAAAAACTTAAAAGAAATTCTTGTTAAGAAGAAGAAAATAATTCAATTATTTTCAACAATTCTGATAAAAAATTTCAATTATTTTTATAAATTGTAAAATTCTTGGCAAGAATTCAATTAATTTTCTAAATAATAAAATTCTTCTGAGAAATTTAATTATTTCCAATACAATTTTAATTAAATTCTGGGAAAAAATTTAATTACATTCAAGATAATTGTAATAAAATGTCTCTAACAGGTTAAATTATTTTTAAACATGGTAATAAAATTTTTCTAAACAATTCAATTATTCTTAAAAGTTTTTAATTAAATTCTTTGTAAATTTCAATTATTTTCAAAACTTTCAATTGAAATTACTTTAAAAAATTAGATTATTTTTACGAAATTTAATCAAATTCTTCAAAAACAAATTTATTATTTACAAAAACTCTAAGAAAATTGTTTAAAAGAATTTAATTTTCTATAAATAGTTTTATTATATAATTTAATAGGAAAATTGTTAATTACAATTAATAATAAACACGATTATTTTAAAAACTTAAAAGTATTTCTTCTTAAAAAGAAGAAAATAATTCAATGATTTTCAAAATTTAAAGCAAAAATTGTTAAGAAAAAATTCATTATTTATTAAAGAATTTTAATAAAAATCTTTCCAAGAATTAAATTATTTTCAATACAATTTTAATTAAACTTTCTCAAAAGAATTAAATTATTTGAAAAAATGTTGATAAAATTCTTGAAATGAATTCAATTATTTTCAAAAATTTTTGATAAATTCTTTGCAAGAATTCAATGATTTTCAGTAAATCGACAATTTAATTATTTCTGAAAATAATTGAATTCTTGAATAGAATTGTATTAAAACTTATTCATATAATTGAATCCCTGCGAAAAAAAATTTATTATTTCTACAAATAATTGAATTTTAGCAAAATTTAAAAAAAAAATAAGTGAATTTTTGAGAAGAATTTTATTAAAATTGTATTTAAAATAATTGAATTCCTTTGGAAAAATTTTTTATTTATTGATATTATTGAATTCTTTCGAAGAATTTAAAAAAAAAATATTTAAAAATAATTTAATTTTCCCTAGAATGCAATTAAAATTGTCTTTAAAATAATTGAATTCCAGCGAAAATTTCATTAAGTATTTTTAAAAATAATTGAATTCATGAATTGGATTTTATTAAATGTTTTTTAAATAATTGAACTCCTGTGAAAAATTCAATTATTTTTTAAAATAATTGGATTTTCTCGGAGAATTTTTACAAGATTTTTGAAAAATAATTGAAATTTTTGAAGAAATTAATTAAAATTGTATTGAAAATGAGTGAAATCCTGAAAAGAATTTTATTATTTAAATAAAAATAATTAAATTTTTTACGAAAATTTCTTCAGTTTTAGTGATACTTTTAGTGATTCCTTTTACTTTTAGCGTGAGTGACAAACCTGCACAAGTGCATAAATCCTGACCCTTGACTCCAGGTCTTACTTCACGATATCCAGCGGAAAATTCAAGACCCATGTGAAAACAGGGACACTCTCCAATTGGAATACACTCACCGTTGTTGTCCAAAGTTTGACCAACGGGACAATTGCAACCTTCCACGCACTCTTGTCGGCATTCGTGATTAAAAGAAATATCCTCGCAAGTCCTGTAAGATAAAAATCACGAATTAAAAAAATTATCACTACTGTTACGAAAAAAATTACTAACTCGATGGATAAATTAATACCTGGCGCAGCTGTTACCACAGATCTGATACTCTTGTCCACCTGAGCAATGAATTCGGCATTCTTCAATATCGTGGCGCCATAGAATTTTCACTCCTTCGTGGGCACATTCTTTGGCGTAAGCCGAGAATGTCGGACAAAGGCACAATTCGATATTCGTTTCACAAGCACACATATCGTACAAACAGTCCTTGTAAAATGGCTCTGGATCGACACTCCAGTGACAGTCTAAAGATAAAGAAAATTTTTTCTTTTAATTAACTATATTCTTCGAAGACGAAAGGAATAAAATTAATATTATTTATTTTATTTTTTGTTTAAATTAATTATATTCTACGAATTCGTCAGCTTAATCGAAAAGGACTAAAATTATTTATCAATAATTATAATCACCTTTGAAGGTATTCTTCAATAATTGCGAACAATGCGCTTCTGCAGAACTTCTTTTTTGTGGATTAACATCACACGGATGATTGGATTCTTTTTTAACAGTCGGACATTCTTCACTTGTTTTCCATTTATTACCGAATGGAATCACCGTTTGCTCCACATCCCCGTCAGGAGTGAGAAAATCGTCTTTTTGATTCAAGTTGAATGTTCCACACAAACCTTTCGTTTGTCCTAAAGAAAAAATTTAAATAAAAATTTAAATAAAATTTAATTATTTTAAGTACTTTTTGAAAGTATATTATTTAAATTTTACGTTCTCTATGTTCGAATTGATTCAATTTCTAGTCTCACCGTGAAATTCTGGCGGAGCATTTATATAAACTCGAGAGACACCATCCCACCAAATTTCCAATTTGTTCGGCAATCGTGCAACTATAAAAATACTGCTGGCAATTTGAAGCCTCACATTGGCTATTGTAGTGGGAAATTTCGTCACATCCTCCCCATCGATTAAAATTTGTCGATTTTGCTTTAGTTTTATCGCTCTATTCTTGATGCGAATTGTCACTGTTTTCGTGCATGCAGGCGAATCAGAAGTTGGCGATGAAAATCCCATGCTCTTAAACACGAAATTAATATTCACTTGTATGATAACAGGGTTGCCACAAAAATTTAATTTTGTTTTTCCTTGATTTCTAGAGAGAATTTCGACATTTTCATATTCTTATTATTTTTTCTTGAGAACTATATTTTCAAAAATATCAAAATTTAAATCTTTTTGAAATTCAATAACTTTTAAGAATATTATTATAAAACATGAAGAAGTGAATCACTCCGAGTCTTTGAGTCTTCGACTCGAAGTGATTGACTTCTTCATGTTTTTATAATAATTAAATATTTAAGATTACCCAGTGATAAAATTATTATTTTATATAAAAATATTGCAATTCTTACTTCTTCGAAATTATTTCATCATTTAAATTTAATTAATATTTTCTAGAATTTTTAACTACAATTTTTCTCAAAAGAAAAAGTTATTAGCTAAAAGTACGAAAAATTTTTAATTCCAAAGATTTAAATTTGAAATCATTTCAAAAATCAATTATTTCTAAAAATTCATGCTTTAATGCTTTTATCATTAAAATTATTATCCAAACTAATTTTAACCGAAATTCATTATGAAATAAATTTTTATTTAAAAATTCTTACGAGAATTCAATTACACAACACTAAATAATTTATTGAATAGTTGAATGTTTCTTAAAATTGAATTTTTATGCAATTAATTTAATTTATGCAATTAATTTAATTAAAATTTTACAGAAATTTATTAAATTAGAGAATTTTATAACAATTTTTCAAAATAATTGTAAACTCTTGAAGAATTTTATTAAAATTTTTAAAAATTAATTGAATTCATGAGAAGAATTTAAATTAATAATTTATGAAAATAATTGAATTCATGCAAATAATTTTTTTTAATTTTGCTTAAATAATTGAAATTTTGACAAGAATTATATTAAAACATTTGAAAATAATTGACAATTTTTTAGCATAATTTCGGAACCTATTTATAAAAATAACTTAATTAATTCTTAATGAGAATTTTTCAAAAATTTCGAAAATAATTTAATTTCAGCAAAGTAGATTATTACTTTTCTAAAGAATTGAATTCTCGTGATAAATTTTGTTATTTATCAAAATAATTGAATTTTGGAAAAGAATTTTATTAAAATTCCTTACAATAATTGATTTTTTGGGAAGAATTTTGTTGTTTATCAAGATAATTGAATTCTTTTGCAGAATTTTATTATTTATGAAAATAATTGAATTCTTTTGCAGAAATTTATTATTTATGAAAATAATTGAATTCTTGCCAAGAATTTTATAGAAATTTTTTAAATAATTGAATTCCTTCGAGAAAATTGATTATTTATGAAAATAATTGAATTCTTAAGAATTTTACAGAAATTTTTTAAAATAATTGAATTCCTTCGAAAAATTTGATTATTTATGAAAATAATTGAATTCTTTTGCAGAATTACTTAAAATTTTTGAAAATAATTGATTTTCTACGACGAATTAAAAGTTTTTTATGAAAATATTTGAATTTTTGCAAGGAATTTTATTATTTTATTGAATAATTAAATGTTTCTTAAAATTGATTTCCTTTGTCAAGTTTAAAAAAATTTTTAAGAATAATTGCATTTTTCGAGGAATTTATTAAAAATTGTATTAAAAATATTTAAAATTCTGTCATGAAAATAATTGAATTCCTAAATGAAATTTTATTATTTATGAAAATAATTGAATGTTTTCGTAGAATTGTATCAAAAATTTTTTTTCAATAATTAAATTTTTTAATAAATTTTAGAAAAATAGTATATACTGAAAATTATTGAATTGCAAAAAAATATTGAAACTAATTGAAATTTTGCAAAGAATTTCATTAAAATTTTTTAAAATAATTGAATTTTTGGCGAAAGATTATGCTATTTATAAAGATAATTGAATTCTTGACGAGATATTCGTTAAAATTTAAAAAAAAATTGAATTCCTTCATAGAATTTTATTACTTTTGAAAATAATTGAATTCTTGCCAAGAAATTTATAGAAATTTTTTAAAATAATTGAATTCCTTTGAAAAATTTGATTATTTATGAAAATAATTGAATTCTAGTCAAGAATTTTATAGAAACTTTTTAAAATAATTGAATTTCTTCGAAAAATTTGATTATTTATGAAAATAATTGAATGTTTTCGTAGAATTGTATCAAAAAATTTTTTCCCTCGCCAATTCTACTTTCCCTGACTTTTCCTTGACCTGTGACAACCCTGGATAATCAATTTTCGTTTCGGAGCGAGTCACAAATTGCTATTTTACTTACTTCGGAAATAGCGCCGGAACAAGCTGCATTTTCCACTTCGATACTGTAATTTGCACCTTTCATCAAATAATACGAGCAATGTCCCATAAAGTCAAATCGCTTTCCATCGAAAGTCGTGTAATGCGGATCGCCAACTATCGAACATCTCGCTTTGCATCGCGTTTCAGTGCAAATCCATTTTCCCGACGAACACGTACAAGTGTTACAATCCTTCGCCATACTTGTACCGGGTTTAAAAAATTTTCCCTTCAATCGACAGGGACATTCCTCCGGCGAGATGCACTTTCCATCATGTAACACTGAACCGCTCGGACAAAAACATCCTTCCTCGCAATCCGAATCGCCGTCTGTTTTCGAAGTCAACTCGGTGCCACACGATGGATGTGTCTTTGGACCGCAGGACATGTACACTTTTCCGTTTGAACAATTCAGAGCTGAAATTGACATCTAAAATTATTACTCCATTGTTTCAAAATTTTTTCTATTCTAAAAATCGTGATTTTTAAATTTTTTTTTTCAAATTTCTTAGTGACTAAAAAACGATTTTATATATTTTGTTTCTGGTCGGTTGAATTTAAAAATCGGTTTTTTACTTACGACATGTATCATTATTTCTCCATCCGGGTAAAGTGACAATTCCCCGATGAGCACAATGTCGAACGTAAACGCTCATTGTATCGCAAGCACATTTTCGTCTGTCAGAATTTTTGCAAGCACAATAATCCCAACGACACGTCACGTGCAATACCTTTAAATCAATTTCCTTCGAGCAAGCCTGATATTTTGGATCAGATAACAATTTTGTGCAGAATTCCGTAGCTTCCTGATCGTATTTCACATTCGACACACACGAGTGATCGATATTTGGATATTCGTCGCAAATTTCTGCAAAAAAGAAACAATTGTTTTATACGAGAAAAATACAAAGGAAAAAAGTACGCTTTAAACTATTAATTTAATCTATAATTATGAAATCTCAGACTTCGCACTCAATTAATTTTAAAAAAGTAGCTTTTAAACTAAAAAAAAGTAGTAAAAAAATAGCTATCAAAAAATTAAACTTGACGACCAAAAAAACTAGTTTTAGAAACTTCACAAAACTGACAAAAATTCCATTCCATACTTTTTAATTTCCTGACTTTTTCCTAATTTTCATCAAAAATATTTACTTCTTTCTTATCCTGATAACAAATTGAATTGCTGCAACGAATTATATTTTTCATGCGAAAGAATTTAAATGTTTAAAAAAATAATTTAATTCTAGCGAAGAATTTTATACAAATTTAAAAATAATTGATTTCTTTTGACTAATTTAATGCAAATTCAAATTTAAATACTTGAATACCTGAAAAATTGTTATTGTTCATGAAAAGAATTGAATTCTTACGAAGATATTTACAAAAAATTTTTTAAATAATTGAATTCTGTTTGGAAATTTTATGAAAACAGTAAATATTGAAAATTATTGAATTGCGAAAAGTTGTTAAAAATAATTAAATTTTACAAAGAATTCTATTAAAATTTTTGCCAATAATAATTGAATGTCTGTGTAGCATTTTAATAAACTTTTTTGAAAATAATTGAATTCTTGCGAAGAATTTTATTAGAATCTTTAAAAAAAAATAAAATCTTGTGAAGAATTTTCTTAGAATTTTTTAAAATAATTGAATTTACAAGAAAAAATTTATTACTTTTAAAAATAATTAAATTATTTATGTAAATAATTGAATTCTTGGCAAGAATTTTATTAAAATCTAAAAGAATAATTGAATTATTTAAAAGAAATTTAATTAACATTGTATTTCAAATAATTTATTTCTTTCGAACAATTTTATTAAAACATTTAGAAATAATTGAATTCCTGTGAAAAATTCTAATATTTTTGTAAATATAGTTGAATTCTTCCAAAGAATTTAAAAAACATTTTTTCTTAAATAATTTATTTTTTCGAAGAATTTTAATAAACTTTTTAAGAATAATTAGATTTTTCGAGAAATTCGATTAAAATTGTATTACAAATATTTGATATTCTGCAAAGAATTTTATTATTTATGAAAATAATGGAATATTTACAAAGAATTAAATGAAAATTTTCAAAAATAATTGAATTCCTGAGAAGAATTTTATTACAATTTTCTCAAATATTTTAATTCATTTAAGAAATTTTATTAAAATATTAATATAATATATTAATATTAATTTGAATATTGAAGTTTATTAAAATTGTATTGAAAATAATTAAATTCCTAGGAGGGATTTTAATATTTATAAAAAATAATTTAATTCTTGCGATAAATTTGACTCCTTATAATTGAATGGTTTAGAAAGATTTATTAAAATTTTAAAAAAATAATTGGATTCTTTCGAAAAATTTTTAAAAAACTGAATTTTTTTTCGAGGAATTCAATTAAAATTGTATTGAAAATATTTCAACTATCACAAAGAATTTAATCAAAGTTTTTCAGAATAATTGAATTTCTGCAAAAAACTTTATTAAAATTCTTTAAATTAATTAAATTCCTGCGAAAAATTTGTTATAATTCATATAAAAATTATGAAAATAATTGAAATTGTATTGAAATTTCAATTCTCATAAAGAATTTAATCAAAATTTTTCCAAATAATTGAATTCGTGGGAAAAATTTTATCAAATTTTTTCAAATAATTGAATTTTTTTTTAGAAATTTTATTGAAATTTTTGAAAGTAATTGAATTCTTTTCTAAAGACTTATTAAAATTTTAGAAAATAATTGAATTTTTTTAACGAATTTTAATAAAATTTTTAAGATTACCTACACTTTTCGAGGAACTTCATTAAAATTAATTAAATAAATTAAATTCCTGCGAAGAATTTTATTAATTAAGAAAATAATTGAAATCTTGTTGAGAATCTTATTAAAATTTTTCGAAAATAATTGAATTGTTTCGAGTAATTTGATTAAAATTGTATTGAAAATATTTCAATTACCATAAAGAATTTAATCAAAATTTTTCAAAATAATTGAATTTTTGCGAAGAATTTTGTGAAATTTTTCAAAATAATTGAATTGAATTTTATTAAAATTGTATTAAAACTAAATGTATTCTTATAAAGAATTTTACCAAAATTTTTCAAAATTGTTTTATTTCTGTGACAAATAATAGTAAATAATTTATTGAATAATTAAATGTTTCTTAGAATTGAATTTTTTCGACGAATTTTAATAAAATTTTGAAGAATAATTACATTTTTTGAGCAATTCCTGTAAAATTGTATTAAAAATAATTGAAATCTTGCAATGAATTTTATTATTTACGAAAATAATTGAATAGTTGCAAAGAATTTTATTAAAATTTTCGGAAATAATTGAATTACTGAGAAGAAATTTACTATTTATTCGAAAATAATTGAATTATTGCAAGAAAGTTTTTTTAAAATTTTTTTAAATAATTTAATTTCTGTGAAAAATTTTGTTATTTTTGAAAATAATTGAATTTTGGATGAATTTTACCAATTCTTTTTTTTAAATAATTGAATTCTTTTGCGAAATTTTTTTTTTTTTTTTTTTAAAAGTACTAGATATTGAAAATAATTGAATCGTTTTAAAGAATTTGTTTATAATTTTTGAGAATATTTTTTTGATTTCTAGTATTAGCGAATGTAAGTTAGTGGAAATTCTCAAAAAAAAACAGAAGTAGTAGCTGTTAGTGGCTGAAATCTAAAAAAAGTACTCAAATAGTAGCATAACATAAAAAAAGTACTAAATACGGTTTAAGTAGTAGAATGCAAAGCCTGAAATCTATAATTTGCAAAATAATTGTACATTTCTCGAGAGCGAGTCACAATTTCTATAACTATGAATTTTTCAGATTTACCTCCAATATTTTGTATTTTCCAACTGCTGGCAAATGTGGCGATACTTTTCGGTCTCGTCCCCTCTTTCGTTATCAAATCATCGTCAATATTTCCATTCATATTACCACAGAGTCCAACAGTTTTATTCCAAAGTGACTCGGACGCTTCAATTTGCACCAATAAATCACCGTCCCATTTTAGACTAATTCCCATTGTATCTAAATTAACGACGACAAAATGAGCCGACCAGTCAGCACGAATATTTGGCAATTGAATTGGTATCGGAAGTACTTTCCTCGCACTTTGAAGTTCCGGAATTCCGTGATTATTCCGTGAAATTGTGTATTCCTTGCCTTGAATGAAGATACTTATTATTCGATGACATAATCCTGACGATGTTTTACATTCAGGATTATTTCTCATTGTTATGGTGAAAAGTCCATTTTGCGACTCTTGCACTAATGTATAAGCGCATTCGCTTTCGAAGCTAAAAATCTCGTCGTCAAACGTTTTATAGTGAATACCACTCCACGTGATGCACATTCTTGGCTCTGGTCTTTTATTTTCTATGAAAGTCACTTTATTTTCCGTCGTGTCGTAAATGTGGTGAGGTTTCTAGAAAACAAAAATTATGTTATTTTTCTGTCTAAAGTAAAAAAAATATATTTTTGAATTTTCTCAGAATTTTTCACGAAACAAAATAAAATATATAAAAATATATAATAATTTTACATTATCATAACTAATAATGTAAAAAACAGGAAAAAATACTCACCTTTTGTCCTTTGAACGTATTGTCAAAGTCATGATGTAAAGTTGAAGGGTAAATATTTTGATAGGCTCCTTTTTGAACTCCAGAAGAATTTCCCTTATTGAATAAATCGTAGGCGGGAGTTTTTTCTTTGTCCATTGGCAATAATTTCATTCCATTTTCTTCTAGACACTGAGGAATTGGATGTGGCTCGAAAATTCCTTTATCATACATACAAGTGTACTTCACAGCCGGTGGAAATTCAAAATCAACTCCTGGTGAACAGTGAATTACACATGAATATGAATCTTCCTCGCTACTGCACTGGTAACCACCATTGAAGCCCAATTTGTCAGCAGTGCACGTATCTTCAACTGTAGAGAAAATTTACCACAATTATTTATTTTGTAAATTATAATAGAGTACTTTTTAAATTTATTTCCTTACGATATTGGCATTGAGAGCCTCGAAAATTTTGTGGACACTGACATGTGTTCATTGAAAGACAAATACCTCCGTTTTTGCAAGGCGGAGAACAAACGGCTGAAAAATTCATTAGAATTACTGTTATAGAAATAGAAATTCTTTTTCAATATAGGAAAAGTATTTTTTTTTAATTTTTGACAATTTATTATTTTTATTACTACATATTTAATTATAAGAAATTCTTTTAAACTTACGAATACAATCAGGAATAGAAACCCAATCGGCTCGTGTTGGCTGCCAATTTCCATCTTTACAAACGAGATTCGTAATTGAAGATCCGTCCGGAAAAGTGTGATTTTTCAAGCATTCGATGGTGCATCGTCTATAAAAAGAATTATATTTGCGGTTTTACTTAAAAAAAAAATTGTCAAATTAAATATTCTTTTGAATATTTAAATTGGTTTCATTAACATTTTTAATTTGGAAAAAAAGGAAATTACTTTTCTGTCTCAAACAATATGTTAGAATTGATATTTTTGAATTTGATTTTTATTAGATGAACTAGCCAAACTATCCGCGCGCAAGCGCGCGGGAATGTTGTATGGGGCTGCTTATTTTAAACAATTTAAAAAATTTTAAAGAAATAATTATTATAACCTAACAAAGAGATTTAACTAACTAAAATTCAAATAATTTCACTCAATGGTCTCAATTTAAATAGAATTTACATTACTAGACTTAAACTATGGCTAGAACAATTACAATTAGTATCTGGGTCATCTTTTGCATTGCTTATTTTATAAAGCCATTTAAAAATAAATACTTTTCAAAGAAATAATAATTATTACACAATGAAAAAAGTTTTACTTGAAATAGCGATAAGTTTCTCTAGAATAACGAAAGTATTAATTGAAGCACTGAAAAATTTCGCTACTAAAGTGAAATCTGTAGTTCATCCAGCTAAATATTTTTTGCCGTGCATAACGAAAAAAGAATTAAATTAACATCAGATTTTCTACATTCAAAAAAAAAAAAAACGAATTCAAATAGAAATTAATCATTTTACAACTTAACCAAATTCACCACAGAAATCACTGAATTCGATAATTTAGAAGAAAGTCAGACAAAAGCAGGGTTCCCACAGAATCTGGAAAATCATGAAAATGGTATGGAATTTTTAAAAGGCTTCTGGAAATCAGGGCAATCATGGAAAAGGCCTGGAATTTTTAAAAGTTTCTAAATTTTTTCAGTTTTCCATTTTTTCTCTTGAATAAAAATTCAAATAATAATAAAGCTAAATGGCATAAAAGACAAAAAAAAATGTTGAATTTTAGGCAATTCGATTTTTCGGATTTTTGATAATTTTTAATAATTTTTGATTTTTTACCAAAGAGTCGAGACAATTTAATAAGTAAAGTATTTTCCAAAAGCACAAAAATAATAAAGCTAAATCCCATAAAAGAGAGGAAAAAATGTTGAATTTTAAGAAATTCGGATTTTTGAATTTTTGATAATTTTCGATAATTTTAGATTTTTTACCAAAGAGTCGAGACTATTAAATAAGTAAAGTATTTTCCAAAAGCACAAAAATAATGAAGCTAAATCCCATAAAAGAGAGGAAAAAATGTTGAATTTTAAGAAATTCGGATTTTTGAATTTTTGATAATTTTCATTAATTTTGGATTTTTTACCAAAGAGTCGAGACAATTTAATAAGTAAAGTATTTTCCCAAAGCACAAAAATAATGAAGCTAAATCCTATAAAAAAGAGGAAAAAATGTTGAATTTTAAGAAAAACGGATTTTTGAAATTTTTCGAATTTTTGATAATTTTAGATTTTTTACCAAAGAGTCGAGACTATTAAATAAGTAAAGTATTTTCCAAAAGCACAAAAATAATGAAGCTAAATCCCATAAAAGAGAGGAAAAAATGTTGAATTTTAAGAAAATCGAATTTTTGAATTTTTTCGAATTTTTGATAATTTTAGATTTTCTACTAAAGAGTCGAGACAATTTAATAAGTAAAGTATTTTCCCAAAGCACAAAAATAATGAAGCTGAATCCCATAAAAGAGAGGAAAAAATGTTGAATTTTAAGAAAATCTGATTTTCGGATTTTTGATAATTTTTAATAATTTTTGATTTTTTACCAAAGAGTCGAGACAATTTAATAAGTAAAGTATTTTCCAAAAGCACAAAAATAATAAAACTAAATCCCATAAAAGAGAGGAAAAAATGTTGAATTTTAAGAAATTCGGATTTTTGAATTTTTGATAATTTTCGATAATTTTAGATTTTTTACCAAAGAGTCGAGACTATTAAATAAGTAAAGTATTTTCCAAAAGCACAAAAATAATGAAGCTAAATCCCATAAAAGAGAGGAAAAAATGTTGAATTTTAAGAAAATCGAATTTTTGAATTTTTTCGAATTTTTGATAATTTTAGATTTTCTACTAAAGAGTCGAGACAATTTAATAAGTAAAGTATTTTCCACATTAAAAAGTTTGACATTAAAAAGTATATAAAAAATGCCAATACTTGACCCACAAAATTAAATTTTCAAAACAAACAAATGAATGCAGATAATTTGCTAACGGAAAGGAAACTTACGATTATTATAATGTATTAAATAAAAATTCCTCGCAACATTTTAATTATTTTCATAAATAATAACATTCTTCGAAAGAATTCAATTATTTTGCGAAGAATTTTAATAAATCGTTCGAAAAGAATTCAATTATTTTTAATAATTTCAATAAATTTTAATCAACAAAATTCAATTATTTTTAAAAATTTGATAAAATTCTTTGCAAAAAACCCAATTATTTTGAAAAATTTTGATAAAATTCTTTAGGAGAATTGAAATATTCTCAATACAATTTTAATTGAATTCCTCTAAAAAATTCAATTATTTTTGAAAATTTTTATAAAATTCTTAGCAAGATTTCAATTATTTTCATGATTTATCAAATTTTTTGCAGGAATTTAATTAATTTAAAGAATTTTAATAAAGTTCTTTGCGGAAATTCAATTATTTTGAAAAATTTGGATTACATTCTTTATGATAATTGAAATATTTTCAATACAATTGTAATTGAATTACTCGAAAAAATTCAATTTTTTAAAAATTATTAATAAAATATTTCGAAAGAATCCAATTATTTTCTAAAATTTTAATAAATCCTTAATTTAATTAATTTTAATAATAATTAATTAATTTTATTCAAATTCATTGAAAGAATTGAATTATTTTCTAAAATTCTAATAAATCCTTAGAAAAGAATTTAATTATACTTTCAAAAATTTTAATAAAATTTCTGAAAAAATTCAATTATTTTGAAAAATTTTGATGAATTTCTTTAGAAAAATTGATATATTTTCAATACAATTTTAATTGAATTCCTCAAAAAAAATTCAATTTTATAAAAATTTTTAATAAAATATTTCGAAAGACTCCAATTATTTTCTAGAATTTTAATAAATCCCTAATTTAATTAATTATAATCGAATTCCTCCAAAAATGTAATTATTCTTAAAAATTTTATTAAAATTCATTGAAAGAATTGAATTATTTTCTAAAATTTCAATGAATCCTTAAAAAAGAATTCAATTACTTTTAAAAATTTTAATAAAATTTCTGAAAAAATTCAATTATTTTGAAAAATTTTGATGAATTTTTTTATGAGAATTGAAATATTCTCAGTACAATTTTAATTGAATTCCTCCAAAAAATTCAATTATTTTGGAAAATTTTTATAAAATTCTTAGCAAGATTTCAATTATTTTCATAATTTATATCAAATTTTTAGCAGGAATTTAATTATTTTAAAGAATTTTAATAAAATTCTTTGCAAAAATTTAATTCCTTTGAAAAATGTTAATAAAATAATTTATGAGAATTGAACTATTTTTATAAATAAATACCGTTTTTCGAAAGAATTAAATTATTTTCTTTAAATTTTAATAAATCCTTCGGAAGAATTCAATTATTTTCCAAAAACTGGTAAAATTTCTTCGAAAGAATTCAATTATTTTCATAAATAATAAAATTCTTCGCAGAAATTAAATTATTTTTAAAACTTAATAAAATTCTTGACAAAAATTTTGAGTAATATTCTTGGAAACAATTAAATTTCTGAGACTTATTAGATTAAAAAAATTTGATAAAATTCTTTATAACAATTCAATTATTTTCATAAATAATAATATTATTCCCAAAAATATTATTATTTTCAAAAATTTCAATGAAATTTCTCAAATGAATTCAACTATTTTTAAAAATTTTAATTATTTTTTCGAAACAATTCAATTATTTTTATAAATAGTAAAATTTCTCAAAAGAATTAAATTATTTTTATAAATAATAAAATTCTTCTCAGGAATTTAATTATTTTCAAAATTTCCAATTAAAATGATTAAAAAAGTGCATTATTTTTAAAAAACTTAATTTCTTCCAAAGAATTTAATTATTTACAAAAACTCCAATAAAATTGTTTAGAAGAATTCAATTATTGTCAAAACCCTTTAACAGTGTCTATTCTTCTAAAGAATTCAATTATTTTCAATATTTTAATAAAATTCCTTGAAATAATTAAATTATTTAAAAAAAAATTGTAATCGAATTCTAAGAAAAAATTCAATTATTTTCAAAGATAATATTTTAATATTTTTTTTAATAATAATTTTAATATCTTCAATGATTTTAATAAAATTCAAAAAGTAAGTGTTTAATTACATTTATTGATAAACACGATTATTTTAAATACTTGTAAGAAATTCTTCATAAAATTCAATTAACTTTCTAAATTTTATTCTTTGCAGTTTTAATTATTTTCGTAAATACATAATAAAATTCTTCGAATTCACTAATTATTATTTTAAACTCACTTGGTATTGCATTGTTTTTTGGAATTCAATATCGCTGGTGGCAAATTCAAACAAGGTTTATTTTCATACTGACACTGAGGTCCAGAAAAATTATCCGGACAATCGCACTGATTTGGAGCAATACACATTCCATTATTTTGACACTGAGGCACACAAATTGCTGAAAAGAAAAAAAAATTAGTTAGAAATTTTCTTTATACTTTAAATAAAAATAATAAATTTATGTAAAGAAAAATAATAAAATTACGTTCGCAATGTGGTAATGATTTCCATTCATTTGCCTCAACTTGCCATTCTTCTTCTTGACAAATTAACAAAAGTTCCGTTTTTCCATTCGGAAATTGATAATTTGTCTTGCACGTTGCTCGACAATCACTAAAATAAAATAAAAAATTATGATTTTAAAAGAAAAAAAATTTATTTCTTCCTTTTTTAATTTTTAAATTTTTAAAGAAAAAATTTATTTATTTAAAAATTTTATTTCTTCCTCTTTTTAATTTTTTAATGAAAAAATGTATTTATTCCTCTTTTAAATTTTTAATGAAAAAATGTATTTATTTAAAAAAATTTATTTCTTCTTCTTTTTAATTTAAGTTTTTTGATTTATATTAAAAAATTGAAATAAAAATAAAGAAAATTATTTATTACTCACCGGACGGAAGATCCATTGGTGGAACAATTAATATCGCCATTAATTGGTGCATCAGGTGTCGGAGTGCAACCAATTTTAATCTTCTTTTTGTAAGGAATTTTTCTGGAACCCTTTACTCCGCCTTTTACTCCACCTTTCACCCCTTTTGAATAAGGAGCATCGTTAATTGTGTCATCATCTCTGGAACAAATCAATTTTCAATCAATATTTTTTTATCAAACACTTTGTCAAATAATTAGAAAATTTTAGAAACTTCTGAATAAAAATACAAAAAAAATCACCTTTCTTCATCAAAGTGATTATCGTCCCCAAGAGATGAGGTTGTAAATACAATGATCGAAATAAAAAAGCAAAAGATAAACTTGAAATTCATGTTTAAAAAACTTATTAGCTGTTTAAGTCATCTTCTCAGTATTTCTCAAATAAGTCATTCAACGCCAAAATTAAAATGAGATTTACATAATTTTTCCACCCCATTTTATAACAAGTCACAAACGGAAAAGGGAAATTGATAAATGTAGGTCGGTTTTGATAATAAAAAAAAAACAGGTCACCCTGTTATCGCCAATTAATTAAATAATTAGCGAAACGAAACTTTTTTTCTAGAATAATCTCCAATGATGATAAAAGAAAATATTTTCTAAATTTCAATTATAATAAATCAATTATTTATATAGAAGAATCTAAATTCCTTTCATTCCGTCTGGATATTATTTGTATTTTTTTTAAATTTCCTGTCAAAAATTAATTGTGTCACAGCCAGCTCATTTGAGATTAGATAAAAACTGCACGCACTAAGAAAAGGAGAAATCACTAAAAAATTAACAATCATTAACGACAAATTGCATTTTTATTTTTAGTTAATTAAAAAATATTGTAGAAAGATTATAAACTTTATTATAAGGCACTTATAAAAATTATTTCAAGACTAATATTTTCTAATAAAGCACTTTTTCTTATCTATAATTATAACTTATTATTATAACTAATTTTAATAAAATATTAAAGATGACTGAATTTGATTAATAAAATATATCAGTTAATTAACAACAAGTTAATAAAAAAGTTACTAATTGTTAACAATTATAACTGTTAACGATTAATGATAAAAGAATTAAAATTCATTTGCCAACTTGGACAATTATTATAAAAAAAATATTAAAAGTTATAAAACTTCATAAAATGGACGTATCAGTTTCAATTTCTATTAATGCAGAAAAAAAAAAAAAAAAAAAAAAAAAAAAAAAAAAAAAAAATCTTGCAGTCTTTCTTTGTAAATATTTAGATTCTGATTTGTACTTAATGTACAATTTGTACTTAAATAAATATAGTCTAATAAATAAAAAAAAACAGTGTTAGACATTTTTTCTCTCATCAAAAAAGAGTTCATCCTGTTGAATATTATTCAATGAAGACGAGAATGGATTGTAAATTTTAGATTGCATGAATGTTTCTGGTTCTGAATATTTTCTTCTCCATAATTGATAATACTGATCGTTGGTAATTTCTGTGACGTTTTCAATGCCAAATTCATCTTTTAAAACTTTTTGCCACACCTGAAAATAAGAAAAAGAATTATCAATTTAGTTTTTAAAAAATCTTTTCTCATTTTGCATTTCTTTGATTTACCTTGTCATCCGATGTAATTGATTTACTTTCATGTATTGCAGGTTTCAAAATACTGTTTAAATAATAAAGAAGATAATTTAGAGTGTACATTTTACTGGAATCAACTGCATTAAAAGTCACTGATCTCGTGGAACAACAATCAACTCCTGGCGGATAAAGAGCTCTGGTCCAATATTGACCTGGTTTTGCAATTCCCCAAAATAAAATTTGCAATGAATATCCATGAAAAGTTCCTCTTTTCAATGTGTCCCTTGTGTCTGAAGGATGAATTCCCATTGTGCGTAAATGTTTACCTGCATTCAATAAATAATAATTAATAATTAATCATTACTAATTGATAATTCTTAAATTAATTTCATGAAATAAATAATCAATTTAATCATAGTTGCCACAAAAATTTAATTTTGTCTTTCCCTGACTTTTCCCTGATTTCCAGAAAAAATTTAGACATTTTTCCTGACCCTGAAGAATATTCTGATTCACTCTAAAAATAATAATTAAATACTCAAAAAAATGTTCTATTACATTTATTTAAGAATTTCTTTACTTGTAAAATTATTCCAAAACATCAATAACTTTTTTTTTTAAATAAATATATTTAATCATTATTATTTTTCCGTACGAATTAAAATTCTTCAAAAAATTCAAATTCAATAACTTATAAAAATATTTGTTACTGTAACTTCTTCAAAATAACTTTCCTCATTTCAATTCAATTATTATTTTCTAGAATTCTTAATTCCTTTATAATTATGGATCTGTAAATAATTGAATTACAAAATTTTTTATTTTCAACTATGAATTTTTGAATAATTTCAGATTCAAACTTTAAAAAAATTCAATTATTAACTAATTTACTAATTAATTATTCTTGTTTATTAATTTCAAAAATTTCAATAAAATTCTTCATAGGAATTCAATTATTTTTCTAAATAAATAACATTCTTCGTAAGAATTCAATTCTTTTTATAAATAGTAAATTTTTTTGCAAAAATTCAATTATTTTTTATGAAAATTTCAAAAAAATTTTACAAAAGAATTCAATTTTTTTCTTAATTCGTTATAACATTTTTTCAATAGAATTCAATTATTTTCTACAATTTTAATAAATTCTTCGCCAAAATTCAATTATTTTTAATTCAATTTTAATAGCATTTCATGAAAGAATTCAATTTTGAAAAAATTTTTAACAATATTTTTCGAAAACTTTTATTATTTTCTAAAGTTTGAATAAAATTCAATAATTAAATGTTCAATTATTATTAAACACGATTATTTTAAAAAATTGAAAAAACTACATTATTTAAAAAAAAAATTCAAAAAAATTCTTTAAAAAGAATTTTATTAAAATTTTTAACAAAATTCTTCGCGAGAATTCAAATTTATTTCTAAATAATAAAAATCTTCGAAGGAATTCTATTCTAAATTAAAAATTATTAAATATAAATAATTAAATTTCTTGCGAAAAATTTAATTAAAATCTTTAAAAATAAGTTAATTTTTACAAGAAATTGAATTAAAATAATATGTATTCAAAAAAATATTTAACTTCTAATAAAGAGTTTTATCAAAAATTTTGAAAATATGTAATTAAATTTCTGCGAAGAATATTATAATTGACAATACTTTTAAATTAATTGAATTCTTTCGAAAAATCTTATTTATTATAAAAATAATAGAAATTTAGGAAAGAATTTTATAAAAATTGTATTAAAAATAAATGAATTCTCAATAAAGAATTTAAACCAAAATTTTTCAAAATAATTGTATTTCTGCGACGAATAATAAATAATTTATTGAATAATCAAATGTTTCTTAAAACTGAATTCTTTCGACGAATTTTAATAGAATTTTTAAGAATAATTACATTTTTCGAGAAATTCGATTAAAATTGTATTAAAAATAATTGAAATTCTGCGATGAGTTTTATTATTCATAAAAATAATTAAATTCCTAAAAAGAATTGTATTGTTTATAAAAATAATTAAATCTTTTTCTTACAAAGAATTTTAATAAAATTCATTGAAATAATTAAATTCCTGAGAAGAATGTTATTAATAATGAAAATAATTCAATTCTCATAAATAATTTTATCAACATCTTTCAAAATAATTGAATATCTGTGAAGAACTTTATTAAAATTCTTTAAAATAATTAAATTCCTGTTGAAAAATTTTATAAATTATGAAAATAATTGAAACCTTGCTAAGAATTTTATTAAAATTTTCGAAAATAATTGAATTTTTTCAAGGAATGCAATTAAAATTGTATTGTAAATATTTGTATTTGATATTTCATTTTTATATTTTATTTTTTTTTTAATAATGAATTCTAAATTTTTCTAAATTTTTAAAATAATTTAATTTTTGTAATAAAGATTATTGAAATTAAATTTAAAATAATTTAATTCTTTTCGAAGAATTTTACTAAAGTTTTTCAAAACAATATAATAATAATAATAATTTTCAAAGATTGCAAGTATTTATACTTTTCCAAAATTGAATTATTTTTGTAGATTTTTTTACTAAATTCATCTCTATATCAATTATTGTAAATAATTCAATAATTAATTAATAATTAAATATATTAAAAAATTCAACTAATTTCAAAAGAATTTGAATTAAAATTTTACAAAAATCCAACTTCTAAAATTTCTAATTATAAATTCATGAAAAATACAAATTTTCTAAAATTTTTAATTGAAACTATTTTTTTTTTATTCATTTACAGCATAATATTTTAAAATTCAATTATTTTTGAAATTTCGAAGTTAAAATTATTCAATAAATAATTTATAATTAATAATTTTTTGATAGTTCTTTAAAAATTAAATTATTTAATATAAATTATTGGCAAAAATAGAAAAATGTTAAGATTTTTTAAATAAAATTCTTGGTAATTTCAAAGTTTTAAGACACTAAAATTCAGAATTTTGTTATGAATTCAATAAAAATTTAATTTTTTTTTTCATTATTTTGATTTAATTGAAAAATTAATTTTTGAAATAATGATTCATTAACACGTTACCTAGATAGAAATCTTCTTTTTTCCAAAATTTTCCACTTGACGCGCACTTTTGAGAATTATCGAATTTTTTGACAATTTTACCAAAAGCCGATTTACTGAGTACGTAGCCGGCCTCGGCTACATTATAATCCTGACCCCACAACGAAACTGCATGACCAAGATAATAATCCTGTTTGAAATTCAAAGGAGCCACGAGATATCGTAAATTTTCCGGAATCACCATCGTATCATCTCTTACAAATATAATCCATTCCAAATCATTTTCAACATTTTTCGTTTCATTAAATACGTAATTCATCGATTCGCACAAAAGCTGCCAGGAGGATGTAAGTTTTACATCAAATTTTATCACAGGTACTTTGGAATCTTGTAAATCTTTTCCAAAAAATAATAATTTATTACAATGCTTGCCCCAAGTGTCGACTATAGTTTGAGCCAATTTTAATTTTTCGACGAAAATAACACAAGTCACGTGTACCTTGTTCCTTAACCATTTTGATTCTATTTTTTTGTCAGAATTTATATCATCTTTATCCACATGAATTTCTCCAATTTTTGTATTTTGCCTCTCGAGCCATTTTTCATAGGAAACATTTTCCTCGAGATTTTCCGTTGTCTCCTTCAACCAAACAGCAAATTTTACACTCTCTCTAGACAATCCAACGAGTTTATTATAATCGAAATTATTCTCTTCATTTGTAATTGTCGATTTTACATTATCACAGTCTGGAATTATCGAGTATTTCATTAAATATATTAAGAGTGTAACGCAGAATCCGGCCCCAAATCCCAGAAGAAATACTATTCTCTCTTTAATCACAATATTTGTCGTCATTTTTCAAGAAATTTTTCAAAATTCTCAATTTCGCAGTAGTACTTTGGAAATTTGTAAAGAAAATTTTCTCATCGTCTCTAATCTGAAAAAAAACAATTACTTGTTAGTGTTTTGAAATGTCTGATAAAAGTTCGTTATCACATTAAATTTATGCTTTTTTTCCAACAAATTGTTATCAAAAAGAAAATTACTAGATTTCAAAATTAATTTACACTTTCAACTAAATTCTATTCACTGTTTTCTATAAAACTTGGCTTATTGCACTAAGAAGACTTTAAAATTTATTTTTTACAAAATCAAACTCTTATCAAAACACATAACTTACTGCAAAAGAATTACGTCGGAATTTTAAACAAAATTTAAAAATACTTCGAGAAACAAAAAAAAGAAGAAACTGAAAGATTTAAATAATTCTTGGACAAATAAAGATAAAATAAGATTTTCATCACAATAGAACTTGATAAACTTATTATTAGACACTTAAAATAAAAATAAAATTTATTATTGTATAATAAAAAAATTGAGGAAAACATAAAATTGTGTCCTTGTATACTCACAAATAATAAGACTAAGAAGAATTAAACAAATAAAATAAAAACAAATATTTTTCGAGAGAGAGAGAGAGAGAGAGAGAGAGAGAGAGAGAGAGAGAGAGAGAGAGAGAGAGAGAGAGAGGTTAAGGAAATAAAAATTAATTTTTAAATTGCGTAGAATAATTAAAAAGTAATAACAAGTTTATAACAAGTTTACAACAAGTTTACAACTTATCCAGTTGTTAACTTTGAATTTACATTGTTATTAAATCAACGTGAACCGAGTGCTATTTTTAATCGTGCAAAATATATTAATTAAAACCGTACGTGCAGAGATTTAACAAAAAAAAATTGATTTAAAAAACTGTCTAGTAAAAAAACTGCCTTGTTTAATAAAAAATATTCAAAAATGAGAAAAACTTACGTATTTTATAATTTTGTGTATATTTTTAAATATTATAAATTTCCCATTTTTCGCATTATTTGTATTCGCTTTTCATTTCTTTCTCCTTTATTTTTGAAAACAGTGACAAAAATATATTGTCAACAATTTTGTTTCTTCATTTTCACATGTCTGCTCATTTGTTATATTTTTTTTTCACACTGGCATTTTAAAACATTCGGAGCACATACATATTGCGTATATAACAGGTTGTCGGAATATGATTCAGAGGGGAACAAACTTGGGAAGTGAAAGTTCAAAGAGAATCCAACTTTTTCAGTCCCTGGTCAATTCATTCATTCAGCAGTGACGTACCATTCAGAGTTCCTTTATAAAGTGACAAAACTAAAAAAATTTCGATATCCATTAAAACACAATATTATTCATTTTTCCTCCTTTGAAATTCTGAAACAGTTTCAAAACTTATTTTTATACGTCAGCAGGTATCACAGTACTATTTTTCCTCAAAAAAAGGTGAAAAGGGGAATTTTTTTTTCTCAAAAAGGGAATAAAAATTTATTTGTTTATACAACTTGCATATATATAATTCAAATTTTTTATTATAGCTTTCAGAAAATTTTTTAAAAATGATTCGATTTTAATCAGAGTTGACACGAAAATTTAATTTTGTTTTTTCTTGACTTTTCCCTGATTTTAAGACAAAATTTCGACTTTTTCCCTAAAGAATATTCTGCGATTCAGTCTAAAATTGATTAGATACTCAAAAAAATGTTCTATCACATTTATTTATGAATTTAATTATTTATTTATTTATATTATTTATTTAAAATAGTAGATATTGAATATTATTGAATTTAGAAAAATTTTTGTAAATAATTTCAATTTTATTAAAATTTTTGAAAATAATTGAATTTCGAAGAAGAATTTAAAAAAAAATTTTTAAATAATTCAATTCTTTTCCAAAGTATTTTTATTAATATTTAAAATTGTATTAAAAATACTATGAAAAATACTAAGCTATGAGTTTTATTATTTATGAAAATAATTGAATACTTGCAACGAATTTTATTAAAAAATTTTTAAATAATTAAAATTCTGAGAAGAATTTTATTATTTATAATAATAATTAAATTCTTGTGAAGAACTCTATTCATTTTCTTAAAATAATTTAATTCTTGCGAATAATTTTATGAAATTTTTTTGAAAAATTGTGTTTTAAACAATTGAATTTAGGAATATTTTTGCAAATAATTGAAATTTTGCCAAGAATTTTATTAAAATCTTTGAAAATAATTGAATTTCGAAGAATAATTTAAAAACATTTTTTCCTAAGTTTTTTTATTAATATTTTTGAAAATAATTGAATTCTTTCAAGAAATTTAATTAAAAATGTACTAAAAATAATTATTAAATTCTAATAAACAAATTATGTCAAAATCTTTTTTTAAATAATTCAATTCTTTACAAAAATTTTAATAAAATAATTAAGATTAATTGCATTTTTTCGAGAAATTCATTTAAAATTGTATTAAAAATAATTGAAATCTTGGGATAAGTTTTATTATTTATGAAAATTATTGAATTCCTAAAAAGAATTTTATTATTTACGAAAATAATTGAATCCCCGTAAAAATGTTAATATTTATGAAAATAATTGAATTCTTGTGAAGAACTCTATTCATTTTTTTAAAATAATTTAATTCTTGCGAATAATTTTATAAAAATTTTTTTAAATAATTGATTTTTTTCAAATTTTTTTGTGAAAATTGTGTTTTAAATAATGGAATTTAGTAAAATATTTGCAATTAATTTAAATTTTGCCAAGAATTTTATTAAAATTTTTGAAAATAATTGAATTTTGAAGAAGAATTTTATTATTTATAAAGAGAATTGAAATGTTGACGAGAATTTCTTTAAATTTTGGAATATAATTGAATTTCTGCGAAGAATTTTATTATTTTTGAAAATAATTGAATTCTTGCAATTATTTGAAACTTCTCCAAAATTCAAATTTTTCTTAGTATTTTCAACTAAAATTCCTCGATAAATTCATTATATTTAATAATTAATTAAATATATATATATTAAAAAATTTAACTAATTTCAGAATTATTTAAATTTTGAAAATTTTGGCAAAAATTTAAGTTCTTTAGAATTTCTAATAAAATTCATTCAAAATTGAAGTTTTATACTAAAATTTGAAATTAAAATCTTTTCAAGTTCATCTATTTATGGAATTTGTAAACGATAAAATTGTAAATTGTAAACTAATCGTCAAAAAGGTGAAAAAGGTGATAAAATTGAAATAAGGTCAAATAAGGACAAAAGTGGAAAAGGGGACCAACTGTGATGCCTGCGGTTAGTCAAATTTTCTACACGCATTTCAATTAAAACCTGTGAATAAAAATTAAATTAATAAGAAAATTTTAATTAAAAAGAAATTTATGTTAATAAATTTAATAAAACTAAATAAAACTTAATAATTTTTATTCGATTCTCGAAAGAAAGAATTAAATGAAACTCAAAATGAAAATTTTGTGGTTTCTTCCGAGAACCGAATAAAAATTATTATTAACACATAGGAAGAATATAATTAATTTCAACTAATTAAACCTTAATTGAACTTAATAAAAATAAAGTAGAAAGAAAATTCTCTAGATTTAGAAAAAAAATGGTTTGCAATGAATGAAAACCAGTAAATTACTAACAGTTTAGTATAATTTTATTTTATTTATTATAATGTAATTATTTATTATTATTATTATTATTAATAAAATATAATAAATCTCGATAATATATATTAATTTATTCATATAATTTTACTAACATTTATTATAATAATTCTGAAAATATATATAAATTCTCAATCGACGAAATGTGTGTTTTTAGGCCGACTTAATAATGTAAATATTTTTTTCAGTTTAAAAACTTTAAATTCAAATACTTATTTAGAATCCAAAAAATTTAATCGAAATTGAATTGAAAATTGAATTTGTAAAATGGAAAATTAAAATATTCTCTAAAACTAACGTTCTTAAAAAATTAATAATTAGATATAGTAAATATTATTCATGAAACTACGTACAGTATAATTTTTCAATTTTTCGTATTTTAATATTAAAAATCGATTATTATATCTACTCTTTAGAGAAATTTGAAATTCGATTATCATAAAAATTGGAATATTTTGTATCTTACAGAAATATTTTTTCTACAACTTGATTTTTATAATTTGTATATTGGAAAGGAAGAACTTTATCAGTTTCTTAAAAATTTGTCTATATTAAATAAAATATTTTCCGATGGAAAAGTCTATTCACATATAATATTGTTTTTTTTGCTATATTCTTCTCTCATAGAAAAAGATTAATATTTAACGACTAGATTTCCTTGATTATGCAAGAGATGACTTTATCCATTTAAATCTTTCTCGAGATGAACAAAAACCGGTTGTTAACAGTTCACTAATAAATTATTTACAATTCATGCAGAAAGATAGTTAGATTGTTAATAATTAAATGTAGACAAATATATATGTACTAAATATTTGTATATAAATTGTAAATTTTGTAAATATTTTCGTAACTTGGAAATCGATTAAAAGTCACATAGAAAATGTTAGGATTGTAATTACCTAAATTTACAAATCAGAAACTGACTTTTCCTCTTATTTTAAAGAATCCCAGGGAATTTCTATTGTGAATTAGAGAGCAAATACCTATATAATTTTCAATGATAATCGGTCTATTTAATTTACTGCTGTGTTCTGGAATTATGGATTGTAGAGCTTCTTCCAGGCCTTTAACGTCGTACTTCGTTTTATCGGTTTCCGAACCTGAAATTATTATTTTTTTTAGATTCAGGATGGCCACCAAGCTTTCGCTCTTTTCAAAGTCTCTGACTTTTTGAGGTTTTTAAAAAAGAAAATTATTCGAAAACATCAATTAATTCATTTTTAAATAAATATAATTAAAACTTGCTACTTTGTTACTGTAACTTCTTCAAAAATTATTTTCATCATTACAATTATTCAATTCTAGAATTTTCAACTAAAATTCTTCTTTATGTCAAGTTTTTAAAAATAATTTTCAAAAAAGTTCATTGTGAATTTTCAAATTCTTTTGTTTACAATTTAATTTTACGAAATTTCGAATATTCTGACATTCTTCAATTAAATTCATTAGAAATTAAAAACTTCAAACAATTTTAAAAAATTCCATTAAATTTATTGAGAAAAATTAATTCTATAGAATTCTTAATTAAAAGTATGAAAAGTTCCAATTTTCAAAGATTTTAATTTGAAATTCATTTTTAAATCAATATTTATTAGAAAATTCTGCGAAAATTCAATTATTTAAATATAAAAATAAATATTTTATTAAACAATAATTGAATGTTTCTTAAAGTTAAATTTTCATAAAGAATTTAATCAAACAATTTTTCAATAATTGAATTTTTTGAAGAATTTTATTATTTATGAAAATAATTGAATTCTTGCAACGAATTTTATCAAAAAGTTGAAGAATAATTGAATTTCTTCGAAGAATTCTATTATTTTTGAGAATAATTGAATTCTTGCTACGAATTTTATCAAAATATTTGAGAATAACTGAATTTCTTCGAAGAATTTTATTATTTTTGAAAAAAAATTAAAATAACTGAATTCTTTCAAAGAATTTTGTAAAAAAAATTGAAAATAATTGAATTTCTTCGAAGAATTTTATTATTTATGAAAATAATTGAATTCTTGCAACGAATTTTATCAAAAAATTTGAGAATAATTGAATTTCTTCGAAGAATTTTATTATTTATGAAAATAATGAAAATAATTGAATTCTTTCAAAGAATTTTATAAAAAAAATTTGAGAATAATTAAATTTCTTCGAAGAATTTTATTATTTATAAAAATAATGAAAATAATTGAATTCTTGGAAAAAAAATTTATCAAAAAAATTTGAGAATAATTGAATTTCTTCGAAGAATTTTATTATTTTTTAAAATAATTGAATTCTTGCAACGAATTTTATAAAAAAATTTAAGAATAATTGAATTTCTTCGAAGAATTATATTATTTATGAAAATAATTCAATTCTTGCAATGAATTTTATTAAAAGTTTTGAAAATAATTGAATTTCGGAGAAAAATGTTATTATTTATAAAGATAATTGAAATTTTGACGAGAATTGTTGTAAATTATTAAAAATAATTGGATTTCTACGAAGAATTTTATTAACATTATTTTGAAAAAAATTGAATTGTTACGCAAAGAATTTCATTAAAATTTTGGATAATAATTTTATTCTTTAAAGAAATTTAATTAAAAATGTATTGAAAATAATATTTAAATTGTAAAAAATAAATTTTAACAGAGGTTATTAAAATAATTAAATTTCTTTGCTGAATTTGAATGAAATTTTTAAGAATATAATAACTTTTTTCTAGGAATTCCATTAAAATTTTATTAAAAATAATTGAAATTCAGCATTGAGTTTTATTATTTATGAAAATAATTAAATGTTTTCGTAGCATTTTAATAAAAATTTTTTTAACTAATTGAATTCTTTTAGGAACTTTTATTAAAGTAGTAGATATTAAAAATCATTGAATTGAGGAAAGTTTTTGAAAATAATTAAAATTTTTGAAAATAATTGAATTTCTGCAATCATTTGTAATTGCTTCAAAATTCAATTTGTTTTAGTGTTTTTAACTAAAATTCCTTTATAAATCCATTATTTTTAATAAAACTAGTAAAATATATATTTAAAAATTTAACTAATTTCAGAAGAATTTTAGTTTAAAAATTTTTTTCTAAATCTAAGTTTTTTATATTTCTAATTAAATTCATTTAAAATTGAAATTGTACAAAATTTAAAATCAAAATCTTCTAAAGTTTAACTACTTATGAAAATTGTAAACGCATAAAATTCCCTTTCATTTCCAGGTTGCGTAGCACCCTGCAGATTGTTTTTTTAAAAATTTATTTAATATTATTTCTTGTCTAAATACCTTTATGCCAATAAAGCGGATGACTTGTATAAGTGAGCCAGGGGATATTTTTTGCGAAAGGATTCCACTTTTTGTTCAAATGAAGAGGTTGTCCTTTATTCCACATTATTCTCATACCGATCATATTTCGATTTCTGTATTCAAACAAATTTTAATTCTCTCATTAAATCAATAACAAAAATCTATATTCAGGGGAAAAATGTAAAAAATTGTCTACTATCAGGAAAAGAATATATGTAATTTTCAATCTACTAGAAAAGAACCAAAAAAGAAAATCGAAATTCGTGCTGAAAATTCCTAGATACTAAAGTTTTGATCGTTCAAATAATAAAGTTTATTTATTTCAACAAATTAAATTTTTATTCCAATAGATTTGCGTCACTAGCAAGAAAATTAATTACTGAGTTTCCAAATGTAAAATTTCGGTTTTCAATATCTAATTGTGATTAGTTATTTTTTTGAAAATTAATAACAAATATTTCCTTCATTTGAACTCTCAGAACGTGGGGATCATAATTCCTAATGAAAAATTAAAAAAAAACTAGCGTAAAAAATTAACTAAGCGAAAAAAACACAATATTGCAAAAACCGACTGAACGGAAAATATTTGAATAGAACTAAAATTTAAACATTTGATTTTGAAGTTTGTCACGATACCTAGACTCGAAATGAGTCAAGCCAGATAAAGAGGACGACCATTCTTGACGGATAGCGCAATTAATTAAGGAAGAAAATCCTTCGGCCAATCCATTCAATCTTCTATAAAATCATTTCAATTCACACTTGAATTTCATGTTTTAAATTCGATAAACAATTTCCTGTATTTTCGAGAAAAAAGTCTCTAATTGAAAATTCAATTTGTATTTTGATAACTTACGGTAAAAGTGATTTCGAGGGATAAATTAAATCCCCGTAGAGAAGTGTGTCAATCTCCATTACTGGTACTTTGTTGAATTCCAAAATTTTCAACGAAATGAGATCGTATTTTACAGAGAAGAGAAAATCTTTTGTCAGTAAAATCAGCCTTTCCTTCTCAGTGTCCCACAGACTTATTCTAAAGGGAAAAATTTATTTAGATTAATCTTGAAGCAATAGATTTGATTTTTTTTTAAATTTGAGAATAATTGAATTTCTTCGAAGAATTTTATTATTTATGAAAATAATTGAAATCTCGCAACGAATTTTATAAAAAAATTTCAGAATAATTGAATTTATTCCAAGAATTTTATTATTTTTAAAAATAATTGAATTCTTGCAACGAATTTTATCAAAAAATTTGAAAATAATTGAATTTTTTCGAAGAATTTTATTATTCATGAAAATAATTAAATTCTTGCAATGAATTTTATCAAAAAATTTGAGAATAGTTGAATTTGTTCGAAGAATTTTATTATTTATGAAAATTATGAAAGTAATTGAATTCTTGCAACGAATTTTATCAAAAAATTTGAGAATAATTGAATTTCTTCGAAGAATTGTATTATTTATGAAAATAATTGAATTCTTGAAAAGAATTTCTTTTAATTTTGTTTTTAAATGCTTTAATAATTTTATTTGAAAATTTTTACAGTTAACTCAATTTTATAAACAATTTCTTTCAAGTTTTAAAAATAATCGTGTTTCTTAATAATTGAAATTAAAAAACTGAATTATTGAATTTTATTAAAATTTTTATAACACTTTGAAAAAATTTATAAACAAATTTAGAAAAAAATTGAATTCTTTCGTGAAATTCTATTGAAAATAATTAAATTTTTGCAAAGATTTTACTATTTAAAAGTATAATTGAATTGTGAAAGATTCATTAAAATTTAAAAAAATAATTGAATTGTTTTTGAATGGATTTATTAAAATTTCAGAAAATAATTGAATTCTTTCGTGAAATTGGATTAAAACTTTGTTGAAAATAATTGAATTCTTTCGAAGAATGTTATTATTTTTTAAAATAATTGAATTCTTGCGAAAAATTATATTTAAATTTTTGAAAATATAAACAATAATAATTAATTATGTACTTAATAAGTGGATTTTTTAATTTTGATTAGGAAATTATTCAAAAATTTATATTTGAAAATAACAAATTTTTTAATTAGCATAATAAGAATAATTTATTAATAAGTAATAATAATGATATCAAATTGAGACAAAAAACATATCAAAATGTTGCTTCGCAACAATTTTGCTACGTTTTTTGTCTCAATTTGATATCCTTCAAAAAACAGTGAAATAATAATAAAAAGTAAGTAATAATAAGAAATAAATAAATAAAATACTAATTAAAGATGAAATGAGATAAATAATTATAATCTTACTCGGTTAATAGCCAACTTCCCAAAAGTGTCTCTTCACTGTTCACGAGTTCCTTTTGACAATCTTTTAAAGCTCTTTCTATAACTTGCTCTCTGTCTGAGAAATAATTGTGAACATCAATTATTCTGAAAGGAATATTTGAAACGTGTTTCGATTCTGATGAATTTGTTAATCCACTTGTCGTTTCTGTACTTTGTTTTGTATTTGTAGTGCCTGTGGTACTTGTGGTACCTGTTGATAAAATTAAACGTTAAATTGTCCAAAACAAAAAAAAACTGTTTAAACTTCAAAAACAAGAATTCCGAATCATTTCTCCTTCTTTTAGTTGTGAAAAAAATGAATTTTACATAAATTTCAATTAATATTTTGCATACAAAAGATACATGAAATTAAATTCTACATTTACCTGAATTTTCGTTCTCCTTTTTCATTTCTAATGTTGCTTTATCAAAATGCACTCCAATTCCATCATCCAAAAATGTATCGTCCATCATGATATAAACGTTAAAATAAAAATTCTTCTTAAATTTTATTAATTTTATCAAATAATCAAATTATATGAATTGTATATGAATTATATCACAGAACATGTCAAAGTCAAAAGTGCGCGTTACCGTCCCGTCTAATAAAAGTGAGGTTAGAAACTTTATTTATTTACATTTAAAAATGGCGTCGACCGCATAGTATATATTTATTACTTTATTATTATTCTGGGTAAAAAAAATTAGTATGTCACAAGAAATAAAGAAATTACACTTCTTTTGCACTTCATCGACAGAGTCGACAGAGTCAACAAAAATAATATATTATAGAAAAATCAAAAAATTTTCTCTTTTTTAAATTCTCAGCGAAAAAATCCCTCTAGCGTTAAAAAACCAAATTACTTTTGTCGTCTGCTACAGCTGTTTGTCACTTTTGTACTGTTTTGTACAAAAAATTTAAAAAGAAATGTCTAAATAAATTTTTTATTCATACCCGTGTACAGTTTTTAAAAAGTTTACAAGGTTTACAAATATAGGAACAAAAAGAGAAGAAAATTGAAATATTCAAGAAAGTTTTTACAAAAAATCTCTATTTTTTATAATGATAACAGCGCGTGTACACAGTTTATAACCTCTCTAACAATTTCGAAATTTATAAACATTTATCAGTATTATGATTGACTATTTTTTTAATAATAAAGGATGAAAAATGCGTGCCAGAAACTTTCTGTTGTTCCTTATTTGTGTTGTCGGGACGACTATTGTTTTTATTGCTTTCAGCAGCCAAAGGCCTTTTCAAACATTAGTAACAAAACAATTGCGGAGTTTCCAGGTGAGTTTATTTATACAATTTAAATTTTTTTAAAAAAAACGTAGTTTCAAACAAAATAAGCAAATGAATTTTTTAAAAATTAAAAAAACTGGGATTATTGTGGAATATTGTAGACAAATGAAAGAGAAAATGTAGAAATATGAATTGATGGAAATGAAGAATGTATTAATGTTTTGGAATTTCTGTTTATAGGAGAACTTAAAAGATGTCGAAGAAAAACGTTTAGTTACAGACTCCAGATACCTCGCTCTACTAGGTCTTGATGGAACAAATACTCCATCAAAATCACAAAATGTCACTGTTGTATCTCTAATCAGGCCTGGAAGCGAGCAAAATATTTATGGTTTTGTTAAAAATGTCAGTCATTTTTTGCCAAATAACAGTATTGTTGTGTATAGTGTTGGACTAAATGAAGATGTATTACAAACTGTGAGATCGGCTTGTAATTCGAGTAAATGTAATGTCGTACAATTTGATTTAAGTTTTTTTCCTGCTCACGCTGAAGACGATAGATTGCACGTGTATAGGCCTCTTGTTATTCAGGTAAATAATATTTACTTATTAATTAATATTTACTCTTAATAAATAGTATTTACTCTTAATGAATAATATTTACTCCTTAATTAACAGGCCTCGGATATTATGACTTTCTCGACTATTTTCGAATAATGCGACTTTTATCGACTTATATTAAAAAATTGCGACTTTTTCGACTTTTCTTCCAAATTTTGCAACAAAATACCAAATTTTTAATACAAACAGGGTTGCCACAGGTCAGGGAATTTAGGGAAATTAGAATTGATCAGGGAAAAGTCAGAGATTTTTATTAAAAGTACTGAAAAAAATTAAATTTTTAGAATTTATAAGAAAATTCTCAATTTTGGACTCTTTTTTGTTTGCCTCATAAACTATGAAAATGTCACGAATTCTAATACAAAACCTTCAATTTTTTCTATATTCTGACAATAATTTCTTTTTAATTAACTTAATTCTTCAAGAACTACCATAAATTTATTACTTAGAAATTATTTAATGAATAATTTTACTTAAAAATTTCAAAATTAATTAAATTTCAAAAGAGTTGCGTTTACAATCTTCATAAATAGAAGAACTTGACAGGTTTCAATTTGAAATTTTAGTAAAATATCAATTTTTAATGAATTTAAATAAAAATTTTAAGAACAACTGATTACAAGAAATTCAATTATTTTCAAGAGTGATAAACTTCTTCGCATAAATACAATTATGTTCAAAAATCTTTTAAAATTCTCGTCAAAATTTAAATTATCATTATAAATAATAAAATTCTTCTCCGAAATTCAGTTATTTTCAAAAAATTTAATAAAATTCTTGGCAAAATTTCAATTATTTTCAAAAATTTTTCTCTTTTCAATTATTTTTAATATCTACGATTTTAATAAAATTTTCCAAAAGAATGCAATTATTTAAACAAAATTTTAATAAAAATTCCACAGGAATTCAATTACTTACCAATTTTTTATTAATTTCTTCGCACCAATTCAATTATTTTTCATTTTTTAATGAAGTTTCTCGAAAGAATTCACATATATTTAGAGAATTGAAAAAAATAGTTCTGAGAAATTCAAATATTTCGAAAAATTTAAATAAAATTCTTTTAAAAATTCTATTATTTAAAAAAATGTTGACAAAATTTGTTACAAGATTTAGTTAATAAAATTCTTCTCAAGAAATCAATTATTTTCATAAATAATAAAATTTTTCTCGAGAATTCAATTATTTAAAAAAATTTTGTTAAAATGCTTTATAAATTTGAAAAATTATAAAATTGATCATAGAATACAATTATTTTAATACAATATAAAATTTTTCCTAGGAATACAATTATTGTTTAAAATGTTTATTAAAATCTTCGAAATAATTCAATTATTTTCGTAAAAAATAAAATTCTTCGAAACAATTTAATTATTTAAAAGATTTTAATAAAATTCTTCACAAGAATTTAATTTTTTTTTTCAAAAAAGAACATTTTCATAGGAATTAAATTATTTAAAAAAATTTTAATAAAATTCTTTCTCAGATTCCAATTATTTTCAATTATTTAATGTAATTTCTCGATAGAATTTAATTGTTTTCAAAAAGTTTTAAAAAATTCTGAAAAATTCAATTATTTAAAAAAAATTTGAATAAAATTCATCACAAGGAAATAATTATTTTCACAAATAATAATATTTTTCTTTGGAATTCAATTATTTTCAGAAATTAAATTCTTCAACGGAATTAAATTCTTTAGAAAATTTTTTAATAAAATTCGTTGCAAGAATTCAATTATTTTTATAAAAATAACAAAACTTCTCGCAGAATTTCAATTATTTTTTATACAATTTTAAATAAAATGATAGGAAATTGCATTTATTCTTAACATTTTTTTTTAAATTCGCTAAAAGAATTAAATTATTTAAAAAAATTTTGATAAAATTCTTCATAAAAATTTCAATTTTAAGAAATATTCAATTATTTAATAAATTATTTATTTTTGTATTTAAATAATTGAAATCTCGTAAAATTTTCTAATAAAAATTGATTAAAAAATGAATTTCACTTAAAATTTTAAATTATAATAATTATTAAATATTTATTTGAAAAAGATGTTACTGATGTTTTGGAATAATTTTACTTTTGAAGAAATTCGCAAATAAATGTAGTAGAACATTTTTTTGAGTATCTAATAATTTTTGTAGTGAATCAGAATATTCGTCAGGGCCGGGGAAAAAGTCTAAATCAGGAAAAACTCAGGGAAAAACAAAATAAAATTTTTGTGATTATATTTTTATATTTTTTAAAAACTCAATTATTTTTATTTATTTATTTAAGATTCTTACATTTTGAAAAGATTTTATCACATTTAAATTATTTTTCCAAGATTTTAATAAATTTCAATTATTTTTTAAAAGATTTTATCAAATTAAAATATTTTGGACATATTTTCATTGTATGTAATTATAAAAATATTGTCTTTTAAAAATTTTTTAGAAATATTTCTAAAAACTTAATTTTAAGAATTTCTTTATTCAAATTTTTGAAAATATTCTACCTTAATAATCTTTAAAAAGAAAAATGGACAGTTTTAAAGTCGATCCGAGGCGAGGGCTGTTAATATTTAAATGAATAATGATTTTTTATTTTTAAATTACAGACTGCTTTAAATACTTTAGAAAACGTATTATATATGGATTCAAATGTGAGATTGAATTCTTCGAAAGTTTCAAAATATCTTTTACCTAAATCAGGAATTCTTACATGGCCATCGAGTCACGCTATTAGTTCCCTCACACATCCAAAAATGTATGAATATTTTCACACAACTAGTGAAAGTTTCTTATTTCTTCCATTAATAAGGGCATCACGAATTATTATTAGAAACACCAATGAAATAAGGGAAAAAATAATGCTCCCTTGGGTGCAGTGTGCTTTAACTCGAGATTGCATCTGTCCTATAGGTTTGTATTTCAATTTTATTTAATTTCATTCAATCAACATTTTTAATTGAACTGAAAAAAAAAATTAAATTTTTATTGAATTCATAACAAAATTCTGAATTTTGGTGTCTTAAATTAAAACTTTGAAATTACCAAGAATTTTATTAAAAAAACTTTTACATTTTTCTATTTTTGAAAATAATTTATTTTGTTGAAGAGCTATCAAAAAATGATGACTTCTAAATTATTTAATAAATAATTTTAAACTTTAAAATTTCAACAATAATTGATTTTTATGAGTTGCATAATTACAATTTTCATAAATAATTTTTATTTCAAAAGGTTTCAATTTGAAATTTTGGAAAATTTAAATTTTGAATGAATTTAATTGGACATTTTTAAAAAAAGTTAGTTTTTTTTAAAAAAAAAAAAATTAATTCAATTCCTCTTGACATTAGTTAAATTTTTTATATATTTAATTATTTCTATTTTAATTAAAATAATTTTCACAGGAGCTCAATCAGCCGGATGTCGTTTCAATAAAAAGCCACAATATCGATATTCTGGTTGTCATGCATACGACACTGCTGCTTTGAATATCGTACTTGGATTATATTTTAATTTCGTTGATACTTATTATATTCATCGAGACGGGGAGTACTTTTTTAAAATGGAACCCGAGGAAGTCAGTGAGGAATATTTATCAATTGTAAAACAAAGTAATATTACCGAAAGAGGGGGGATGTACACTGAACATTGATCTGATCTCATAATTCCCAATTTATAACATTTAAGTGATACTTTGAAATAAATACAAAAATTGAAAAATCTCATAATTAAATTTTAATTTTTAGAACTTATCTACTTTTGCTTTCGATGAAAAGTAGTAAATCGATGTTCAATCGAATTGTCAATTTTTTTTAAATTGAAATTTAAAACATATTCAAATACTTGTAATCCTTGTAATTAAAGGAAAATTATTTAAATTTAATTCAAAATATGTGAAATTTACCAAATACAGTTTATCGTTTGAATCGTTTACATCGCTTAAATGAATAGTAAAAAAATTCTTACATTTTAAAAAATTAACGAATGAACGTGGAAAGTGACATTAAATAGGTTATTATTTGTAGATGAAAAATAAAAAAAAAAGAAATGAAGTCGGATTTAGAACATTTAGAATTTAATAATTCACAATACGGAAAATATTTTCAAAATAATCAGCAAATCTAATTAGAAAATACATAATTTAAAAATGATTTCTATTTTTCTACTACGATTTTCTTTGTAAAGGAAACAAAAATTTTTTTTGACAAATAATAATTTGGTTAAGAATTTTTTTTTTTTTTTGGACAGCAATTTTGACAGTTGCAAATTTTCGAGAAGAAAATAATGCGTCGTTTTCAATCTGAAAATGGTTTAACACAATTTTCCACTGAAGATTCATCGTCATTATGCGAGGGAAGGAAGAAATTTATTTTTCCAAGGAACAAGACAAACAATTATGATCTTCTATCAACGAGTTCGAAATCCGGATCGGAAATTCGTTACACAAATTCAATGATTTGTCCCGAAAATTTTGAAAGTCATGAAAATTGCGGCGATCATTCGGGAAAATATTGCAAGCATCAATTTTGTCATTCATCTCGTTTGGAATCGAAACAGGGAACAAATACTCTCACCGATGGAATTTCTGTTCTCTCCATTGTATGTAATTGATTTTTTTCTATTTTTCGAATTTTATTTCTATTCTCAAATTCAATTTATTGGAAAATTAACCTTATAGTTTATTAATTCAATTTTTATTTATTTTAATGTTTAATTTATTTATTGTTTATTTATTTTTTTTATTTTTATTATTTATTTTAATGTTCGAATATTTTCGTTTTATTTTCTTTTATTTTCGAAAATTTTTCCTGTCGACTAATAATTAAATTGAACAATTGAAAAGTCAAATGGTGAAGAATCGCACATTTCTGGCGATTATACTCCCGGAACATATCGTTGCTTTCCTTCAATTTCATCGACAACGAATTCTTCCATCGATCAACAATTGAGACCATCGAAGCAAATCGAAAGACGTTGTAAAATTACCAGCGATTTCTCGAGTTCTGAGAGTAACTCTCTCCATCTTCCACTATCATCGAGTGAATACAAAATGAAAACAGAACAAAGGTTTTTTTTCTATCGATTCTAAAATTAAATTAAAATTAAAAATCCCAATGAATAAAATTTTGAATTTAGATGTTCGATAAGCGATTTTGAAAATTCGACAAATTCGACATTTACGTCGTGCACTTTATCTGGAAGACAAACTCCAAATGGAATGTTGAGTTCACGAAAAATTGCCCACGAGAAATGGATGCTGGAAAAGGAGCAAAGAATTTTGAAATTAAAGGAAAAAAAGCGTCAAGCAGAGAAGATGAAACAGGAGGAGGAGGAGAAAATCAAGAGTGAAAAAGAGGAAAAGGAGCGTAGGGATCAGGAAACATTTGTCAGATGGATCGAGAGAAAAAAGCATGAACAAATCGTTAAGCAGCAAATTTTGAGAAGAGAATTGGAACTTCAGAAAAGACTCAAAGATATTGAGGATAAGGCAGTTGTGGCAAAAACAATTTATCTTCGACAGTGGGCAAGGAAAAAAGAAGATGATCACAAGAGTAAATGTTTTCCTACTTTCTTTTCTAATTCAATTCTAATTTCTAATTGAAAATCTTAAGTAAATTTCTTCTCATCTCTTCTCCTTTTAGAACAACAGAAAAAACAGCATTTAAAAGAACAACAGAAAGATGAGGAAAAAAAGAAGAGAGTCGAAGAAAGTAACAAAGCCTATGGCGAGTGGCGAGAAAAATCGAAAATAAAACCGAAACCAGCCACTCAAGGTTTATTACGTTAGTTGAATAAAATTGAAACATTATTTAATAGTAAAAACTATAAAAGTTATTTTATAGTCTAAATTATTTTATAGTAAAAACTATAAAAGTAATTTTATAGTCTAAATTATTTTATAGTGAAAAGTATAAAAGCTATTTTGTAGTCTAAATTATAATAATAATAATTATAATAGTAATAATAATTAAATTATAATAATTAATAATATAATAATTATAATATTATTATTATTTATAATAATTATAATAGTATATAAATAGTATATAATAAATAGTAAAAAAATTTAAATTTACAACAACAAAAAAAGAAAGAAAGTGATTAATTCAATTTTTCCTTTTACAGCCCATCAAAAAGCGAGACCTGCATTTGTAAATCCAAATCCTTGGCAGGATATAATTGAAATCGATGAGATAAATAAGGAATTAATCGAGAAAAAATAGAATTAAATGAAAACGTGAAAGAAACGAAAAACTAAAGTAATGACAAACACTTTTTTCTTTGGTTTTAGATTATTTTAGATCTTAGCCTTCTCTAAACGTTTTGATTAAAAGAAAATTTAATTTTTCAAATCTCTTTGATTTAATCTGACAAAATTCGGAATTATCAAAAATGAAAAGAAAAGTGCCGAATTAAAATTAAAGTGACAAATTTTTTCTCCATTAAAAATTACTTCAGCAAATAGAAATAAATTTCCGCAAAAATAAAAATACAAATTTTATATCGTAGGATTATAATTATTATAATTTATTATTTATTAATATTATAATATAATTAATAATAGAAAGACAATAACAGATATACAGATAGTTATTAATTTATATCGTTGCTTATCTCAATATATATAAATAATAAAATTTTTTTCTTTTCTTAGTCTTAACTGTTTAATGACTGCAATATTATCAGGTTTTTTTGAAATATTTAATAAATCTAGAAAACTAATTTTTATTTAAAAATGAAATTATTTTTTAAAAGAAAAAGAGAATTTCTTACTTTATTTATAAGTGTGTTATTTTTATCTTCTTTTCATTAATGGAAAAACTATCTGGTAGATTTTATTACATTTTTATAATTTCATCTTCTTCTTCCTGGAGTTTTTGAATTTCTGTCTTGTTCATGTAATAATAACTCGGCTGTCTTGATCTCTATTAAATTTAAATATTGTCAGTTATCAATTTAAATCGAAATTTATTTATAAACTAGTAAATTAGAATTTAAAAAATTCATTTATTAAGTACATAATTAATTATTATTGTTTATATCATCAAAAATTTTAATTTCTTCTCAAGAATTCAATTATTTTCATAAATAATAACATTCTTCTCAAGAATTCAATTATTTTTAAAAATAATAAAATTTTTTGCAAAAATTCAATTATTTTTAATAAAATTTCACGAAATAATTCAATTATTTTCTAAAATTTTTATAAATTCCTTCAAAACAATTCAATTATTTTTCTAAGGAATAAAATTTATCGCAAGAATTTAATTATTATTTATAAATATTAAAATTCTTTTCGTGAATTTAATTATTTTCAATATAATTTTAATAAAATTCAATAATCAAATTAATTTTTTTCAATATTTTAATAACATTTTTTGAATGAATTAAATTATTTTACAAAAATTTGTAATAAAATTCTCAGAAAAATTGAATTATTTTTTGAAAATTTTAATAAAATTCAATAATTAAATGTTTAATTTCAATTCTTGCAAAGAATTTATCAAAAAATTTGAAAATAATTGAACTCTTTAGAGAAAATGTAATTAAATTTGTATTTAAAATAATTTAAGTTTTCGAAAGATTTTTATTAAAATTCTTTAAAATAATGAATTTTTTCTTAATAATTTTTACTGTAATTTTTTAAAATAATTGAATTTTAAGAAGAATTTCTTTTAAATATTTTAAATAATCGTGTTTATTATTAATTGTAATTAACGATTTTCCAATTAAATTATATTAAAATTATTCATAGAAAATTAAATTATTTTAAACAATTTTATTAGAGATTTTGTAAATCAATACATTTTTTTCAAGTATTTCATTAAATTTTGTAAAAATAATGTAATTTTCGAAAGTAATTTTAATAAATTGAAAATTTTGAAAATAATTGAAATTTACAAAGAATTTTATTTAAAACTATTGAGAACAATTGAATTGTTTAGAAAAATTTTATTACTATTTTTAAAAATAATTGAATTTTTTATCAGAATTGTTGAAAATAATTGAATTTAAATAATATTTTTAAAAATAATAATTGTATTCTTTCGAGAAATTTTATTATAATTGTATTGGAAATAATTAAATTTCTCAGTAGAATTTTATTATTTATAAAAATAATTGAATTCCTTTGAAGAATTTTATTATTTATGAAAATAATTGAATTCCTTTGAAGAATTGTATTATTTATGAAAATAATTGAATTCTTTCCGAGAATTTTACAATTCATAAAAATAATTGAATTGTTTTGAAGAATATTATTTGAATTTTTGAAAATATTTGAATTTTTTGAAGGAAAATATGTAAAATAAAAATTATTTAAAAAGTCAGGAAACAAAAATAAAAGCAAACAACAACTAATGTCAAACTGCGAACAGATAACTGGAATACAACGATTATTAATATAGCTTTTACTAGATTTTTCAAAATTAAAAAAAAAGAAATCTAGATAATTAAGGGCAGTTTCTTACCAAGTCTTTTCTTATACGCTTAGCTCCTGCTTTTATTAAAATAGTACTTAAAACTTCGATAGATGGTAAGGCCATTGCATAATGAAGCGCTGTTCTTTCAAGCTAAAGCGAAATTATTTATTATTATGAATTAAATTCAATATTTAATTATAAATTTAATTAATTAATTAATTAAATTTTAAAAGGGATGATTTTTTTTAAATACGTACATTATCGCCAATTGCCAATGTTTCTGGATAATTCTCAGCAATAAACTCAACAATTTCGGCATTTTCTCTTAAAACTGCAATGTGAATTGCACATCGTCCATAGACATTTTTCGCGAATGCAATTAATTTCGCTCCATCTCCATTTTGTATAAACAATTCTCTCGTCATTTCTGCATTATTTGCTCTAATCGCACTGTGTAACTCTTCTCTTCTTGACTGTAAAAACAAAAAAAAAAATTATAATCCCAGTAATTTTGAAATTTCAGAAAATAAACAAGGAAAAAGGAATTATTTTTTTCTTCTTACCTCAAAATTTGGAATTGACTGCAAAAATTGTACAGTAGATTCGTGACCTTGCTTTTTAGCAACATCCACTATATTCTCTCCATCATCCGAAGTATCCAAAATGTGATCGTATCCCTCCAATAAAAGTTCGACTAATTTTTCTGTTTCTCCTTTAAAAATAATTGTTTATTTAAAAACTAAATAATAGGAAATTTTTTTCCGTACAATAGAAAAAAATAAAAAGAAATTAAGAAAAAATTTCGAGTATAAGCAAAAAAAAAAAGAAAATACCTCGAGCAGCTAAAAAAACCACCCAACGATCAATTTCCATCGCATTGTCCGGTACATGCGATGTTTCTGCAACGTCTCTACCCGTTCTATAAGTTTCATCTCTATAAGCAATATTTATTTGCGACTCCTGCAGAAGGTTGAATAATGAATCGCGTGTATGCGATCGAACAGCTGCAAAATGAAGTATAGACTGCCCGTGTTCATCCTGAAATTTAACAAGTCAATTAAATTACAGAAAATGTTTTCAATAAATTTAATTTTTAATTAATTTATAATTTTATGACGAATTTCCTTCAAGCTTTTAAAATAATCAGGTTTCTTGATAATTGTATTTAGTAATTTTACTATTATTCAAATAAATTTTTATAAACATAAAATTCTTTTAAACAATTTTATTAGAGTTCTTATAAATAATTAATATCTTTTGAAGAATTTATTTAAGATCATTGAAAATAATTCTAATTTTTTAAATAATTTTAATTGAAAAATTAGAAAATAATTGAATGGAAAAAAGAATTTTTTTCAACTTATTAAAATAATCGTCTCTGTTAATGACTAAAATTTTGAATATTGAATTTTATTAAAATTTTATTAAAAATAATTGAATTCCGGAGAAGAATTTTATTTTTTATGAAAATAATTAAATTCTTACGAAGAATTTTATTAAAATTTTTTAAAGTAATTCAATTCTTTTGAGAAATTTCATTGAAATTGAATTGAAAACAATTGAATTCTCGAGAAGGATTTCTTTGAATTTTTTTTTAAATAATGGAGTTTTTTTTAAATAATTTTAATTGAATATTTTGAAAGTAAATGAATTTTATTAAAAATTTTTTTCAAACTTTTAAAATAATCAAAATTAAATTTCTCAAAAGAGTTTTATTATTTATAAAAATAATTTAATCCTTGCGAAAATTTTTATCAATTTGTAACAATAATTTAATTGTTTTGAAGAATTTATTAAAATTGTATTGAAAATAATTAAATTCCTGCAAATAATCGAAATTGAATTTCTTAAAATAGCTTTATTCTTCATAAAAATAATTTAATTCAATTCTTTCGAGTAATTTCATTGAAATTGAATTGAAAATAATTTAATTCTAGCAAAATATTTCTTTGAATCTGTTTTTAAATCATTTTAATTGAATATTTTAAAAGTAATTGAATTTTATGAAAAATTTCTTCTAAACTTTTAAAATAATCGAAATTTTTTTGATCTATTCTATCAGGCTTTTTGTAAATAATTAAATCTTTTTGAAAAATTTCTTTACGTTTTTTGAATGCAATAGTTTCTTTTTAATAATTTAAATTACATATTATGAAAATAATTAAATCTTATGAAGAATTTTTTACAGTTTTTTAAAATAATTGTGTGTCTTAATAATTTTAATGAAAAATTCGTTTATTTAATTTTATGAGAATATTTTGAAAATAATTGAATTTTGTCCAGAATTTTATGAGAATATTTTGAAAATAATTGAATTTTTTCCAGAATTTTATTGCAATTTTTGAAAATAATTGAATTTTGTCCAGAATTTTATTGCAATTTTTGAAAATAATTGAATTCTTTGAAGAAATTTTATAAAAATTCTACTGAAAACAATTTAATTTATGCTAAAAAATTTATTATTCAAGAAGATAGGTAATTGAATCGTTTCGGGGAATTTTATTAAAAGTGCATTGAAAATAATTGAATTTCTCAAAAGAGTTTTATTATTTATAAAAATAATTGAATTTTTGCGATGAAAGTTATTAAAAAAATTTGTAAATAATTGAATTCCTGTGAAATTTTTATTATTTATGAAAATAATTAAATTTATTTTAAATAATTGAATTCTTTTAGAAAATTTTATTAAAATAGTAGATATTGAAAATCATTGAATTGTAGGGAAATTTTAGAAAATAGTTAAAATTTTGCCAATTTTTAAAATTAAACCTTTTCTAAATTTAATTATTTCTAAAAAATTATCCTAAAATTCTCCTAATATTCAATTATTATGTAAAATTTTAACTAAAGTTCATTTTTAAATCAATTTTTATTAGAAAATTCTACTAGAATTCAATTATTTGAATACAAAAATAAATAATTTATTAATTCAATATTTCTTAAAATTGAATCCTCGTAAAGAATTTTATTAAATAAATTTTTAAATATGTGAATTCTTTCGGCGAATTTTAATACAATTTTTAAGAATAATTATACATTTTTCGAGGAATTTGATTAAAATTGTATTAAAAATAATTGAAATTCTACAATGAGTTTTATTATTTACCAAAATTGAATTTCGAAGAAGAATTTTATTATTTCTAAAAATAATTGAAATTTTTACGAGAATTTTTTAAAATTTTTGAACGTAATTGAATTTCTGCGAAGAATTTTATTACTTTTGAAAATTATTGAATTTTTGCATTAATTTTTTAATTTCTATAAAATTCTCCAAATTTTATAGTAGTGTGAAAAAAATTATTTTTAACTTTCAATCAAACTCTCACCCTGTTAATATCATTGAAATTCGATTTCCCGGGATTGATTTCTTGTGTGTCAGAGGGATCAGGCTCGTTTTCTGGAGTTTGCGGATATCCAAGATCATCATCTTCAATATTCGTTTCCTCATCACGATCATCAATAATCAGGACATTTGATTCCTGTATGAAAAAAAATGAAATCTCATTAAAAATCGAAATCGAAATTTTCTCAAAGTGACAAAATCACAACTAACATTAATACAAAAAATTCTAATTAAAATACGATTATAAATGTAAAACAAAATTGACACAGTGCAAGGATTTCCTAATGAATATTTGTATGAAATACTATATCAACTATTGTTCCTCAAACACACAGAACTATGATCCAAAACGTCATTTTCAAATTTCTTCTTTGCGCTGAATTATTCTTTCGATAATTTTCTTTAGAGGCAATTTTTTTTCAAAGATACTTTAAAGTATAATGATTTAAAAAATAATAATTATTATTTTATTTTTTAAGGAATATTTGATTTCTGAATATGAATTCTATCGTATGAAAAATTAATAATATCTGGAAAGAGAAAATAACTTGTTCTTTGTTAATTAAATTTAGACAAAAAGAAAAAATATTTTAGAAAAAATATTTTTACAAAAAATGAAAAAGAAATGAGAGTAAGAAGATGAAATTACATGAGTGGATTTTGGAGTTTCAGTCTTGTTTGAAGAATTATACAAGTAGGAGGCAAGATAGTTTACCGGATCTTCTGGCCGTGATTTAACCACTTCCGTCAATCCTTTTATTAACGGATTCCCGAGGGCTGCAAAAATTGAAAACAATTAATAAAATAAACAATTTCTTTTTAATTTTAAAGTAAACAATTTCGTTATAATTTTTTAATTTACAATTGAAATTTTTTGAAATTAAAATTGAAAATAGAAAAATAAAAAATAAAAAATAAAAATAATAGAATAATTGAATAAAAAATACTATAATATAAATAATAATCATAATTACTTACAGTCAGCTAAATAACGTTGATCTTCAGAATCAAAAACAGGGCCATCTTTCTCACTGTTTCCTAAAACACAGAGTTACAATTAAACATGTGAAATATTTCTATCCAAAAATACATTTTTTTTACATAAAATATATAAATTCAATAAAGCCACAAGATTAATAATTAATACACTCTTTTTGCGCAAAATTCACAAAACCAGTGAACAATAACTTTGTGTGCAGTGTATTTAAAAAAACAAAATTTAATTTGTGTTACACAAAAATTATTTGCTGGCTAAAATTCATAATTTCGATGAAAATAAGCATTTTCGTAGATATTTGACTTATTTTATAGATTTATTACTAAATTATAGAATTTATAAGTAAACGTCACAATTATTTCAACGAAAAAAAATATTTATCGTTTTTCACGACCAATTGCTCGTCTGATCTAATTAAAAATTAAATTTCAAAATTCTATAAAATTATCAATATTCGTTTGTATTTTAAAATAATTTTTCAAAAATAAATCACTTTCTTTCACGCTTTTTACTTGAAACTGATTTTTGTGCAAATACATACATCAAATTGGAAAGACATGTGCTCGTTGACATTTCTCCTTTTCTTGTGTTAAGACATAAAGAAACATGCGTGAGACGAATAATAAAAAAATTAAACTTTTAAAAATAATATACAGTATAGAGATTTTATTATTTGTGATAAAGTAATATTTTGTTGACACGTTCAAAATAAATTCAAATTTTCAAATTATAAAAAACCAACAACGAAAGAGGAAATTTTATGAAATAATAGACAAAAATTACCTAATAAATAAATATTATTAAAGTAAAAACTTCATATTTTGAAAAATAATTTTTGGAATTAAATTAAATTGAAATTTAAATCAATAGAACGTGACGGCAAAAAATTTTACGGTTGGGGTACTGTTTTTCTAAAATATATTTTCTAATTTTTCATTTTCGAAAACTTTTTTTTTCTAATGAAGGTGATTTTCTAATTTTCTTTCTTCTAATAAAGGTAATTTTCTAAAAAAAATTTCTCTTAATAAAGATAATTTTCTAAAAAAAAATTTTTCTAATAAAAGTAATTTCGTGAAGAATTTTTTTATTTTATGAAAACAATTGAATTCTTAAAAAGAATTTTATTAAAATTTTTTCAATTGTATTTAAATTCTTTTGAAGAATTTCTTTGAATTTTTTTTTTTAATAATCGAGTTTTTTTTAATAATTTGAATTGAAAATTTTAAAAGCAATTGAATTTTATGAAGAAGAATTTTATTAAAATTATATTGAAAATAATTGAATTCCTGAGAAGAATTTTAATATTTATAAAAAGAATTTAATTCTTGCGAAGAATTTCACTATATTTATAAAAATAATTGAATTGTTCTAAAGAATTTATTAAAATTTTAGGAAATAAATAAATTTTATGTAAATATTTGAAAATAATTAAATTCTTACGAGGAAAACTATTTATAAAAATAATAATTCAAATGTTTCGAAGAATTTATTAAAATTTTAGGAAATAATTGAATTATTTTGAAGAATTTTATTGAAATATTTGAAAAATAATTAAATTCTTTCGAGAAATTTAATTCAAGTTGTTTCGAAAATTCATCACAAGAATTTTATTATTTTTTTGAAAATAATTGAATTCTTTCAATTTTTTTGACGAATATATTTAAAAATTGCATTGAAAGTAATTTAATTTTCATATAGAATTTTTTAAAAATATTTTGAAAATAATTGAAATTTATTTAGAGAATTTAAAATTCTTGTTGAAATTGAATTTTTAGAAAATTCGAAGGATTTATTAAAATTTTAGAAAATATTTTAATTTTTTCGAAAAATATTGAAATTTAAAAAAAATGTAATTCTTTTATGAAATTTTATTAAAATTTTGTTAAAAATAATTGAATTCGTGCAAAGAATTTTACTATTTATAAAAATAATGGAATTGTTTCAAAAAGTATTTCTTATAATTTCAGAAAATAATTGAATTCTTTTGGGAATTTTATTGAAAATAATTGAATTGTTTTGAAGGATTTATAAAAATTTTAGAAAATAATTGAATTCTTTCGTGAAATTTTATTAAAATTTTGTTGAATTCCTGCAATGAATTTTACTATTTATAAAAATAATTGAATTCTTGAGAAGAATTTTACTACTTATAAAAATAATTGAATTGTTTCAAAGGATTTATTAAGGATTTTAGAAAATAATTCAATTTCTTCGAAGTTAATTAAAATTTTTTTTTAAAATTGAATTCTTACGAGGAATTTAATTAAAAGTGTTTTGAAAATAATTGAATTCCTGAAAATAGTTTTACTATTTATAAAAATAATTGAATTCTTGCGAAGAATTATATTGAAATTTTTGAAAATATAAACAATAATAATTAATTTTGTACTTGATAAGTGAATTTTTTAAATTTTGATTCTGAAATTATTTAAAAATATATATTTGAAAATAAAAAATTTTGTAATTTGCATGACAATAATGAAACAAATATTAGAAATTATCACTTTTTAGAACAAAAATTTTTTTTAGAAATCAAAATTATTAGAAAAAATACTTTTTTTAGAAAACAAATTTCATTAGAAATCGCTTTCTTTTTTAGAAAAAAAGAATTAGAAAATATTTTTTAGAAAAAGTGACCAACCACCATTTTTACATCTATAAATATTTCTCTACTAACCTATAGTTTTAAAGACGACTCCCGGAAGATAATTCCAAAAATAAGCCATTTTAAAAGAGTTGTAACATTGAATCCTGAGTTTTTACACACATCTTTCCAACTGAAAATGTTCCATTTTGCGGATTTTTTTTGGTTTATTAAATTAAACGAAAATCGACTCAAATTTAATGGCAGAGAAAGTTTTATAATTAAAAATCAGTTCAATTAACTTATTAATACATTTTTCCAGTATTTCTAATCTTTTCTTTTTTTTTAAATTGATTTCAGTTTCAGTTCTCATTCAATTATTTATTTTTTCAAATTCGATTATTTTTTTTGTTCAGTCTTCGATTATTGATACTTGAAGATTTGTTTCTCAAATATTAAATTTCTACTTTTTTTTATCAAGTCAAAATAAGTTTTTTTTTTTTTTATCAAAATTTCAACGACGAATAAAAGTTGTCATTATTTAGATTATTACACAAAATCGTTGAGATTTATTAATTTTTAAATTAATGGCAGTTGGTGTAATTATTTTTCTAAGAGATCTATTTATTGAGCGAGAAAAAAAAAAATTCTGAAATAGAGAAATATTGAGCAAAATGAAGAATCATCCAGTGATAACTTTTTGACCACTTGATTTTCGTTTACGAAAAATGCTCGATATGACATTGGCGATTTTCATTGAATTATTATTGAGTGTCATTTCCTTCTCGACGGAAAGTACATTGAGCGCGGCTTGACAAAAATCCTGTAGAGTTTGAAGTTCCGTTATTGACAAACACTGTTGATTGTTGAGAACAAAAATACTTCTTCGTATTGTCTCCTTGCACTCGAGTCCACGAACGATGGCGAGATTCTTTAGATTCGCCGCATCCTTGGACAGTGTGGGAAATTTCACTCCCAAATGAATTCGCAGAGTGTTTCCAATACAATTGGGCCGAGCACTGAGAAAACCGAGTTTTGTGTCACGTTTGAAGAGCAAACGTTGATCCATAACGCTCATCAGCTTTGCAATTCGGACGTAAATTTTGCCCAATTTTCCCGGTTTTGATTCATTCGTTGAGCAAATAACTCTGATGTGATCCTGAACGTTGACCCAAATTGCGAGATTACCAGCGGCTGCCAAGTAGACACCACGACCGTAGGGCCAGTGTTTTCCGTGTAGACGCTTCTCGTCAAGATCCTCGATCTCGGTGATAGGAGCGAGTAAGCCAGCAGCTGCCAATCGGACCCGAACATCACTGGGCCTCTCGATAACTTCTATCAAAGTGTAATAAGTTCCAGGCTCATCATCACTCGATCCATCGGCAAGAACACTCAATAATTCCTTCCTCATCAAAACAGACGTAATTTCCCTCTCGCTATTCTCCAATTGATTAATCGTCAAATTCAACGGCAGTGGATACTTCGCCAAATTTCTCGTACACTCAATCACACCCGAAATAATATATTTCCCCGATGAATCGAGATCTGAATTTTGTATTAATTTTGCGCTCCCCTCAATATTTTGAACGACTTCCTTGTCTGACATTCCATAGAAATTCGAGGCCGGATGATCGGGAAGTTCGCCACTCGCTGTGAGGCAATGAATTTCCCTCAATAGAGGATCGAAGAATTCTTGAAAGACAATGTAACTCTCATAATCGGGTGCGACAACGTTCACGGCCAAATCATCATCGTTTATTAATGTCGATTGTGGTCGATTAATGCTAAAATGATTCAAATCATTGTGATTTAATTTTTCGTGTGTTTTCAGAGCGGGCCAAATCACGTCTAAAAGATTGTGATCCATGCATGTCACGCGGTGCTTGAGTCGTTCGAACACAGGGCGCTTTAAGCAACGACTCAATAATTTGCCAGCTTTCGCGGGTGTATTTGGTAATGAGCCACGTCTCGAACCTGCCAATATTCGAAAGCATCGTTCAAGTGTTGCCAGAGTTTCAGGTTCGGTCACATCACGACGTGCTGAGTATTTGTCACCGCCAGGAACTGTGCTCGTTAGGAAAATTTTATTATCCACTTGCTTATATACTCAAAGGACACAAGAATCGCAATATTTAAACTTATTTTTTTTGTCATCAGATTGCTACTTATACTCAGAAATATTCAATTTTCAATTTTTGATAAAAAAAAAAAAAAATTTTTTTTCAGAATTACACGTTTTTTTAAACAAAATAAGTTGCTAATAAACAGAGTTGCTATACAAAAATTTAATTGTTTTTCCCTGACTTTTCCCTGATTTCCAGAAAAAATTTAGACTTTTTCCCTGACCCTGAAGAATATTCTGATTCACTCCAAAAATTCCCTGACTTTTCCCTGATTCCCAGAAAAAATTTAGACTTTTTCCCTGACTCTGAAGAATATTCTGATTCACTCCAAAAATTCCCTGACTTTTCCCTGATTTCCAGAAAAAATTTAGACTTTTTCCCTCACTCTGAAAAATATTCTGATTCATTCCAAAAATTATTAGAAACACAAAAAAATGTTCTATTACATTCATTTACGAATTTTATTAATTGTAAAATTATTCCAAAACATCAGTAACTTCTTTTTTAAATAAATATTTAATAATTATTTTTTTTTTATAGAAATTAAGATTTTCAAATTCAAACCTTCAGAAATTCAATAAATTTTGATAAATTTAATATAACAGAGTATAATAAAAACATTATTTTAAATATCATAAGAATATTGTAACTATAAATTCAAATTTACAAAGATTTTAATTTGAACCCTTTTCCAAATTCAATTATTTCTACAAATTTTAAATTATTTCTAAAAATTCACGTTATAATGCTTTTAATATTCAATTATAATTTTAAATTTTAAGTGAAATTCATTTTTTAATAAATTTTTAATAGAAAATTTTACGAGAATTCAATTATTTAAATACAAAAATAAAAAATTTATTAAATAATTGAATATCTCTTAAAATTGAATTTCTATGAAGAATTTTATCAAAATTTTAAAAAATAATTGAATTCTTTCGACAAATTAAAAAAAAATTAAGAATAAATGCAATTTTCTATCATTTTATTTTTTAGATTGTATAAAAAATAATTGATATTCAACGATAAGTTTTGTTATTTATGAAAATAATTGAATTCTTCCAACGAATTTAATTAAAAATTTTTTTAGAGAATTTAATTCCTTTGAAAAATTTTATTTGTGAAAATAATTGAATTACGGCGAAAAATATTCTTATTTATGAAAATAATTATTTTTTTGTGAAGAATTTTGTCAAATTTTTTTAAATAATTGAATTTCTCAGAATTTTTTAAAACTTTTTGAAAATAATTAAATACCAGCGAGAAATTTCATTAAAAAATTGAAAATAATTGAAATCTGACAAAGAATTTTTTAAAATTTTTTTCAAATAATTGAATTACAGTGAAAAAGTTTATTTTAAAAAAAAAGTTAAACTCTTGTGGAGAAATTTTATTAAAATTTCTTAAATAATTGAATTTCTTCGAAGAATTTTATCAAATTTTTTGAAATAATTGAATTTTTTCAGCGAATTTAAAAAAAAAATTTAAGAATATGTGCAATTTTCTACCATTTTATTTAAAATTGTATAAAAAAAAATTCAATTTTTACGATAAGTTTTGTTATTTATGAAAATAATTGAATTCTTGCAACAAATTTTATTAAAAGATTTGTTTAAAGAATTTAATTCAAATTGTTATTCAAATTTTTTTTATTTTTAAACTTTTTGAAAAAAATTAAATTCCAACGAGAAATTTCATTAAAAAATTGAAAATAATTGAAATCTGTCGAAGAATTTTATTAAATTTTTTTTATATGATTAAATTCTTGTGAAAATGTTTATTTTTGAAAAAAATTAAATTCTTGTGAAGAATTTTATCAAAATTCTTAAAAATAATTAAATTCTTTCAGAGAATTTTATTAAATTTGTTTTAAATAATTGATTTCCTGTGAAAAAGTTTATTTTTGAAAAAAAAATTAAACTCTTGAGAAGAATTTTAGTAACTAAAACTTGTAAAGAATTTTGTCAACATTTTTTTAAATAATAGAATTTTTAAAAGAATTTTATTTAAACTTTTCGAAATAATTAAATTTCTCAGAACTATTTTTTTCAATTCTCTGAATATATTTGAATTCTTTGGAGTAACTTCATTACAAAATTGAAAATAATTGAATTGGTGCGAAGAAATTTATGAAAAATTGGTAAATAATTGAATTCCTGTGGAATTTTTATTAAAATTTCGTTTAAATAATTGAATTCTTCTGGAAAATTTTATTAAAATCGTAGATATTAAAAATAATTGAAAAGGGGAAATTTTTTTAAAATAATTGAAATTTTGCCAATAATTTTATTAAATTTTTTGAAAATAACTGAATTTCGGAGAAGAATTTTATTATTTATAAAGATAATTTAAATTTTGACGAGAATTTTGAAAAAATTTTTGAACATAATTGAATTATGCGAAGAAGTTTATCACTTTTGAAAATAATTGAATTTCTGTAATCAGTTGTTATTAAAATTTCTATTTAAATTCATTAAAAATTGATATTTTACTAAAATTTCAAATTAAAACCTGTCAAGTTCATCTATTTATGAAGATTGTGAACGCAACTCTTTTGAAATCCAATTAATTTCGAATTTTTTAAGTAAAATTATTCATTAAATAATTTATAAGTAATAATTTTATGGTAGTTCTTGAAGAATTAAGTTAATTAAAAAGAAATTATTGTCAGAAATAGAAAAAATTGAAGGTTTTGTATTTGAATTCGTGGCATTTTTATAGTTTATGAGGCAAACAAAAAAGACTCAAAAATTCAGAATTTTCTTATAAATTCTAAAAATTTAAATTTTTCCAGTATTTTTAATAAAAATCCCTGACTTTTCCCTGAATTTCCTGACTTCCCTGACCTGTGGCAACCCTGTAATAGCAAAAAAGAAGTTAAGACAAAATATTCAGATAAGAAAAAGAAGAAATTCTTTTCTATAAGCAAAGAAACCACTTTCTGAGTATAAGCACTGCAACGTAATGTTTTATTTTTTCCATCTCTCAATTCGAAATTACAAAATTTCTAAATTCTAAATTTTAAATTCTAATTATCCTAAAAATGAATGTTAAGTATTCTCAAACTATTAAATTTGAGAATACTTAATATCCATTTTTAAATCATTATAATAATTATTATAAATTATATTATTCTAATATAGGTGAAGCAATTTCGAAAAATTAATTTCAAATGTGAATAAACTAAAATCATGCTTTGTGCACCTTCTTTTTGAATTTTATTTCATTTTCAAAAATTCCATGCAAGTTTTAAAAATTCTATAACACTTGGCAAATAAAAAAAAATAAAGTCGAATTTTACTGTTTAGTTGGTAAACTATATCAAAGGAATTGTAAAATTATGGTGAACTTGTGTTTTTTCAATTTAAAAAACAATACCTTTATCATTTAACATTTCATCGGCAAGACTTTCTTGAGCTCCAAAACTGCGCAATAATTTTTTATGCGACAGCTCTTCTTGATTTTGCTTATAATATTCAGCCTTATGGCCCAACTGAATTTCAAAGTAATTCAAAAATATAAATATTGGTAGGTAAATTTTAAACAAGAATAAATTCTTAATTACTGGCTTCGCAATCAATAATTAATTTTTAAAAACAGTATCGAAAAAAAAACCTTTTTACCGAAAAAAGTTTTTTTTCTTATACTGATAATAACTTAAATTAATTTTTCAAATTTTAAATGAAATTTTAAACCATTAAAAATTTTAATTTTAATTTTAAAACAAAAATAAGAAAACACAATGCATGAGAAATTCGAGGAGGAAAAATAATTTAAATAAACTTAAAAACGAAAAATTCTTACTTTATCTTGAATTTGTGGATTTGCTCCCAAATGTACGAGAAGATTAAAATAATGCCCATTATCGGCGAGTGTCGCTGCATAATGTAATGGCGTTCTTCCATCGAGATCAACTGCATTCGCAGTCTCAGGAAATCGACCAGCAAAATATCTGCAATTACAAAAAAATAAAAATTATAATTAAAAATAAAATTAAAGGAAAAAAAGAAACGGAACTTGGAAATATAGACGAAAAGCAAAATTTTAACACCCTATTGACAAAAATAATTAAAATTTTATGAACCTAATTATAGTCGTGTGTCCAAAAATAACAGCAACGTGCAATGCAGTTGCACCCCTAGGGGAGGATTCATCCCGTGCAATTGCAAATTTACGACGATCAAGTGCACTTTGTAAATCTCTCAAATTTCCTTCTCTGGCCGCCATATGAACCGCGTGGATTTTCCCCTGAAAAAGAACAAAATTTTGTTAAAGAAAATATTCTGCACTTTTCAATTAATTAGAATTTATTTGTTTAATTTAGTTTCAGTAATTACAGGGTTGTCACAAAAATTTAACTTTGTTTTTCCCTGACTTTTCTCTTTAGAATTTTGACCTTTTCCCTGACACTAAAGAATATTCTGATTCACTTTAAAAATGATTAGAAACTCGAAAAAATTACTTTTTCGAAATTATTTTCATCATTTAAATTCAATTATTACTTTCCAGAATTTTCAACTAAAATTTTTCTTTGAATCAATTATTATTTAAAAGAACGAAAAATTTAGATTTCCAAAGATTAGAATTTGGAAATTTTCAATTTTTTTTCAAAATTCAATTATTTCTAAAAATCCTTGCTATAAAGCTTTTAATATTCAATTATTATCTAAAATTTTAACCGAAATTCATTTTCATTTCATTTAAATCAATTTTTATTAGAAAATTCTACGAGAATTCAATTATTTAAAATTTAAATAAAAAAATAAATAATTTATTTAACAATTGCATTTTATAACAATTTTTTAAAATAATTGAAAACTTTTTGTAGAATTTTATTAAATTTTGTTTAAATAATTGAAATTTTGACAAGAAGTTTATTAAAATTATTGACAATAATTTAATTCTTGAGAAGAATTTCGCTACCTATTTAAATAAATAATTTAATTATTAACGAGAATTTTAAAAAAATTTTGAAAATAATTTAATTTCTGCAAAGAATTTTATTAAAATTCTGGTTTAAATAATTTAATTCAAGTAAAAATTTTATTTTTTATGAAAATAATTGAATTCCCGCGAAAAATTTTATTATTTATGAGAATAATTGAATTTTTGAAATTAATTGATTTCCTACGAAGAATTTTGAAAAAGAACTTTTAAATAAATTGAATTCTTGTAAAAAATTTACTATTCATAAAAATAATTGAATGTTTATAAAGAATTTTATTAAAATTTTTGAAAATAATTTTTTTTTATTTCAACTATTAGTGAATTTAAAGTTGTGTAAAGAATAATGTAAAAGTTGTGAAGAATCGATGAATAATTAAATAATATTAAAGAATTTATTCTGGTGAGAAATAGAAAAAAATTTTGACTTTTTTTTTATTAAAATTCGTGGTAGTTTGATAGTTTATGAGACAAACAAAAAAGACACTAAAAATTCTGAATATTTTTATGAATTTAAAAAATTAAATTTTTTCCAATGCTTTTTATAAAAATTTCTGATTTTTCCCTGACTTCCATTCCCTGCCCAATTCTACTTTCCCTGACTTTTCCCTGAATTCCTTGATTTCTCTGACCTGTGGCAACACTGAATTAATTTAATTATTTAGTTCTAAAAGTAATTATTATTTTAATTCCAAGTAGTAATAATTATTTAATTTTAAGTAGTAATAATTATTTAATTCTAAATAGTAATAATTATTTAATACCAAGTAGTAATAATTATTTTTCAATTATTTATCAAAAAATTTAATTCCAAGTAGTAATAATTATTTTTCAATTATTAATAAAAAAAAATTTTAATCATACCATGAATGCAGGAACATTGTCAATAAACGATTGAAGTTCAGGATTACTTGTCTGTCGGCCAACGAGTCTTCGGCCCTCGCCATTGAGTACAAGTTCAGCGAGTTGCTCCATATTTCCCGTTTGGGTCAATTTTTCAATTTCCGGATCATCTGACTCCTCATCCAAATCCAATCCATTTTCATTGACATCCGATTCCTGAGGATCCTCCTCTTCTTGCTCATCGAGAATTACCTACATGAATTGCGCGTTTTTTGAAATAAAACGCGCATGAACGGGGGAATCGATAAAAAAGTAACTATTAATCCTAGGCTTTAATCTTGATAAGTCCATAATAATATCGACCGTTTTCACTTTCACGATGTTTCACATATTGACAATGAATAAATGAAAGTTCGAAAAAACTTATCTTTTATTCAAGAGCACTGCTCAATCAATTTAAAAAAAAAAAAATTAGATAGAATACCGAATCGAATTCCATGATAAATTACACAAATTACAATAGTCTTCAAAGTATTTCAAAATAAAGAAAATAAAATTAATATTAATTCAAAAATCGAGACGAAAATTAATTTTTCTTTCTAAACAGAAATTAAAAAAGTTTAAATCAAAATTAATTGACTTCTCAACTTTTTTTTATTCTTTATTGAAAAAAAATATTATTTTTCGTCTCGATTTTTTTTATTTTTGAATAATTCTGTAAAAATATGAAAATAACGTTCTGGTTTCGCTGATAATAATAATAATAATAGAAAAGCTTGAAAAAAGAACAATCGAAAATTTTTGTTTTTAGAAACAAATTTCTATAAAATTTTTTCTAAATTGAGTGACAAAGTATTTTATAAATTTATTCCATTTCGTTAAGTGAAAGATTTTTTTTTTAAAGAGAAATTAAAAAAATAAATATTTAAAATTCGAACTAAAAGAAGATTTTTTTCAATTTTTTCAGCTTTTACAAAATCTAAATAAATAATTGCTGGTGTGATACAAAATCATGCAATAAAAAATGCTGCGAAATTCCTGAGAATTTTCTCTTGTCAAAGAAAAAACGGCTCAATATAAAAACCCATTTCTTTAGCACATTTTCCAGGCAAATTGAAATTCTATTTACTTTCCAAGCACTGCAAATAAAAATAAATTGAGAAGCAATCGAATTTTCAACTAATGCAAAAAGCTACTAAAATTTAGGACAAAAAGCACTTTTTTGATGAATTGTGTTTTTGAACTAAACATGAAAATGTAATTTTCAAAATTGAATAAAAAATAAACTCACGTGAAAATCCTCATTTGTTGGATCATCAACTCCGGAATCGCCGGTACTTGCATCGTTTCTCTCTTCTTGTTCGGTAGTTATATTTTCATTAACATCTTTCTCTGTATTATTCAAATCGTCTTCAATATTATTCTCAACTTTCTCCTCTTCAGCATTATCCTCATTTTTCTCCTCTTCGGTAATTTCATCATTTTTCTCCAGTTCGTTTTCATCATTTTCATCATTTTCACCAATTTCCTCATTTTCCCCTTTTTCATCAATTTCATTCGGTTCGCCTTCATTTTCAGCATTTTCCTCCGGCAACGGTGACTGTTGTTCAGGCGATTGAAATTCAGGAGATCCTTCCTCCTGTTTATCTTCAGCTGGCGAATTTGGAGCAGCCTCTTCCTCAGCCTCCTTCGTCTCGGGCTCAGTCTGTTTCACCAAATCTCTCTTATTAAAATCAATTTTTACGGAAAAAAAAATTCACTGCACTTTTTTTTCACTTCACTCTGAACGCTGTGCTACTATTTATCAAACTTCATATATATTTTCTTTTAATCGATTCTAATAATTAATTTACAAAAAATTAGTGTAAAAATTGAATAAAAAATAATTGTAGGTACACAAAAAAGTTATCAAAGAAAAAAGAAGTTTAAAAAAGTTATAAAGAAAAAAGAAGTTAAAAAAAGTAATATAAAGAATAAGGAAAATTAAAAAAAATTTGGAAAATAAGATTGACTTGAAAATTAAAGAGAGCTTTTGTGTATTGTAGCAAAACTTCACTAATATTGTTGAATCAAAGTCAAATTTTTAAAAAGGATTTGAAAATCGTTGACAAAAAAAGTTCCTATTGTTGGAAAAAAATAAACTGGACCTGATTCAACAATAATTTGGCACGAGAGAAAAATTAACACACAAAACAGAAAATAGAGAGAGAAATTCTATTTCAACTATTTCTACTGAATAAAACGTGCAATAAAAAGAAAAAGTAAAACTACTCCTGAAAAATGAAATAAAACAATAAATTACTTCTTTTTTACATTTACATTTTTCACTGTCGTGTCAGGCCTCGGATCGACCTTAAAGAGCCAAAAAAAGTCACTTTAGTGGATTAAAAATAGAAAAAAGTCAAAAAAGTCATTTAATTAATTCAGTGGTGTCACAAAAGATTTTATTTTGCATTTCCCTGATTCTTCAGATTTCTAAATTCAATTATTCAAAATTCGAATAATTTTGCTAAATAAATATTTAAATACCTACTTTTTATTTCTTTTTTCACATAAAATAAAATTGAACAAATTTCGACTTTGGAAATTTATTAATTTCTAAAAGTTACAACTATAAACCTTCAAAAATTTAATTATTTTTTATAATTTTGAACTAAACTTCATCTCTAAATCAATTATCTATATCAATTTTTAATTATTTTCTGAAATTTCTTCGAGAATTCAATTATTTTAATACAAAAATTCAATTTTTTTTTTTGAATAATTGAAACTGTCCATTTTTCTTTTTAAAGATTATTAAACTTTTCACGATTTTTCAAGATCATTAATTTTCAAAAATTTTTAAAAAGAAATTCTTAAAATTAATTTTTTGAAAATATTTTTTAATAATTTTTTAAAGACAATATTTTTACAATTACATACCTACAATATTAAAATATGTCCAATAAATTGAAATTTGATAAAATCTTTTAAAAAAATAATTGAAATTTGGTAAAATCTTTAAAAACTAATTGAAATTTGATCAAATCTTTCGAAAATGTAAGAATCTTAAATAAATAAATAAAAATAATTGAGTTTTTAAAAAGTATAAAAAATAATCAAATTTTTCAAGAATTTTAATTAGAAATGATTTTTTCAAAATTTTAATAAGTCTAAAAAAGTAAATTTTAAAACATTTTAATTTATTTTGTACGAAGGTAATTGAATGTTAAAAAATTATGATAAAACAATTTTAAGAATTTGTTTTTCTTATGAATCTATTGTAATGTAATTTTTCGAAAATAATTGAATTTCTAAAAAGAACAGACTTTTGTATAATTTAAAAAGAAACTAATTAATTTTTTGAAGAATTTTAATTAGAAATTTTGAATGTGATTATTTTCTCCAAAATGTTAAAAATGATTCTAAAAAATGTTAATGTTATTTTTTGTATGTATTTGAATTTTCGGAAATATATAATAAAAAATTATGGAAATAATTGAATTTTAAAAAATTAGAATAACAAAATTCTGAGAATCAGTTTTTTCAAAGATATTTTAATATTATTTTTACAAAAATTTTTAAGAATTCAATTTATTTCAAAAATTTTTAATTAAAATTCTTTTAAAAGTTAATTTTTAAAAATTGTAATAAAATACTTGAAAAAAATGATTTCTCTTCAATTAAATTTTACAAAATTTCAATTATTCAAAATCTTCATAAATAATAAAATTCTTCACAGGATTTCAATTATTACTTTTAATAAACTTTTAACTAAATTCCTTAAAAAATGTAGTTTTCTAAAGTTTTATAAAAATTCTTCCCAAGAATTCATATATTTTTATAAACAATAAAATTCTTTATAGAAATTCAATTTTTCTTTAAACTTCTAATAATATTCCTGTTAAGAATTTAATTATTATTTTCTAAAATTTCAATAAAATTCTTCGAAACATAAATTTCTGACTTTAAAAAATTTACGTGAAATTCTTTTCAGAAATTTAATTATTTTTAAAATTTTTCATAAAATTTTTGACAAAAATTTTATTATTTTCGAAAATTTTAATAAAATTCTTTCAACCAATTCAATTACTGAAAGTTATTACTTTTAAAAATTCTGATTAAATTTTTTATGAGAATTCGATTACTTTCAATACAATTTTAATAAAATTTCTGGAAAAAATACAATTATTTCAGAATCACCAAAAATTTAATTATTTTCAAAAATATCAATAAAATGCTTAAAAGAATTCAATTAATGAGAGTTATTACTTTTAAAAATTTTGATAATATTCTTTATAAGAATATAATTAAAATTTTTTAAAAGTTAATTTTCAAAAATTGTAATAAAATACTTAAAAAAAAATGATTTGTTTTCAATTAAAGTTTACAAAATTTCAATTATTCGAAATATTTTTAATTAAATATTTCAAAAATTTAATTAGAAAAATTATTCAAAAATAACTTTTCAAAGATTTGTCTATAGTTATACTTTCCACAAAAGAAAAATCGAAATTTAAGTTGAATTTTTATATGAAAAATATGGTATTTTGTTGCAAAATTTGGAAGAAAAGTCGAAAAAGTCTCAATTTTTTAATATAAGTCGATAAAAGTCGCATTATTCGAGAATAGTCGGAAAAAAGTCGAAAAAGTCATAATCCGAGGCCCGTCGTATTAATCATACTTTCGAATCTTTTTTTTTGTAACTTCAATTCTAAATTTTTCCGTGCACAAAATTTGATAAACTTTTTTCTAAAAATAAATGTATTTTGTATAACACATTTAGAAAATGCGCTAAAGAACTTCTCTTTCTTCTTTTGAAATAAAACATTCAATAGTAAATACTCAAATAAAAAAGTAAAAAATTTTCAAAAACTTAATATTGAAAATTTCAGATTGTCAATTTGCATTTTTTATTTTTAAGATAAAAATTTCCACTTTCTGCATATCAATAAATAGTGAACAAAATTTACATTATTTTGTACGTCCTCATGAAAATTTTCTAAAGCTAAAAAATAATTTCTCCACTTGATTTATTACTGTATATAAATTTGATATTCATTTATATTTTATTTATATAATTATTTATTTTTTAATTAAAATATTCTTTTTTAGAAAAACTATTCTTTTCTGAATTAAATTTATATCTAAACTTGAATATTATTAATTTATTGATAAATTTATTAAAATTTATATCTAGACTTGAATATTATTAATTTATTGATAAATTAATTAAAATTTAAATATTTAAAAATTTTTTCTTGATAATGGAGCTGTGAGTTAAAAAAATATTTTGTGCATTTGTGACTAACATTTACGACAGGAAGAGCAAAAATTCTAAAAATCATCTAATGTACTACACACAAATATGGTTATAACGACGAGCACAAAAGACGTACACCTTTTTTTTTTGGTTATTTAGCTGGCACACAAAGTGCTAACACACTTACAAACAATATGTAACACGTACTTTATGTGTGCCATTTTTCATTTTTGTTGGTGACTCTCCTCCATTCGGTGCATCGAAAGTCTCGTCAATCTCAGTGATCTCAGCAATTTTTGACGTTGATTTTCTCATGTCACGAATCACATTGTCATCAGTTTCCAATATCCTCCAGTCCCAATTTTTTGGATATGTCCCAGAAACACGCGGGGCATCGGGAACAACCAAAAGTGCCGACATATCAACATCGGATGGTCGATTTTTATAAAAAGCAGGCGCCTTGAATTTCTAGAAAAATTCAAAAGTTGTTTTAGAATAAATTTACAAAAATATTGCTCATGATTTTTATTTAAAAGTATGGAAAATATTTACGAGCGAAACGCGGTAATAAACAAATTAAAAAATTTTTCATTCTTAAAAGTCATTTTCAATTTTTCAATAATTTCTGATTCGAAATTTAAAAAGTTTACTTATTGAATTAAATTTTGTTCAATACAATTTTAATAAGCACAAAAGGATTTAATTATTATTTTTAAAAATTTGTTAGAAAATTTATCGAAAGGATTCAATTATTTTTATAAAATTTTAAGAAAATTTGTCTAAACAATTCAATTATTTTTAAAGATAATAAAATTTTTCTTAGGAATTTAATTTTTTATACAATTTTAATAAAATTTCTCCTAAGAATTCAATTATTTTCAAGAGATGTAATAAAAATCTGGAAAAAAATTCAATTATTTCACAAAAAAAAATTTCACGAAATTCAATAACCAAATTATTAATTAGAATTATTAACAATTCCGATTATTTAAAAGCTTGAAAGAAATTTTTCTTAAAAATCGATTACCTACTTTTAAAATTTTCAATAAAAATTGTTAAAAAAAACTACATTATTTTCAAAATATTAAAAAAATTCCTCGGGAGAATTAAATTATTTTCAATACAATTTCAATGAAATATCTCGAAAGAATTGAATTATTTTCAAAAATTTTAATAAAATTCTTCGCAAAAAGTTAAATTATTTTTATAAATAATCAAATTCTCCTCAGGAATTTTATTTTCAATACAATTTCAATGAAATTTCTCCAAAAAATTCAATTATTTTCAAAATTTTTTATAAAATCGTTTAAAACAATTCAATTACTAAGAGTTATTAATATTAAAAATTTATATAAAATTTTTCTCAAGAATTCAATTATTTTTAAAACTATTAATAAAATTTTTGGCAAAAATTTTATTATTTTAAAAAATTTCAATTATTTTTATAATTTATAAAATTTTCGAAGTAATTTAATTATTTTAAAGAATTTTATTAAAATTCTTGTCATAGAAATTCAATTATATTGAAAAATGTTAAAAAATTATTTATGAGAATTGAATTAATTTCATAACAATTAATTTGATTATTTTCAATCCAATTTTTCAAAAAAATTCAATTATTTTATCTAAATTTGATAAAATTTTTGAAAAAATTCAATTATTTTGAAAAAAATTTGATTAAATTCTTCATCAAAGTTGAATTATTTTTAACAAAATTTAAATTAAATTCCTCGAAATAATTCAATTATTTTCATAATTTATACGATTTTTGGCAGAAATTTAATTATTCTAAAGAATTTTAAAAAAATTCTTCTCTAAAATTAAATTATTTTCAAAAACTTTAATAAAATTCTTGGCAAAATTTTCATTATTTTTAAAAATTTTCATTGGAATTCAATTATTTACAAAATTCAATTATTTTCAATACAATTTTAATAAAATTTTCCCAAAAATTTAATTATTTTGAAAAATTTTGATTAAATTTTTTATGATAATTGAAATATTTTCAATGCAATTTTAATAGAAAAATTTCTTGAAAGAATTAAATTATTTCAGTATATCATCAAAAATCTAATTATTTTCAAAAATTCTTCGCAAGAATTCAATTATTTTCGTAAATAATAAAATTCTTTAATAGAATTCAATTATTTTCAATAAAATTTTAATAAAATTTCCCAAAAGAATTCAATTAATTTTAAAACAATTTTCCAGGAGAGATTTCTCGAAAGAAATGAATTACTTCAGATTCAAAATTATAAAAGTTACAAAAAATAAATTTCTTATAAAACAAGAATGTTGTCTTTCAAAATTAAAAATAAATTCACTATTAACGCAAAATGGAAAATAGAATAATTTCTAAATTCTTCTTGCAAAAATTATTCTCTTAATCTTACTTGGTAGAATGAACTAATTAGTAGTTCTGAACTAAATCAGAACAAACGTTTATGGCCTGCGGGAAATGTATGATAAATAAATAAATAAAACGTGATAAGAAATTTTCAAAAAATTATTTTTTTAATTTTAATTTAAAGCAATAAATAAATAAATAAATAAATAAATACTAATAAATACTAATAAATACTTTAATTATCAATAAAATTCGATTTTAGTTGAAAATTGAAGAAAAGTTAAATTAAAGGAATATAAAAATACTTTAAAACAATTGAAAAATTCTCACATGGTCGACTTTTCCCTCGTCGGCTCCAAATTCAACGAGTAAATTGTACATTAATCCTTCGTCCTTTGCAGCAGCCGCATAATGTAATGGTGTTTTTCCATCATTGTCTGCCGCTAAAACTGCAGCTGGATACAGCTCCAAAATTTCTTTAACAATTTCGATGTGTCCCAAACCTGCCGCCTTTAATCCAAAATTAAATTCGTATGTAAAAATTTTCAAATCAAATTTTTTTTTTATTCTAATCTTCAATTAATTATTATTTAATTATTATTTATAATATTAATTATTTTTGTTTTACGATTTTTACGCCCTTTCATTACATTAATTATTTTTCAAGTATATATTAATTATTTTTGTTCCAGAAAAATTTAGAACTAAAGGAATAAATTTACTTTATGCAGGACATTAAGTCCATTTCCATCTTTGCTACAAAGAATAATCGGTGACACTGGCTCGGCAATTTTTCTCTTGAAACCTTCGACATCATTTTTTATCGTCCTGGCGTGAATTTCCTTTATCGTTCCCTACAAAAATTTAAATTTAAATTTCAAAGGCGAAAGAAAAAGTTAACAATCTCGAAGAAATTGTTAACTAATTAGTTATAACTAAATTAAATTTAAATAGTTGACTGAGGATTAATTTTTATTTTCAGTCTATTTTTTAGTCTTTTAAATAATATTTACCATTATAAATGGAACCGCTTCCAAAAATTTCTTAACACGTGGATTATTGCTCGTTTCACATCGTAGCTTCGAACCGTGACCCTCCCACAAGACTCGTTGCAATTTTCCAATATCTTTGTTGTGAATCCATATCCTTATGTTCGATGGCTTAAAATCTAAATCTAAAAACATTAAATTCAAATAATTAAAATCCAAATCCAAATCTAAAAAATAATCATAAAAAATATTAAAAATATATAAAATATAAAAAATTATAATCAATAATTATAATAGCAGAACTAAATTGTAGGGTAAATAGTCTAAATTATTTAAATTATTGGCCAATTATTAAATTATTAAGGTAATTATATCATTACAAGCGACTACTAAATTATGGTATAAAAATAATATAATTTCTATTTGTCAAATAATCATTTATTTCTCATTCTAGTAATGTAACTTTAATACGCTACCAGTGGATCTAAGTGAAAATCGATTGCAAACGATAATTTTTATAAAAAAGCACTAAATTCGGGTTATAAAAATTTTTCGGTATTGATGACTCTTTATATAGAAAAATAATGTTTAAGTATCGTGTATCGGAAATCTTTTCGTTCTCGATTTATCCGACTGATAACAAAAACCTTCACCTACAAATATTTTTTAGCCAAAAAACTGTATTTTTACATTCAACATTTTTATTCATAACATTTTTTTAAAATTAAAACATTTTCTACTACTGTTTTTTTAGCAAAAAGTTTTTCAAAATTGAAACATTTACTATTTTCTAAAAATACTAAATTTACTAAATTTTTAAAATTATTTACTATTTTTTTGAAACATAACAAAAAGTAGCGATCAACGAAAGAAAAAAGAAAAAAAAATCCTTTTATATACATTTTTTTTTAATTTCGACTTTTTTCAGGAAGGAAACATTTAATAAATTTAAAAATAAAAGATTTACTCGATAGTTTATCGATGAAAACTCGTCTATATTGTTAAGTTTCTCAGAACAAAACATTTATGAGTACTTAAGGCAATTTAGAAGCATGCAATATGTTTGTGCGATTTTTCCAATTATATTTGTCTCGTGTGATTTAAAACAACATAGCGTGCGCTCAACTATGGTCAACAGTATAGTTTTTCTTTACATTTCCTGTGTATTATATTGAAAACACCGAATAAAATCAGAAATATACGATCAATATTTTCAATACATGTTAAAAACATAATGCAAAAAAAACTCATATTTCAAATGTAATCAATCAAAAAACAACAATAAACAAATTTAAAAAAAATTTTTAAAAAAGGTTTAAAAAAACTATTACAAACTACAAAGAAAGAAATAGAAATGTTGTTTATAATTGTTATTAGAGTAAACATGCAAAAAAGCAAAACTCAATAAAATCGTTAAATTTTCTTCAAATGACGGAACTGCTAAACTCACTGTTTTTTGGAAAATCAGTTATTTGTTGTTCATGACTGTTGTAGTTATTTTTGATTCCTAAAATAATAACAAATGCTGTTTTTTACAAAAAAATTTTTTTTTTTTACTAAAATTTTATTTCTATTCATTTAATTCAATTTATTTAATTTATTTATATTTTACTTTCAATAATTTAATATCAAAGGACGTTATAGATTATTAATATTTCTATTTCTTTATTTTTACTTTGTTTCTCTATTTTTGATATTTATCTTCATCTGTTGGTATATAAATAAATAAATAAATAAATTCATAACTAACTAAATAAATACGAAAATAAATTTTAAACTAAATAAATAAGAAAATAAATTTTTAACTAAATAAATACCTAGTAACAAAAAATTATAATTTGTTACTATAATAAAGTTAAAATTGTTAATTAAACATTTTTATATTATAATTTCAGTTTTTTTTTAGAAAATAATAATTTCAATATTGTGATGTGAAGCAGTTCAGACCAAAAACAAAGTTTTTCTTTCAATTTTTACAATAATTTACAAAAAAAAAAATTGTTTCTACAATTCATGGAAACTCTTTGTTCAATTATTATATTTATTTTCTTCTACCTCATTACTTATTCCTTTTAGTATAAAATTTCTCATTTTCTCAGCTATAATTTTGTTCTATTTTTACAAAATTCTTATATTTCTTTTCTAAAACGTTTTCAGAAGAAAATTTATTCTCCAACAAAACTTTAATTTTTTAAATAAAAATAAAAATTCAAAAGGTGTCTCGTTTAGAAATAAATAAATAATAATAATTAAGAAAAAATAAATAGAATAGAATAGAATTTATTAAAATAAAAAATAAATTACGAAATAAATAAAAAGAAATAAAAATAAATAAAATAAATAATAATAAATAATAACAAATAAAAATAATAAAAATAATAATTAAGCGAAAAATGAGAAATTAAAAAATGGAAAAATAGCAAAATATTTATTTTAATAAAAATAATCTGACAAAAGAAGGAAAATTGCTTTAAATAGATGATTTTGATAGTTTCCGACGTTTCTTGATTTTTTTCACAAAAATAAATCGCGTAAAATGATAAAAAAAAATTAAATCGTTCTATAAATAAGTCATCGATTATTTAAATATAATTCATCTGGCTTCATTTCAGAAGTTATTGAGCAGCACAATTTACAAGATATATAATAAATTAATGTCTTATTGATTTACAAAGGTTCATTGCAAGCATGTTTCTGGGGCACAAAAATCCTAAGTACTGACCATAAGTCTTTCAACTATTATAGAATTCATTAATAGACGTAAACTTTTTGCCATTGGAGAATAATATTATAAAAATAGACTTTAATATTCGATTCAAATACAATGTAATTAAATTTTTACTATAATGAGTCATATATTAAACTTAATTATGTCGCGTATTTATTATTTATCAAATATTGAAAGAAGAAGAAGAAGTAAGTCAAGATTAAACTTTCTTGAGGCTCCGTTTTGAGGCAATTTTCGTTATTTTCATTATTTTCTTTATTTTTAAATTTATTTATTTATTAAGACAAGAAAAATAAAATTTATTTATCTTAATTTATTATTTTAGTATATTAATTTTTTTTTTTAATTAATTGTAATTATAAAATAAATATTATTTTTATTTATTTATTGAAATAACGAAAAATAAAAGAAAAATAAAAAAATAAATAATAGTAAAGTAATAAAAAATAAAAACTAAATGAAATAAAAATAAAATAATAAAAGAAAAGCAAAGAAAAGAAAGAAAAAATAAAAAAAATAATAAAATAATAATAATTATAAAATTAATAATTTAACGAAAATTTGGTAATAGAATTGACAAAGATTTTCTGAGTAGGCGAAGAGTAAATATAAATTTAAGAAATAAATAAAAAATAATTTTTTTTAACGAAACAAATTACTTAATAGTTAATAACAACAATAATAATAATTTAAAAATGAATAAAATAACGAAAATTTGGTAATTGAATTGACAAAGATTTTCGGAATCGGCAAAAATTAAATATAAATTAAAGAAATAAAAAAACTAATTTTTTTAAATAAACAAATTACTTAATAATTAATAACAATAATAATAATAATAATAATAATTTAAAAATGAATAAAATAACGAAAATTTAGTAATAGAATTAATTGACAAAGATTCTCGGCATCGGCGAAAAGTGAATGTATTTTTAATGAATAAAAATTTTTTTTTCAAAATAAAAAAAAAAAAACAAATCACTTACTTTCTTTATTATTGGCTATTTTTCTGCCACTCATTCTCTCGGTTTCAGGTAATTCGAGTTCAGACTGATGCTCTAAATAATAAGCAGCGGGATTTCCTCTTTTATCACAAATACTTGCGTCGCAATCCGCCTCTATCAACACATCCCAAACGGAATCAATGTCCCTGCAGGCTGCACAATAATGCAGAGCTGTTCTTCCTTCCTGTTGAAAAAAAGAAAATATAAATATTTTTTCTTATTTCAAGAAAACAGTTTTAATAATAAAGTTTTCATTGCTTTTTTTGTTAAATTCCCAGACTTTGGAGAATTTCGAATTTCGTCAGAAATTTTTCTATTCTACCTAGAGAATTTAAAATTTAGATAAAATAAAATATTAATGAAATAAATATAAATAAAAGAAAATAAAATTTTTAGAAGCTAAATTATGAATGAAATATAAATAAAATATAAAATTTAATAAAATAAAAAATGTAATAAAATATTAATTTTAATAATATATGAAATTTAATCAAATTTAAAATTTAATAAAATAAATATAAATTAAATTATTGTAAGAACAGGAAATAATTTTGGTTTTTTTAAAATATACGTAAAAATAAAAAATTAAAAAACGGGAAATAATTTTTGTTTTTGTCAAAATATACGTGAAAATGAAAAAATTTCCATTTTTTCATTTTTCACGTATATTTTGACAGAAATAAAAATTATTTCCCATTTCAGCAAACAATTATTTTTCTGATTAACAAAAAAGAAGTATAAATTAGATAATAATTCACAGAACACGTGTTTTTTTTAATAATCAAATAGAAAAAAAATTGAACAAAAATATGTAAAAAAAAAAATTTTTTAAATTGTTAATAGAAAAGAAATTGAACAAAAATATGTAAAAAAAAATTGTGTCAAAGTGTGAATTTTTTCAGTTTTTAATAAAGTGAATTTTATCATCATCGGAGAATAAAAATTATAATCTCTGTGAAACGCACCCTTAAATTATCCGCGACAAAGTGTTTAGGACTTGGAGTTTAACACTGATAACTATCGACGGATTTCCGGCCTTTAGGGTAAGAACTTCCTCTTTCCCTCTCTCTCTCTCTCTATAAATCTTAACACGAAGCTTTACTATACTGAATATATAGAGAAAAGAACAGGTGGTTTACACTGTTCACTGCGATTACTGCCGTCACGCAAATTTAAAATAAAGAAGAGAATACCGACGACGATCTTAATTTAATTATTCATAACATAATTCCTAGAATGTTGCCAAACAAGTTGAATAATTGCGTTTCAACAAAGTAGAAATTGTATAAGTATAGCTCGTTAGATTAAATTATAAATTTAGAAATTACTTTTTTCAAATATAATATTCAAAGTTAATTTTTGAACAAATAAAGAAAATTTCTTTCTTAAAAGTTTCAAATATCGAAAATACTTAAAGTATTTAAATAAAAAATATTTAATGATTTTTGAATCTTTTACTATGTGTACTTTTTTCCAATTAATTACTGAGCGCAAAGTTTTTTAATTTGCATTTGTCATTAAAAATTTTGTATCAGAGTTAATTTTTTTTCAATAAATTTTTTTGGTTACTAATTAATTTTTTCGAGATTGAAATCCACTGAGAAAAATTCGATATTCATTTCTAATTGTTTAGAGTGAATTTTAGTTCAAGAAAAAAAATTTTCCGGTTACTAATTAATTTCTTCGAGATGTAAATTCACTAAGAAAAATTCGATAATCATCTCTAATTTTTTTTAGAGTGGATTTTAGTTCAAAAAAAGAAATTTTCCTAATTTTTTCGAGATAGAAATTCACTGAGAAAAATTTGATAATCATTTTTAATTTTTAAGAGTGGATTTTTGTTCAAGAAGAGAAATTTGCCGATTTGTAATTAATTTCTTCGAGATGGAAATTCACTGAGAAAAATTCAATAATCACAACAGCAGATACAAAATAAATTTTGAAAATTCATTACTCTGTCTTTTTGCTGAACAGTAGCGGGAAATTGTTGAATTAGCCAATCCACGATATCGATGTGATCGTAATAAACTGCTTTGTGTAATAAAGGCGTCCCCGTCGAATCCTTCGCTAGAGGAAATTTTTTCTTCGGCTCCTCGGCTATAAGTTTTTGGCATTCTAGTAATGATCCCCTGGTAACGGCTTCGTGAATTTGAGAAATTTTCGTCTGAAATCGAATAAATGTTGATAAAGTAAATATAAATAAACAAATAAATAAATACATAAATAAATTAAATAAATTAAATAAATTAAATAAATAAACAAAAAGTTTCAATTTTAAAATTAATGTATTAAAAATAATTGAATTCTTGCAAAGTATTTATCGAAAAATTTGAAAATAATTGAATTCATTTCAAGAATTTTATCAACTTTTTTCTTCAAATAATTGAATTCTTTCGAGAAAATGTGATTAAAATTGTATTAAAAATAATTTAATTCTTGGAAGGATTATTATTAAAATTTTTTGAAATAATTGAATTGTTATGAAGAATTTATTTCAATATTCTTGAAAATAGTGGAGTTTTTTAAATAATTTTTACTGAAAATTTTGAAAATAATTGAATTTTAAGGAGAATATCCTTTAAGTTTTTTAAATAATCGTGTTTATTATTAATATTTGTAATTAACGATTTTCCTAATTAAATAATATTAAAAATTATACATAGAAAATTAAATTTTTTTTAAACAATTTAATTAGAGTTTTTGTAAATAATCACTTTTTTTTAAGAATTTCATTAAATTTCGTAAAAAAAATTACATTTTTTAAAGTAATTTTAATTGGAAATTTTGAAAATAATTGAAATTTACAAAGAATTTTGATTAAAAAAATAAAATTTTTGATTAAAATTAATAAGAACAATTGAATTGTTTAGAAAAATATTATTGAAATTTTTAAAAATAATTGAAACTGTTAGAGAAATTTTATTAAAATTATGTTGAATATAACTGAATTTTTTTTCCTAAAAATTTTATTAAAATTGTATTGAAAATAACTGAATTTCTCAATAGAATTTTATTATTTACAAACAAAATTGAATTCTTGTCAAGAATTTTACAATATTTATAAAAATATTTTAATCGTTTCGAAGAATTTCATCTTAATTTTTGGAAATAATAGAATTTTTTGAACGAATTCTATTAAAAATGTTAAAAATAACGATTTTTCAAAAAATTGAAATTGTTGAAAATAATTGAATTAAAAATTTTAAATTAAAATTCTTGAAAGGAATGGAATTTAATTAATATTTTAAAAAATAATTGTAATCTTTTACGAAATTTTTCTAAAAATTGTATTGAAAATAATTGAATTTCTTCGTAACATTTTATTATTTATGAAAATAATTGAATTCCTTTGAAGAATTTTATTATTTATGAAACAATTTTAATTCGTGTCTAGAATTTTCTTATTTATGAAATTCTTGCTGAGAATTTTACAGGTCATAAAAATAAATAAATTTTTTAAACGAATTTTATTAAAACTGTATTGAAAATAATTGAATTGCTCTAAATAATTTTATTATTTATGAGAATAATAAAATTCTATCTAAAAATTTTTTTAAAATTGTATTGAAAATAATTGAATTGCTCTAAATAATTTTATTATTTATAAGAATAATAAAATTCTTGCTAAAAATTTTATTAAAATTTTTGAAAAATAATAAACAATAATATTAAATTATATACTTAATAAGTGAATTCCTTAAATTCACTTATAATGTAATCATAATCAAATTATAATCTGTAATCATTCAAAAATTGATGTTTTGTTTATACTTGAAAATAAAAAATTGTTTACTTTACAAAATAATACTAACAATCTGCTAGTTAAATAAATAAATTAAATAAATTAAATACATTTTTATGCGGAATAAAAAATTATACTAAAATAATTTTAAATAATAATTATTGTCAATCAATTATTTTCCAAGTGACTAAAATTATAATTTTTTAAACAATGACAACTAACTAAGTAATTTGGCAATCCTTTGAGAAAAACTCGAGTCCTGAGATCCGGTGAACGTTCTCCCAATAGACGAGCTCCTCTGCCTTCCAAAACGACATGTTCGAGTTTTTCGATTTCCCCACGATTGAGCCAATGTTTCAACGTATTCGGGTTCATCTGCGAATCTGAAAATAGAAAATCAGTTAAAAATATAATTTTACACAAAAAAAAAAAAAAAAAAAAAAAAAAAACTTTTTTTTATTTTCCTTATTTATAGTTTTTATAGTTTCTAAAGTTTCCATAAACAACAAAATTTTAATTTTAAACGTATAAAATAACTTTATTGTAATCAATAATAGAGACATTTAACAAAAAAAAACTTTTTATCGTCGACATCAATGTAATCAACTTTTTAATTCTTTCCAGGGAAATAAATTTCACCGTCCGATTAGTAAAAAAAGTAATTTAATTAAAAAAAAATTATTCAATAAAACAAAAAAAAAAAATAATTCAATTAAAAAAAATTATTCAATAAAATAAAAAAATTAATTCAATAAAAATTTAATAAAAATTATTAATTAATAAATAAATTAATAAACAGTTAATAAAATTCAAAAAAATATAAAGTAGATTTCCACTCGAGTGGAGAAATAAAAAATTACCAAAATCTACGTATTAGGAAAGTTATTTAAAAATATCGAGTTTCTTGTTGAAATTCAGGAAATTGTCAATATTAATAATGACTAGGATTTTTGAGTAATAACTTTTTCTTTCACATAAATTCGAGAGTTTCGGTGCCTGAAGAAAACAAGAGGGGTGAAAATACATGGTTTAGGAACTACAATTTTGTAATTGAACAAATGACAGCTATACCATCGAAACTGTGTCAATCGATATTCACAATTTTTTAAGTAAAAAAAAATTTTTCCTTTTTCACTTTAGAAATTACTTTTGAATTAAATTATTAGCCAATTTTCTTCAATCTAAAAAAACTGAACTATACAATTTATTTTCTATTCACAAAACTATTTTAATCGAAGACGATTTTTTGTTTATTTTATTTTTTATTTATTTACTTTTTCAATTATTTGTATATTATTTATTTTTGCTATTTTTAATTTGATTTATTTTATTATTTTTTGTTGTCTTTATTTTATTTCTATTACTATTTTTCTATTTTTTTTCTATTTTATTTATTTATTTATTAAATATCCGTTCAGTTACAGAAAAAATTTGTTACTAATTTTGTTTTTAAAAATAGTTAAGAAATTATAATAACACTTTGTAAAATTAATTTTTCTACGTATAAAATTTTTGTTTCCACGTAAAAAATTTTTTTTTACGTAGAAAATATTCAAGAATGTGAAATTGCAAAAACGAAAAAAAGCTTTACCTCATGAGTTGAATAACAATTGTCCAATTTTTGAATCATTGACTGATTAATTTTTTTTAGAAACAAGTAAAAACAAAAAAAATAAGAATATTATTGTAGCACTGTGGAATATCACATGTGTCACATGTGAATGTCCAACGACAAATGAGGGTTTTTGTTTGCAACGCCACCTTCGTGTTTTTTTTTCTCTCCTATTATTAAGAACAATTAAGCAAGAAAAACATTTTGTACACAAAAAAAAAATATTATTCAATAAATTAATAATTTACAAAAAAAACTACAAGTTATTTAAAAGAAAGTTTATAGATTAAGAAAAAACATTTAGAAAACTTGAAGGTTGAATTATAGACTCATCAGAAAATTTGTGTCAATGTCTATAAGAAAGCCGGGTTTTCTTTAATCGATATACGTTATAAACATTATATTATCAATTTATATAAACTATAAACATACATTAGCATAAAATACAAAAAAAATATTTTCTGTGAATTTGTAACATTTTTTTCTGTATTGGATTTTTTTTCTCATTTCTTTCTTTAGTAAAATTTTTGACAAAAATTGTTAACAAAATATTTTTGAACGAAAATAGAAAATTTTTTAAAGAAAGTTAATATTTTTAACAAAATTAGAAATATTTTTAGCAAAATTAGAAATATTTTTAGCGAAATTAGAAATATTTTTAAGCATTTGTTTTCTCAATCCAAAAAGCAAACATTGTTCTCTTGATTAATTAACGAATCTTTCACTTCTTTAGACGAAGTTTAAACTCATCCTTCCTGTTGACTAGTCACTCTGCTTGTTGATACAATTTACTTATTCATTTGCCCAACAATTTAAGAATCGATATTTTGCGCTACTCGCGGTACGTTGACTTCTCGTTATTTTTTTTTTAAACCCCCATAAGACAATTTACAGAGTGAAATATTTTCAATTTTTTACATTCGTTGAATAATTTATATTTTTTTTATTTCAATAAATAGTATAATTTACTTCTTACAAAAAATTAACGTCAATATTAAGAAACTGATTTAAAAAAAAATTTTTTTTTTAATTATCTTTGAGTAAGAATCATTCTTTTAGTGAAAAAAAATCAGACTTAATTAAAATAAAAAATCATTTTTGACATAAGTCGAAGTTATTCGAAAAAATAAAATTATTTTTAACCATATCTTACACGAAAATTAGAAAATGATTCTCACAAAATATCTTCTTTATTTTCAAAAGCAACGACCATAATTTCTTTTAAATAATACTGATTAAAGAGTACTTTTTTTTGGCGATTTTTTTTCATTAGCAAATGAAAGCAAATAAATTTGCATAACACTGTGAAAACGGCTGTCAATTTTTGAAGTGCACACGTGTTTTACGCGGAAGTCCGGTGAACAAACATCGTTGGATGTTTGCCGAACGCGAACTGTTTCCATCGACTGACGTTGAAAAGTTTTCCACGTGTCCTATTCCTGTCCATCGTCTATTATTCACCGGCTCTCTACAAGAACAATAATAATTGTCTTAGGGTCATGGCACGTTTTATTACAAACTTGTTCCAAAAAAGATTATTAATTATATCTCTTTTTTACTGAACAAACACAATTTACCTTATTGAAATTTACAAATAATAATACCATTATTGATTTTGATAATAATTTTATGTATTCTGTAATAATTACAGTATATATATACTAAGTAAAAAAAAACCAAAGTTGATAAATTATAATGTAGGTTTAGGTCATAAAGTCTTAGATCAATTAAAAAGCTCTAACTTTGTTCTCTAACTTTCTCAATGCTTTTAAATTTCATATTTTTACATTTCTCCAATACTTTTATCCTTTTTTTTCATTTTAATTATTCGACTTTTTTCAAATTTTTCTATAATATATTTTCTTCAGGATTTCCACAAAAATTTGTTTTCCCTAATTTCCAGGCAACAATTTGACTTTTTTCCTGAAGTCTAAAGAATATTCTGATTCACTCGAAAAATTATTAGATTCTCAAAAAAAAATTCTTTTACATTTATTTACGAATTTCTTTAGTAAGAAAATTTTTCGAAAACGTCAATAACTTTTTTTTTTGAAATAAATATATTTAATCATTATTATTTTTCCATAAAAATTAAAATTTAAAGTTTTTGAAATTCAACAACTTAGAAGAATATTTATTATGAAACAAGAAGATATCGATTTCTTTATATTTTATGACAATTAAAGATGACCGAGTGATAAAATCATTATTTTATATAAGAATATTGTTACTTCTTAAAAATTACTTTCAATATTTCAATTCAATTATTATTTTCTACGAGAATTCAATTATTTAAATATAAAAATAAATAATTAATGGAATAATAAATTCTTAATTATATTGACTCTGATTAACAAAAATATCTCTATTTTCTGTAATAAATTCTTAAATTTGAAACGACAATTTTTTCCGATTGTTTTGAAAAAAAAATGAATTTCTCCGAAGAATTTTATAAATTTTGAAAATAATTGAATTTTTGTGATGAATATTGTTATTTTTTAAAATAATTGAATTTTACAATGAATTTTATAAATATTACTGAATATAAATGAAATTTGGCGAGGAATTTTGCTATTTATAAAGATAATTGAATTGTTGACGAGATTTTTTAAAAAAAATTTTGAAAATAATTGAATTTCTGGAAAGAATTTTGATATTTATTAATATTCGTGTAGAACTTTGTCAAATTTTTTTTTAAATTCTTTTGGAATAATTGAAATTTTACAATGAATTTTATTAAAATTTTTGAAAACAATTGAATTTTATTACTTTTGAAAAGAATTGAAGTCTTGTGATGAATATTGAGTGATTTTTTAAAATAATTGACTTCCTCCGAATGATTTTATTATTTTTGAAAATAATTGAATTCATAAAAAGAATTTTTGTTATTTGCAAAAATAATTTAATTCCCAAAAAGAATTTTATTTTTTAATAAAATAATTTATTATTTATGAAAATAATTGAATCTCTGTAAAAAAAAATTCATTATTTATGAAAACAGTGGAATTATGGCGTAGAAATTTATTTAAAAAACTTGTAAATAATTAAATTCCTGTGAAATTTTAAATAACAATTAAATATTTGCGTAGAATATTGATAAAATTTTTTTTTAATAAATGAATTCTTTTGAAAAAATTTATTAAAATCGTAGATATTGAAAATTCAAAATTAAATTTTTTTAAACTGTTTTTAACTAAAATTAATTTTTCTAAACGAAGATAAAATCTTAAAATATTAGTTACCTTATCAATTAAGTAGTAATTATCCATAAAATGACGAATATTATGGATTACTGTCAAAGTGTGGAAAGGTTTTAATCAAATCGTATAAACTGTTGCCGGGACAATCAGTAGCCGAACCTTGACGATGACCAATTAATTTATAATTACTTTGAATTTCACCTTTCGAGACTCCTAATTCTATTAAATCCTTCAATGTCTCAATGGCAATTAAATTCGGCTCATGACCTTTAAGAAAAATTTATAAACAATTAAAATCAATTATTAAATTAAAAAAATGTGTCGCGTTCCCAAGAAACGTAAGAAACAGAGAGACGAAAATTTCTTTCTTTTTTGTTTCTTAACTTTTTTTCTTTTCTCAAAAAATACCTTTTTCTTTTTTAAGAAAGATATTTGTTTGGAGCGCGTCACATATGAATAATAATAGAAAAAAATAGTAGAATATTAATTAATAATATTAATTAATTAATTAATATTAATGAGCGTACTAGTAAAATTTCCAATGACGCAGATTCCAATACTTTTGGGATTGTATTTAGGGCAGTGTGCTCCCCTTTTGCCCCAACCACGACCTTCGTAAACCAATCCGTCCTCTCCAACCAAAAAGTTGTAACCAATGTCACTCCATTTATTGTGATCCATATGATAGTTCTGCAAAAAATATTTATTCCGTTTGTATTAAAAATTGTTTAACTTAAATATTAAATTAATTTAAGTAACAACTGCAGGCCTCGGATCGACTTTAAGGTGCAAAAAAAGTCGCTTTTGTCGATATAAAATAGAAAAAAAAGTCGAAAAAGTCGTTTATTTAATTCAGTGTCGTCACAAAAATTTTATTTTGTATTTTCGAATCTTTCACTGATTTCTAAATTTAATTATTCAAAACTTGAATAATTTCGTTAAATAAATATTTAAATATAGGTACTACTTGTTTGCTTTTATACGAGAATAAAATTTTCAAAAATTCTATTTAAAACCTTCTAAAAATTACAACTTTAATTCTCTTAAAATTCAATTATTTTCTACAATTTTTAATCAAACTTCTTCTTGAAATCAATTATTTTTAATAATTTTCCGAAAGTTCTTCGAGAATTCAATTATTTAAATACAAAAATTCAGTTTTTTTTATAATGATAGTAACTGTCCATGTTTTTTAAGTTATTAATTAATTTTCAAAAAATTATAATAAAGAAATTCATAGAATTAATTTTTCAAAACTATTTTAAAAATAATTTATCCGTGATAAATAAAAAAGAAAGATAATAAAGATAAATAAAATGAAAGATAATAGTTTTTTAATTATATACAATTGAAAAATTTTCAAACAATTGAAATTTGATAAATTCTATTCAAAAACATAATTGAATTTTCAAAGAATTTTATTTATTAATATAAACGTGATTTCTCCAAAATTTTAATTAAAATCTGAAAAAGTAAATTCAAAAAAAATTTTAATTTACTTTGTTCGAAGTTAATTGAATCTTAAAAAATTAACATAAAAAAATTACAAGGAAAAGTTTTTTTTTAAATATTGTAATGTAATTTTTTGAAAAGAGTTGAATTCCTTAAAAGAATATTTGTATAATTTCAAAAAAAATAATTTTTCCACAAATTTTGATTAAAAATTATGAACATGATTATTTATATGTTGTCAAAATGTTAAAAATAATTGTAAAAAAATTTAATTTTACAATTTTTTGTATGTATTTGAATTTTTGGAATTAAAATTCTTTAAAAGTTATTGATTTTCAACAATTTTTTATAAAACACTGAAAAAATCAATTATTTTCAATTCAATTTTACAAAATTTCAATTATTGAAATTCTTTCTAATTGTAAATTTCGAAAATTTAATTAGAAAAATTATTAAAAAATATTTTTTGAAAATTTGTCTATAGTTATGCTTTTTACACTATAAAAATCGAAATAAGTTGCATTTTATATTAAAAATTATTGCAATATTTGGAAGAAAAGTCGAAAAAGTCGTAATTTTTTAAAAATAAGTCGAATAAAGTCGCATTTTTTGAAAATAGTCGAAAAAGTTATAATATCCGAGGCCTGCAACTGTAATAACGAGAAATAAATTAATAAATAAAATATTAGATGAATTTTGAATTAAAAACGGTTTTATTAATATTATTACTTGGAAAGATCGAACTCGCGCTGAACATATCGTTTGAGATGTGCAGCCAACGGTCGCCGAATGATGCACGACAACAAAAGGTGGCGGATATTCAGGAAGATCATTAACTGGTCCTTGTGGTTGTCTGGCACCCCATTCTGCCCTGGTTATAATTTTCGTGTCTTTCGTCATCAAATTATCCTCTGTGACATCTGTAATGATAATATTAATAATATTGTTTACAATGTTCATTTCATTCTATTAGAAATATAGGAAAAAAAGGAAAGAGAAAAAAAATGAAAGAGAAAAAGAAAAAATGAAAAAAAGGAAAGAGAAAAAGAAAAAAAAATGTTTAAAGATACATACTTGAATATTCACCAGCATCAGTGACAGCAGATAAAGAAGTTTCTGTTGTTTCCTTATTTTCAACAACATAAATAAAATAGAGAATTACTCCAATAATTTTGTACATTTCTCAATATTCAATATCTTCCTTTATATCTAATTTATTTTCCCTCTATATTTTAATCTGATGTTGAAGAGTAATATCAGCTAAAACAAGTTTCACGCTCTGCGACTTAGTTTTGAACACACGGATACTTATAATCAAAGTTCATTTAAATACTGGGGTTCCCAGCGAGTGATATATATCTTTCTCTTTCTATCAAGTCAATAACTTTTCATGTATCAAATCGTGTATATATATAGAATTTTATTACTTATCTCTAATACACCAATAGAATTCCGTATTTTTTCATCATTTATTTAACTAATTTAAATGCAATTTAAACAAATTTTTCACAATAATCTAAATTTAATGCTTAGATAAATATAAAAAATTTATTAATATTACAATTATTACATACTGAAATATTAAATTAAATAAATATAAAACACTTAAAAAGGACTTTAAATAAATATTTCGTAAAATCGAAGACTAGATAAAACAGTCAAAAAAATATACATAGTATTTTTCTAGTTGAATCAACAATACTTTTTTAAAATTTTAAATTATAATTTTTCTATATAATACGTTTGAATTGTTATCTTCTAAATTAATTCACTTTGAAAATAAAATTTGAAAAGTGATATTTGAAAATAAAATTTTAAAATTAATATTTGAAAATAAAATCCTACTGAAATTTGAAAATTAAAATAAATTATTTCAATTGAATAGAAATTGAAAATGAATTTTTGAATCGAAAGTTTAAGCGAGGAATGTTTAAAGTAAAAAAAAAGAATAATTATTGCAAATTAATGACTTCATGTTTTCAAGAGTATGATATTTTTAATTAGCATCTAATTGTCATTGTTCTGAATTAATAAGAACTCAGCGGTACTAATTGCTCGTAGAATTATTACTTATTTGTTGTCGGTCATAGATCGGAGTCACTTTATTTGTCCAGTTTGGTAATTTTTGAATGTACTCATAAAAACTTGTTCCCGGACATTCAGTCTCCCTCGTCTGTCGATGACCAATTAATTTATAATCTCTCTGAATTTTTCCAATTGTTACTCCACACTTTATCAGAGAATTCAAAGCCTTCAGTGCTGCTTTATTCGGCAAGCGCTCTATAAACAAATAGTTTTTATATTAAAATTTTATTTTTCCCAACAAATAAACAAAAATTGGTTCTCTTTTGTAAAATTTATTTTTAAGAAATAAATTTTCTTTTGGAAAATGAATACAAAAAAAATAGAAGTAGAGAAAAAGAAATAAAAAACAAGGAATAGAAAAAAAGAAATGTAAAAAAAGAAATAGAAAAAAATAGAAATAGAAAATAAATAGAAGTAGAAAAAACAAGCCTCGGATCGAATTTAACGAGCAAAAAAAGTCGCTTTAGTCGATTAAAAATACAAAAAAAAATCGAAAAAGTTGTTTATTTAATTCAGTTTTGTCACAAAAAAATTTTATTTTGTATTTCCCTGATTCTTCACTGATTTCTAAATTCAATTATTCAAAACTCGAATAATTTTGCTCAATAAATATTTAAATACAATCTTATTTCTTTTTTCACAGGAAATAAAATTTTTAAAATTTTGACTTCTGAAATTTATTAATTTCTAAACATTACAACTAATGACCCATACAAAATTCAATTATTTTCTACAAGTTTGAACTAAACTTTATCCCTAAATGAATTATCTATATTAATTTTTAATCATTTTCTGAAAGTACTTCGAGAATTCAATTATTATTTCAATACAAAAATTCAATTTTTTATATTTATAATAATTGAAACTGTCCATTTTTCGTTTTAAAGATTATTAAGGTAGAATATTTTCAAAAATTTTAATAAAGAAATTCTTAAAATTAATTTTTTAAAAATATTTCTAAATAATTTTTGAAAGACAATATTTTTACAATTACATGCAAATTAAAATATTTAAAAAAAAATTGAAATTTCGTAAAATCTTTTAAAAAATAATTGAAATTTGGTAAAATCTTTGAAAAATAATTGAAATTTGATCAAATCTTTTGAAAATGTAAGAATCTTAAATAAGTAAATAATAATAATTAAGTTTTTTAAAAATATAAAAAAAAAATAATCAAATTTTTGAAGAATTTTAATTATAAATTCGGAATATGATTATTTTCTCCAAATTGTTAAAAATGGTTCTAAAAAATGTTAATGTTACTTTTTGGTATATATTTGAATTTTCGGAAATATATAATCAAAAATATTGAAAATAATTGAATTTTAGAAAATTAGAATGACAAAATTCTGAGAATTAGTTTTTTCAAAAATATTTTAATATTATTTTTACAAACTATTTTTTATTAATTTTAATTTTTATTAAATTTACACTTGAAGATTTTTCTTTAAAATTTTTGAGAATTCATTTATTTCCAAAATTTTCAATTAAAATTCTTTTAAAAGTTAATTTTCAAAAATTGTAATAAAATGATTTATTTTTCATGAAATTTTACAAAATTTCAATTATACTCAAAATATTTTTAATTTTATATTTCAAAAATTTAATTAGAAAAATTATTCGAAAATAACTTTTCAAAGATTTGTCTATAGTTATATACTTTTCACACAATAAAAATCAATTTTTAACACAGTTTTAATTAAATCACTATAAAATAATTGAATTAAATTATTCTTTTAAATTTTCGTAAAATGATTCAAAAAAATTAGATTAGATATTTAAAAAAGTTTTAATAAAATTTGATGCAAGAATTCAATTATTTTCATAAACATTAAAATTCTTCATAGAAATTCAATTATTTTTAAAAACAATAAAATTCTTCATAGAAATTCAATTATTTTAAAAACTTCTAATAAAATTCCTGTTAAAAATTTAATTATTATTTTCTAAAATTTCAATAAAATTCTTCGAAACAATTCAATTTCTGACTTCAAAAAATTTATATGAAATTTTTCTCAAGAATTCAATTATTTTTAAAATTTTTGGGCAAAAATTTTATTATTTCCAAAAATTTCAATAAAACTCTTTTAAACAATTCAATTACTAAAAGTTATTACTTTTAAAAATTCTGATAAAATTTATTATGAGAATTCAATTATTTCAGAATCACAAAAAATTTAATTATTTTCAAAAAATTCAATTAAAATTCTTTAAAAGTTAATTTTTAAAAATTGTAATAAAATACTTGAAAAAAATGATTTGTTTTCAATTAAGTTTAAAATTTCAATTATTAAAAATTTTTTTAATTGTATATTTCAAAAATTTAATTAGAAAAATTATTCAAAAATAACTTTTCAAAGATTTGTCTATTGTTATACTTTTCACACTACAAAAATCAAAATAAGTTGCATTTGATATTAAAAATGTGGTATTTTGTTGCAAAATTTGTAAGAAAAGTCGAAAAAGTCGCAATTTTTTAATATAAGTCGATAAAAATCGCATTATTCGCAAATAATCGAAAAAGTCATAATATCCGAGGCCTGAGAAAATATAAATAGAAAATAAATAGGAGTAGAAAAAAATAGAAATAAAAAATAGATAGAAGTAGAAAAAAATAGAAATAGAAAATAAATAGAAGTAGAAAAAAATTAAAATAGAAAATAAATAGAAGTAGAAAATAATAGAAATAGAAATAGAAAATAAATAGAAGTAGAAAATAATAGAAATAGAAATAGAAAATAAATAAATAATTCTCACTCGTGAAATCGCCAATTATTGAGATGCCGATGCTTTGAGTATTGAATCCAGGTGCATGTGCGCCGATAAAATTCCATCCTCGACCTTCGTATACATTTCCATCTTCGCCAATGACAAAATTATATCCAATATCAATCCAGCCCCGTTCGTCCATGTGCAAATTTTGATAGGACCGCACAATTTCCGAACACGCATTTTCATTGAAACAATAATGTTTAATTCCTCCATGATGAACCACGACATAAGGAGTTGGTGAAATATCCAATAATTTATAATTCGTAACAACTCGTGCCCTCCATTCTTCTCGAGTCACAATTTTAGGACAAACTGAAAATAAACAAAAAAAAATTATTATCTTTCCTAATAAATTATTCTCTTTTCTAAATTATTTTTTTTCAAATTATTATTTTTCTAAATTATTATTTTGCTATATATTTTCCGAACTAACAAAACTATAATAGTAAAAAATGTAATTCTATGTATTAAAAAAGAATTTCCCTTTTTTCAAAGTTACAAGTTACGCCCGTTGACATTATTCAATGACAGAAAATTTAACGAGTTCAGGGATAAATGATTACTTTAACAACTTTCAAGAAACTGTAACAATTATCAAAATCGTTGCTATTAATTCACTATCGAGATAGTTCAATACTAATCTCGAAATTGGAGAAGAAAAAAAAATAAAAATAAATCTTTCCTTGATTACTGATAAAATCCACAGAAGTAAGTATATTTACTATTGCATAATTTATGATATAAACAAGTTGCACAATTTTTACACTTTTTGAAATAAAAAAAAAAAGATTATTACTCACTGATGATCTAGAAGTGAATTAAAAAATAGAATTTTAAAATAAATTTGTACTTTCCTGTGCAGTTTAAAAATGATGTCAAGTGAATAATCCTTGACATACTTTCAAATATTTCACTTTAATTCCCCCATATTCTCTTCACTTAAAAAAATATTATAATATAGAGAAATAAAAAACATTTTTTAATAAAAAAAAAATGTTTAAATTAAATTTAACAAATTTTTTTAAGAGTTAAAAATTTCTACGCAGAAGCACAAAAATTCATTTGGTATACGAAGAGAAAATGAATATTAAATTTTGTAAATTAAGTATTTTACAATTTTGGTGAAAAAAATGCGACAAAGCGAAATTTTGATACAAAAAATACTAAAATTTAAAAAAAACTTTTGTAAAATTTAGTAGTTATGTCAATCAAGAATATTAATTACATTTTAGTACAAATTTCCTAATTTTCATATACTTTCCTTTAAATTTTAGTATTTTTTATCACAAAATTTCGTCAATTTTTCCCCAATTTGTAAAAAAATATTTACAAAATTAAATATTTATTTTTAACTTTTTTCATTAAAACTTTAAAAATTGATATATTTTATCTATTGTTTTATTAAAAAATTAAATTTTGTTTCCAAATAAACGAAAAATTAAATTATTGACTAAAATTAAAATAAAAAAAAAATCTTCATGCTGAAGAGTAAAAAATAAAAAGATTTCTTACTGAGATTTTGCTCCGCTTCAATTGTCGCAAACGGTTTGCCAAATGTTGTATTTACACAATCGAAAATAAACACCACACAAACTGAATAAACGACGAAAAATATCGAAGACATATTTAAAAGAAAAAAAAGAATGATACTTTTTTTTTTTTTTTTTTTTGGAGGAAACTTTCTCTAACTTATAGTATTTGCAATACGAAATCGACTAAATGCAAAAGATTACATCGATACTCTTTTAAAGACGAAAAAAGTATGGCAAACAGTTGGGAAGTCCCTCTGCAGTAGCGTTGGGTTCGCTTAATATTTCCTTCGTCATGCAATATGAACAACAAAAATTGGCGTTATTTGTTAAGAAATTGCAAGTCCTGTACAATAAAACATAATTACTATCAGACTATACAAATTCCACGAACGAAAACAATTTAATGACGGAAGCAAAACGTGTCAACAAAAAATAATTAAAAAACACATTCTTATCGCAATTTTTTGATTGTTAAAAATATGTATTTTTTTTCAAACAAAGAAAACACGAAAAAATATTCCGATTTTCTGATTAAAAAAAAAATATCTAATCTTGTATCTTATCTTTCAGATAAAGGGATAAACAAATTCTTTTCGATCTAGTGACGTTAATTAAAAAATCGTGATTTTTTTGTTACTCAATATTTCAAACAATACTCAAAAAAAAGTCGAATTTAATTTTTAACAAAGAAAAATATTCACATTCTTTCAATGAGTAAAAAAATAATCCACGTGTCAATTTCCGACAGCGGAAATAAAGAATATCAATTTTTTAAACAGTAATTATTTCCAGTCATTGGAAATATATTTTATTTTGCAAAACTTCTACAAAGTAGAATTATCAATAATAATAATTTTCCTTATGATAATAATTTACTAGATAATTTGCATTTTAAAGGAACTGAAAGCATAATTTCTCGTTATTTTCCTTAATAAACAATGAAAACCGTTTCGGGGAAATCATTAATTAATCAACTGTTACTTAATTGTTACAAAAATGTCTCAAGCGTATCAAGATATTTTCATATATTATACAATGATTATTTTTTTTTTTTTGAAAGAATATTCTAAAAGTTCATTTTGAATTTAATTAATTATCTAGAATAATAATTTGTCAGTCGGTTTGAAAAGAATTATTCAACTAATAAAAGATGTTTAAAAAAAAAGTGTTTTAAAAAGATGTTTAAAAAAGGTCTTTTAAAAAGATGTTTAAAAAAGATCTTTAAAAAAGATCTTTAAGAAAAACGAAAGAAAAATACGTGAAATTAGAGATAAAATATTAAAAATTCTATTAAACTATTTTATTCACATTTTCGCCATATAAATACTACAAGTAACATGACAAAGTCCTGTTTGCATATGATTACGTGCAGTAAATGGCTACGATTCACTCACTCATCATATATAAATACATGATAACAAAGTTATTTCTTGATAGTTATCTTTTATGTTATGCAATATATTTGCACTAATGTGGATCCATTTTATTATCCAGGATTCACGTAATGAAGAAAAATAATTACAATAAGTGTACAATTCAAATTATGCTAAACTTATACTTCGGAGATACTTTCATATTTCAAAAAAAAAAAAAAAACAATTTTCCAAATTGAAAGTATCATTTCCTCAACAAAATTTTTTTTTGTACAAGAAAAAGAAAGGAGAAAAGAATTCTGTTTTTTTTTTTTTGTTGACCTGAGACGATAGTTTGAAAAATGATTTTAGAAAAACGTAGAATCACATTTAGCTGGAGAAATTAAACAGCGTAATTTCTGTCTTAGTATAAAAATAAGAGCTCTTATAAAAGTTCTTGTTTCGCTGTCTAATAAGAATCGAATTAAATAATTTGCGATTTCGATGATTCGAAACTATACAAAAAAGGAAGCAAATCGAAATAGTTTTTCTTTTCATCTTCGAATGGAATGAGAAGCGATTGAAGAGAAAAATTCAATGTTCACAGTTTGACAAAACGAGAAAACAAAATTAATTGATTTTCAATAAAAATTTTTTTATTAACGAATCCTTTCTTTTTTTTCACTTATCCTAAAATATCGTCGCGCCCATATCGATAAGCCAAGAAACGGAAAATTGAGATCACGAATTAGAATGTTGAGAAGGTGTCAATCCGCCAGGATATTCGGGACTGTGTTTCTGCTTTTTTCTTTTCTTCTCCTTTTTTCGCTTCTTTCGCGCCTCCTTCTCCTCGTCGTGTCTCTTTTGTTTTTTGTGTTTCTTTTCATGTGTATCCGTACCACCAATGTCGGTGGTAGCCGTTTCCTGTCCACCAGGAACCTCTCCAGGTTTATGCTTGTGCTTTTTATGTTTATTTTTATGCTTCTTCTGGGGAGCTTGATTTATGTATCGATATTGTTCGGGAAGCTGCAATAATTTAATATTCAATTGAGTAACGAAAAATTAAATAATAATTAAGTATTCATATTAATTTTTTTGCAGAAAAAATAATAAATTAAATAAATTAATTTATAAATTTACTTACTGGACCAGGATGAAGTCTAAAGCCAGCGAGTTGCACACTCGTTAATGGTAAAAGTTCTTTACCACAAATTGGGGGTTTGTCTATTACAGAACGAAGCGAACTGAAAAAAAAAAATTATTTCTCAGTTAAAAACATTAAAACATTGACAATAAAACAATAATCACATTGAAAATAAGATATTACAGGCTTTCGTACTCGTTAAATAGTTTTAAAAACGTAGCAAAAAGTAGCTTTAAGACTAAAAAAAAAAATGTAGCATGAAAAAGTATTTGTCGAAAAATTAAATTTGACAACTGAATTTTTTCATAATTTCTAAATTACATCACAATCGAAAATAGAATAATTTTTTGTAAATAAATATTTAAATACCTATTTACTTTTTCCACGGGAATTAAAATATTTCAAATAATTTTAATGTAAAGCCTTTTTGAAATTTAACTATTTCAGAAAATTACAACTGCAATTCTTCCAAAGTTCAGATATTTTTTATAATTTTTCAATAAAATTATTCAAAACTTTAATCATTTTATTTCAAAGTAAAAATATTTTTACAGTTTTACAACAATTAAAATTTTCTAAGATTTTAATTTGAAATTTTTAATTCCTAATAGAAAGTTCTACGAGAATTCAATTATTATTTAAATACAAAAATAAATAATTTATTCAATAATTCAATTCTTATAAGGAGCTTTATTAATTTTTTTTTTTAAATAATTGAATTGTTATGAATAATTGTATTTAAATTTTGTGAAAGTAATTAAATTTTTTCAAGAAATTTTATTAAAAATTTATTGAAAATAATTATTAAATTCTAGTAAACAAACTATTTCAAATTTTTTAAAAATAATTGAATTCTTTTGAAGAAATGTAACAGAATTTTAAAGAATAATTGCATTTTTTGAATAATTAATTTAAAATTGTCTTAAGAATAATTGAAATTCTGCGCAAATTCTTGCAAAGAAATTTATTAAAGATTTTAAAAATAATTGAATTCCTAAAAAGAAATTTATTATTTATAAAAATAATTGAATACTTGTGAAGAACTCTATTCATTTTTTTAAAAATAATTCAATTCTTGCGAATAATTTTATAAAAATCTTTTTAAATAATTGATTTTTTTTTTAAATTTTAACGAATATTGTGTTTTAAACAATTGAATTCCTATGAAAATTTTAATATTTATGAAAATAATTGAATGTTCGCAAAGAATATTTATAAACATTTTTTTAAATTCTTCAATTCTTTTCGAAATTTTTTTATTAATATTTTTCAAAATAATTAAATTCTTTCATGAAATTTAATTTAAAATGTATTGAAAAGAATTATTAAATTCTAATAAGCAAATAATGTCAATTTTTTTTTTTAAATAATTTAATTCTTTCCAAGAATTTTAATACAATATTTCAAATTAATTGCATTTTTTTCGAGGAATTAATTTAAAATTTTATTTTAAAAATAATTGAAATCCGGGGATGAGTTTTATTATTTATGAAAATAAATGAATTCTTACAAAGAATTGTATTAAAATTTTTTAAAATAATTGAAATCCTGAGGAGAAATTTATTATTTATAAATATAATTGAATTCTTGTGAAGAACTCTATTAATTTTTTTTAATAATTCAGTTCTTGCGAAGAATTTTATAAAAATCTTTTTAAATAATTGATTTTTTTCGAAAAATTTTATAAAAATCGTGTTTAAAACAATTGAATTCCAACGAAAATTTTATTATTTATGAAAATAATTAAATGTTCGCAAAAAATATTCATAAAAATTTTTTTTTTAAATAATTCAATTCTATCCATGAATTTTAATAAAATATTTCAAATTAATTGCATTTTTTTCGAGGAATTAATTTAAAATTGTTATTTAAAAGTAATTGAAATCCTGGGATGAGTTTTATTATTTAAAAAAGTAATTGAATTCTTGCAACGAATTTTATTTAAAATTTTAAAAATAATTGAATTCTTACCAAAAAAATTAATTTTTTTTTTTGAAAATTTTATAAAAATCTTATTAAATAATTATTTTTCAAAAAATGTTATGAAATTCGTGTTTCAAACAATTGTATTCATGTGAAAATCTTATTATTTATTTATGAAAATAATTGAATGTTTGCAAAGAATTTGATAAACAGTTTATTTAAAATAATTCAATTCTTTTCCTAAGTTTTTTTTATTAATATTTTTGAAAATAATTGAATTCTTTCAAAAAATTTAATTAAAAATGTATTGAAAATAATTATTAAATTCTAATAAGCAAATTATGTCAAAATTTTGTTAAATAATTTAATTCTTTTCAAGTCCTTTAACAAAATATTTTAAATTAATTGAATTTTTTTCGAGGAATTCACTTAAAATTGTATTAAAAAAGAATTGAAATCCTGGGATGAGTTATAATATTTATCCAAATAATTGAATTCTTACAACGAATTTTATTAAAAAATTTTAAAAATAATTGAAATCCTGAGAAGAATTTTATTATTTATAAAAATAATTGAATAGATACTTATGAAGAACTCCATTCATGTTTTTTAAATAATTCAATTCTTGCGAATAATTTTATAAAAATCTTTTTAAATAATTGATTTTTTTCGAAAAATTTTATGAAAATTGTGTTTTAAACAATTGAATTCTTACGAAAATTTTATTATTTTTGAAAATAATTGAATGTTTCGCAAATAATTAAAATTTTTAGTTAATTAAATTTTAATTTTTAGTTAAATAATTCAAATTCTTTTCGAAAATTTTTCATTATTGTAAATATTTAAAATAATTGACTTTCGAAAAATTAAATTAAATTCGATTTCAATTAAATAATTGAATTGTTTGAAAGAATTGTATTAAATTTTTTTTTGAATTTTTTCTAAGAATTTCACGAATCTTGTTAAATATTTTGAGAATAATTTATAATTTATTTATTCCAACTAAGTAGTAGGTTTTAGTAGATGAGTACGAAGCCTTATATTAATTTTCGAAATTAAAAATATATTAGTCCTTCGATGATACCTATTATCTTGATGGCCAGGAGTGTCGATAATACCAGGTAAATTGGGAAGAAATGAAGAGAGCTGTTCTTTGAGCTTTTTTCCGCTAAATTTACTATAAGTATGCTCGAGGCTATGATAGGCCATCAAATTCGTAGCTCCTGTGAGTTCGCTCTCCCCTGTAAATACAATTTCCCTGTCACATGATATATTCAATCCAGATGAAAAAAAAAATAAACAAAAACAGAAATAAAAAATCAAATAAATTTTGATTTCAAACAAGAACGGGTAAAAGTGAAACACTGCTCCCGTTTTCGCATAAAGAGAAAGTGAGGTTAGGATATTGAACTTTTGGGGAGTTCGATAACCCTCTATTTAATATAAAAAAAACATAGACAAAAAATAAATAAAAATACCCACCAGGAGGTTCTTTCATTAAATAGAAAGGCCCGCTGTGGACGATGGAGGGATTTTTGCCTAGGGAAATCGTCGTTTTGAGGGTCCCAGTCGAGTCCTGACGAGAAACAACAGGGGAACGAGCACCCCTCGGTGAAGACTTTGGTGAGTATTGCTCCACTTTGCTACGAAACTGATCGCCCATCATCATCCTCCTTCTTTACTTCATCTCACCTGTCACTATAATAATTTAATCTCGATATCGAGCTCGAGTATTAGTCAAAACTATATTTAAAATTAACAGTCTTTGTTGCCATTTACAAATGGCAACAATAATTGTCCGTTTTCTCACTCTCGAAATATCGAGACCACGTTAAAACACATAAAGTACTCATGATTCACGGGTAATTTTATTTCTCTAAAAAAACAGCACTGCAAAATTCAATTTTAAAATAAACTTATTAACGAGAAATTCGTCTGATGACGAAACATCAAAGACGCTCGATACAGATGGTTATGAATTTTGCCTTTCAATAAACACCATTCCACTGAATTACACCAAAGTTTTATTAGTTTCACACACTCACATTGTTTATCTAAACTAATAAGTAAAACACTGATCACTAACTAAACACTTTACAGTGTTTTTATTTAAATATAAAAACGTCCCATGTATTATTTACAACGTCTTTTAATCCGCCATATTTGACAATAATGCAATGGCAATAGAACGGAACAAGCAAGTTCTATATTTTCAAAACTGTTCGCCACCAGATGGCACTGTTAAATTCAAATTTCCCGCTTAAAAATTAAAAATAGTTTTCGTAAAAAGAAGAATTTTTGTAATTAAACAATTACGAGATAAAAAGAACTAAAATTGAAAAATTCAAATCGTAAAGGAGTTGATAATTAAATATTGGTAAAAAATGTGCATATAATAATCATATATTTTTAATATCGTATATATATATCACCCATTTAAACATACAAGTCTCGTATCTCATAATATCTGAAATCTGCAATCTACATTTTTTTTATAGAAGATATCGAATAGTAGATTGAATATACGAATAACATATCTGCATAATTTATTTTGCTTATTCGATTATAAGCTTTAATAATTTAATATACATTCAGTCAGCACGGTACGCTCTCAATTTGTCCGATTTTTTTTTTGTTTAAATTTTCTTTTAAACAATAAAAACTATTTTTTTTATTTTAAAGGGGAATCTCGATCGAATTATCTTTCTTCGAAACGCGACACATTAATTTTTGATTACGTTATAAAATTAACGAATACAGACTACGAATTATTTTTTATCAATTACAAAAATAAATTTTAATTATTACATTCTTATTTTTATTCATTTAATTATGAAAATAATTAAATTATCACAAAATTGGAAAATTAATTTTCTATTTTCAGTTTTTGTCACAATATAATTTAACGTCTACTAATGAAAATATTTTATTTTCTCGAAAATTTTAACAAATTTCAATTATTTTCAAAACAATTTTTTTAAATTTAAATTATTTTTGAAAAATTTATCAAATTTAAATCATTTTTTAAAACTTTTAACAAATTTCAATTATTTTTGAAATATTTGATCAAATTTAAATTACTTTTGAAAGATTTAACAAAATTCCAATTTTATTTTTCGAAGATCTAAAAAAATCTCAATTGTTTTTGAAATATTTTATCAAATTTAAATTATTTTTCAAAGATTTTACCAAATTTCAATTATTTTTTTAAAATTTTATCAAATTTCAATTATTTTTTAAAGATCTTAAAAAAATTCAATTATTTTTAAAATATTTTACCAAATTTCAATTATTTTTCAAAGATTATTATACTCAAAAATATTTTTAAAATAATTGAAATTTGTTAAAATCTTTGCAAAATAAATTAAATTTGTTACAAAAAATTTAATTTATTTTGCAAAGACTTTTACAAATTTCAATTATTTTTGAAATATTTTACCAAATATCAATCATTTATTAAAATTTTTTAAAAATTTTAATTATTATTTTAGAAATATTTGAACAGATTACAATTATTTTTCAAAACTTTTATCAATTTTCAATTATTTTTCAAAAATTTTAACAAATTTCAATTATTGTTGAAATATTTGATAAAATTTTAAATATTTTTTAAATATTTTATGAAATTTCCTTTATTTTTCAAAGATATTAAAAAATTTCAATTATTTTTTAAAGATTTTAAAATATTTCAATTATTTTTGAAATATTTTATCAAATTTAAATTATTTTTCAAAGATTTTACCAAATTTCAATTTTTTTTGAAAGATTTAACCAAGTTTCAATTATTTTAAAAAGGTTTTAGCAAATTTCAATTATTTTTTTAATATTTGATTAAATTAGGAATATTTTTGAAAGATTTTACGAAATTTCAATTATTTTTGAAATATTTGATCAAATTAGAAATATTTTTGAAAGATTTTACTAAATTTCAATTATTTTTGAAATTTTTTAGCAAATTTAAATTATTTTTGAAGATTTTACCAAGTTTCAATTATTTGTCAAAGATTTTACCAAATTTGAATTATTGTTTAAAGATTTTACCAAATTTCAATTTTTTTTTTGAAAGATTTACCAATTTTCAATTATTTTAAAAAGATTTTAGCAAATTTCAATTATTTTTTATATATTTGATTAAATTAGGAATATTTTTGAAAGATTTGACCAAATTTCAATTATTTTTGAAATATTTGATAAAATTAGAAATATTTTTGAAAGATTTTACCAAATTTCAATTATTTTTGAAAATTTTTAGCAAATTTCAATTATTTATCAAAGATTTCACCAAAGTTGAATTATTTTTGAAGATTTTACCAAGTTTCAATTATTTTTTAGAGATTTTATCAAATTTAAATTATTTTTAAAAATTTTGGACAAATTAGAAATATTTTTTAAAGATTTTACCAAATTTCAATTATTTTAAAAAGATTTTATCAAAAAAAACTTACAGTTACAGTTAGTAGAATTCTTGAAGAACTTTCGGAAAATTATTAAAAATAATTGATTTATACTTTATAGAAAAAGTTTAGTTAAAAATTGTAGAAAATAATTGAGTTTTAGATGTAATTTTCACACATTATCAAAAATAAAATTCCTAATATTATAAATTACTAAAATATTATTTTTTTATTCCTAAAATATCAAATTGATTTCATTTGAAAAACTAAGTTTAAATATTGAGATTCCCCGTTAATGTTTTAATTATCTTGAGATAATTAGCTGATTTTAGCTAAAAATGTAATCAAAATTAATTTACAGTGAAACAAATTTGTATTTAAAACATTATGAAAAGAAGAAAATGTCAAAATTTGGTCTTGTTATTTAAAGACAAATATTTCTTAGTCATGATAATTATTAAATTACTTAAAAAAAGGTCAGAAATTTGAGTCAATTTTTTACCAAAAGATGACTTAATGATGTAAATCAGACTAACTGCTATTTGTCCGACAAAGCTATTGATCTATAAAGCTTAATTTTTCGCACCGTAATCTATTAAGAATAAAGGTATGAGTTAATGCAATACAACGTGATCCCTTCCTAGTGAGCGATCTGTGGTATTTTGAGGAATTTTCTTTTTTTTAAGAAGTGTTATACGTTCTCTACGCATAAATACTTCAAGTAATGAATAGTAATAATCGACAAAAAAAGTATGAAATATTAAAAACAAATTCATTACCTGCATTAAAGTCTGGAACCGAGGCAAAAATGAAGATTTCGCAGATTTATATTCTCTGCAAATAAAAATGTAAAATAAAACAATTAAAAAACGATAGAAAATCAAATAGAAAATTAAAAAATTAGCAAAATAAAGAAAATAAAAGATAAAAAAAATACTGAGATGAGTAAATAAATTTGACAATAAATAAATTAATTTTCAAATAGAAATTAAAAGAAATCAAAAATACCTCGGCAAAAAAATTGAAAGTAATCAGATCCCGCAAAATTCAGTTTTTCTTTTTTTGGGAAATGTAAATCAATATGTGATCTTTTTTTTTGCGAATTGCGCAATAAGTTGAGTAATAATTTGTTTACGATTGTGACACGTAAAAGAGTCAAAGGAAAGGAGTTGAAGCTCTTATTGTCGCCTAGTATTTTTGGTGTCCCTTGAACCCTCGGCGGAAGATTCGGGATACTCTTGATCCTTATATTCACGACGATGATCACGCGGTTCAGTGTCTCGACGATCCCTTTGCGATCTGGGAGCACGAAATTTACGATTTCGTCCATCGCTGTGAAAATTTCTCCCATCATCGGCATAAAATCTATTTCGATGAGATGACGAATAAATCGACGAACTATCCGATTTCACTGATGAGCCATGACGCAATTGAGGCAAAACTGTATTCGCCTCCAATTCACGGTCCTGTCTATCGCCGCGGCCTCTACCATTTCGATGATAATCGGAATTATGATCAAAACTGCAAACGGAAAAAGTTAAAAAGATATATTTTAATTATTAATTCTTATGGAAATTATTAATGGAAAAAATTATATTATCAGGCATCACATTTGGTCCCCTTTTCCCCTTTTGTCTCCTTATTTCAATTTTATCACCTTTTTCACCTTTTTCACCTTTTTTGACGATTTGGCACCTTTTCCCCTTTTTTGATGATTTGTCCCCTTTTTCACCTTTTTCTAATCAAAAATAAACAAGTTTTTCTTTTTTTGAAATCTGTTTCAAAGTGTAATCATAAAATTTAGACTCAAAGTTATAGAATTCAGTGCGTTTTATTTCTGATTTAGATTATTAACACCACAACATAATATAAATATGTTTCTTTATGTTAATGATTTAAATAATATATATATCGTAAAGAATTTTATAAATTATAAGGTGGTTCATTCAACAGAATGCAGACCTCTGGAAAAATAATTAATTAACATTCAAATAATTAAAATATTATTATTAACAGTTTTTTCTAGAAAAAACAAAAATTCTAATATAAAACCTTCAATTTTTTCCATTTCTGACAATAATTTCTTTTTAAATAACTTAATTCTTGAAGAACTATCACAAAATTATAACTTAGAAATTATTTGAATAATTCTAAAATTAGTAACATTTTTTAATACATACATTTAATTAATTATTAAAAATAATGAATTTATCGAGGAATTTTAGTTCAAATCACTAAAAAAAATTTGATTTTTGGAAAAATTTCAAATAATTGCAAAAATTCAATTATTTTTAAAAATAATAAAATTCCTCGCAGAAATTCAATTATATTAAAAAATTTAAAGAAATTCTTGTCAAAATTTCAATTCTCCTTATAAATAATAAAATTCTTCTTCGAAATTAAATTATTTTCAAAAATTTTAATAAAATTCTCGGCAAAATTTCAATTATTTGCAAAATTTTTCCTAAATTCAATGATATTCAATATCTACTATTTTAATAAATTTTTCCAAAAGAATTCAATTATTTAAAAAAATGTTTATTAAAATTCTACGCAAACGTTTAATTATTCTCATAAATAATAAAACTTATCCCCGGATTTCAATTATTTTTAAAATAAAATTTTTAATTAATTCCTCGAAAAAAATGCAATTAATTTGAAATATTTTATTAAAATTCTTGGAAAGAATTGAATTATTTCAAAAAAATTTTGACATAATTTGCTTATTAGAAATTAATAATTAATTTCAGTACATTTTTAATTAAATTTCTTGAAAGAATTCAATTTTTATTTATAAATAATAAAATTCTTTTCAGGAGTTCAATTATTTTAAAACTTTTTAATAAAATTCGTCGAAAAAATTCAATTATTTTGATAAATATTATAAATTATCCCAGGATTTTAATTATTTTTAATACAATTTTAAATAAATTCTTCGAAAAAAATGCAGTTATTCTTAAATATTTAAATAAAATTCTTCGCAAGAATTTTCAAAAATATTTTTAAAAAAATTTCGAAAAGAATTGAAGTATTTAAAAGAAATGTTTAAAAATATTCTTTGCGAACATTCCATTATTTTCATAAATAATAAAATTTTCGTGTGAATTCAATTGTTTCAAACACAATTTTCATAAAATTTTTGAAAAAAATCAATTATATTTAAAAAGATTTTTATAAAATTCTGCGCAAGAATTGAATTAATAAAAAAAAATGAATAGAGTTCTTCACAAGAATTCAATTATTATTATAAAAATATTAAAATTCTTCTCAGGATTTCAATTATTTTTAAAATTTTTAAAAAAATTCGTTGCAAGAATTCAATTATTTTCATAAATAATAAAACTCATTCCAGGATTTTAATTATTTTTTAAATACAATTTAAAATTACTTTCTCAAAAAAATGCAATTTTTTTGAAATATTTTATTAAAATTGTTGGAAAGAATTGAATTATTAAAAAAAATGTAATTATTTTTAAAAAATTGAATTAAAATTTGTTGAAAGAATTTAATTATTTAAAAGGTTGTTGATAAAATTTTTTATGAAAATTCAATATTCAGAAACATTCAATATTATTCAATATAAATGATTAATTTTTGTATTTAAATAATTGAATTCTCGTAGTATTTTCTAATAGAAATTGATTTAAGTGAATTTCAGTTAAAATTTTATAGAATACTCGAATATTAAAAGCATTATAGCGTGGATTTTTAGAAATAATTGAATTTTGAAAAAGTTTCAAATTAAAATCTTTGAAAATCTGAATTTTTCATATTTTTAACTAACAATACTGTAGAATTATTTTTCTCAAAAAGTTTAATTGAAATTATTCGAAGTTTTTATTTTCAAATATATATTTAATTGAAGAATTTCCGAATAATTGATCGAATTTCGTAAAATTGAATTGTAAATAAATACATTTGAAAATTCTCAGAATTTTTAAAAAAAATTATTGTAAATACATAATTGATTTAAAGAAGAATTTTAGTTAAAAATTCTAGAAAATAATAATTGAATTGAAATGATGAAAATAATTTTGAAGAAGAAGAATTTTAAAAAATTGTATGGAAGCTATATGATAAAAAATTTGAATTATATATGCAAATTGTATAAACAAATAAATTTTTATCCCCTTTTTTGAGGAAAAAAAATTCCCCTTTTCACCTTTTTTTGAGGAAAAAAAGGTACTGTGATGCCTGTATTAATTAAAAATAATTTCTAAAATATGAATACGAACCTGTGATTCCCTCTGGAACCGCGATGCCAATAACTTTGAGTTTGAAGAGGTGGGAATTTGTGTGAAGTGTGCTCGTCACCTTCGCCTTGAGATTGAGAGGCGCGATTGTGATGGGAATTGTTCGGTCTACGATTTCGTCCATTAGATCCATTGCCATTGTAGAGCGATGCTTTTATTGTGGCAATTTCTCTTCGTTGATCCTCATTTTCGCGACGAAGTCTCTTCACCATTGCCTCGGCGTCCTCTAAGCGCGTTGTCAAATCCATTTGCAAGGGATCTGGACCACCTCCCACTTGAATACCAATATCGTTAACGGCAAGCTTTTTCTCTTCAATCTCCTTGAGTTCCAACATTCTGAAAATAAAATTATTACCGATGTAATTAAAATTCTTTCCTTTTGATTTTTTTTTTTGTTGGAAAAAATGGAATTTCCTTTTGTTAAAAATGGGCCTCGGATCGACATGAAGGCGCAAAAAAATTTGTTTTAGTCGATTAAAAAAATGTTTAAAAGTAACAAAAAAATCGTTTCAATTTAAAAAATTCTAAAATTTAATAATTTCTTAAAATAACTTCTAAAACTCATTTATTTTCTACAATTTTTAATTAAACTTCTTCTCAAAATCAGTTATTATTTTTAATCATTTCCCTAAAGTTCTTCGAGAATTTAATTATTTTAATATAATATTTCAACTTTCTGGAATATTTGTACTAGCTGTCACTTTATCATTTTTTTTGGTAAAATCATTTTAAAATAATTTAAATTTTGTAAAATCTTTAAAAAATAATTGTAGTTTAATAAAATATTTCATATTCGTTAAAATCTTTTTAAAATAATTGAAACACGGTAAAATCTTTGAAAAATAATTGCAATTTGGTAAAATCTTCAAAAAATAATTAAAATTTGATAAAATATTTTTAAAATAATTGAAATTTGTTAAAATTTTTGAAAAATAATTGAAATTTAATACAATTTTTAAAAAATAATGAAAATTAGTTAAAATATTTGAAAAATATTTTAATTTTATGAAATCTTTGAAAAATAATTGCAATTTGATATAAAATATTTTAAATTTGATCAAATATTTCAAAAATAATTGAAATTAGTTAAAAATATTTCAAAAATATTTGAAATTTGATAAATATTTCAAAAATAATTGAAATTTATTAACATTTTTGAAAAATAATTGAAATTTGATAAAATGTTTGAAGAATAATTGTAATTTGTTCATGTCTTTGAAAAATAATTTAAATTTGATAAAATATTTCAAAAATAATTGAAATTTGCTAAAATCTTCTTTTCGAAGATATTAATTGAATTTAAAAAAATTACGTTAAAATAATTCTAAAAATTAGTTTATGAAAAATATTGTAATGTAATTTTTTGAAAATAATTGTCTTTCTTAAAAGAATTTTTATATAATTAAAAAAAAACTGTATAATTTTTGAAGAATTTAAAGTAAAAATTTTGAACTTGACATCTTTCTGATAAATATTAAAAATAATTCTAAAAAATTTTAATTTTATTATTTTTTGTATGTAGGTATTTGAATGTTCAGATTTAAGTAATTAAAAATATTGAAAGTTTAATTTTTTAAAAAAATAAAATGAAAAATTCTAAGAATTACTTTTATCAAAAATATTTTAATATAATTTTTATAAGCTAATTTTCATTAATTTTTCTATTAAAATTTAAGCTTGATTATTTTTCATTACAGTTTTTGAGAATTTAATTATTTTCGCAAAAAATTTGCATTTAAAGTTCTTAAAAAGTTGATTTTAAAAAATTTTAATAACAATACTTGAAAAAAATCAATTATTTTCAATTAAATTTTACCAAATTTCAATTATTGAAAATCTTTTTATATTTTCTTTTTAAATTGGTTCGAAAATTTAATTAGGAAAATTATTCAAAAACGTTTAAAGATTTATCTCTAGTTATTTTCCATGCCAATAAAAATTTGAGATATGTTGCATTTTATACTAAAATTGTGGTATTTTGTTGCAATATATTTGGAAGAAAAGTCGAAAAAAATGTCATTTTTTGAAAATAGTGGTGAGAAGTAAAAAAAAAAGTCATAATATCCGAGGCCTATCATAATGGTGAAAAGTTGACAAACTTTTTTTGTTTCTCGATAATATCGTCGAGATGAATATTGTGTCTCTTGGCCTCATTTAAAGATGTCTTAATGTCCTGAAGATCTTTTTCCAGAAGTTCGACCTGGAGGGGAGTGACGTTAACGCACGACGGGCTTCCCTGAAATTCGACATTAAAATTTGTATTTTCCGTAAATTAATTTCTCTTCTATATTCTTTCTCTTAATTACCTTTGGTTTCACGAACCCGTTTCCACCATCTTCGGGAGATGTCACGGGACTTGACACATTTGATCCTTTAGAAAAAACAAGTTGGAATTGCAAATCTGAAAAGCAAAATTCCTTATTTAAAAATCGAGTAACTGAAAAAAATTTCAAAAAAAAGACTGAGAGAAATTGTAATTTGTGTAATAAATAAAATTAGTGTTTCTTTCGAGAGGATTTTTACCTCTATTTCGTTGACGCAATGTTTCAACTTCCTGATGCAAAGCAACTAAAGTTGCCTGATGTTGTTCTTGCAAAAATTTCATATTTTGTTCTAACTGAGCCGTTCTGTCTCCGTTCAATCTCTGCTGCCGAGTTTGTACACTGCCTTCATTTCTCGCTGGTAAACTCACAAGTTCAGGTGGTGCTTTTTTGCCCTAAAAAAGTAGAAAAGAATTTATAAATTGAAATTATCTTTTTTTTTCATAATTAGATAGTTGTTTATTAACTAAAGTCAAAAGTACATAAAACTTGTGTGAATCTATTAAAAGTTGCAGAAAGAAAGTTAAAGTTTTATACACAACTTACTTGCGAGAAGGGTACAGTTGGAAGTTTCACCAGAACTTTCGAAGCCATGATTTTCTAATAATTGAAAACAATAATTCTTCTCTTCAAATTTATTTCCCCTTCTCTAAATCTTCTCTAGATCTTCTTTAGATCTTCTCCAGGAAATTGCTCTCTGAAATAATTATAGAAAATTAAATAAATCCGCATTGAAAATAATTTCGTAATGTAATGAAATAGTGAATAAAAATGAAATTAAAATAGTGAAATTAAACAAAACAGTAATTAAATAAGAAAAAAGAAAGAAATAAGAATAATTATCTAATGTTCCAAGAATATGTACAAATAATTCATGCCGGTTTTCTCTATACCTATTTCCCGATCTAATATCCTCGAAAATTTCTTTCTCGATAGTTCCAATTTACAAATTTCAAATTAGGAGTCAATTGACACTTTTCCGGAAAAATTTCACCACTGTCAAGATGAGTATTTTCATTTTGCGTTTTGAGATTAAAACGGGGACAACATCATGTCGAACAGAGAGTGAAATGATGGGAGATTTTTTTATTATTCGGTGGAAAAATCAACACTTTCTTGAAAAGAATAGAAATTCTATTAATGTAACGATGATAAAATGTAAAATATTTTGGAAAAAATGGTTGACGATCAAAATGAAAATTGCAATTTGAAATATTATATCATGCTGCTTTTAGGAAAACTTTAAAAGCTCACCGTCGTCGGTTTTGCAGAGCAGAAAAGCGAAGAAGCCGGCTAGTATTGATCGCACATTGAGAGGCAGGGGAGTGTGCTTACCTCTCGATGGCCGCACCCACTTGTTTTAATTTTATAATTTTTTTTTTTATTCATCACTCATTAAAAATAATTGCCATTAAGTAACGAATAGAAAAAAATAAATAATTCTCTTCTTTCGAAGCAGAGAGAGAGAGAGAGAGAAAGGGAGAGAAAGCTATTTTTTTTCTTTTGAATCAGTTAAATATTTTTTTATTTTTTCACTCCTTTCTTTTATTTTTTTTTGTTATTGTATTGATTTATTTTTAATAGTTATATATATTGGAAATTTACTAACCTATAAATTTTGGGAGCTAAAGTGAAAATTATTTTTAATTTATTGATTAAATCGATTAAATTAACAAAAATGGAAAAATTGCATATTTTTAATTAAAAGCGGAAGCTTTTTGAAATTTTTGCTAAAATTAAATTCAGTTAACATTTTTATCAATTAATTCCTTCTTCCTAATAATGATTTTATCGAATAAAAAATAAATTTTCCAAAGTTTCTTTAATCAAAGATTTTTTAAACGATCAGGTGAACGAAATATTTTTTTATTAAAAATATTTTCATGTAAATACTAAAGTAAAATACTTGCAGTAATTAAATGTAAAATTAAAAAATTAAATTTTAAATTCAACAACTTTATAATTAACTTTTTTTGATAGTGACGTAAAATTGCAATAAAATCATAATTTGAAAAAGAAAGAAGAAGTTCAGAACTTTTGTTAAATTTTTAACCTACGAAAAAAAAAAATTTATAAAAAAAACTTATTTCAAAATTAAATGAAATTTGTAAAAATCTTTGAAAAATAATTCAAATTTGGTAAAATCTTTCAAAAACATTTCAAAATTTGTTCAAAATAATTCAAAAATAATTGAAATTTGGTAGAATCTTTGAAAAATAATTGAAATTTGCTAAAATATTTGACAAATCAATAAAATTTGGTAAAATCTTTAAAGAATAATTTAAACTTGGTAAAATATTTCAAAAATAATTGAAATTTGATAAAATCTTTTTAAAATAATTTAAAATTGAAAAAATATTTCAAAAATAATTGAAATTTATAAAAATCTTTCAAAAATATTTCAAATTTGATAAAATATTTTTAAAATAATTCAAATTTGTAAAAATCTTTGAAAAATAATTGAAATTTGCTAAAATATTTCAAAAATAATTAAAATTTTGTCAAATTCTTGAAAAATAATTTAAATCTGATAAAATATTTGAAAAATAATTGAAATTTGTAAAAATTAAAATAATTTATATTTATTTTAAATTTGATCAAATATTTCAAAAATAATTCAAATTTTGTAAAATATTTGATAATTAATTGAAATTTGGTAAAATCTTTCAAAAATATTTCAAAATTTGTTCAAAATATTTCACAAATAATTGAAATTTGGTAGAATCTTTGAAAAATAATTGAAATTTGTAAAAATCTTTCAAAAACATTTTAAAAATAATTCAAATTTGTAAAAATCTTTGAAAAATAATTCAAATTTGGTCAAATTCTTGAAAAATAATTGACATTTGCTAAAATCTTTCAAAAATATTTCAAATTTGATAAAATATTTTTAAAATAATTGAAATTTGATAAAATCTTTAAAAAATAATAGAAATTTGCTAAAACCTTTGACAAATCATTGAAATTTGGAAAAATCTTTAAATAATAATTGAAACTTGGTAAATTTTTTTAAAATTATTGAAATTTGTTAAAATCTTTTTATAATAATCGAAATTTGCTAAAATATTTTTAAAATAATTCAAATTTGGTCAAATTCTTGAGAAATAATTGAAATTTGCTAAAATCTTTGACAAATAATTGAAATTTGATAAAATATTTCAAAAAGAATTGAAATTTGTTAAAATCTTTGAAAAATAATTCAAGTTTGAACTATATTGTTAATTTTTTATTCTACGAAAAATAAACTGAGACAGATAAATTAAAATTTGTTCCGTAATTGCAATGATTAATAATAATAAATGCATATTAAAGGCTTAATTGTGCCTAATTTCAATATAATAATAGATTTGACAAATAAAAAAAAATAATTATTAAAAAAAATATCCTACTCGATAAAATAAAACAAAGTTATTAAAAAAAAAAAATACTTAATAATAAAGTGAAATTAAAAGTACGTAATAAACAGAAAAAAATAATTGATTTTTCAAATTTTTAAAGTCTAGAAGGCAATGCTATAATTTAAAGGGATATAAAGTAAACTTTTAACGGAAATGAAAAGGAAAAGTGGAGGGCGAAACGACTTCAAGTCGATAATTATGTTAGTCATCAACACAAACTGACGCTCGATCGTCTCGCTCACCGGCAACCGACAACAACAACAGAAGTTAACCTGCTTTGCCACCTAGAAACTCTCCCCTTATTTTTGTGTTCTGAAACTATAAAGAACAAATTCTGTGCGGTTGTTTTCCGGTGACATTTATCCCTATTCTTTTTTTTTTTGCAATAAAAAATAGTTTACACTGTCCTGCTTTAAATGGTCCTTGGGACAAACCCTTTGCCATCCGTCGGCCCTTAATTTCAATTGATTATGTCCGGATATTTCCAAGTTTAATTTTACTATCAGTCTACAAAAATTTTTTATATTTCATTTTATTATGAGAATCGACGGACACGAGTATTTACACTCATGAGCAAGGGTGGCAATCCTTCTGGAGTAGAAACATAACCAAAAAATAAAAAAAAAGAGGAAGAATGTCAGACTTTATGAAATCACTACAGTTCGGCTATTTAAAAAATAAGGAAAGAGATAATTTTTTCATATCCGATGACGACAATGATGATTTTAATTTCAAGGTATTTCGCTGATTTTTTATTTTTCTTCCATTCACTCTGTCATTTTGTTTGGTGAAATTCTTTTTTTTGTGTATTTCCCCCTATTTCTAAATTCTAGTCTTATTTATTCAGAATTTAATTTAATTTAATTAATTAACTACTTAATTTCAACTCAACTTAACTTCTTCCACATTTAATTTAATTTATTGAGTCAAAATATTGACAGGAATTATAGAAATTTTATTTCGGAATAACAGGGTTGCCACAAAAATTTAATTTTGTTTTTCCCTGGATTTCCAGACAAAATTTACACTATTTTTCCATATAGGAATTATGGTTTTCAAAAATTTCAAATTCAATAACTGATAAAAATATTATTGTAAAACATGAACAAATCGTCATTTTCTTTTAATTATTATTTTTAAAAATTTTGAAATAAAATTCTTCTTTAAATCAATTATTTTTAATCATTTTTAAAAAAGTTTTACTTGACAACTACAATTCAATTTTACGTGAAATTTCGATTTTTCGGAAATTCTTTAATTAAATATACATTAGAAAATAAAAACTTGAACAATTTCAAAAAATTTCGATTGAGCTTTTTGAAAAAAATTAGTTCCATAGAATTTTATATTTAAAAGTATGAAAAACTGAGATTTTCAAAGATTTTAATTAATTTGAAAGCTTTACAAAATTCAATTATTAGGCAAAAACTTTAACTGAAATTAATTTTTAAATCTATTTTTATTAAACAATTTTACGAAAATTCAATTATTTAAATAAAAAAATTAATAATTTATATTGAATAATTAAATGTTTCTTAATATTGAATTTTGATAAAAAAATTTATCAACAAACTTTTAAATAATTGAGTTCTTTCGACAAATTTTAATAAAAATTTTTAAAATAATTACATTTTTCGAAAATATTTATGCAAATTCTATTTTTAATAATTGAATTCCTTGAAAATTTTGATTATCTATTTTAGAAAATAATTAAATATTCGTGTAGAACTTTGTCAGAATTGTTTTTAAATAATTAAAATTTTGCAATAAATTTTATTCAAACTCAAATTTATGAAAATAATTGAATTTTGTCCAGGAATTTTGCTATTCACTTATAAAGATAATTGAAATGTTGAAGAAAATTTTTTATTAAATTTTTGAAAAGAATTGATTTTTTGGAAACAATTTTGAATTTGCCTTTTCCCTGACCAATTCTGCTTTCCCTGACTTTTCCCTGAATTCCCTGACCGTGTCAACCCTGAATAATTATTTTTAAAAAATAATTACGTAAATTAATTTACATGTAAAACTTTATTTTGCACGTAAACTAATTTTTCAGTTTTACGGAATTATTTTTCTGAATTGTTAAAATAAGAGGATTTTTAAATTAATTTTTAATTTAATTTCTTCTCGATTGCAGTACATTCCGGAAAATCAGATGAAAAATGTAATAAAGCACGTGAGGAGACAAAAGACAAAAGTCGATGAAGAAAACGCGTGGGCCTCGTTCGTCGAACAACAAGATGTCGAACAATTATATCATCATCTCAATGAAATCGATTCAAATTTTCAAAATGTCAATTGCTTCACTTCAAAATGTTTAGTTGCTGAACAAGATCACTTTCGATGGGAGGATGACTTATTTCCAGAAGTAATTTATTTCTAATAAAATTTCAAACAAAATTATACAAACAGAAATAGACAAATAAAATTATACGAACAAAAATAAACAACTAAACTTATAGAAACAAAAATAAACAAATTGAAATTTACTAAAGTCTTTGAAAAATAATCAAAATTTATAAAAATTATTGAAAAATAATTCAAATTTGGTAAAATATTTAAATAATAATTGAAATTTGCTAAAATCTTTGAAAAATAATTCAAATTTGCTAAATTCTAAGAAAAATAATTGAAATTTGTAAAAATCTTTGAAAAATAATTCAAATTTGGTTAAATCTTTAAATAATAATTCAAATTTGGTAAAATCTTTGAAAAATAATTTAAATTTGCTAAAATCTTAGAGAAATAATTTAAATTTGGTAAAATATTTCAAAAATGTTTCTAATTTGATCAAATCTTTGAAAAATAATTGAAATTTGTAAAAATCTTTGAAAAATAATTCAAATTTGTTAAAATCTTTGAAAAATAATTGAAATTTGCTAAAATTTTTGCCAAATAATTGAAATTTGGTAAAATTTTTTAGAAATAATTTAAATTTTCATAAATTATTTCAAAAATTGAAATTTGGTAAAATTTTTTTTAAATAATTGAATTTTTTAAAAATTACTTTAAAACAATTTTAAAAATTGCTTTTTGAAAAATATTGTAATGCAATTTTTCGAAAATATTTTAATATAATTTTTAGAAGCTAATTTTCATTAATTTTTATATGTATTGAAATTTAAGCTTGAATATTTTTCATTAAAATTTTTGAGTATTCAATTACTTTTGCAAAAATTTGCAATTGAAGTTCTTAAAAAGTTGATTTTCGAAAATTTTAATAAAAATACTATTATTAGTAGTTTATTATTTAATCGTAATAAACAAATAAAATTGAATGATTATTTCAGGAAATTGCTGACCAGAAAAGTCCTCTAGTGAAGGACAATGGTAGCGGAAGTACAAATTTCCTGCTAACAATTCCCGAGGAGGATTTACTGATTCGTGATCGTTCACGAGAAGTGATGAAAGATCGAAATCGAACAAATACGCGAAAAGCGTCATCAGCACCGGGAGTGAGGCGAAAGAAGGAAAATTCAAAACGACTAATTAGTGCAATGAACCACGACAATGATTATAGTTCTACTCCGGAATTCAGTCCAGATCGACTGAGTGATAAGGACGAAATAATATACGTAAGACCCGATCCAACGATAGTTGCAAAAATAGTTGCAACGCAGAAGAAAATATCCGAAATTCTCGACGAGATTGCCTTTCGACTTGGGAGAATTCCACTGCCTGACGGTGATCGTGATCTCTATCGACGTCAACAGAGAGTCATGGAATTTTCAATTCGATTCGCGAGAAACTATCTCTACGATCTTGGACGGCAGGTGGCGGAAATTCGACGACACATCAATGCAATTGCACCGGGTGCAAGGAGAAAAATCGGCCGCAGAGCAGTGACATTTCATGTACAAGTGATTGAGCAGAAATTAGCGACTGCTCATCAGCTATTGTTGCATGCATTGAGCGCTTACTGTAAACATATTCCCAGCTCGGTGCTCAAGGGACATCCGGGTAAATTGAAGGATATTCTCCAAGTTGTTCTCGATCTCAAGGAGTTCTGCGAGAAAATTCATCTTGTTCCGGATTGTATTGGCTCTGGCGATATGGAAGGATTACCCCTGGTGAGAAAAAATTAAAATATATAATTATTATATTTTCAGGGCTCAAACCAGTGAAATTATTTAAAAATACGGACTTTACGGACCAAAAAAGAAAAATTACGGACCAATTACTGACAAAAATCTAACCAGTCCGAGTCACATAAGAAAACATTTTACTTAAAATTATAAATTAAATTTTTCATAACTATACAACATGAAGATATCGATAACTCCGAGTCTTCCACTCGGAGTGATCAATTTCTTCATGTTTCATAATAATTAAAGATGGAAAATTGAAAAAATTATTATTTTATTTTATATTATAAGAATATTGTACTTCTTCAAAATTATTTTCATCATTTCAATTATTTTCTAGAATTTTTAACTAAAATTCTTCTTTAAATTAATTAATTTTCGAAAAAGTTCTTTGAGACTTTTCAAATCCATTTGTTTACAATATTCAATTTTACGAAATTTCAATTCTTCGTAAATTCTTCAAATAAATATATATTTTAGAAAATAAAAACTTAAAAAAAATAATTTCAAGTAAAATCGAAATAAACTTTTAAAAAAAAATTAATTCTTTTACAGGATTGTTATAACAATTCAAGCTATAATCCTTTTAATGTTTTAAGTGAAATTCATTTTTAAATAATTGAATTATTTCGACGAATTTTAATAAAATTACACTTTTTGAGGAATTCCATTAAAATTGTATTAAAAATAATTGAAATTTAGCATTTAGTTTTATTATTTATAAAAATAATTGAATTCCTAAAAAGAATTTTATTATTTACGAAAATAATTGAATCCCCGTAAAAATGTTAATATTTATGAAAATAATTGAATGATTGCAAAGAAATTTATAAAAAAAATTTGTAAATAATAATTGAATTCCAGTAAAATTTTTATTATTTTATGAAAATAAATAAAGGTTTACCTAAAATTTTATTAAATTTATTTTAAATAAATTTAATTCTTTTGGGAAGTTTTATTAAAATAGTAGATATTAAAAATCATTGAATTGAGGAAAATATTTGAAAATAATTGAAATGTTGCCAAGAATTTTATTGAAATTTTTGAAAATAATTGAATTTTGGAAAATAATTTTATTATTTCTAAAAACAAATTGAAATTTTGACGAGAATTTATAAAAAAATTTTAAACATAATTGAATTTCTGCGAAGAATTTGAAAATAATTGAATTTCTGCAATCAAATTTTTATAAAATTCTTTGCAAAATTCAATTATTTTCAAAAATAACATTATTCGTCAGAAAAATTAAATTATTTCCAAAATTAATCAAATTCTTTACAGAGATTCAATTACTTTCAAAAAATCTAAAAAAAAATTGTCAACATTTAAATTATCTTTATAAATGAATAGCAAAATTCTTGGACAAAATTCAATTATTTTCAGGAATTTTAATAAAATTCATTGAAACATTCAATTAATTTCATAAATAATAGTATTCATGAGAAGAATACAATTATTTTCAAAAATTTTAATAAAATCATGGCTATATTTCAATTATTTTCAAAAATTTTAATAACATCATGGTTACATTTCAATTATTTTTGAAAATTTTAATAAAATTCAATGATATTCAATATTCTAGTATTTTAATTAAAATTTCCAGAAGAATTCAAATCTAAAACAAAAATTTTGATAATATTTTACACGAACATTCAATTATTTTCCAATCAAATAAAAACATCACAGGAATTCAATTATTTTAAATAGAATATGCATAAATTTCTTCGAAAAAGTCAAATTTTTTAAAATTTGTCACTAAATTCTTCGCAGTAATTAAATTATTTAAAAACATTTTTAAATTCTTTTCAGGGATTTAATTATTTTCATAAATATAATAAAATCATTCGGAGGAAGTCAATTATTTTCATAGATAAAAATATTCATCACAAGAATTCAATTATTTTCAAAAGTAATGAAATTCAATTATTTTCAAAAATTTAAATAAAATTTATCACAAGAATTCAATTATTTTCAAAAATTTTTCTTAATTCGATAGATAATTTGTATATATCTATTATTTTAATAAAATTTTCTCTAAAGAATTAAATTATTTAAAACCAATTTTGACAAAATTCTACACGAATATTCAATTATTTTCTAAAATAATGAAAGTTTAATAGAAATTCAATTATTAAAAATAGAATTTGCACAACTTTTTTTGAAAAAAATCAATTGTTTGAAACTTTTTTTTTATAAAATTCTTCGCAATAGTTCAATTATTTTTATAAATAACAAAACTCATTGGAGAATTTCAATTATTTTTAATACAATTTTAATCGAATTCCTCGAAAAATGTTATTTTAAAATTTTTTATTAAAATTCGTCGAAAGAATTCAATTATTTCAAAAATTTGTTGATAAAATTGTGTATAATAATTCAATTTTAAGAGACGTTCAATTATTCAATAAATTATTTATTTTTGTATTTAAATAATTGAATTCTCGTAGCAATTTCAAATAAAAATTGATTTAAAAATTAATTTCAGTTAAAGTTTCTGATAATAATTGAATTTTGGAGAATTTACTAATAACTGCAAATTGTAGAAATAATTGAATTTTGTAAAGCATTCAAATTAAAATCTTTGAAAATCTGAAGTTTTTATACTTTTAAATAAAAAATTCTATATGGAACTAATTTTTTTTAAAAAGCTTTAATGGAAATTTTTTGAAATTATTTCAAGTTTTTATTTTCTAATGTATTTAAATCGAAGAATTACCGAATAATCTAAATTTCACGTAAAATTGAATTGAAAACAAATGAATTTGAAAATTCTCAATAATTGATTCTGACTGTGTCGACTCCTTTTTTCTGATAATCGGAAATTTGTTTTATATTTTACTGAAAAATTACAGGGGAAGGAAACGGATAATAAATGCAGTGCAATTCTGTCGAAATTACGACTAAGTTCCGACGAGTCGCAATTAGTGAGTCACACAACCAGGTCGACGGCTGCGACGACAATGAGAAGTAAAAGACGAAATCTTCGTAAGCAAACGACTAATCGTTTTAGTATGTACAACATGGATCCACGATTACCGAAAAATCAGCCGAATAGACGACCAAGTAATTCATCAATTTATTTCTTTTCAATCATATGTAAATTCAAAATCAATCAATGTCTTTGTTTATATTTAAACAGCTATTAATAAAGGACTCTTTTCAGAATCATTTTCTCAGAAGGAAAAAAGGCGGAGTGTCAATGTCGTCAAGAATAATCGACTACCAACACCGGAATTCATCCATCCGAGTCCGATTGATTCGAAATCTAAGGAACCGACGACAAAAAACGGATTTTCGAAAATAATTAATCCTCCTAAGGAAGACGATATTCAGACGATAATGGAAATTATACCAACAGATTCAGATGCTGTAAGAACTAGAAGAAAAAAATACTATCACACAATTACTTTTCTTCTAAATAAATAAAACTCAAAAATCGCTTCATTTCAGTGCAGTAGTGTCGACAATTCAGATGAAAATTCACAAGTGAAAAAAGTGACCAGCAATTTTCAAAATTTTCATAAAATTCATCAGGCAACAAACGAAGAAGAATTACATAGAAAAATTTCGGAACTAACTGAAGATCATCTATCGAATCTGGTACCTGTCATTGCCGATTTGATGTCAATTATAAAAAACAACGTAAGTTACTTATTACTTATTTTAGGCTTCGCACTCATCTACTAAAATCTACTATTTACTACTTTTTTTTTGTTATGCTACTATTTGGATACTTTTTTTAGATTTCAGCCACTAAAAGCTACTATTTCTTTTTTTTGAGAATTTGCACTACTTTATATTCGCTAATACTGAAAATAAAAAAAATATTCTCAAAAATTATAATCAAATTCTTTAAAACGATTCAATTATTTTCTAAAAATATTCGAAATTCAATTATTTTTATACAATTCTTCACAATAATTCAATTATTTTCACTGATAATAGGATTTTTCATGGAAATTCAATTTTTAAAAAAATTTTGATAGAATTCTAAGCAAGAATTCAATTATTTCCATAAGTAATAAAACTCATTAAAGAATTTTAATTATTTTTAATACTATTTTAAATTGATTAATCGAAAAATTCAATTATTTTCACAAATAACGACGTTGAAGTCCACAACGTTTATCAACGAAAAAAATTGTGCACTTAGTAAATTAATAAAAGATAACGCAGCAATATTGCCACAAAAATATTTTAAAAAAATAGACTGCGATGTTTATGATCTGATAATAATTGTTATACAATTAAATATTGAATTAAAAATAATATTGGAATACATTAAACAAATTTTTTTCGTTGATCAACGTTGTGGACTTCAACTTCGTCACAAATAAAGTTTTCCACAAGAATGCAATTATTTAAAATAAAATTTTCATAATATTTATTATATTTCGAAAAAATTAATTATTTAAAACAATAATTATAAAAATCTTATAAAGAATCCAATTATTTTAAACAAAAACAAAATTTTTCCCAGAAATTCAATTCTTTTTAAACATTTTAATAAAATTTTTCGCAATAATTCAATTATTTTCATAAATAAAAATATTCATCACAAGAATTTAATTATATTTATTACAATTTTATAAGAATTGCTCAAAAAAATGTAATTATTCTTTAAAATTTCATTTCAATTCCTTATAGCAAAAAATCAATTATTGAAAAAAATGTTTTTTACAATTTTTTGGAAGAATTCAATTATTTACAAAAATATTAGAATTTTTTACAGGAATTCAATTATTTTCAAATATTTTAATACAATTCTTCTATAAATAATAATTCAATTATTTATTAAAAATTTGAATAAACTTCTTTGCAAGAATTCAATTATTTTCGAAAACAACAAAATTCTTCTTAGGAATTCAATTATTTTTATTACAATTTGACAAGAATTGCTAAAAAAAGGAATTATTCTTTAAAATTTGATTTCAATTCCTTATAGCAAAAAATCAATTATGTATGTTTTTTTTAATTCTTTGAAAGAATTCAATTATTTACAAAAATATTAGAATTTTTTACAGGAATTCAGTTATTTTCAAATATTTTAATACAATTCTTCTATAAATAATTCAATAATTTAAAAAAAATTTTTATAACATTTTTTTGCAATAATTTAATTATTTTCATAAATAATAAAATTCTACTCAGGAATTTAATTATTTTTATTACAATTTTACAAGAATTGCTAAAAAATGTAATTATGTATTCTTTAAAATTTGATTTCAATTCCTTAGCAAAAAATTAATTATTTTAAAAAAATTTTGTAAATTCTTTGGACGAATTCAATTACTTACAAAAATATTAGAATTTTTTTACAGGAATTCAATTATTTTCAAATATTTTAATACAATTTTTCTATAAATAATAATTCAATTATTTATTAAAAATTTGAATAAAATTCTTTGCAAGAATTCAATTATTTTCGAAAACAACAACATTTTACACAGAAATTCAATTTTTTTAAAACTTTATAATAAAATTTTTCGCAATAATTCAATTATTTTCATAAATAATAAAATTCTTCTTAGGAATTTAATTATTTTCATGAATAATACAAATTTCTCAGGAATTCAATTATTTAAATTAGAATTTACATAAAAATTGTCTAAAGAAATAAATTTTTATAAATATTTAAATTCTTTTATGAATAACAAAATTAGCAGGATAAGAAAGAAGTAAATATTTTTTATGAAAATTAGCAAAAAGTCAGAGAAATAAAATATAAAATGGAATTTTTTTCAATTTTCTGAAGTGTCTAGATCGAGTTTTTTTAGTCGTCAAGTTTAATTTTTCGATAGCTACTTTTTTAAAATTAATTCGAGTGCGAAGTCTGATATTTCAAAAATTGGAAAAATCTATCACAAACCTATTCGTTTGCTTTTCTCGCCTTTCTTCGAAGCGCAAATTATTTTTAATTTTAAAAAAAACCTTTTGTTGCAGCCAAAGGATAAAGGAAATAAATCGAGTTCATCTGTACCTATAGAAACTCTCGTGAAAATTATTGAAAAATACCAAAAAGTCAGTGGTTCGAAAGAAAAATCAAAGAAAACTGCTGAAGGTACAGCAAAAATTTCTAAACCAAAAAATGGAATATGCTCGGGTTCGAAAAATATGCAATTACTTTGTGTAGAATCAAATGAAGATTATCAAGATTATCAAGAACCTTCTAAATTTATCAACGTCTCATGTCAAGCAAATGATTGTTTGACAGAAACAGCAGTCAGAAAAGTAAGTGACAAATTTAATTACCTTAATTCTCATTTCTCATTTGCCTTGAACGTTTATCACTTTTCCAGAATGGCCTCATTAATTTAGAAGTATCAGATGACTTGGAGTTTCGTCTATTAGAATATAAGCAAATGTATCAATCCATAACAGAATCTAGTCAAATGTACTGTAATCATACGCAAAATAAACCATGGGATATTGTAGCTTGGTAAGAAATTAGTTTATTAATTAGAAATTAATTATTTAAAATGTTTTATCTGTAAAAATTGCTAGTCAAAAATATTTTTATTCTCCAGGGTTTCTGATCAACTTGTCAGTGAACTAATTGTCGATTTGTCGAAAGAACTGCAGATGGACGATGTGATAAAGAAACTATTTGAGCTAGAATTTCAAGAACTATAAATAATTTTATATGTAAAAAAAAAATGTAAACTAAATAATTCAGCAACGTGATTTTCGTAGAATTTATACCGGAAGAGTGCTTTTTGTAAATACATGGAACTTTTAAAAATATGCTTTGTTAATTTATTTAATTAATTATATTCTTTTTTTTTACCTGCTTTTCATCATCCTTTATTCTTGCAAGAAAACTGAAGAAAACTTCTGATTTTTAACGGAAAATATTCAATTCTTTGTGCCTGTATTCGTTACTATGACCAAAATATTCTTTCTGCGAATCCAATTAGTTTTCCTCTTCTTTTTTAAGTTTGCGAGAATATATTATTGCTGCAGTCGACGAATTACACTTTTTCTGGCTCAAAAAATAGGTTTTAAATAATAAACACTACAATTAATTAAATATAAATTAGTTTTTCTTCGCACAAAAATAGACATGTCTAATTGCTAACGAACAAATACGTTACTAAACAATATACCGGAAATAACTCTGGAATAAAATTAATCACGTGATCATTTTTAAAAGAAATTTTTCTCTACAAATTTTTTTACAATTAATTTCTCTCTCGTGTCAATTTAAATTCTTCTACAACTCGAAAAATTGTTTACAAATCACCATAACCCAATGTTTAATTGCAAAAAACTTGAAAATAGATACTAAAACGATAAAAATAGGAAAATTAATTAAGTAAAAATATTTTATTTCCATACATTTTAAATTGACTGACGCATGCGCAAAACTCACATCACGTGACTTTAATAAACATATATCACACGCGCATATATATAGCAGAACATGATAAAGTTGATAAAGTTTATTAAATTTTTAGAATAATTGAGAAATTAGTTTATAATAAATTCTGACAGTGAGTGAAACGAAAATTTATTTCAAAATGTTTATAAAACCATTTAAAGTGAAATCAAACAATCAATTGAAAGGTACTGAAAGGTAAGCATTGAGTATTTACTGTGCAAAACAATTGCAATGTTTTGATTATTTGTTTCACATACTGAAACATATTGTTATTATAATTTACGATTATAATTAAATAGAAATAATCGTTTTGTAATCTAATTACAGTTTCTTCTAATATTTGTAAATTTTCGTCTGTAAAATAGGATTTAAATTGAAAATTAGAGATGTAAACATAACCTCAAAAAGTTGACGTTAAATAGATAATTATTTCTAAAAGAAATATTTAGAAAATTGCGACAAACGAAAATTCTCAAATACTTATATTTTAGATATTATTTCTTTATAATTGCATATAATATATTGAAAAAATACAAGAAACTGAAGAGATTTTTTTTAAGTTATTATTTCTTTATTATTTGAATGACAATAAAGGTCCATTATTGTAAAGTTAATAATTGTGAATTATTGCAAAAGAGTGTATACCTAAATTGAATTATTTTAATTCATAAAACATTTAATTTGACAGAAAGAGACTATGTGAAGAAATATTGCAAGCATTCCCAAAATTGAAAGACGAGGAAGTACAGAATTTATTAAAAAAGAAGGATGCAATTAGTGTTATGAAAATTGTCACTCACAGTGGTAGTGTCGTGAAAGTTTATTGCACTGCCAAAATACCGATGTTTTTACATTTTGACCTTCCGAATTTACACGGCTATTTTCCCACTATTTACACATTATGGCAACATCCAGAATTAATGTACAATTTTACAACACGTTCGGTGGTAATTTCGAAATTATCAAGTGGCGCAGATTTAATGCTTCCTGGTCTCGTTCTCGATGGTCCGGCAACTTTTCATTCTTTTGGAAAAATGCAAAAGGGAACGCCTGTTTCAATAAATACTGACGACAATAAGGTGAACAAAAATTTGTTTCTTTTCCCACATTACTTTTTGCTTGTGTTCTTTAATTTTTTTTTCCAAACTTTTTCTCTATTTGTAAAATATTTTTTGTTTTCAGGCACCTTTTGCAGTTGGAATTACTGCATTGTCTAGTGAAGATATGTACATGTCGGGTGGTCGTGGAAAATGTGTAGAAATTATCCACGTGATTGGAGATTGTCTTTGCCAATTATTAGATAAACCTGTAATTAGGCCGGAATTGGGGAAATCTATCAAGGATTTTAATACTTCAGTGGATTCTATAACAGACGAATTGAAGAAGGAATCGCTTTCGGAGAAAGGAACAAATAAAGATGGTGGAAAACTTTCCGATGATGATTTAGAAATAAAATTATCGCCATCAAATGACGATAGTTTACAAATAGAGATTCCTTGCTCAAATGAAAAGAGTCCCATAGAGGTAAATTTTTTGGAAAAATAATTTTTTATTGGAACTATTTTTGGAAAAATAATCTTTTATTGGAAATATCTTTTGGAAAAATAATTTTTTATTGGAAATATTTTTTGGAAAAATAATTTTTTATTGAATATATTTTTATATTTTTATATTTTGTGGTTTTTTTTTTTGTTTTTAAGGAAAATTCGAATGAAATAGTGGATGAAAATGAAAGCACAAATATGGAAGAGAATAAGGATCCAGTTCAGGAAATGGATAAATTGTTAGAATATTGCTTCTTGAAAGGGTGTAAAATGTCAATCAAGAAAGGCGATTTGCCGATGCTCACGTCGAATTTCTTTAAAAATCACGTAATGGCTGTTTGTCCACCGGGTCAGACTTTAGACATAAAAAAATCGAGTTATAAAAAAGTGTCTGTCTTTCTATCGAAAATGAAGGAAAAGGGACTTGTCGATACGTCTGTTTTGAAGGGAGTGGAGTCTCTTCTTGCAATTAAGGTATTTTTCTTGATTAATCAAAGTTTAAAAAAATTTATTTTTTTTCATTGGAATAAAATTAAAATTACCTTTTGTTTAGACTAATCATCCTTTACTTCAAAACCTCGTGATAAATGAAGAAATACCCATTAAACAGCAGGAATTGTCAACTGCTCCAGTTATTGCCGAATGCTACAAAGTCACTGCCAATGTCGTACCATTACTTTCTCTATTTGGATTTGAGTAAGTAATTACGATAATAATTTAACATTTAATTTGATTTTTACTGAATTTAACATTCTTCTTCTTCTTCTTCTTCTTTTTCTTCTTGATTCTTAAATGATTTCTAACTGAACCGATTGTCAGAACTTTAATATTAACACATCGCTTTAAAATCTGTTTACAAAAATTGCAGAAAGGGCGACATAATGAAAAGAGCGGATATTAGAAAATGTTTTACGGATTATGTCAAAAAAGAAAATCTTCAAAATGGCAAGTGAGTAAAATAATCATAAATAAATTTTGAAAATGAACTTACAAATTTTACAAATCACATACAATTTTAAAGTATCCGACAAAGAAACGAAATAAAAAGTTAGTGTTCAATTTTTCTAAAATTCTTCTATGCTTGCAGAATAATAAAAATAAATCCTCAGTTAGCGGGAATATTGAAAACCAAGGAGAGTCAGGAAACGTTGACAATGGAAGATGGAATTAATAAATTTATTGGAAAAATGACTCACACGCACGGTGTCACTGTGGGAGGGACAACTTCATTTTTTACTGGAAAATTGGAACCTATTGAAATTACAGTCACTACACGAACTAATAATAAAAAGGTTAGAAAAAAAGATATTATTTCCTTTTCTAACGATTTTAATTTTAATTTTAATATATAGTTTTAATATTATTATAAAAATAATGAATTTATAGAAGAATTTTAGTTAAAAACACTAAAAAAAAATTGAATTTTAAAGAAGTTAGAAATAATTGCAGAAATTCAATTATTTTCAAAAGTAATAAATTCTTATCACAAAACTCAATTATTTCTAAAAATTACAAAAAAATCTCGACAAAATTCCAATTATTATCTTTATATAAATAAAAAAATTCTTCTTCAAAATTCAATTATTTACAAAAATTTTAATAGAATTCTTGTCAAAATTTCAATTATTTTCAAAAACTTTGAATAATAAAATTCTTTTTGGGAATTCAATTATTTTCAGAAAATTTTCTCAATTCAATACAATTTTATTTGAATTTTACGAAAAATACAATTATTCTTAAAATTTCATTAAAATTTGTTGAAACAATTCAATTATTTAAATTTTTTTTATAAAATTTTTCGCAGTAATTAAATTATATTTATAAACATTAAAATTCTTTTGAGAAATAATAAAACTTATCTCAGAATTTCAATTATTTTTAATATAATTGAATTTCTTGAAAAATGCAATTATTAAAAATTTTATTAAAATTCGTCGAATCAATTCAATTATTTAAATTTTTTTATAAAATTCTTCGCAATAATTCAATTATTTTTAATACACTTTTAATCGAATTCCTTGAAAAATGTTACTATTCCAAAAAATTTTATTAAAATTCGTCAAAAGAATTCAATTATTTAAAAATTTGTTAATAAAATTCTTTATAAGAATTTATAAATTGCAAAAATTCAATTATTTTTAATACAATTTTAATAACATTTTATAAAAGACTTGAATTTAAAAAAAATTTTAATATTTTTCGAAAAAATTCAATTATTTTCTCTACTTTTAATAAACTCTTCGAATTTAAAAATTTGTTAATAAAATTCTTTATAAGAATTAAATTTTGAGAAACATTCATTTTTATTCATTAATTACTTTTGTATTTCAATAATTGAATTCTCGTAGAATTATCCAATAAAAATTGATTTGAAAATGAATTTTAGTTTAAATTTTAGATAATAATAGAATATGAAAATAATTTTTAAAAATTTACAGTAAAAATATTTTTAAAGTTGATTAATTTCAAAAAGGTTTGAATTTGAATGTTTTGAAGAATTTTGAATTCCTACGGAAAAATAATAATAATTAAAGATAACAATTAAAGATATTCGTAAATAAATTTCTGCGGACAGAATGAATGAAAGAATACCTAGATTAATATAGTTAATTAATAATTATTGAAAAATTGCAGGTAACTCTGGTGAATAATTTAGAAATATTCGGCATAAAAATGGAAGAGTTCAGCAAGGAATGTCAAGGAATTGGAGCAAGCGCAACAATAACAGACGTCCCAGGAAAAAAGACTCCAAGTGTTCTAGTACAAGGGAATCAGGTTTTATACGTCTTCAAATTATTGACAGGTAAATAAATAAAAAAAAAGAGTTAAACTTTTAACAGTATAACAATTTGGCTTAAAAAGAAGAAAATTAAGTAAAATAAAATCAATTAATTTTGTTTTCTTTTCATCTTTTAAAGAGAAATATCAAATTAACAAAAACTACATAAAAGGAATGGAATTTGCACCTAAAAAGAAGAAATGAAATTGTTGACTACGATGAAAAAGAAGGACTAGAAAATCGTTAATCGACGTGACATTTAAAATCCTCAGAGTTTTTGAAAATGAAATAAAAAGAAGACCATCGTATAAAGTGACAAGTGTTGATGAACTTTAGCCCTTAACGAAAGTTACATGTGAATATTTTTCTCTCGAGCTTAAAATTACAGAAATCAGTTTCAAGGAATGAATTTGATGAGTCTTCATTGCGAGTGAGTGAGAACATTTTAAGTTGATTTTTAATTTTTTAAATTAAGGAAGTATCCGACATAGAATCTGAACAAAAGTCTGTCGATTGTCATAAGTTCCTATTTTATTTGAAAAAGTTAAAAATAATAAACTGATTTAAAGAAGAATTTTAGTTCAAAATTCTAGAAAATAATAATTGAATGTTTTCGAATAATTTTACAATTAAAGAAATTCGTAAATAAATGTAATAGAACATTTTCTTGATTATTTAATCATTTTTAGAGTGAATCGCAGAATATTCTTTAAGCTCAGGGAAAAAGTTAAAATTTCCATCACTAGGTAAATAAAATTTCTAATTTAATCTCTCTTTTTCTTTAAAAATACGAAATTATGACATTGGACTAATTTTTGACATATCTACAGTCAAAACAAAATCGAATTGTAATATGTTAACCAATTTTTATTTAAATTGTCTACAAATTTTAATTTTTTGAAAAGTTTTACCTTCAAGTTTAGATTTTTTTTATTTAAACTTGTACTATTTATTGAAATAAAAAAAAAAGAATTCAAAATTGAGTTTCTAAGAAATATTTAGAACACTTCTATAATGCTCTTCTTTTTAATTTTTAAATCATAGTTTGATTTAAAAATCGCATGCAGTTTATTAAATTATTTAAATTAAATTTTAAATTATAAATTAAAAATTAAATCTTCTTCTATAATTAATAATCGTTGTATTCCGGTAATCTGTTCGCAGATTGAAGTTTGTTGCTGTTTGCTTTTTTGTTTCCTAACTTTTAAAATAATTTTCCTTTTCAAAAGTTTTCAATTTTAAAATTATTTTACTACTGAAAATCATTGAATTCTTGTAAAGTATAATTATAAAAAAATTTGAAAATAATTTAATTCATTTAAAGAATTTTATCAAATTTTTTTTCAATAGTTGAATTCTTTCAAGAAATTGTAATTAAAAATTTTTTTGAAAATAATTTAATTCTTGGCAAGATTTTTATTAAAATTCTTTAAAATAATTGAATTGTTTTGAAGAATTTAATTTCAATTTTATTGGAAAAAAAGGAGTTTTTTAAAAATAATTTTTACTGAAAATTTTGAAAATAATTGAATTTTAAGAATTACTTTTAAGTTTTTAAAAGAATCGTGTTTATTATTAATATTTGTAATTAATGATTTTCCTAATTAAATTATATTAAAATTATTTATAGAAAATTAAATTCTTTTAAACAATTTTATTAGAGTTTTTGTAAATAATCACTTTTTTTTGAAGAATTTCATTAAATTTCGTAAAAATAATTACATTTTTTAAAGTAATTTTAATTGTAAATTTTGAAAATAATTAAAATTTACAAAGAATTTTGATTAAAAAATTAAAAATTAAAATTTTTGGTTAAAATTAAAAAGAACAATTGAATTCATTATAGAAAAATTTTATTACAATTTTTAAAAATAATTGAACCTGTTAGAGAAATTTTATTAAAATTATCTTGAATATAATTGAATTTTTTCCTAGAAATTTTATTAAAATTGTATTATAAAGAATTGAATTTTTCAGTAGAATTTTATTATTTAAAAATATAATTGAATTCTTGCCAAGGAATTATTAAAATTGTATTTAAAATAATTGAATTCATCTGAAACATTTTATTATTTATGAAAATAATTAAATTCCTTAGAAAAATTTTATTATTTACAAAAATATTTTAATTCTTGCGAAGAATTTTCTTATTTATGAAAATAATTAAATTCTTGCAAAGGATTTTACAAATAATAAAAAAAATGAAATGTTCCGAAGAATTTTATCTACATTTTTGAAAATAATTGAATTTTTGAACGAACTATATTAAAAATTTTGAAAATAATAATTTTTGAAAAAGAATTAATATTTTATTTTTTTTTTTTTTATTTTTTTATTTTATTTATTTTTTTTTTTTTTTATTTTATTTTTTTTTTATTTTTTATTTTTTTTTTTTTAATTAATATTTTTAAAAATATACCTAATTGTATTCTATCGAGAAATTTTTTTAAAATTGAATTAAAAATAATTGAATTTCTTCGTAACATTTTATTATTTATGAAAATAATTGAATTCCTTTGAAGAATTTTATTATTTATGACAATCTTTTAATTCTTGCGAAGAATTTTCTTATTTATGAAGATAATTGAATTTTTGGGGCGGATTTTACAATTCATAAAAATAATTCAATTGTTTCGAAGAATTTTATCTAAATTTTTGAAATTAATTGATTTTTTTGAACGAATTTTATTGAAGATGTTGAAAATAATTTAATTAAAAATTTTATATTAAAATTCTTGAACGAAATGGAATTTAATTAATATTTTTTAAAATAATTGTATTCTTTTGAGAAATTTTTTTAAAATTGTATCTGAAAATAATTGAATTGCTCTAAAGGATTTTATTACTTATGAAAATAATTGAATTTATATTAAAGTTTTTTAAAGTAATGGGATTTAGTTAATATTTTTAATAATAATTTTATTACTTTATTATATATTATATTTAGTATTCTTTCGAGAAATTTTTTAAAATTTGAAAATAATTGAATTGATCTAAAGAATTTTATTCTTTATGAGAATAATGAAATTCTTTCTAAAAATTTTATTAAAAATTTTTGAAAAATAATAAAGAATATTAAATTATGTACTTAAGTGAATTCTTTAAATTTTGAATCTCTAATAATTCAAAAATTGAAAATAAAAATTTTTTTTAATTTACAAAATAATAATAAATGGAATACCGTTTTCCGCGCGAATTTGCTAATTCATTATAAATTGAGGAATACCTATAATAACTAATAAGGAAATATTCTAAATTATCAAAGTTAAATATAGTTTACGAAATATATTTCACATATATTTTAATATATTCTTGAATGAATTTAAACAGTTTAGAATAATTTCAGGTAATATTTTTTATGTATATGTAAATAGAAATATCGGGTTGTAAACTCACATCGACGGAATGACAGTCTCAAATAAAGTTTATTAATATAATTTATTGTATATCGAGGTTTCAACATGGAAAAGTACAAATATTGCAATATAGGGCCCGCGAGCTCTCCTCGGGAGGGAGGGAGGGAGGGAATGAAGGAAGGTTTCTTTGTTTTTTTTCTTTCTTTAATTGTTATTAATCTTCTTGTTTTTCTTAAAAACAGAATAAATGTTACAGGAAGGAGAGACGGCGCATGAGCAAGGAGACTGGCTCCTCAAAACGCTGGAATGCAAAAATTTTACAGACTTTCAGAATAAAAAAAGAACAGAAATATTGAGATCGAACCGAACGATTGTACTCGTTTATTTATTTTTTTTTTATCCAGCGGGGATATTATGGGCGAAGAAATTGTCTCTGTTGACCAAAAAGGAAGGATCCCTCCTCTCCACGACCCCCGCATATATTTAATACTCGTTTTTTTTATATTTTTATTAATCCCTCAGCACGAGCACATTGCTTGATGATTTTTTTTTTTTGTTTTTACTCTAGTTTTCGCAATGCGCGCGTGCTTAGTGTGACAATATTTAACTACGGTGCTCCAACAGGTGTAGCACGCCCGAGTCGATTTTCTATTCTTTCTTTTACAATAATAATAATAATTTAATTTATTTTTCGGATTTGTTTACGAATTCTGATTTTTTTTTTTTTGATAATTTGACGGTATATTTGTACATTGAATTGCCGTCTAGAGGGGAAATTTCCCTTTTTTTATTTTTTGAAAATTTCGCTTGAAAAATTGATATTGATTATTTTTTTATCGAGTTTTCAAATGAAATTTCGACTACACGGGCGTCTTACTTCTGCAGAGAAGGAGTTACGCGCTCTCTTTCGCTCTCTGCTTGTTTCTTTCTCTCCCGGAACGGAAATTCACTTTTTTTTTTGTGGTTGTTATACAAAAAAAAAATGTTCCTTTTCTTTCTCTCTCGCTCTCTCTCGCACTATCTCTCGTATTTTATTTATTTTTTTTTTTTTGCGTTTGGAATTTTTCATAGTTTTTATGCAACACATAATGCGACTAGGTAGTACAGGTTAATTAATAATTAATATTAGTTATACAATAATAACATATGACTAGACAATGCAAGATAATAATTATTCGTAAATAGTAATAATCATGGATCGCAATTTATATCAACAATGTGATGACGGGTTTTTTTTTATGTAAGAATGTAGGTACGTTTGTTTCCTCTGCGGTTTTTTTTTTATTTTTTACAGAGATCTTTTTTTTTGTCTTCTGTTGGTGTTTTTTACTGCGCGCGTGGAATTTTTTTTTTCTGTGTTTTTGTGTGTGCGTGTCTGTCAGTTTTCTGTCCGTCAATGAAATTTCAGAGTTCCTGCGAGAATTTCCAATTTTTTTTTTTCCTCGAATTTAGAAAAATTTGTTTTTATTCATAAAAAAGTGTGAATTATAATAATAATTTTTATTTTTGCAGATTGAGAGGAACCCTGGACGTTTTCGAGAAAACTGGAGAGTGAAAAAAAAAAGTTTCTGAAACGTTTTCAGAGACGGATTTTGTTCGCCATTCAGTCTGGTATTTTTTTATTTATTTAATTTTTGTTTTTAAAGTGTATTTGTGTCGAGAAATTTTGGTTTTGTGTGACGTCGGCTCAGCGAACAACGATTACAGTGAAATAGGTATTAATTATTTTCATTATCATGAAATTGCACGAGTTTTTTTTTTTTTTTAATTTTATAGTTTCGGCCTCTAATTCCAAGCAAATCCAGAAACTCAATTTTTTTTCTTTTCTGAATCGAGGATCTTGAAAAAACCTTACAATTCCTATAGGCGGGACGCGAAACCTTTTATTTTCAAAATTTATCAACATTCGCGAGAAAAAAATCTATTAGGATCAAATAAAATTTATTTGAGGCAAATAAATGTTTATTTGTTTTTTTCAAAAACCTAATAGGAAATTTATCTCTAAAATTCAATTTTTTTTTTCATTTCTTAAATTTCCTCTGTGGGTAGCACTAATCCTTAACGATTAGAATAATTTACTTCATTTTTAAAATGAAGTTTTTGGGGTGGATTGTCGGTATAAGTTTTTTTTTTTTATTCTTTTAAACATAAATCTGACGTAAAACGTCAAATTTGCAGATTTCTTTTTGCAATAGCAAAAAAAAAAGGATTTTGGACGATCTTTTTTTTTCTTTTCATTGTTTTTTTTTTTCTAGTAATTATACTGTACATTCGCTACCCTTCCCAAAAACCCT